AGAGCTACAGGCATTCAGCATCCATGGTCTGTATCTGTGGTATTCGCTGGCCAGTTACCTAGCTAACATGAAGCAGGAAAACTGCCACATGATTATAATAAGAAGCATAATAAAGATAAATGGTTTAAGTATCTTGGGGTGCCAGTTGTTCATGCTGGCTTTCATTTTCATACATTTGCTGCTGAGTATGGCCCGCTCATGAACTGTAATGTTCTAGCCGGTGAGTTGAAGCATAGGTAAGTACCTATTCTAAATTATAGCCAGCTGCTGATAGTATCACACTATATAAGAATATTCAAGAGATGGATAGATCGCGCCTCGCCGCCTCAGCTGATGACTTATCTCTTCCGGCTAGATCGGCTCCACCACTCTTTACGCCTGGGTCTTGCGGGTTCCTGGCGGGATGATCATCCAATTCTACTAGAGATTGTCCAGGATCTGTATATGTCCTGCCCACGTCTGATCCAGAAACATATTCTTGCAGATGAATTTATTACTGACCTGCAAGTTACAATGACACATCCGATTGAATGGCCTCATTCTTCGCTTTCTGAGCAGGATATACTGGACATGTTACCTTCAGCGTACCGGCAAGAATATTCAATCTCACTTCCTCGCCAGTATGATAAAACACAATTATCTTACTATTGTCAGATCAAATTCTGTTCCCGGTATGATTTCTTTATTTTTAAGGAGACAGCTGTGAAAGGCTTTCGCAGCTGATTTCTATATATCTTCTATTCCAAGATACTAACTGTGTTCTGTTCTCCAGTCATTCACAGACAATTACCACTGGAAATTTTATTAAATACCAGTCTTCAATAGCATATGTGAGTTGTGGTATAAAGCATTATACACAATCAGAATGCTTCTTCTTTCTTTTATTACAGCCTTGGGTACGGAACGGAAATACAGATAAGGCAACAACTCTTCCTTTCTATTGTTCTTCTAAGAGATGGGTATTGTCAGGATTACAAAGTAAAGTTGAGCCGGCATTTATGATCGATATAGATAATGTTTACAGACAGGTATCAGTTGATATTAATACTAGACAAGATCTAGTATACTGTTCATGGAATATTGATTTTATGTAAATAACAAATTATTATATTCTGGTCTTTTACTACTTTCGTATGATTATATATTACTTCTGAGAATATTTTGTATAAGAATCTTACTATTATTTAAGGAGTGTAACCAGATAATCTCTAGAAATTATGATTAATATTTGTTATATATCTATAAAATACCAGATAATGTCTAGAAATTATGATTAATATTTGTTATATATCTATAAAATACCAGATAATGTCTAGAAATTATGATTAATATTTGTTATATATCTATAAAATACAGTTTCTGTTCATAAGTAATAGATATCTTCCGTATCTAATCTATTTTATTACAGAACTATTCTTGTTAAATTATAATTACATAATAGTTTCTGAATCGTATTCAACTTTAACAACGTTTGTATGTAATTACCCGGTTTGGGTGAGGTTGTATCGTTAGTAATTATTATTATATGTAAATAATAATAAATAACTGTTTTGCAACTGTAAGCAACTGTAACACAACCTAGCTACAACCTAACTGTTACTGTAGGTAACAGTTTGACAACTATTATGAAATGGTCAGTGAGTGTGGCAAACTATTAAATATATATAAATAATAGTAAGCTACCATCTTTGACTTTTACTGAACTATGCTGTGACCCTCTCTACGCACGCCTCCGGGCCCCTATGATATACTTCGGTACCATATATACTACTAAGTACTCACTCCCCACCCGGGACGGCCCGGCCAAGCGCCGACGTGCAGGATAATCTTCCGTCGTCCCTCCGCATGAACCCGAAACTCCAGCGTCTCTCCTAACTGCAACAGTCTCCTAAGTGACGTGGGGGGTCGGGTTGACCGGGTGTATTTCATGTACAGTGCAGATGGGTAATCCGAATACCGGGGCATTGTAATGATGGCCTGTCTGTGGGTGTCTTTTCCAGGTTGGGGTGTTAAAGTATGTTATGTTCTGCTTTATGATTGCAGCGGTGTGCAAAAGAGAGAAAGAATATGCACCATCATTCATACCTTCCCTTGTTACACCGTCTGTTGATCGATGTTTCTTCAGGCAGTCAGGTGACTCTTCCCTCTTCTCTTCCTTTTCCTTTGTTCTTCTCCTCATCTCGTCATCTTCCCCCAACCCCCAACCACCAACCACAATCCATTGTCTTCATCACCTGCAGCGGCCGCTTTTCCGCATCCAGTCTCCATCCAATCCTCATCGGGGCAACAGGATGCTGGGCAATTCGGGTCCTTCAGCATGAGGCTAGGCTGCAACAGCGGCCCTGCTTGCCCGTTTGGTTCCATGCAAGCCTCCCTTCCCTTGGCTGGGGGCTTTTAGTCCGCCCACTGCCACTTCCCATCTTCCGTCCCTCCATTCCATCCCCCCCCCCCATCGCTTTCTTTTTTCTCCCCCAATACCCCCCCCCCGCAAGCTGACTGACTGCCTGCCTGCCTGCCTGGCCTCCCGTCATGGACTCCCTGGCTTTTATCATGAACCCCCCCAACGCAGACCCAGACAAAGGCAGGCCCGCGGAAGAAGATCCCGCACCGGATGTCGGACCTGTCGGTATGTGCCTGGTTCTTTTGCTGGCCTGCCCCCAGACTCCCTCCCCGGTCGGCTAACCATCCTTCCTGCGTAGCGTCCGCCATATCAAGTGCGACGAAACCCCCGATGCCTGTCGGAATTGCACCTCCACCGGTCGCGCCTGTGATGGCTACGACCAGTACCGTCTCCCCTCGGGCAGCCAGCCCGTCGCCCGCGTCGTCTCTGCCTCCCACTTCCCCTCCGCCATGGTCCACGGCACCCGCTGGGTCATGACCTCCGACGAGCGTCGATGCTTCTCCTACTTCGAGATTTCCATGGTTCCTACCCTCGTCGGCCCCTTCAACTCCTCACTGTGGCAGAAGCTGGTCCTGCAGATGAGCTACGCCGAACCCGCCGTCCACCATGCCGTCATCGGTCTGAGTGCCGTCCAGCAGGGCGTTGAGACTCGCAAGCTGCCGCTCTTCGCCATGGCCCGCAAGTGCGACTGGACTCGCTTTGCCTTGGAGCAGCTGGGCCGCTCCTTCGCCTTGCTCCGAAGCCGCAGCACCTCCCAGGACCCGCAGCTGCCCTCCATCACGCTGGTGTGCTGTCTGCTGTTCATCACATTCGAGCTGCTCCAGGGGCAGTACGACACGGCCTTCATGCATCTGAAGAGTGGCCTCGACATCATCAACCGACTGAAGGCCCATCGACAGCTAGTCCCGCGGGACTGCCGCCAGTCCATAGTCGAGCAGAGCCTGGTGGCCTCCTTCGCACACATGGACAACCAGGTCGCGTACTTCCAGCGAAAGGAGCCGACGCTACACCTCGACGACGACCTCGAGGATTACCTTCCTCTCGAGGATCCGAAGATGGTGTTTTGCAGCCTTGGGGACATCCGACGGACCTTCGAGCCGTTACTCAATGCCGGCACACGGTTCATGATCCAGTCTGGCATGAACACCGATCCCCATCACACAAACAACCTGCTACAAAAGAAGCAACGATTACTGTCCCAACTTCATCGCTTCTCCCGCCTGTTTGAGTTGTTCCGGAGGGAGTCCTACCAGCATCTCAGCTCCAAAGAGCAGCTCGGCGCGGACATCGTCTTACTCCGACAACGAACCTTACTCCTCAACCTGGACACCTGTGTCCGCCCCTGGAATGACCGACCGGTCGACAACTACGCCTCTGATCACGAGGATATCGTGACCATGGCAGAAGGGATCATCTGCCGAACTTCCGTCCGCCCCAGCCTCAGCATCGACGTCGGCATCGTTCTACCGTTATGTCTCGTCGTGCTCAGCTGTCGGGACCCCGTCGTCCGGCGCCGCGCAGTCGACGCCCTGCGTTCCTGGCCCCATCACGAAGGACCGTGGGACTCCAGCCTCTGCGCGCAAATCGCCATGGAGACGACCAAAATTGAAATCCACATCGCGACTCGGAAGATAGGGAGTAAAAAACCCATTCCGCGCGGTCCCAGCCCCCTCCCGCGAAACGACTGCGTCATGATCTCCCCTGACCGTCGTCTTGGATACATACCGTACACGGTTGGTGACGTGCAGGAGTTCTGGTGGTTCAGCCTCGAAGACGAAGATCTGAACTCGTCAAATGGCCTGGTCAGTAGTTATGATGTGACGAACTGGACGCCGTTCATGGCTAGTCGGTTCAGTTATATCCAACCGAGGGATACCTCCTAGACAATAAGCTCAGCCGTTCTCTTGGAACTTGTGATCACTCGAGCCCCGTGTGCACATTCAATCGGCAAACGGCACGGAGTCCCGGTACTTCGTCGAGTTCCACTATCCCAACGTTTCAATTTCCTGGATACACACGTTATTCCGTTTCCTTGAATTTACTGTAAATATATGGCGCGTTCCTTGTCGTCTGTTTTTGTCTTAACAAGCCTTCATTCATCTCTGAGCGAATGTCATTCTTATTTTCATTATCTTTTCATTCTCATGTCATCCTGATGTTTGGTTTTCATTCTCATTCTCATTTTCATTTTCATTTTCATTCTTGTCCCCCACCCCCACCCTCCTCTCATAGACACACCTGACCCAGCTCCTCCTCACAGGCTCACCCAGCTAGCAAGTCAGCCGCCAGCCAACCAGCCAACCCCCCAGCTCCAGAGAGCCAGAATTGAGCCTCCCCCCCGCCCGGACCACCGGAGATAGATACTCCAAGTAGACACAGAGCAAACGCTTCCGGACAAGATCAGCACCTCCCCTGCAGCTAGCCCCGTAGCGTCGCACCTCCGCGCCTTTCCCATCCAATCAGTAATGCATGTCTGAAGACCACCCTGCACAGTGCACTCTGCATCTCACACACACTCTCTCTGCACAGTACGGAGTACTAACTACGATTTCGGTAGATGCACACTCGCACTGCTCGTCTAGGCTGACTCAGACGGAGACGGAGATATCCCCTCTCCACTGCTCTACTGTAGTGTATGCAGAGTGGTGAGCGGGCATGATTTTGTGAAATCATTACATGAGTATAGTGGCTATCTATAGTAGCCGGGGACGGGGACGGGGACGGGGACGGGGACGGGGACGGAGACGGAGGAAGAGACGGAGATACGGCTTGGTTGATGACTGGATGTTGCTTGCTTGCTTGCTTGCTTGCTTGCCGTCTCTTACTAGTGCGAATTATTCTCTCGCTCTACTTCGTGTGTTTATTCCCTACATAGGGTAGTATTTAGTATGTCTGTATTGAGTTCATGAGTTACTCTGGATTCCTCGGGATCAGGTCTTGTGCGTTACCATTCGGGAAGGCGTTATAGTATTTGTCTGAAAGCGGGAAGCGGAAAGCGGAAAGCTGAAACACACCTCAGATATTATCTACATGATGCAAATCCGAAACTGGCCCGTATGTACTCCGTATTGGGCAAATAATAAGAAAGATACCCCAGACAAGCAAACCATCTTGTTTGCTAGGTAGTAAGTAGGGATGAATTTTAGGGTTATGTGTATGATGTGTATGATGTGTAATGTATATATACCGAGAGAATAATCGTGTGTGGTTGGAAATGCGATCCAAATTGTATTATATCAGGTCAAGGCAAGTGAAGTCCCCCCTAGGGACCCGGACGGACATCATGGCGAGTGATCTCTGCACTCACCAACCCTCTGATACCGCTTGCTGATAGAAAGTCAAAATCAAATCATGTCTATCGGTTCTGTGCTATTAGTCGTTGCGGAGGGGTCGTTGCAGACACAGTCGCCCCACATGACAGGCTGGTCTGAACGGGGTATCGTGTAAATGTGAAATATGAAAGGTGATATGTACAAGGTAGACGTGATGGTAGATTCATGATTCGGGGTTCCGACCGCTTTTCTTACGCTCCGGCCCCGTCTTTGGATTTCTGCGTGGGCTTGCTTGTCGCGACCTTTTCCTTAATGATCGGCCCCAGACTGTTTAAGCGGACGGGCTTGGTCAGGAAGGTGTCCATGCCGGACCGCATCGCGTCACGCTCTACTTCGGTTTGCGCGACTGCGGTCAGCGCCAGAATTGCGGTGCGGTCTTTGTTCTCGAGCGTTTTCTCGAAATCGCGGATGAGACGCGTGGATTCGAGGCCGTCCATGACGGGCATGGAGATATCTGCTGAGATTAGATTGCGACGGTTATGAAGAAATGTTGAACGTACCCATAAGGACAACGCCGATGTCGTGGGGGTTCTCCTTGAAGCAGTCGAGAGCTTCCTGTCCGTTTTGCGCAGTCGCGTACTTGCACCCTAGCTTCTTCATGAACGCGACCAGGAGCTTCAGGTTGATCTCGTTGTCATCTACCAGCAGGACGGTTGTCGGCTGCCTGGGCTGCTCCGGCGGTGGGGATTGCTCTCCGCTTGAATGGCTGACCGACGTACGCGAGGCACCGGCTGAGACACCAGAGTTGCCGCCATCTTCCTGCAGCGGCTCTGACGATTCAGATGGGGACATGGAGCCGCCATTGGACCTGAACGGCAACTCGCGTTTCAATTCGAATTTGGGTGGTATGTTAGTCCCGGGACTCAGCATCTGGAGAAATGACGGCCTGTCGAACTCCCTCGGCGTGGGGGGTAAAGGGGGGTCTGCGGGCGTTGCTGTCACGACGCCATTGTCGCGCACCGCATCTATGCGCCGCTGCTGACGCTGGGCGCACATTTCCAATGTCTTGGCCAACTTCCGGGGACCGCACGGCTGGCTGATGAACTCCAGAACCTCCGCGTCCTTTCGCTTCCGGGATGCCAGGAACATTGAGTGCGCGATCCGTGGGGTCGAACAGATGATGATGACAGGCGGAAACAACTGCCTAGTGGGCCCAGTGGAAATAGGCACGCGTCCAATATCCAGAGAATCTTGGAGAGAGATGTAAAAGTCGCAATAACCGAACTGGGCTTGCGAGGCTGCAACTGATTGGATTTCCATCTGGAACCAATCGCGGCATAGCTTTTGTAAGGCCGAGAACAGAGTCGCATCACGGTCAGAGGAGCCGAGACCGATGAGCCCAATGGTTTTCTCACGAACAACAGCTCTCGTCGGCATAGGGAATATCTCAGCGTTATCATCACGAACATCCCACTCCAGGACATGATCAAGTGTCAGTTTCATCACAACTTCAGTGCCAACTCCCTTCTGAGACTCTACATGGATGTCGCCGCCAAGGGACGACACTATTCGGCGTACAATATTGAACCCCAGGCCATTCCCGGTTGACATGCTATCTTCCTGAGAGAAGGCCGTGGATAGCTGATTCCGGACGAAGTCTTGTTCCATCCCACATCCGGTGTCGCTGACACGGAGCGTGACCGTCGACCGGATGACCTGACCATTGGCGTCGGTGTCGACTGGATCGGCCTTCAGAGAGACGTAAATGTACCCTTCCTGTGTGAACTTCAGGGCATTTCCAAAGATATTCGTCATAATCACATGCCAGGCTCCGGGTCGGGTCAAAAACTTAAAACTTTGCGTGCGGTCCACGTCCAAGACCACCCTGACTCCCTTTTCCAAATCGAAGGGGTTGCTATTCGAGCCCCAAAGAGGAGTGCCGGAGTGACTGAAGAAGCAATGCCCCGCAAAGACGGTCTCGACCACATCCTCCACCGCAACGTCGAGTTGAACGGTAGACGTCTCGTCGGACCTTTCGGGTTGTACCCCCTGATTAGATTTGACCTCAAGGCGACCAGGTGCGTTGATTATGCGAGAGCTTGGCCGAACATCGTTGATGCTGGCATACTCCAGAAGCTGGTCGATCGAGCCCAATAGTGTGAACGCACAAGAGGAGATTGTGTGCACGAATCCTTGTTGCAGGGCGTCCATTACGGTATCGTTTAAAATCTCGATGGTACCAAAGATCCCATGCAGAGGAGATCGAAGCTCATGACTGATTCCCGCGAGCAAGTCCGACTTGGCCCGCTCCGCAAACACGGAGCCCAACCGGTGAACATCCGCCATGAGAGAGTTCCCAACCGCAAAGAGAAACGCCAGTTCGTCATTCGCCGCGAAGACCCGGTGAGGCGCGGTGGTCCACGAAAGACAGCCTGAGAACCATCTCTCCTTGTGCGAGTCCCAAAGCGGGGAGAACGCGATGCTCCGGGCGTTGGGGGCAAGCTGGAGGAGCGTCGCGGCGTCCTGGCGCAAGAAAGCCTTGTGTGTTTTCTTGTACCTCTTGCCTCCACTGCGCCGCATGTTTTTGAAAACCCCATCACTGGTGTCCTCCGACGAGATCGATCCATCCTCACCGAAATTGAAGATTTTGCCGCGAGGGTACCGGTGCAAGAGGCCTTCCAGGAAATTCTCCGAAAGTGCAATCCGGGGATCGTTCAGCTCCTGGTTGTTCACGCTGGAGGCGTCCGAAGTGGCGAAGCCCAGTATCTGACACGAATGGACGGTGGACTTGCCGGAGTTCTCGGTTTGGGCTTCAGCAGAAAGCTCATGTCGCATGATGACGCTTCGAGCTTTCACCCCCTCGTCGCTGGACGAGCAACTTTCCATACTGCTGCTGTCCGTATCGGATTTTGAATTGTCCAACGAGCACCGGTGGGACCCGGAGTTGGAGTCAAAGAAAACGGCAGCTTCGACCTGCATACTCTCGCGGATGATGTTGGCCGCGCGTGAGAACGCGTCCTTCACCTGAGTCGTATAGCAGGCCTTGGGTGATTGCTTTCGGGAGCCCTCGTCTTCAGTGATGGTGGCGTGAGGCGCTCGTTTGTGCCGCGGTCGGGCCTGGAAATGGTCTCTGGTGCTAATCTTCGAGTCGGTCAATGCCTGCTGTTGCGCATCCTGCGCCGTGGCTTTCTGACCGCGAGACGTATTAAAATTGTGCGGGCGGAAGGGCAAACTCCCCTGAGGGTCTTTGCGTCCCATGGCTTGAAGGACATCATCGGAAGCCTGCTTTTCTTGCTGCTCCTGGTCGATGTGGCCCTCCCAGTCCTTCTCTTCGACGTGCGTGCGCATGTCATCCGTCGCGTCTACCCACGAACTGCGCAAACTGCCTTTCCCCTCCAGTAGACTCCCTATGCCGACGATCATGCGCTCGCTGCGAAGGTGTTGAGTTCGAGACCGGGTGGCGACGAGATAGTCCATGACCGTCGAGGCAACGTCCCTCAGAAACTTGGTGAGATCGGCGTCCAGCGGCCCGTGGGGCTTGTCATCGTAAACGGTATAGGCGCCGATCACGATGCCCTTGGGGCTGATGATCGGACTGCACGCCACGAAGCGAATATTTGGATAGCTCCGGACATCGGGGTGGTCTCTGTATTCCTCTTCCTGGGTCAGGTCCGGCACGACGAGCATGCGATGGGGGTCGTCCGAGATCTGCGGAGGATTCGCAATGGCCTTGCAGAAGCTGCGGTCATACGAAACGGTACAACTGCCCATCCACAGTTGATCGCGCTCCTTGTGGTCGGTGTCGTCCTGCAGACTCAGGGTGCGCGTGGCCTCGGTGAGCACGTGCTGCTCGTGTCGACCGAACAGGGAGACCGTGGCGCGTTTGGCATCGAGCCGCAAAGCGCCCAGCTGGGCGAATGCCGTGAGCACAGCATCGGAGGAGGATCGGGCGACGAAAGCGGAGGATGGGGTGTCTCGATCGAAGTGCTGCAGAGCCTGGGATTGCAGGTGGTGGGGTGGCAAATACCTGGTGAGGCAGGTCGGGGAGGGTCAGCTTGCGATACGGAGCACAATTGTAGGCAATACCAGCAGCGAGAAGGGACCGGGGGAAGAAGAGGGGGCAGAGAAAGATGGAGTCGACATACCGGTAGAACTCACGTTCTCTGGAGGTGCTGAAGCTGACATGGTGCTGGGACCCTTGCAAGGTAGCGGGACGAGGCATGGCGGCGGCGGCTGCGGTCAGCGGGAGGAGATCGCGATTGCCGCAACGGGGTTAGGCGGGGGGGGGGGGGGGTTTCAGGACAGAAGCATCGGACAAGAGGCAGAAAGGAAGGGGAGGGCAGTGAAAAAAAGGCAGAGTGATGGATGGAGTCTTGTCTCGACAGCGACAGAGGAAGGGGAACCGCAGGATGGAAGCGGGGCGGGTGTTTCCAACTTCGCCGACGAGAAGAGAGGAATCATGGATGGGTGGCGCAAGGCGATTGATTATCTCATCGCCATCCCCCAATGCCTGCCACTCCAGTTTGAGTGGGGACACCGGTTTGATAGGACTGAGTACTCCGGATAGGAGAAGAAAATCGGTATTGTACGGAGTAGATACTAGATAGTCGCAGAGACATTGTCGATTCACCCTTCACGGCTTCGGGATGTGGCCGCATCGACGAATGCAACGGTGTGATTGGCGGAACCTGGGCCCGAACACACGATTATTATGTCACAGATGGATGGATTTTGGCATTCCCTCGACATGGAAACGGGATGTTGCTCCTGCTTCATTTAAGCTTACTTTTGGCCCCGAGGATTGTGTTGTCCGTGCAGATAGAAAGGAAAGGAATGGAAAGTAGGTACTAGATACGGAGTCCCGCATCACGCATCACAGCACAGAAGCGGTGCGCTGAGAAAATACTGAGTCAGCAGTCAGTGGCACAGCATCGGCTCCTGCCTGAGGCAGCCAGGCCGCAATCATTGAGACTCCCACGAGCAAGACAACAATTCAACTCGACAATCCCTCTGACCTGCCCATCATCGACCGCCCACCATCCTCCACCAGAGGCACAGGCCCACCCCCATCCGCATCCGCACCCTCACTCCCCCGCCTCAAACCCCGATACCGTAAAAACACACTCTGCAAGCGCTTCCACCTCGTCGTCTCCCAGCGATCAATCTTGCGCACTCGGAGGTCATTGAGAATGAGAACCAGTTTCCCCGCGTCCGGGGTGCGCTTGAACCATTCTGGTTGCCGACGGGAGAGTTTCAGCCCGAGAAACAATATCACCAGGACGATATGCTGCTCGCAATCATATCAGAGTCGATCCCGAAAAGGATACGTGAGGCGGTGGAAAGAACTCACCGCGCCATATGCCATGGCCACCTCGGTCACGGTGGCGTGACCGTCCCACCATGTCGCGCTGGAGAAGGCGAAGATGACGGTGCATCCGATCAGGCCGATCCAGGCTTGGAGGGGTTGCAGGACGAAGAGACTCCCCCGGGGGGTGTAGTTGGGGGATCCGCGGACGAACTCTGGGCGGCCGGAGAGGCGAAGGTCTGGGTCGCATTTTTTGAGCCTGCTGATGGTTAGTCGATTGGTGGAGTGATGGGAGCTGCGGACATTGACTGACCAGTAGTAATACCGGAGGAAGGCAATACAGACGCTTGCCCAGACGATCATGATGGCCGTACTGGAGGAAGTCGATATCACCTCGGTTAACTGGATAGGTCAGCAGAAGGCTGGCAGGCGGTGGGATAGGGGACGAAGCGCACCTGCTTCGTGGTTGTGCTACCGCTTAGCTGAAGAAATGGCACCCAGGCGAATGCTAACAGCGTAACAAGCAACGCGACAACAGGGACTCGCGTGCCCTTGCTCAGAATGGCCAGGTGTCGGGTGGCCCAGTAATCTCGGGGCATGGATTTCGCGATACCAAACAAAGTGCGCGAGGCTACATACAACGATGTGTTGGAGGCGGAGATGACACTTACTAGCAAGCAGGCGTTGAGAAAGTCGGCCATGTGCTTGTTTTCGACGTTCAGAGCGGCGATGATGACCATGCTGCTGGATACACCAGGCTTGGATGTAGATGGTACCGTGGCGTTGACTATCCCATCATCAAGCTGCGACAGGTTTGGGTCCTGCCAGCTTACGTTGAGAATTTCGCCCAGGGTGCACATGATGTACACAAGGACGATGATGTAGATGGTCCATCGCGAGGGCCAGCGAAGCGCGTGAGCGTCTCGAGCTTCAAACGCAGCCATGGCATATAACTCCACGCCCTGGAAGGCGTATGCCGTGAGGGGAATTGCATAGCTGGAAAATGTCAATTTCAAAGCGTTCATGCTATCAAGAAGAAACACCAAAGAAGACAATGCGTACCAGGCAGCATCTACGTTATTGCGAAATCCTCGGCCATGGTCGAAGGTGGGTGAAAAGACTAGAATGGGTAAGTCGGCGTGGGAGATCGAGACGGGAAACCAACTCACCGTTTCCGCGTTCATCGAGATGGACTTCAATATATGTTAACGCCGCTCGGTACTCTGGGAATGACATCGCCTACCTCGATCGGAGATGGCATAGAGGTAGATCGAGATGCCAAAGATCATGATGAGCTTTAAGAAGCCACCGAACGTCTCCACCAACCCATACCACTACCCATCGGTCAGAAGTATCCCCAGCAATCCGAACAGATGGCACTCACAAAGACCCCCGTGAGGTTCAATAGAAAAAGCACGAAGGGAATCAGGGCGTAGCAAATGAGGGCCCGCCACGCCTGACTCAACCCCCAATACTCCAACAGGGTCCCCGCCATGACAGTCTGGCTGGAAAAGGATGCTGTATACGCATACCTGGATACCATCAGCTACTAGACATAATCCATGGATAGACATCCTCTACCAATAAGCCAGTCCGATTACCCAGCCCAAGTCATCGTCGACAAAGGTACGCACGTATTCCACTATGGCATTATACACGGGGAACTGCTGGGTCAGCTCCGCGATACATTCATTGACCGCACACACTACCACGCTCATGACCAGAGCGGCGAGCATCAGACCCATGGGGCCGGCAATAGCTAGCGCTACCCCATTGTTGGTGAAAATGCCACTTCCAATGACGGCACTCAGTGTAATGAACTATGTTGCGTTAGTGGCTATGCGTCGACTCGAAGGAGGATGCATACAAAGATCTGGAACCCAAAGAGTTCCTGTCTGGTAACAAAGGCATTAGCAGAAGCCAACAGCCTCCGGCGCATCTGACATACTTGAGCTTTTCCGGGTTCCCCGACTGAACGGGAATCATGTTGAGAGGATTGGCCCACCCATCCAGTGCCTAACCCGCACTGAGAACTAGAATATTAATGGACAATTGAACCGTGAAAGGGGAGTGTTTGAAGATGCCTGAAGAATGAACGGGGATGGATCTGACCTATCCATAAAAATGCCAGCCTACGTCCCGGACCAGGGGTAAGAGCGCCATGCTGACCAGGGGCCATCGCAACGCTGCCATGGACGACCACTTCAACACTGGGAAAGAGAGAGCCCTTTGGGCAGATTGCTTCAGCCGCAAATGTGTCAGAGCATGGTTGGGGGTAATTGGCTGTCGATAAGAACCAGCACGGAGGCTTGCGTTAGTGGCTGGCAGGAAGCAGAGGCCTCTGCATTGCTTTTTCAAGCCTCGTGCCCTGGTGACTTCACGGGGCTCCGATGCCTCTCCCATTATGCACGAGATAAGTCGGTGAGCTATCGGACCCTCGATGAGGAACGTATATAGTCCCCCTCAGTAGGGGATAGGAAAATTCCCAAACTAAAGGAAAGTCTCGCCCACAGGCCCTGATGAAGGACTCATTGCCATATCCACACGAACTCTCCCCCGATGCATCAGCCTATATTGAGCTCTCATCAGAGATCATGGACTATCTGAGCGAGCGCTTTGGCGAGCAGATTAAGGCTCGAGTAACAGTGAGTTTGCCTCTCAGATTCGGGCGACGTCAGAACTAAGCCCCATGAGCTAATCACCAAGAACTGTCACAGTTCCGTCGTGAGCGATGGGTTGTGTGGACGAACATAAGAATAAGTGATGTGAGTCAGGCTGCTTACTCGAGGGTAATGAAAAGACGCTGTGGCTAACCTGACCTTCGCCACAGGAGGAACTGGAGTGGGTTACACCATCTGGCTCCCTGATGCCTCAGCTGATCCTTGAATGTACATAGTGACATGGTCATTGAGTTGAACGATCGAAGGAGGGCAGCGCAAGCCGCGGGATGATGGAAGCATTGCGGCTGGATGGAAGATTATGATGGCCGATGACATGCATTAGCCTAGTGTTCGATAGGCCAGGAATCCTAGTAGTTGGGATGGGCTGTGTCCCCGGCGTCCTCCGTAGTCCGGATATATGTGCTCACAAGTAGTGTCTCAGCCTCACAACGCCCGGAAAACACCGATTAGCCAAGGCAGAGTTTTCATCATGAGCATAAGCGGAGAACTCTGCCTGCAGCGGCTATCAATCCACCCTTGTCCGAATATATAGCAACGAATGCCCTACTATCGGGCAGAGTAACCGAATCTAAGCAAGACCCCGACCTGAACAGACCATGGCTGAGATATGGCGCCCTTATCTCCACGACGTGGCCAACCACCACGACCCAGCCCTCATCAACACAGCCAATCTGGAGAGACTGCTCACAACCCGCACTAGTCGCGTCCTGACCTCCCGGAATGAGATCCTTGTCCGGGTCACGGATGTGCATCGTGGATTGAGTGAAGGGGACGTCACATCCACTCTCTATCATACTCCCGAGACCCTGGAGGCCGCGCTGGACTCTGAGCCCGCAGTCCCAGATGGTCTAGATGTCAGGGTGATGTATGCTCCCCTCCCCCAGTCAGATCCCCGCGGGATGGTTCTTGCTAATCCATGGCCGGTGAGTACCAGATCAATCTATTCCTCGGACTCCATCGCTCCCCTCAAGATCTCCCCCCCGTTGCTGGCCATCCTACTACGGCAGTATGCTGTCCATCCGGCCTTCATTCAAGTTCTCCTCTCCTTCGGAAGGAATGTGCATGTCTCGGAAGCAGGGAGCAGCCACATCTGTGTCGACACCCGAGAGAGTGATGCCTGTGAGTCGTTCTATTGTCCATTCCTGTGTCTGAATCAACAGGACCAGTGCCAACCGAGTTAGATATCTCGTATCAGGTCAACTACGTCGAAGAAAGGCCCCGAAAAATAATGCCCTGGTCGTGGCGCCACACCGGAGTGTATCATCACCGTCGTTATCCCCAAGCAGGGCAGAAGGGACACGACCTGTTCATAATCCTTCAACCAAATGAAGCCAGTATCCTGGACACGAGAATCCAAGACCGGATGGCCGCTCTCTCTCGGCTGAGCTCTGATCCCGGCCTAGACCAAGAACGCGCCCGAGATTTCCCGGAAGCTCTACATTCGCTCGTCCTATCCTCCTTTCTCTATAACTGGCGGTGGTATCTTCGGCACTTGGGGGATCAATTTGACAAATATGTACTTCAGACCTTGCCTAGTCGATGCATCGGGCTTTGAACCTTCGTTTCTGAGTGGCTAACACCAGCGCTAAATTTTAGAACAACAGGGCTTTGGTGACGCTTCCGAAAGAGTTATCCTCGCAAGAAAGCTACGACATGATTTCTGCCCTCCGAAACCTCAGTGACTCAGCCCTACGGGCCCAGATCTGCTGTCGCGGGAACCTGGAGCTGGTAAAAGGCTTAAATACCGGTGTCTCCGCTCTTCGAGGTAGGGAATGTGTCGACCCCTTGCAGCAAGGGCTTCGGGGCTATGACCATCTCGAACCTACACTGCGCGGCAACATCGACAGCTGTGCGGAGTTAGTCCCAAGGATCAGGAATGCGATCGATCTGGTAAGTGCTCTAGCGTTACATCAAGCGTCCAATACCTGCCAAGGAAAGGATACGAACCCTAACGTGAGCAGGCTGGCTATACACTGTCGCTCCACACCCAATTGGAAACAGCAAGGGTAAATGAGGAATTGCGCGACCTTACTAGTCACCTCAAGAATCTGCAACAGGACACGGTGGATGATAGCGCTGCGGTCAAGATCATCACATTTGTATCAGCGGTCTACCTCCCTGGCTCATTCGTGGTCAGCATATATGGGATGAATTTCTTCAACTTTGATGACGAAGCGCGAGAGATTGTAATTGCCAAGGATTTCTGGGTTTTCCTCGCCACATGGTTACCTCTGACCCTGGCCACCGGAGTGGTGTATGTGCTGATTATGTGGTTTGATTCGTGGTGGAAGAGGAAGCCTTTTCGGTTGTTTGAGCGACCGGAGGCAACAAAGGTCGAAACCGAAACAACCGGTGAAGTGAGAACCTAGTCTTGTACTTTCTGCCTGGCATGGCCTATTCTGCAGATTTGAACTTCGCATTGTGGATGCGCCGCTTGAAGAATGCCAATTAGATATCGTTCACGTCAATAATGATAAGCCTCCCCTTGCTGCATACAACTGCCGTCATGGTTCCATTCCTCAGATACGCTCGCAGTGCAGTCGAAGACTTGCATTCCCTGGGGAGCTTGCACAGCTTTTCCCCTGATGAAATTATGCCCATGTCATTTTCCTGGGCGATCGAGTACATTTTCAGATGCAAATGTCCAGTTCCAAAATGACGTCGGTCGGCTATCCCCAGAAGCTGGCTGTCGCCGACCATACAGCCTCTAACTATATCCAGTCGCTGGTCAGAGCGCCAAATGCGGGGAAGCTCTGTGCCCTCATGGTTCAGAGAAAGGGCGAGGTACGCTTGTAGACCAACAGCCGCAAGTAAACAGCCTGGTCTGGAACTGTACGGTATCACTTCAGTATGCCTAGAATTGTGCTGCTGCTTTCGGCTCGTCAGTCACACATGCGGCATAGGTTATCCGACACGGCCTACCAGAGAATAGTGCACGACAAAATCTGGTTGGTCCTGCATCTCATCCGTCACCCTCCACACATATAGAGACTCCTGCTTGCTGCACCTGGCCCACGTGAACAACAAATCGCCACCATCATTGAATACCGCTTGCGTAAATGTCTGATCCAAGCCGGGGGAGCCGCACAAACGGCGATGCATAGAATACCCCTGCACAGGCGTGCCTCGGACTAGGACAACATATTGGTCTTGGACAAGGGCAAACAATCCCTGCGGAGATACGGCCACCGAGGTTACAAACCTTACGTCGACTAGAGGCATCGCGTCAAGATTTGTGGTGAAATCTCCGATATAGAGCTTCATATTATCAGACACGCCCGTATATAGACATGGTCATTGTGGCTTACCATGTTCTTGCCATCCCTCTTACTAACCCCCCAAGCCGCAAGATACCTGCCCTCGATAACAGCTCCATATTCCTTCCACTCTCCACGGAGCGGAACTATTTTCGACACGACAAAGCTTCCAGGATAGAGGTCAAGTTCGATGATTGTGATATTGTCCTGTGATATAAATGCTGTTGGTACGCGGCCTTGCCACATGGTCCGCGACAAACATGTCGCCATATTGTCCTTTTTATTGTAATGCAATATTCTGTACATATCGTTGTGTTGAATTCTAAATCCAGTGTCGAAATGACTAGTGACGGGATTTTGGGGGCCTCCTTCCGAAACAGAAAGGTCATCAGGTGAGCCTGGCGGAGATGCAAATGAGTCGTCCGATGACGAATCACCGGGGCGTGGGAGTTCTATCAGAGACCTCGAGATGCTCCGGTCGTCGTCAGTAGGCACATCACAGGAATTATATACCGTCTTGACAAGGCTCTCAAGTCTCTCTGCACTTGGCCTGGAAGCCACATTGGCATCTAGGATTTGTTGGATAGATTCTGCCCAGACCCTTACCACAATTGCGGACGAGGGACTGGGAAGGGAGTTAAGCCACTTGACCACTGATTCTCGTAGCCTGGGCCGATTTGGCTCTGGTGTCAAACTGCCAGATTTGCCCTGTTCCCAAAAGTTGTCACTGCTATTTTCTCTGATTCGTGAATTGGAAAATTCCTCCACACCTGATCCCCTTCCGATTGCCCAGGCAAGAATTTCACTGAAGACACATCCGTAAGACCAGATATCCCCTTTACGGCCGACAGTCTGGCCTCTGGCCGCCACGGTCCCTCGACGTATAGCTTCGGGGGGCAGGTACGTTCCTCTGGGGCGGATTGGCTCGGTTTCTATTGTCTTTTCTGGAGATAGATGCGACATTTCAAGGGCGGGCTTTTGAACAGAGACACCAAAGTCAGAGATTACCCACTTTCCGACCACAGAGGATTCATCTTTCATGATCAGGATATTCTCCGGTTTGATGTCCATATGTGCAAACAGAAAGGTGTCCGTTCCGACTTGGATACTGCCATGCAACCACCTGAGAGCTGACGCCAGTGCCCAGCATTGATATAACAGTGGCTTGAATATGAGTGAATCTCCTTCTTCTGGGAGGTGTGGAAACTTGTCGCGGGGGTCGTAGGCACCATTGCCGTCTAGGAGGAACTGGTAGAGATCGCCGTTCTCAGCGTATGGAAACAGAATGTAATGGTATGGCCCATGATGGATCGCGGCTAGATGTTGCAATATATGCTTTTGCTCTGTTAGAGCATCTTTTAGGCGGTTCAGGTTTTTGATCTCCTGGGTGAAGTCGGCAAGCTTTTGAACGCGTTGAAACCTCTTGCAGGCGACCTTGTAGGGGTATGGGAAATCGGCCCCTTCGTTTAGCTTCAGATAGCGCGGAGCTACCTCCACGAGATTTACCACCCCAAAGCCCCCGGAGCCCAGTTTTCTCGGGGTGGATTGAAACGGGAGTCGACACTGGTAGGGCACCTCCTGCAGCGGATGGTGTCGACTGGACCGTATCTTTACCGGACAGAACTTCCACTGATTGTTATGAAACAATAAGGCTGATGCCGGCGCCTCTGAGAAGAAACTTTGAATTCTCTCCTTCGTGAAGGGGAGATCTCGATCTCCTATCTCACCATCGAGAAATGTTCTGCGGAACTGGGCAAGACAGGCGGTTGCATCGATAGTGACAAGGATGGACAGGATCGCGATAAAGTCGCGCTGGATTCGATCCACGTCTTCGGGGGAGAGGATGTCTGGTTGGAGGAGGGTGTGAATTGAGGCCGTGTTCGACCAGACCTTGACGAGGTCCTGTCGACAGATGAAGCTATGATACTCATCGGCTTCTCGCCTCGTGTGCGCGCGCAATTCGTTAAGGATGTGCTCTATTGTGCCCCGCCGTCTGGCATCGGAGACAGGATGGGAGATCGACATTTCTCCGGAGGAGGGCCCGGGCGGACGGCAACCGGGGGGGGACGATGGTCGCGGGGCTCATCTCGCAGGAGAAGAAGAGACAAAGGTAGAAGCATGTCAGAGGGAGGAGAGAGAGAAGCGACGAGGGGGAGTTGCAGGCGTGCTGACGGCGCCGGTCAGGTGATAAGCTTCCTCGCCCTCCAGCGGCTTTCCCTTCTTCCCCTTCTTCTCCTTCTCCTTCTCTCCTTCCCTCTCCTTCCCCCCGACATCCGCACACCGATCTCATCGCTCGGACATAAGCACAGCCACCGCTGTCGGCGGTGCATTGTGACGTGCCTGCAAAGTCGCTGTCAACGGATATTGTCAGAGGCAAGCCAAGAAGACAGTCCTCAGGCTGCAATTCACAATGATTGGCTTTCTCGCCGACTCTGGGCTACGAAGTCTAGTTACTCAATATTCCCACCACCACTAGGGCCACGCATCACCACCACCATGCTTTCCATGGTCACCTCCAGAGTTACGCCGGACAGCGCACGCCGGAGTGTGGGTGGGCCAACAACACCACTGTGGTGCAAGGCTAGACCGGGATTAAGGCCTGGTTCCGGTCCAAGTCACCACTAATCGCGCTTAGAACCCCGGCCGCAATCCCCTTGTGGGGGGCTCCAGCAGGGGTGTGAAATGAGGCTGGCAAGTCACGTTGCTAGTTTCTTCTCTAGCGCAGACTAGGCAGCTTCCACCGCAGGCACCGCGACGGAATCTTTTTTGTCTCATTTGGCTTTTTCCATGGGTTTTTTCATGGCGCATCCTACGTGTAGGATCAAGATCCACGAATGCCTGATTGAATGCGGGCGCATTCGTTGGCTGAATGTGACTGATCGACCATGGATGGGTGCTGGAGGGCCGGACCGGCCAGCCCTATATTTCGAGGTCACTTCAAGTAGCACAGCCTGGCCGTCGATCGGCCGATGTAACGATCGCTTGAGCCGAGCCTTTGTCCACGATCCCTGTCCGATCCCCGTCGGGCTAAACCAAGTTCAACATCCATTCAGACGAGCTGGCCATACAGAAGGGGAGGACTGGGTCCTAAGAAAGTAAGGAACTGTTGGACAGGATCATTGTGGACCGACTAACCATCGTGGGACGGTATAGTGTCCCGTCACTGCCCCCCGGGTTGGATTGCATCTCTTTCACTTGGAAATCAACCAAAACCGTTCCAGCTAGCTGAAATTAACCGGCTCAGTTCATAAGCCGCCAGTTATGCCCACATCATGGGTCGTGGTGGTTTGGTTCTTTGTTTTCTTCCTACTAGCCTAGCCATCCATCTCCTGTCAACATGCTCCATAGCTTGGTGACGATGAATTTCCTGACATGGAGTGGAATTCTGACAGCTCTGCTAGCCGTGTTTTCTGCCTCGGCGTCGGCACTACAGTTGGATGTCAACAGTACCCGTAAGGGACCCTGACTGGGGATGAGGCGCATGAATGAGCTAACAGAGATGTCTTTGATCTAAATCCAGAATCCCTCAAAGATGCCGCCACTACGACGGCTGTCAATTTATTCTGCAATTCCACCATCAGCGGAGCCGTCAACCCCGTATACGGCGACGACGATCAAGCCTTTAACGCATCCGTCCTGGAAGCATGGCTCTATTCCATTTTAATCCCCTTCTGGAACGCAACCGGAAACGATACTTACAACGACATGATCCGGACTCGCCTCTACAGCAAGATTGACACGGAGCTCAGCACATCCTGGGTCGATGACGGTAATGGCGACAGCAACATAAACCATGCAGCCTGGGCATTGGCTGCAGTGACAGCAGCCGAGTTCGGGTTTCCTGGAAACACATCCACGCAATGGGAAGTCCTGGCAGGAAACGCAGCAGGCACGATGCAGAGTCTTTGGGCGTTTGCGCAGACTTGCAGTGGTGGTCTTATATTTTCCCAACAAAATACTTCATTCAAAGACGCCTTCAGCAATGGAGAATACTTCCAACTGTCTTCCCGGTTAGCCTATCTGACCCACGGAAACGACCAGGGCACCTATTCGACCAGTGCCGCCACTGTATGGGACTGGAGTGTGACCAATCAGCTGGTGAACGAAACCGACTGGACTATGAATTTCGTGACGATGAACAGTACCAATGGCCAGAACTGTACGGCAGGGCCGAATCAAATGCTATGGACATACCAATACGGGCTCTACATGAGCGGAGCAGCGTACATGTACGAAGTAGTAAGTTCGCACCCACAAAACACGGCAGGCCACTCCACCTAATCGCTCTCGCATCTAGACCGGCATCAAAGAATGGAAGACTCGAGCAGAAGGCCTCCTGAACAAGAGCATCGAACTCTTTTTCAAAAAGCGCGTCATGGTCGAAGGTGGATGGATCCTGGGCAACTCAGCCGAAGTAGGCGGATATTACATCGACGACAACACCGAATACAGCTTCCGTGGGCTCTTTATAACCTGCCTCGTCTCGGTAGCACGCCTCATACCCGAGACCGTGGACACCATCGTGCCCCTCCTCGAAACCACCGCCAAAGCCGCAGCTAAGCAATGCAGCGGCACCGCCAACAGTACCGTCTGTGGTTCCGATTGGACCGATCCTGTCTACGACCTGAACCCAAGCTTCTTCACTTCCATGAGCGCCCTGAGTCTCTTCACGGCCAATCTGCGACTGGACCGGACTGCCGGGAACAAGACTACTACCAATGGAACCAGTACCAGTGGGAGCACTAGCGGAAGCAGCAGTGGAAGTGGCAGTGGAAGCAGCTCGCTCTCCGGCGGCGATATTGCAGGTATCGTGGTCGGGTCGGTTGCCGGCGTGGCCCTGATTGCGGCTGCTGCGTTCTTTATCTGGCGGAAAATGAAAAAGCAACCAGCGCAGCCCGTGGCTGAGGAGCAGAAGCCTGTCACCGACAACACCACGGATAGCAAAGGCAAGTTCCCCTCTGCCGAGCTCGATCAACAGGCTGCTAGTGTTGCGGAACTTGCCCCAGGCGGCGGTGCCTATAATTACCCCGAGATGGACGGCGGCCCTTTGCCTGAAAATGTGGCCCAGGAGTTGCCCGCGACCAGGACGATACGTTACGAACTGGATGCTTCTTAACATATGAGGAATATGTAATCAGCGATACCTGTGGTTAATGTGTTGCACATGCCATTATAATGACAAAATAAAAGAATAATTGATTTGAGGCCGCAGTCTGTTCACTTGTTCCAGGTTCTTCGCACAGTGGAGACGTCCAGTTGAAAAAAATGCTCCAGGCGAAGTATCATGGTCTCAAACGTTCCAGATGAATATCGTTCGTTTGCCATTTTCACGTAAAGTATTCTAATACTAAGTTTTCTCATCCAACACGGATAATGTTTACATCTCAAGTAGCTCATCAACACTATACCGAGAATCTACGACTTCCTCAGTCGCCTGCTGCATCTTCCTCTCCACAATAGTTCAAATGCCCTCCTGCTCCGCCGCACTCAACAAACCAAGCCGATCCTCGATAGTTGTCAACGGTCCAAAGAACTTCTGATCAAGAGACTTCCAATAAATCTCATCAAACATAGAACTATGTCTCGAGGCAAGGCAAATCCAAAAACATGCCCGTCTCCAGCGACTTCTCCATGACAATAGACAACCGCTGGGATTCCAATAAAGAGCCCTCTTCTATTTTCCTCGTCTCACAACCGCGAAAAACCTCAAGAAAAGTCTGAAATCTCGGCATAAACCGCTCCAAATATTCACTAAGATCATCCTCCCAGTCTTCCGGACGCTCTAGGAGAAGCCACCACGGCGCAGCATATGTCAACTCCACCGGCGCAGCATAGGTGAACTCCCAATCAATCACCCCGTAACAGCCAGGCTTGACTCCTCAACAAGAACACTTTCAAGTCGAAGGTCGTCGCAGTAAAGCCAAAACGGCCCGTCGCAATATCCGCGGGATATCTCTCGCGATATCTTGCGAAACAGACACCGCGCGATGTATTTTTTGCGACAGTCGATTTCATCTACCACTGCATCATTGCGCTGGTGCTCCAAGTGGTAGAGATGCTGACAAGCCAATTCGTCGAAGTAATCTGCTGCATTGCCGACGCAATATTTCGCAAAGACTTCAAAGGGGGATGTTATAGAACTGAGCAAGTCTGTTCATGTTAAACGAGAGCGGTCGTTTATGGACAATCCACCCATCAAGCCGTTCGTGCTTAATGGCTCCGATGAACGGGAATGTCGGTTTTGAAAGCTCGAGCAGAATATCCGCCATGATCCAATACGCTCTCCTCAAGACACTCATCGCGACAACTTGGGTTCAACGACATTGTATCCTGCGATGGATCCCTCAACCACCCACTCAAACACCGCCCTTCAATAAACTTCAGCACAATATACGGACCCAGCGCACAACTCCCCGACCCGTGCACCTTCGGAACCGGAATCGCTGTATGCTGCGCAAGATACAGTGCCGTGCTGCGAGCTTGGCTGCTAGTTCTTCCGGGGAGTTGCGGAGGAGTTTCTGGATCTAGAATTGGAAGAGGAAGTCCGCTTGCTTTGCGGCGAGGGGGGTCGAAGTCCATGGTTTGTGGGTTGGGGGGATAGGGAATGGGGGACTTGGGAGCTGTCAGATTAGCAGTCTCGGCTGACTTTCCCGCATTGCTCCTTGTTTTTGTGGAGGGGGTTGACCGTCTCTTTCGATTTGGGTAGCAGGGTCTACCTATAACTATACAGGGTATTGAAGTTAAATTACAGTCTCTCTCGCTATCTATCTATTCATGTAGGTCAATACAATATGGATACTTCTAATATCCCCGCCACAGAATTTAACCAACTAGCCAGCAGCATAAGTGCTCTTCTTCCGAAGACTCTCCCCATGCTTCCACAGAAAGAACGGAGCCGGGATCCCAATCCCAATCGACACGAAAGCCAACAGGCTATTCCCCCAGCCATAGTGCAGAGCATCGTACATATCCGGAGCGAAAAGAGGGAACCCAAAGCCCGCAAGCGATCGCAAACAAGCAACAGCAGCCAACGCGCTGGCTGCGTATTTTGTATAAGCATCAACGATATAAGTCTGCGTGCATTGAAACACCACGATTATACCCATCGAAAACAGACATGCCCCGATGTCGGGGCCAATCCAGAAGGTCCGCGTCTGTGCAGTCCAGCCATAGATAAACAGCCCGATGGGTGTGATCAGGGCTGCGAGCATGAGAAGAGGGAGTCGGAACTCGGGCTTCCCTGCGTCGTGGTTCTGCTTCTTCAGTCGGCGGTACATCCGGTCGTTGAATATCGCGCTGAATTGCGATCCAGTCCAGAATCCCACTCCCAGGGCGATGTAGTTCAGACAGCCGATCCCGAGGCTTTCATCGTAGTAGGAGGCACTAGTCCACAGATCGGGGAAGGTGGATATCACGAGATACATCAGGCCGTAGATGAAGGCCATGTAGAGAGCGAGGAATTGGATGATGGGTTGTGTGGTGAGGAGCTTGAAGGGGCGGACAAGAGAGACACAGAGGAATTGGAAGGTGGTCTGGTTGTTGGATCTTTTGGCCTCGGTTTGGTATTCGGGGTCACCATTATCCTTATGAAGCTTCCGAGCCTTTCGCTCTAGGAGCACAGGAGCGTAAGTCTCGCGCAGAGACACCAAGCCGAATAATTGAATGATGGCATCTGCAATCGATGTGACATAGAAGATCCACCTCCATGATATGTTCTCTGTTATGAAGCCTCCTGCGATAGGGGCAACGGTGGGTCCGAGTAGCGGAGCAAGGCTGTAGATGGCGATCGCCTTTCCACGTTCTTCCGGCTTGAAACAGTCACCTATGACCCCTCCACCTATCTAGAGATACAAGCAACGTTAGCTTTTATGGAACGCGAAGGCCAAGCAACAGTCCATCACATACCGCCAAAGGTGCACTTCCTCCCAATCCTGACAGGAATCTAAACGCAATCATCTGCCCCTTGGAATGACACACTCCACACGCGATGTTGAAGACAAGATACACCAAATTCGCCAATTGAAGCGTCGGTACCCTGCCATAAATCTCCGAAAGCGGGCCCACGAACAGTGGCCCGATGGCGTAAGCAAGGATAAACACCGACATCATGAGCTGGGACTCGATCTCATTATCCACATGGAAGTCTTTCGCAATGGTGCTGAGAGCCGGAGCAATCATCGACGATGATACGGGTGATATGAAGGTGAAGTAAGATACCGTAACTGCGGCCATCCATTTCTTGCTCAACTTCCAGTTCTTGGGGTTCTCGGGGTCATCGGACCCCTCCCAGGTAACCTGGTTTTATCAGCAACCGCTCAGGGGAATGTACGGTGTACAGTGCGTACAATCTTGGGGTGCGGCTTGGAGTTCCCGTCCCCGGGATTGCGATTCCCTGCCTCGAGATCTTTCTCTTTGGCTGTGGTTGTATTGTTGAGGGTCTCTACTGATGATATATAGTCGCCGTTTTCACTCTTGGTGAGTCGAGATGACTGTAGAGGCTGGTTGTCGGGGAGAGGCGATTGCCAGGTGTGAGGTGGTAGGATGCCATGGTTTGGATTCTGCGTAGGATGACCGTTGAGGTTATCGATCGACTCTGTCTGGACCGAGAGCCTTGGTTCACGAGATGTCTGCGTAGGATCGTCCATAGCAGGCTACTCGCCTCGAAACAACAGGACGGAGTCAGTAACTACTAAGAAGGAGGAAGGGTGGAAATATAGTATACTTATACCTCGAAGCAGCATCGCTCGGATGTGTGGGGCTGACGGGCTCAACCTCGTGCCGGGAGCCCGAATCAGCCATGAGAAGACCGAAAACCTCAGCTCCATATATGTCGCGTGGGAAGTGAAGCCGAAGGAGTAAGCGATGCCCGAACGGACTGAATCTACCGCATCGGGACGCCAATCCCTGCCCGATCGGGAGATTCTGGTCCGGCGCGCCGGTTGCCTTCCTCTTTACTCCGTCGTTTTGTCCTTCATCCCCGGACGGAGTTACTCCCGAGCATCGTCGTCTCTCTCTACTTCAGAGCATCCACGGCGTACTCGCACTCGCCATATCCATACTGCTAGCTCGACATCGATCGATCAGCATTACCGTCTGCATGGATTCCTCTTCCCCCCACCTGCTTCGTCGGAATGGCAGGCCCCAGTCGTGCGAGGCTTGCCGGAAGCTGAAATCCAAATGCGACCACGCACTGCCCAGATGCGGTCGCTGCGTGGACAAGAATACCATGTGCTTCTATGATCCTGCCCCAATGACCAGGAAGTTTCGACCCCTTCGGGGCAGTGCCGGCTATTCGGAGAAGGCCCGCGCCGATTACTCGGCCAAATCTAGGAAACAAACAAGGAAATCCAGCACAACAGGATCGCCAGCATCGTGAGTGACAGGATGCCCTACGTAGACTTGAGCCCCACAGATGAGCTTATGTATTCCATAGTGTGATGTCTCCTCAATCTTCAGACCGGACCTTGTTGCAAACCCAGCCGGTAGTCGTCAGTACTCTACCATTAGAAAATGCAGGCTTTCTCGGACCAACCAGTTACCGTTCCCTTCTGAGGGAGGGTGACTCGGGCACAGCAGACCCTTCTTTCACGGCCCATACCATTGAGCCAAGGCAACTAGACCTGGGGTTACAAGCTGTTGCATTTTTGGTTTCCGAAGCACCCCTTCTCGGCAATCTTGTCAAGTATACATATGACATCGGACGAACGCCTATCATCCCAGGGGTGCTTATGCTTCCTGCACTAGATTGCCTTTGGGAGATCCTTGGCGACTATGCGTCTGTGGAGGAGGCTTCACGTCTACGTACAGTTGTGCACATATTTGAAAATTCATACCATCCCATTCCGGTAAACGATGACATGAAAGCGGATGATATTTCTCAACTGATCAGCGGCAAGAATCTCAGGTGGGAGACAATTTCCATCGTACTCACCATATCTACCCTGGCCTTGATGTATATGCCTTCCCATGTTGTCTTGCAGGTTGATTCTCAAAAGCGGACTAAAGATGAACTTCTTGCCCAGATACTAGAAGTCACAGAAAAGCTATCAACGATTAGCAATGCGCTTCCGGCGGTAAATGAGTTGCTGGTCTGTTGGAAATACTACCAGATGGTGCTTGCATCTCAGAGATTTGGCGACTCGAGTATGCAATCATATGCGTATCAGCTGAGAGCTCATCTGACTTGCCAATAGGTCATCGGTTATATTCAGCCCTTGGGGAGGTCTCCTCTTGCATCTACGCTACAGGAATCCACTAAAACAATGCACCTGCAGGAAAGCATCCTGGATTCATCCACCAGTGGCGCCGGTTATGTTTCACCGGAGTCTACGCTATGGATAAGGCCATCGCCACCACTCTCGGCCGACCCCCCTTGATGAATCGGTATTATTGCGTATTGGAGCCACCATTAGACCTCGACTATGGTATTGACCCTCGACAATACGAGTCAAACCTTCAATTGATCGACTCAAACGGATGGAACACTGACATAAGATGGCGCCCTACCACTCTGTTTCGCCTTCGTTTTCTTCTTGCGACGGTCAGGGAGGAGATACTGGAGCTTCATTTGGGTGTCACAGGTAGTGACGCCGTGGGACGAGCAGAGTATGATCAATGACAGATTCCTGAGATAATCCTCAAACTTACGTACTTCCAGTGGTCTTCTGCACCGGCTGAGATCCATATGGGAAGCTTGTCCCAACCAAGTCAAGTATTCACCAGACATGTGGAGTGGACCCCACCGGTGCAACGACACACTTGTACTTCTTTCTGTCTACCTCGACTACCTCCACTCAACGTTTCTGCTTCATCGATTCACGGCCCAGGGAATGCCAGGAGGGAAGTCCCAAGCGCTTTGTCTTGTGGCCAAGAATATCCTGTCCACGATACTTGTAATCAACGAAGGAGCGTGAACGATTGAGGGAGGTCAGAAATGACCTTTCCAGTATTGTGTGCTATATCCGCAATCCCCTTATGGTTCGAACTAACAGACTTTAGTTCCTACCATATGGTCTCCCCAGCGCACAGCTTCTCTCCATGGAGTTGCTCCATCGTTCCACTTCCCTATCGATACCGACCACTCTACCATTTCCAAGAGCGGAGGTCATACGCGAGCTTACCCTGTTTGTGTCCTGTCTGAGCTGGGTCTCACGGCCTGGGAACTGCAACTTCGGGTACTGCAATCAGATAAAGGCCAAACTAACCCGGACTCTGGATCAGATACTGGATCCGTCCTTCGCTGCGCCCAGTTTGTACAACCATGAGGTTGATGCTGGACGTCCTGTGATCGAGGGTTTCGCGGAAGGATTGGATTCCGGGCTCAGCTTGAGCACCTTGCTTGACAGTGGCATAGAGAACCAGTGGAACTTTGGATTGGACCTTTTCTCCGGATCTGTCTTTTAGGGATTTCGGATTTTCAAAGCCAGCCTCATTATGAACAGGCCTGAGGCATGACAAGACTGAGGCACGGTGCACAGCACAACCCACTGAATCAGCACCATGCACCGTGCACAATGCGGGGAAGGCGCGCTAGTAGTCCCGGCGGGGAAGTGAGGGCCTTCCCCGCGTCGGGGGCCGATCAATAGCCGGCGAGCTGCCATTTCACCTCGCAGCCACTCGCCAGTCCTTCCTCCATCTTTCTTTCCTCCCCAGTCGTGCCATCTTACAGTCACATCAAGCCACCCTCCCCATTCACTCAGCTGGAGGAATCTCGCCAAACCGCCGATGTCCCTGTCCACTTCCTGTCTAGTCCCCGCAGCGCTGAACGCTCAGGGCCCTCCGCCCCACAGCCTGCCATGAGAATCGGAAAGGGCTGTGAGCGCTGTCGACTTCGTCATATCCGGTGCACCACTCGCACGGGGGCCTCTGCCTGCAATTCCTGTACCCGTCTGGGAAGGGCCTGTCGGTTGGATCCGCCTTTCCGGTTCAAGGCCGTTGACCATGTGTACCACAAAAGTAACGGCATTGCGTCCAAGTTCGAACTAGCTTGGGATCCTCGGCAGACATGGGTGGAATTCCCCCAATGTTGTACGTGATGACACTTGGTCCCTTAAGATGTGTGATTGGGCTTGCCAGAGCTAATGATGATCAACAGTAACGTTTGTGCAGGAACAGTCCGATGATTCGGAAGCGGACGCCACCGACGCCCAACCAGATACGCAGGATAAGCAGCAACACTCTTTCGGGGAGACCTCGCAATATATTCCAGGCGAATGCTCGCCGCTCCCACACTTGCCCTTTTCTGGACTTTTCCATTCCCATGATGAAAACATCCGACCTCTCCAGGAGACCCGTGACGTCCCCGTGGGGACCGTTGTTCCTGGCGGTCACGCAGTTGCCCCATCTCCTTCGGTCTTATCCCCTTCTTTTATAAGTGGCGTGTCTCCTTTAGGATCTGTCAGCGCTTGGGCGGAATCGAGCCCACCGCTGAGCTCACTAAGTCCCCGTCCAAGCAGCGCGCTGCCCATGACCTCTCGTGAGGCCCTTCTATTACGACTATTCGTACAAAAGATTGCGCCATGGGTAAGTACCCTGTCGTGGTGAAACCTTGCATAGCTAACAGTCTCGTTTCACAAGGCCGACATATGCGATCTTCGTTCCCATTTCACCACGGAGATCCCCCGCCGGGCCCTTCAAGTTCCTATGGTCTTGAAGGCAGTCCTCTCTCTCGCAGCCCGACATGATGCTATTATGGCTGACGCCAGTGACTTGGAAGCTTCGGAGTACCACGGCCAATGCTTGGAATTGTTAATTGCGGCCCTTGCGCTACCAGATGATACCTACGGCGACAACCTCCTCATAACCGTGGTCATCCTCCGCATTTACGAAGAGCTCGAATGTGCAACGGACGAGAAGTGTCACTGGGTCGGGTCGAATCGACTCCTTAATACAATGTCCAAGTCCGCCTCGTCAGGCGGTCTGGCCGAAGCAGTCAGCTGGCAGTTCCTTCGCCAGGCTATCTACGCATCAATGGTCCAGTATCAGCCAATGCAACTGGACTTGGGGAACTACGAGCGCTCTACGGTCTTCGCACGCCGGGACGATGCTTCCTATGCAAACGTCATTATCTTTCTTTGTGCAAGGATCATTCAGCTCTGTTGGAGATCACACTGCAGTGCTGTAGATGAGGGCGATTGGCAGGATCTATCCGATAGTGTGCATCAGTGGCACCGTGGTAGGCCGATCAGCTGGCAGCCACTTCAATATAAGGATCCAAAGCCGACAGAGAATAGGCCGTTTCCCGAGCTATGGATGATGTCGCCACCGGCGGGTATGTGATTTTCCGTCATTATTTTCTTTTGTCGTGCTAACAGCTGCAGTCGTTGGTCTCCAATACTACCATACCGCGCAGATCCTTCTTACATCGGCGAACAACCACTGGTCTACATTGAGTGACTACGAATTAGCTAGGCATAAGCGGATAGAAGAGGTCCGATCATTATCTCTGATTACCAGTTTCGCGTACTAACCGACCGCATAGAAAACAATATCATCGCACCTGGTTCACGTGATCGGCCTTTCCATGTCAAACGAAACGGTCGAAAATGCATACTTCATGGGTTGCCATTTATTACACCGATGTAAGTTATCCAGAACATTTCTCTCCCATCCTGCATGGCCGTTGATCTGACATAATTAGATGGATATTGTTTGCGACACCCGTCCGAACAACAAGGTTCATTAAACTTCCTGCATCGAGTGGAGAAGGTGATTGGATGGCGTACAGCATGGATGGTTCGGGAGCTCCAGGCGCAGTGGAAGGATCTGGCTGAATTGGATCGATGGCGGAGTTCTGCCTAGGGGTCAAGCGGCCAACATACTTTGGCTCTCCTTCAGCCCGGGGCCCTAATTATATCAAACGCCGGCGTCGTTGAGGACGCACAATGTTTTATGAGTCGGTCAGACATTGGAGAGCCAGCAATGTTCCATGAAGCTCTGTTGGCAGTGCTACTGGAGCATCCGTATTGGACAATTTACTCCATGCTTACAGGACTCTCCCCGCCGCCCGATTGCATGTCATAGAAGCAACCTAACCACTTCTGGCCACGCCAGTGTGACGTGTAACAGAAGACACGTCTTGGGTAGAGACTCTTCATCCTTCGGACATTCTTGACGGTCCTCGGCCATCCCCCTGAGAATACGATCGCTTGTCAAGTATCTCATATTCAATCCCTTCTGATAAGGCCATCATGGACCTCCAGTACCACCCACTTAAGCCTGAGGAACAAGAAATCCGACTTTTCACAATTTCCCCAGATTGGAAAATGGGATGCCCTATACAGGGATGTTTACAGACTGTCTCACTCAAGAGGGCCCCCAATTTCGAGGCGCTCTCCTACGTTTGGGGCGTTGACGATGCAACCGAGCCCATCACTGTTGATGGAACCACCTTTCGTGTGACACCGAACCTGAAGGAAGCACTGCATCTACTGCGGCACTCCTATCGGCAACGAGTGATGTGGATCGATTATATTTGCATCAATCAAAATGACCTAAAAGAGAAGAATAGTCAGGTGCCTTTAATGGGCTTGATCTACACAGAGGCCAATCGAGTTATCTCCGTCCTTGGGGGAGAGCCAAGCCTGGAGGTCACACGGGCTGTGACGTGGACAGAGAGATACATCCAGAGAAAGATCAACAAGAGGACCCTGTTTTGGTGGTTATTGGATATAAGGAGCCTGTTCTCTGAGCGGGCGAGGCAGCTGAAGTACAATGCCGAGGCCGACGCGTTTCTGGGCCATACTCAAATTCCTCGTATGCCATATTGGGGTCGGATGTGGACGTTCCAAGAGTACCACCTGCCTAAGCAGGAGCCAACTTGCATCTGTGGGTTCCTCTCCTTTCGATGCTCGATAATCGCAGATGAAGAAAAGCAACGACTCATGCACGCCCTGAAGGATGCACTACTAAGAACCATAACGAGTGACTCTTCTTCCGATCTCCTTCTAATCAAGAGGAACTTCGATGAAGATGCCCTGAAAGACAGCATGCAAGACTGCTGGGACATTTTATCAAGAGAAAGTCTAGAAAGCCCGCGGCTGGCGCACCTGCTTATGAAAACTTCCGATCGTCAGTGTGGCAACCCGCTCGACAAAATCTACGCTCTTTACGGGCTCGTCCCTTCTATCCAACAGATGTACCCACCCGACTACAAGAAGCCTCTTGCGCATGTCATTCTCGAAACGACCGGGTATATCATTGCCCATGAGTCGGTTAGATGCCTGTTTATGTATTATCCATCACGCGAAGATACGCTGTCGAATCGAGCACTTCCGTCATGGGTACCAGACTATAGCAAATCCCGCTCGGCCTCAGAAGTCCACAGGACATTCTCTCTGATAGACAGAGACGGATCTTTGAAGGCGTCCCCAGCAGAGTGCGAGATTCGGGTGTCTCCCGATCAACAACTACATCTCCGCGCTCGCGCCGTCGGAGCCTGCAAGTCTCTATTCCGATTTGATCAGAAGATGCGCGGGATGCTAGATCAGATACATAAAATATTCAAGATGACCGACGAGTCCTGGAGAGCATTTTGCGATCGGAGTGTCTCGCGAACACGATTCTTTGATGCATGTGTTTATCATCGAAATATACTCGGAATGCTTGATCGGCAAAAAGTCAATAAAACAGTCCACGATATTGCTGATTTTCTCGATAGTTACAAGGAAAGCCTAGCTTTTGAGAAGGAGGACGTGCCTCTCGGAGATCTACTCGCGATCACTCTTCACTTCATGAGCAATCAGACTGTTTTTCTGACTCAAAAATCTCCTTTCTGTTCTTTTGGGATGAGCCCGGTGCGCATCGAAGAAGAAGATCTTCTTGTCGTTCCTGGGGACGTGATATGGCCACTTGTACTGCGACGGGTCCCGGATGAGAGCGAGGACAACCGAGCACAGTATAAATTGGTCTGCAAGGTTTACCTTGATGGGCTGGTCACGGAGGAGGGAGAGGAGCGGAGTCCTTTCTGCACCTGGCTGGGACAGCAGCCGTTGGAAGAGTTCATCTTGGTCTAGGGAATACTCTAGGGGTTCAGACTTGGGGAAAGCATTTCAACTGATACCCTCAACCCCGATTCGCGACAATCTTGAATCGAACGGTGTCTTTGTCATAATGCACATTCGCATACGGCGCCTACCTTCACTACGACCCTGCTGCATACATGAACAAAGAATATATCCAGTCTTTCTTTTCCTTTGCTTACAAAAGTCTCTGCATCATTCCTTTCTATGTTTGTCAATTGCGGTTGAAACCATGTCACATCCCACGCTACCAGATTCAACCGACCAACTTCGTCGTCAATTTACCGGTGTTCGACCCATCGAATAGCTTCATCCAGACGTGGGGAATTTCCTCAAAGGTCGCCTCGACCACGGTCTCCGTGGCATCATCCACGATCAGCTTGCCGTCTTTGTATGCCTGGATCAGCTCTTCACGGGCCTCCTTGATGTGGTCATTATAGTCGAAGATGATGAAGCCCAGGACATTTATCCGGTTGATGATGACTTGCTGGGTGGGGGGTCAGCTCTGTTCAACAGCATAATAGAAAGGACGTACATAAAAGTTCTTCAATGCCACGGGATCATCATCTTTGTTGTAGTTGGCAATCGTGCCGCTGCATTCATGAGTTTCCATGCCGTCACGGACGATCAAAGAAGGGAGGACATACCAAGCAGCTATGCGACCATACCTCTTGACCCGCAGGAGCATCAGATCGAGGATCTCGCCGCCCACGTTGTCTGCCACTGTCAGCCTATTGGTTCATCTTGCCCCAGCCAAGCAGCAACGGCAACAGCCTCACACCAGGACCACATACCAAAATAGACATCCACGAACCCCTCCGTCTCCTTCCACAGCTCGTCCTGGAATCCCTCCTTCTTATAATTCAAACACACATCCGCCCCGAGCTTCTCCACCCAGCGACATTTGTCCTCCGTCCCGGCAATCCCAATGACCTACACGCACAACCATTAGCCACAGCCCTTCTCCCCAACTCCCCAGCACCGCAAAAGAAAGCAAAACAAGAACTCACCCTCCCAGCCCCCAACACCTTCTTCGCAATCTGCACCACCATCCCCCCAACCGCCCCCGCCGCCCCACTAACCACCAAACTCTCTCCCTGCTTCAACTTGGCCACCTCCCTCAACCCATACAACGCCGTCAACCCGGGATACCCAAAACTGCCCATAAAATGGGTCAGTCCGACGCCGGGCAAGGCCTCCGTATCCAACACCTCGCAATCCGCGATCTCGGCGATGCTATACTCGCTCCAACTTCCCCCGGCCAGGACGATGGTTCCGGGCGCCAGGGCGGCGGGGTCCCCAGATGAGAGCACCTGGGAGATGGTGTAGGTGCGCACGGGCGCGTGCAGGTCCATCGGCGGCACGTAGAGACGGGCAGGGTCGATCAGGGCGGACATCTGGCCCCGCTGGGCGGGGTCGTTGGATATGTAGAGGGTTTTGAGGAGGGTTTGGGTGGCCGTTAAGGCAGGGAGGGGGGTGGTGGTAGGTTTGAAGGTTGGTGGGGGTGAGTCCGGCGAGGGACCGGAGGTCAGAATGGGCGTGCTGGCTGGCTTGGAGTTGAGGATCCATTGGCGGGTGGATTGGGGGATGGGGGTGGAGGTGGTCATCTTGGTGGTTGTGGTTGTGGTTATAGCCACCGTGGTGATATCAGTAGGAGTAGGAGTAATAGCAGTAGTAGTTACTATTGACGACAATACCAATTCAGAAATAGAGACAACAACCAGGACACTCCGACAATTATATACCTCGAATCCCACACGCCCATCGGGCTTACCTACCTGATTCAGCCGCTCCACGCTTCCACTGTCCACATCCTAGTGAGAGAGAAGTATCTGATTTCTAAACAAGACCGTCATCTTGATTTGTAAGATCGCCGCACTACCGTCGGACGTCAGCTCATGCCAGCTCATGCATGTCGGCTGTCGGAGTTGTGCCGCTTAGCTGGGCTCAAAGAGGAAACTAGTTCATTGCTGACGATGCGGTCAATGGGTTTGGGGTTTGGGATTTGGTCATTGGTGGGGTGTGTGGATGGAGGATGCTTGTTTGGTGTTTGGTGGTGTTATTGGTTGGGGTGTGGGGAGGCGGGAGGATATAGTCGGTTGGGGTTCGATTTGGATTTGCCTGTAAGTGATCATGCATTCGTTTTTGTTAATGTGGGCAGCTCTTCTTCGGGTGCCTCTTTCCAAGTAACAGAGTACCACCACGGGTGCTGTATCTTGGGGCTGTATCTATTTCTGTCTTTTATATCCAGTTCCAGGAAATCCTGTTTCAGGAAGTGGGGTTAAAAATGCGGTGGTATGGGAAAACAGAAGTCAGGTCAAAAAAAGGCCAAATTGACTTCAAAACATGTTCTGCGATATTTCATGGTGCTTTTCAACATTCATCTCTCTATTCTCGAAAGTGGCATTGTTGGAGGCCAGTAATACTATGCCTTTTAATGTGGGTAGTAGTTAGTCACAGGGAAAAGGTTTACCGGTAATGCAGCCCAGCCTAAAGTATATATAAGTACTTTCGGATGCTAGAAATTTAGTTTAATATAGTACACACTTCAGTTCCCAGCGACGCAGTGATTGTCTACCCCCGATACCATTACCTGATATAGACCATAGCCCTATGTTTAAGGTGCGGCGTCAAATCTAATTCCGACGTGGCGGCTTATCCCTGGGGTGGCAGTGACACGGTGGCCGCCGGGATCGGTGCTGGTTTGGCAAGGGGGTTCTAAGGTAGTTAACTAACTACCATGAAGACGAGGATTACATGAGCAATGTCGATATATTCATAGGATTACTTGGTGATGGAATGGCCTCAGGCTGCTGCTATACACGGCACGGATGCCCCCGAAGTCCCATTTCTATTTGATGAGACCTGGAGATTAAATTGACAGCGATCCACCGGCCTGACGTCCCGATCTGGTGATGGGGCACGTGGCATCGATTGTTTCTATTCCGGTCGAGATCAATTAATTACGGAGACATCTGTCTGCTTGTATATCGCTATCCCAAGACCGCAGTGGACAGACGACCTGTCAGGATCTTCTGTACGTGCGCCTGTGTTGTTGCAGCAAGGGGCACACCGCGTTAGGGGCTAGCAGCATTGCACGTCCTGCAGCGCTTAACGCCCATCCAGACTGACATGAAAGACGCGCGAGCGACGGCAGAATTCGAATAAAGAATCGGAGTGGTCCAGGGGTAATCACATGTCCAGGGCATGCCATCTCCTTATCAAGCTCTCTCAGACGGTCAGACGGTCCACGACGGTCTGGCTCGATGGGATCTCCATTCGGGCAACGCCAACCCCGACGCGTCCTGCGTTGGACAACCGGGGCAGGAATTATCCAAACCGTGCGGCCGCGCGACAGCTGCTATATATTCATCCTGCGACGGAGCGCGTCCGCTGCAGGCAGCGCCATGGGACCAGGCGGCGGAAATTGACCCGTCAGGCTTCATTTGGTAATTGTTCGCAGGGTGACGTACTCTCGTGACGAGTGGCTTCTTGGCTCTGCAACTAGAGAGTAGGTAGAGTCGACCCTTTGGCCCAACTGGCTGAACGAGGAAGCCCCTGGATATGCCCGTGACGGCGACTCGTCCTGCCCTGGGCAGTGAGCAGTGAGCAGTGGTTACAGGGATGCGCATCCGGACGCGCCCGAATGCCAGCCAGCAGGAGGACGGCCGTTCGCGGGCAGGAGGAACCTGGAGTCCACCTCCAGATTCCAGATTCCTCTCCGGGCTCAAGGATCAATCTGCAAGTAACGTGGCCTAGATCCGAACGGGGAATGGTGGACGGGGCCAACCAGGGAGCGTCGGCCAATGAGGAGGGCAGCGCAGCCCCACCGGGGTTACACCCCAACCGAGATCCTCCCGATTTAATGATTTAATGGCCGTGGGAGCCACACTAGCCCGGATGCGGCTAGGGCGTTCGCCAGCTGCCCCTTACGTTGAGGCCATGGCGTCGCCCCGGGCCCACCAGTAGGATTGTCCATTGCCCACCGCCCACTGCCCACTGCCCACCGCCCACCGGGGCCCTCTGCCGTCTCTGGCAGTAGCAGTACGACTAGTCAGTGCCTGGCCATCCTCCATCCATTTCATTTCCCTTCCCGAGCCTCACCCGCCCTCTCTTCTGTTCAATTCCCCGATTCCCTGTTCTGCTCGACACTGCGCAGCATGGCGGATGACGCGACCTAACCTCCCTCCATCGTCTCCTCTTCCATTCTTCTGTTCATGTCTCGCTCGTGGTGACAGCTTCCTTCTTCTGCTCCCCCCTTTTCCGCCTTCCCCGCCGCCTCACCTCCGTCCACTCTGATCCTCGCCATCTCAATGTCCAAAAGGCGGCTGTTTCGCTGGCCAGCCCGCCGCGGCGCCGGCCTCGGCTGTCTGGCCCTGCTCCTCACCTCAATGGCCTCCTGGTATATGCTCGGGGGGTCCCCCGAGCAGCCCCAGCCTTGTATGTCCTCGCCAGCCTGGTCCGTGTCATGTCATCACACTGACCCAATCCAACACTCCAGTGGCCACCCCCATTCACGATGAGATCATGCTGCAACTGTCGGAAATCACCCAGACATACGCCAATTCGACCAGCGACATCGGCCTGGTCCTAGCCGCCACGCAATCCGAGGACCTCACATGGCTCCTCAACTACTGCCGAGACCAGTACGCAACAATGCCATTGTCCGCCCTTCAGCGCAACAATCAGAAGCTAATTTCCCTTCTCCAGCGGAACAATCCCTTTTGTCTACACCACCGACCTCGTCCCCACGCCGCACCTCCTCGTCCCGCGCACCATCCGCGGCCGCGAAGCCGCCGCCTACCTCTCCTTTGTCGTTGACTTCTACGACCAACTCCCCAAGTACACCATCTTCGTCCACTCCAACCTGGACCAGTGGCACAACGACCTCTTCGGCCCGCACACCGGGCCCGCCCTGCGCAATCTGCGCCTCGAGGCCGTCGACGCCCAGGGCTACGTTAACCTGCGCTGCGAGCACGACCCGGGCTGTCCCACCAGCGTGCACCCGTGGAGCCCGACGCAGATCGATATCGAGAAGGACGACATCCGCGCCTTCTTCCCCCAGGTGTACCAGACCCTGCTGGGGGTCCCGCCCGAGAAAGTCCCCGAGCATATCGGGAACGTGTGTTGCGGGCAGTTCGCCGTCAGTCGGCAGCGCATTTTGCGCCGGCCGCGCGAGGACTACGAGCGCATGTTGCGCTGGGCGAACGACACCGAGCTGACGGATAGTTTTGGCGTCGGCTGGGTGTATGAGAAGATCTGGCATATTATCTTTGGCATGGACGTGATATAGTGAGCCCCTCTCCCGGTTTCTTGATAAGCATTGGCGGATGCTAACAGTCACAGCTGTCCCCGCTACGAGCAATGCCGCTGCGATACGTACGGATGGTGCGGCCCGTTGGCGTCGGGCGAGACACTGCAGGCAGTGCGAGCGCCGAAATCATTATAATCTAATGGATGATTGTGAATGCATGATGTGTACTACTATCATGATTGGGGATATCGGTAGCATTGGTCTGGTTCGGTTCGGTTTTGGTTATTTATGATATGATTGCTCGATCTAATGTACAGTTAGATTTTTTTTTTTTTTTTCTATTTTTCTTTTTTGCTCTCTTAATGCTCGCGGTTCACATTCAGGTATATATGCCTGTCCGTACTAAACATTCCTAAGGTATCATCAATCGTGCAGGATCAGTCTGTTGGTTATTCATGGTTGATGGGTTGCTGGTGCGTGCCTCGCACCGGCCCGCCATCCAGCTCATACACCCGCTCGACGGGCGCAGCCGGCGCCTCATGCACGTCGCCGCTATCCAGCAACGGCACGTCCGTCTCGGAGGGTCTGCGTCGCGGAATGGGATGGAGGAACAACGACTGCCCGTCCGCATCCGCGTCCGTTGCGCGATCCGCCGCGCCGGGCAGCAGCGCCACCGGAACCGGCGGCGACGTCGACAACATCGACGTATCCATCGACGTATTCGCCTCTTCTGGCGGCGGCGGCGACAGCGGTTTCCGGGGAATATTCCCGGGGCTCGCCAGGTCGCTATTCCGATTCATCCTCGTCTTCTCGTCGCCCAGCACCATCTCTTCATCGTGATGTCCCACCCCGACAGCCGTATACTGATTCTTGTCCGTGGGGCCGTTGCGTCGTCGCTTCTGCTTCCGCATCTTGCGTACCCGCCACCACGCGAACAGGACGATCAGCATCACCACCACGATCACGGCGATCGCGATCCCGGCTTTCGCGCCCGCGCTGAGTCCGCTGCTGGAACCGTCACTGCAGGAGTATGAGCCTTGAAAGACGCTGTTGCTGTTGCTGTTGCTATTGCCGTGGTTGTGGTTGTGGTTGTTGTTGTCGTCGTCGTCGTCGTCGCCGCGCAAAGAATCCAAACTCGAACACCGGAACGATCCCCCGTGCGACTTGATGCTCGTTTGCCCTTTGACGGAGTCCAGGTCGGAGAAGGAGATTCTGTCGAGTCAGCCATCATCCTATGCAACGAACCACCCACCGAATCCATCCGTCCAACCCCCCAAAAACAACTCATCAAAAAAAAAAAAAAAAAAAAAAGAAAAAAAAGAAAAAAAATAAATACATACTCATCAAACGTCCCACTCAAAACCAACGCCCCATCCACCTCCTGCAACCCATCGAGGACCAAATCCTTCAGTTTCGCATTCCCCGAGATATCAATCTCCCCGCCCACAGTTTGCAAATCGGGCAGCGACAGGTTCCTCAGCGCGTCGTTGTCCTCTATGTAGATCTTGCCGTGCACGGTCTGCAGGTCCGACGCGGATAGGGTGTCCAGCGACGAGGTATCTTGGAGCACGAGCCCGCCGTTGAGGGTCTGGATGTTGGGGATGGAGATGGTTCCTGTTGCGGAGGGGGAGATGGTCAGGGTGCCGGAGAGGGTGCTGCACGATGAGAGGGCGTCGGCGTCGGATTGGCTGGTTATTGTGGTTGTGGAGGAGCCTGGGTTTCGCTTGATGAGTGGGTGGGAATGGGGATGGAGAGAGAGAACCCACAAGAGGAATTCGAACTCCCCGCGACAGGCCGAATCGCCACCGCCGCGAGGGAGAGGAAGAAGCCGGTGTAGTCGAGTGGGGGGATCATGACATTCGATCCGATTCGATTCAATTAATTCATTCGATGCGGGAAAGAGAAGAAAAAAAGGGGGAGACAAGAGAAGTGACGAGAAAAGTTCGCGAGATGGATTGGATGGTGGTGTGGCTATGCTTGCTTGCTATGTATGTTGGATGGACGATGGATCTAGATCATGCCATTAGGGTAGGTATCAATCAGTCAATCAAGAGAAGCTTGGATGATCATTGCTTTTCGCAACGTATCGGGTATCGTGTATCTATGTATAGGTAGATATGGATCGATAATCAGTAAGTAAGTGAGTGAGTGAGTGGCCATCAACTCGGTTTTTAAAGCCGAGAAGAGAACAGAACCGACAGCGGAGAACGGCAGAGGGTGGCGGAGCAGCAGCATTAGTAGGTGGTAGCAGTTAGTACGACCGGAATCATGCTGCAGGGTAGCTTGTCGCTAACTAGTTAGTTCCTGTTAGTCAGTTGGTTAGCAGGTGGCAGACTAACTATTTACTATCTCTTACATCATGGCAGACTAGATCAATAGGCACCAGGCAATCCATCCATCCATCCATCCATCGATCGGATGGGAGGGAGGGAATAGTTAGTTAGCTAGTTAACTAGTTGGATGCGGTGTTATCTCCGATGGGCTGGATACTCGGGGCTATCATTCTTTGCCCTATTTAACTATTCCATACTCTCCCTGTTGTAATCTACTCCGTTCCATAGGACTATGATCTATCCCCCCCCCCCCCCCCCCCCCCAACAGGGCAATCTACTCGAGATATTCCGATATTCCTATCTGAACATTAGGGCACTGCCATGAAAGAAAAAAAATGAAAATAAGATAGAAAACCCTGCCGAGTCACCGCATGGACGGACTAACTACTGTGTGAGGACTCCATCCGGACCCACAATAAACAAGAACACGCCCCCCCCCCCCAGCCAGCGACGGCAGGGCAGGGCAGGGCAGGGCAGGGCAGGGTATTGTACTGTGGTATCAGTGTGGTGTGGTGGACTGACCCGATTCTTCTGTCGGCCAGTCTACTAGTATCTAGTCTGTCTATCTATCTATCTATCTAGATGGATAACCCACCAACTCAACTCAATCTCTCCATCAGATCAAGATAACTACTAGTAGAGAGTAGAGAGTGGGTTTGATTCGCCCACCCCGGCTATTTATATCCCGCAACGGCACATCATCCAGGCACCAGGATTGTTACCGGGTGGAATTAGAGTGTGGGAGGAAAATAAAAGTAGAACAGAATAGGACAGGACAGGACAGGGACTGGACTGGAGTGGACTGGACCCCGCACAGCAGGCAGAGAGATTGATTTCATCATCAGTCAATCAGTCAGTCAGTCAGGGTTGCCGGCTCGGGTAGGTATCTCCGAGTTGTCTTTCTTCCGAGTGTCTGCTTTTTGGCTGGAGGTGCTGGGTTGGACCGGGGGGGGAGGTGGTTTGGAAGGTGTTTGCTTGACGGGTATCTTGTCTCTATTCAATGGCACAGTTGTGTGCGTTTTTTTTTGAATGTTGAGTTGAGTTGAGTTGAGGTGAGTTGAGAGGCTGGTCGGGTATGCGATCTGCCGCCGTGGTCGGGATCCATCCCCACAGCGTATGATTTCTGCAGGTAATCTTCTGACTCTTACTACTCACAATGCAGCGCAGGTGCTAAACCCTTACGTTTGGGTGATCAATTATACGACGAATGATGGCATACCTCGTAGTCTAATCGAGAAAAAGCAATACCGACTATTTCTCATCGTCATAATACTATATAAAAGACAGACTGAAAAACAACACCAAGCAGAGACACAAATGCAGCACAGGCGCGAGTCCCGTGTTCAAAGAACCAGGACAAGACTGCCGGCTGAGGAATTGAGATAACCAGTTGGCAATGTATTGCAGAGACCGCGGACAATCATAAAAAAGTATTTCAAAGTGCCACTTGGGGTGACTGTCTGTCTGGGGCCCATGGACCGGAGATGCGCCAATCTGACTTTGCCGGCAGTTGCGGATGATCCGGGCGATGATTCCGGCGGCGATCTGAGACTAGCCATGGAGGTCTCTCACGGGTGGAACTCATTCCAAGGACATCCAGCTGTGGACCTATCGGTGGAGGACTGACTGGCTTGTGTGGCATGTTCTGAATAGATGCAGTATAATCCCAAATATTGGACTCCAGGATCCATACACAGGATCCCCCGGAGAGAGAGAGTCCTGATAACTCATTCTCCTTTATTCGTGAATGACATCGAATAACTTTGCCAGTGGAAGGGTAAGACTGCGGCGTTGGTATAGCTTCCAGATATAAAGTACTGCTGAATAACAACACCAGATGATGTGCATCGTCGACCAGAGCGTGTCAAGAGACCTTTTAGTCGAGTGGTATTTCTTTTTATTTTCTGACAGATAGCCGGATATCCAAGAAAATACATTCTTTTCGGACTGGTCATGCTTAGGACTTCCTAGGAAGGGCTGAGAGGATGAAATGATAGGATTGGGGGATGATGAGAAGATAGAAGAGAGAAATAAATAGCCCCTCCAAGACAAAGAGCAGGTGAAGAGAGACAGTCGATTGAATAAAACAGGAAGTGGGTGCGTGCTCAGTTTCCAGCAATGTCTATGCCCTTTATACGCATGTCATACAAATCCCACAGCCGAGGGAGTTGCACCGCATTCCACAACCCAAGAAAACAAAAACTAAACCTCGTCATTGATATTGATCTGATCAGAACAGCCCCGAGCCGCGACCGCGAACAAGAATAACCTGTAGGCAAAGAAACAATAAATATAGCACCTGTCATAATACCCTGTCTCCCATAACTACCGAAAAACTCATCAATACGCAAGATTCACCGAAACAATAAATTAATACTTCGATCGGACACTCCCGTAGGACGCCCCGTTGAACTCCAGTTGGAACACCAAGGAGGCCGAAGTCGGAATCAAGACCAGAGTGAAGTTGATTTTGAAATACTCCACCCCTTTAGAGTTGCATTTTGACTCGAAGAGCTTGCGAGGGACTTTGGTGAGGTCGGCCTCCACAGTGCATAGCCGTATGATTTCTGTATGTGGTGAGTAAGAGATAGATGTGAGGTTGTGTTTATACCTCTAAACCTACTAGCGTTGTTCATTTCTGGGGCGCTGTCGTTATCGCAGAAGAGTAGGTCGATCTTGTTAATGAGTCCTTCTACATTCCCTTTTTCAATTGCATAATGAAATGGGAGTTTGATCGGATGGCTTTCGGAGAGGGCTGAGAACTAGGTCCGGCTGAGTCAAGACGATGAAGCCATACAATAGGTAATGGGAAAGTACCTTCGTGATAAACCATTTCATATGACCATAGGACTTATAATTCTCCTCAAGTCTATCCCAGATCATGTTGTCAGGGCTATCTTCGGATACAGTCTTTTCCAACGTCTGAGCATATTGAATCCCGTAGTTGCGGCGGGCAATGCGACTTTCTACCCGATTCCCATCAAGGCCTCGCTGAACCGCACCGCTAATTCCTCGTTAGCTGATGGAGTTACCTGAATGTCTTATCTTGTTGAGTTCTAACCTTACGACTGCTGACCATCTGCGTTGGTTTGGAGTTAGCCGTCGCATTTTTGGCGTGGCGAGTACTTACGCGTCAGGTGGCTGCATCACAGTCACCGTAGGATTCGCTTCCTTCAAGCGATGGAATAGGTACTCAGAAGCGCCAAAGCCTCCGACGAGGATAATTGCCTGCAAAACCTTAGCCTCTACCGTGTGTGTGCCAGGGAACAGCTCAACCTTGGGGCTCAGATTCTTCTTCTTTATGCCCTTGACCTGCTCGGCAACAAGTGATTCCACATCCCGAACAATGGGATCAAAGATACTCGCAGTATCCTCACTGTTTCCAGTCAGTTCGTTCTGAGACCGTCGATGCATGCTCACAGACCTAGATAGTTGGAAGAACCCATCTTCGATGGGAACGGACGGGTCATTCTGCGCTCCCGGAATGGGGATGAAATAGTCAACGTGTGCATAATCCTCGTCGTACTTTCCACAAAAGTTGGTTTTCACTTGACGTTGCCAGTAGGACATTGCGGCTTCCTTCGATTTCTCGGACAGAGCGGCGTAGTTATCACGGCCCATCCTTTCCTCGAGCATGCTCTCAAAGCGCTCATCCAACAGCATTGACCCGCAAATACGACCTAACCGGTCATCAGTCACAGCAACGCGTGCTAGCAGGCAGCTCATACCTGCTCCCTTGACGACCTCCGCAAGGAGGAGAGGCTCCAGCTTTGCGACTCGGTACGAGATGAGATCCTAGTCGAGTCAGCCAGTCCAGCTATGCTGCCACTTGATCACTCACCACCGTGCCGCCGCCAGCATCGCATACGATGATTACATGGTCTCCCTGCCAAGGTTAGACACTACTCGTCCGCGTGGTAGAAGCATCATACCGCAATCGAATTTGGCTGCATAGCACGAAGAGAATAAACAGCCGCAGCCTCTGGCTCGGCCACGAGAGAGACGTCCCTAGGGGGGATCCCTGCCTTCATCGCAGCTTGCAAGGTGTAGTCTTTGGCCTTGTCGGACCAAACGGCCGGGACGGTGAGAACAAAACGCATCTTCATGGCTGCTCTGGCTACTCCAAGACGTCGCTGGAGAATTTCTTCCATGTGCTTAATCAGGTGCCCCAGGTAGTCCGCTACCACGTCGACGGCATTTTTGTTATACTTGGCGAGCAGCTTCTTACAAGCCAAAGACGGGGTGTAAGTGGTCACCTGCTTCTTATCGAGTAGAAGCTTGACGCCTCTGAAGGCCTCTGCGAATGGCCCCACCTGGTACCCCCATCTGATGGTTTGAGTTCCGTAGGAGATGCTCGAGGGGGCTTTCACGGAATTCCCTTTACAGATAGATGTCAGTGGAGTTGTGCGTTGGCGCATCGGGATGTTTCTTACTGCTGCCTCCACCAGGCCAGGTGGACAAAACTTCAACATCGCCAATTGATCCCTCGAAGGCCCACGCGATCCTGAGCCTCGTGTCAATATCTTGCCCGAAGCAGCCTTCCATCGCGTGTAGGCACCTACCCGCTGAATGTGGTTCCAAAGTCCACGCCCACGACAATGGAGGGTCCGACCTGCGCTTGCGCCATGTTGCCGTGGTATACTCGGGGCGGTTTGACGTGGTGAAGACAAAGCTGAAGCTCGAGCTGAAGAAAGAAGTGGGGTTGCTCGAAAGTTACAAATGACGAGAGGATGACACTTGGTCTGGGGTACATTGCGTCACCTGACGGACTGAGTCGAGCTGAGATAAAAGCCCTTTCCTGCCGGTAGCTCCTTCTAGCCAGGGCTGCGCTTTCTGTACTATGGGGCTCTCCGAGGTGAAGGACTGGGTAATCCGGACGTTTTCAGACTTGGAAAATAAATTCAACAACTATCTGGATTCCTCGTCACCAACCCAGCAAGACAGCGACAGCATCTCAGACGACGAGCTGGTGGTATTGGAGATGGCTGGGACCTTGCGTGAGAGGTTGAAGGCCTCGAAACAGGTGCGTCCAACAGCCCCCCTCCCCCAACATGGCTGATCGAGTATGAAGGAGAACCGGTCTCTGCGGAAGGAAGTCGAACGGGCAGATCGGAAGCTCAACACAGCCACAGAGCATATCAAGCTGCAAGAGCGACTGCGGCTTCAAACCCGTCAGGAGCTGGATGAGCTCGATAGGCAACATGCTGTCAACACTGTGCAGATCCGAGACCTCGTGCGACAGCTATACCAGGCGCATGAAAAGCTGAAGGGACAGAAAGGGCTGAGTGAGCAGTACCTGGCAGACAAAGCAAATGCCGAGCAACAGAATCTCCTACTGCGCCAGGACCGCGAGGAGGCGTGGGAGGAGACCAGGGCTTACAAGGAAGAGCTCAACAAACTATACAATGAGCTGAATGCACTCCGGGGTGGACAGGCAAATTTAAGCGACGATCATATCGTCGATCGAATGCGCAGACTGAACCAGAACCTGGAAAAATGGGTGAAATCCCACTACCAAGATGTCAATGTCACCGAGTTGGCATCGTTGCTCGAGTCAGATAGTGGCGGGCCTCCGCTCAGCGCCTCGCAGCGACGCGCCGGCATCCAGTCCTACCTCGCCCATCTGATCAATGTCTATATCTTCAGTCCTTGCCACGTGGGACTAGCTGATGATCCATACGGACATTTCCTTTCCGACCTGGAAGGTGTTGTGCGACAGAAATGTAGGTACTCTTCGCACGCGGACGTGCTCTATTCGCGTACTAAACAACCACGATAGGTTCAGGGGCAGAGCTTCGCTCGTGGAAGGTGGCGAACAGCGTCGCAATAGTGGCAAAGACTGGAGACTTACGTGAGGGTCTCTTCACCGACATTGTCAACTTTGTGGAAGGCCAATTCGGCATCCCTCCCTCCGACAACGGCGCAGCCCGAAAGCGACAGCTGCGCGACTTGTTGGGGCGATGTGCGGATCTCAAGATTACTCTGGGCCAGCAGAAACAATGCCACGTCTTCTGCTGCAGTCAGATCGGAGCGGAATACGATCCACAGGCGATGACAGTCATGGGAGGCGGCGAGGGGCAGGCGGGGGAGAAGGTGAGGTGGTCTCTGTGGCCGGCAATCGTGAAGCTTAAGAGGGAAGGTGGCGATGTGCTCGAGCCGGAGCTGGTCTGGACCACCCCAATCATAACGCTGAACAAGCCGGAGGAGTCCGCGTAGTCTTGGACTGCCCCCCTCTATAGCAATCCAATCCCCCTGTTTGTTCCTAGACCTGTGATTGATAGGGCATCGACCTTATCAGCATGACTCCCGGACCGGCGGGATCCCAAAGGAGCTTCTGTCGGTAAAGTAACAGCGGTGGTGGTCCCAATGATATGACGATATTGCGTATCCTCTCCAAGCTGCTAGCCAGAGAAGGGAAGTGGGGGCCTCCCTTTATCCACCAGAATAATGCATCTGGCCAGATGCATAGAAGAACGAACACCCATTACCACCGGCACGGCAAGCGATACCCGCGCGCCCCATCGGCTATCGAAATATGCACCGATTCAGTTGCACAAGCGATCCCCATTCGACCCCGGTGGAGATCATTTGTACGAACAAGGCCGATCCAGCAAGCACAACGAGCATATCGCACCACGATGGATTCATTGAGCAGGAGCCCAGGACGGGATGGCAACACAGGGAGAAACTCCTATCCAGCCGATCGCCTGGAAATGGCGCTGTCCGGCTGCGAAGGTATATAACCGGGTAAGAAGCCTCGATGTGAACCTCTGAGCTTTCGATCAGATCACAGCGTCGCAGTTTCTTCTGCATTCCAGCAAGTGCAACCAAAATGGTCAGCTTTTTCGACTCACCTTTACATCCACCTCCACCTCCAGGAGGAGCGTTCAAGGCCCCGGGAAGGCTTCTCGTCACTCAAGTCGATGCTGTGGCCGAACGATCGCCCACCCGTCGGTTTGGCTTGATTCCAAATGGTACCGAAGTCGAGAATGGCTTCCGCGAGGTGACCTTCCAGGATCTCTCTCGTGCGGTGGATGCGATGGCCTGGTGGATCGTGGAAGCCCTGGGCATGCCAACAACGAAGGAGGAAACAATTGCTTACCTGGGGAATAACGATGTTCGCTACATCGTGTTTATCCTTGCGTGTCATAAACTTGGCTATACGGTTTGTGCCCCTTTCTTTTCTTCCCTCGTGTGCCGGAGTCCCGAGAGAGGTCCGTGAAGATACATAGCTAAGGCTTTTGCGGGCGACCATTCGTTCGTATAGATCTTCCTGCCGTCTACCCGATTGTCCGATGAGGCCTACGATCATGTGTTCCGAGAGACAGCATGTACCCATCTGCTGTTCAGCCAGGAAAAGTCTCAGATCGCCTCGCGAATCAAAGCCTTGAGCGGGAAGATGCGGACCCATGAAGTGCCATCGGTGACCGACACCTTCGGCCATCGAAGTGGCACGAAGCGATTCGACTTCGCGCGGACCTATGATGAGATGGTGAACAAGATCGCTTTCATGATTCATAGTTCAGGAACGACCGGTGCGTATGATGAGGCGGGCCGAGTTGAAAGAACAAACCGACTTGAGAAGTGATCCAGGTTTTAACATGTTTGGCAGGCATGCCCAAGCCAGTTCCCCTGACGCACGGCTTCCTGGGTACGATGGACTACGGCCCGTCGATGCCTCGACCTGCTGGGCGGTCCTCTTCGTTCTTCAACGACCTTGCCTCCGACGACCCCTCCCCCACGGACCTTGTTCTCTCCTCCACGCCTTATTTCCATCTGATGGGTCTGGTCTCCTTTTTCGAATCCATCTTCCATAACATCCCCTTCGTCGCCAGCCCGGAAAAGCTCCTGTCGGTGGGGTTCTTGATCGATCTCATCCGGCACACGAAGCCGACGGCGACTATTCTTCCCCCGTCGATCCTGGAAGACATGAGCCATTCCGAGGAGGGTCTCGCTTGCCTCGGCAGTATGAAGTTTGTCTGCTATGGTGGGGCCCCGCTGGCCCCGGAAGTTGGCGATAGGCTCAGTCGGTACACCGAGCTACGATCCCCGATTGGATCCAGCGAGATGGGAATCATCAGCTCCATGGTCCCCGAGGGGGAAGGCAACTGGGGATACTTCGAGTGGACCCCTGCGTATCACGTCGACATGCAGCCGATTGGGGACGGCTTGTATGAGCTCGTTCTGCCCCGGGTGGAACATTCCCTGGTCATCCACGGGATATTCCACACCTTTCCCCAGCTGAAGGAATATCGCTCCAAAGACCTATACACCCGACACCCATCTAACCCCAGGCTCTGGAGGTATCATGGACGCCTCGACGATGTGATTGTGCTCAGTAACGGAGAGAAGCTGAGCCCGGTCTCCTTGGAGAAGATTGTCGAGGGCCATCCCTCCGTACACCGGGCTTTGCTCGTCGGTCAGCGCCGATTCCAGACATGCTTGCTGATTGAGCCAGTCATCGACGACCCCACCTCCGATGCGACCGATGAGCGGACGGAGGAGGAGTTCGTGGAGTCAATCTGGCCAGTGGTGCAGGCTGCCAACGAGACGGTCCCCCAGTATGGCCAGGTCGTGAAGACCATGATCCGTCTGTCTTCGCGCGAGAAGCCCTTCAAACTGACCGCCAAAGGCACCACCCAGCGACATGCAGTGAACCAGGACTATGCAGGGGAGATCGAGGAGATCTACGCCGCGCAGGATCGACGAATGTCGGTGGCGCTGCCATCAGCCCTCACGCGCGAAGGGGTCTCTGCGTATCTGCAGGGCATCATCTCGACCCTGACCGGCAAGTCCGACATCCGACCCAGCGATGACCTGTATGGCCTGGGCCTGGACTCCCTGCAGGCCATCCAGTTGAGTAAGACCCTGAAGAGCTCGGTTTCCGCCTACAGCTCGCAGTGCCCCGTGGAGCGTCTGCAGGTCCAGAACATCTACGCCCACCCGACGGTGGACGCGCTCACGGATCTTCTGCTGGGGGTGCTCGACCAGTCCGCAGTGCAAACGGCCCCCGTTACGCGCGCGGAGCGCATCGCGCAATTGATCTCCAAGTACACCGGGGATCTCCACGCTCCGCCCGCCGGCGCCCAAGTCGCTCCCCCGCCGGCGCGCTCGACCGTCATTCTCACCGGATCGACGGGATCGTTGGGCACGTACATCCTGGAGGAGCTGCTGCGCAACCCCCGGGTGGCCAAGGTGTACTGCTTCAACCGGAGCGCGGACGCGGCGTCACGCCAGCGGGCGGGATTCGAGGAGAAGGGGCTGTCGACCTGGCTGCTGGATGACCCGGGGCAGGTAGAGTTCTGGCAGGTGGAATTCGGGGCGAGACAGTTCGGGCTGCCGGACGAGCGCTACGGCGAGCTCCTGGGGCGGGTGGACCTGATCATCCACAACGCGTGGAAGGTGAATTTCAACCATCCGGTCTCCTCGTTCGAGGACCCCCACCTGCGCGGGGTGCGCGGCTTCGTGGACCTCAGCACGCGCAGTCGCCACCGCGCGCACCTCGCGTTCGTGTCCTCGGTCAGCACGATCGGGGCGTGGCAGCCGACGGACGCGGGGGTGACGGCGGTGCCGGAGGAGCCCATGGCGTCGGTGGCCACGGCGCTGGCGCAGGGATACGGCGAGTCGAAGTTCGTGGGGGAGCGCATCTGCGTGGAGGCGTGGGCGCGGGCAGGCGTGGCCAGCAGCATCCTCCGCGTCGGGCAGATCGCAGGCCCGGACTCGCCGCGCGGGGTCTGGAACCCCCACGAGTGGATCCCCGCCCTGGTCAAGTCCTCCAAGGCCTCCGGCAAAGTCCCCAGCGATCTCGGCGGCTATCCCGTCGACTGGGTTTCGGTGGTCAGTTTTCCTTCCATCTCTCCATCTCTCTCCATCTGCAGCTCTCTTTCTGACCCTCTCATCCCTCCCTTCTGTAACAGGACTCCCTGGCGCGCATCATCACCGAACTTCTCCTGAACCCCCGCTGCAACCGCTCGACATATCCCGCCGTGTTCCATCTCGTCAACCCCTCGCGCACCAGCTGGGCCTCGCTGGTCCCCGCCATCCAAGCCCGGTATCCCGTCCAGCCCGTCCCGCTCACCGAATGGCTGGCCGACCTGCAGGCGATTCCCGACCCCTCCGACCAGGAGGTCGAGGCGAAGCCCGCGCTGAAGCTGCTGGGCTTCTTCCGCGCGCTCGCCGACAATGATGCAGCGGTCCTGTCGGCGGACATCAGCGTGGATCGGGCCAAGGAGGGGAGCCCCACCATGGCCGCCCTGGGTCCCGTCTCGTGCGCCCAGATGTCCAATTGGTTGGCGCAGTGGGACTTTTGAGCTGGTTTGGCACAGTAATCTGTAGGCAAGTTATACCCATTGGCTGATAGAGAAATAGAATTATAGAACCTTTTTTTTTTTTTTTTCTGGACATGATGGCTCATTGAACTTGCTTGTTCCGGGATTCTTTCCCTCCTGGATGGCGTGGCGGTATGTGTGCATTAGATATACTATTACTATACTATAGTAGTAATCTAGGTGACCGGGGCTGGGTTAGGTCGGGGTAGGTAGGGGGGGTCAAGGGCAGAGGGAGACAGGGGTGTTGAGGAAGAAAGATCGTGGGGTTGGAAGGTGTTGTTCTGAGTTGGATGATGGGACACTGGAAGAAAAATGAATAAACGATTCAAAGTCAAAGAAACTGTATAATTGGATATATTACGCGACCGACGACGATCCCCCAGGAACCGATCGACCTATCAATCAATCAATCAATCAATCAATCAACATACGCTCGTGGTATCTAACTCATCGCATCTCATCTCATCTCATGTCTCCTTCATCGAGTCATCACATCACACCCGTTTCACCCTTCAGCACCAACAATACACCACCGCATCTGGGTTAAACCATCTTCTCCCCCGTCGCCATCGTCTCCTGATGCACAACCTCGGCAACGGCGCCCTTCTTCTCCTCATCGTAGCCGACCTCCTCGATCAGGGTCGCATGCGAGTACTCGTTCTTGGTCTTCCAGGCCGGGACACCAATGTACGGGATACCGCTCGGGTCCGTGAAGATGGCCTCGACCTCCTCCAGGGTCTTTCCCGTCGTCTCCGGGAACATGAAGAAGATGTGGAGGAACATGACGGTGCAGAAGACTCCAAACAGGACGTAGACTTTCCACTGGATGTTGACGAAGGCGGGGGGCACGAAGTAGCTCAGGGCGAAGTTGAAGGCCCAGTTGGCCGACGTGCAGAGAGCGCCGGCCTTTCCGCGCAGACGCAGGGGGAAGAGCTCGGGCGGGTAGACCCAGCTGGCGGGGCCGAAGGAAATGGCGTATGATGCGACGAACAGGTAGGTGCACGCGATGACGGCCTTGCTGGCGTGGCCGGAGATGATCCACGATTCTTCGGACACGCCGTTCAGCCCGCCTTTGGGGGCCGGCTCGCCGTACGTGGCCATGAGACCGGCGTTGGCGTACAGGAAGATCGCCATGAAGAGAGAGCCGATCATGAAGGTGGGGCGACGGCCCCAGCGGTCTCCCCAGACCAGGGCGGGGATGGTCATGAACACGTTGATCACGTACTCAATGCTGGAGGAGATCAGGTTGTTGTTGCCCTTCAGGCCGGCCATGGCGAAGACGTAGGTGATGTAGTACACTGCAGGCTGTTAGAGATGGCGTCTCAGGTCAGGCTCGTCAGACTTACTCATCACGTTCATGCCGGTCAGCTGGGACCAGATCTGGGTGAAGACACCCACGTGGGTGCGGTTGATCATGTTGGGCTTGAACAGCTCCAGGAAGCTCACGTCGGCGTTGTCACGCTCGAACTCGCACATGGACTTGATCTCTTCGTACTCGCGCAGCACGAACGGCGAGTTGGGGTCGCCCTTGCCGTGGACCAAGGTCAGCACGGCATGGCACTCCTCCCAGCGGTCCTGGCGAGCCAGCCAACGGGGGGACTCGGGCAGAAGCATCAGACCCAGGAAGAGCAGGATAGCAGGGATCATCTGCAGACCCCAGGGGATACGGAAGGCGGCAGTGCCCTTGATGAAGCTGCAGCCATAGGAAATGCTGGTTGCAATTAGTATGTGCGACAGTGACTGATGACTGACAGGCATAAACTTACTAGAACATGATCAAGATACCCCAAGTGCAGGCCCACTGCTGGAGACCGACAAGACGACCACGCTTGGTGGGTGGGGACTAAACAGTCAGCGACCCGTATGGCGAAGAGACATCGAGGCACTTACAATCTCGGAGATGTACACTGGAACCTGCGCAGAACAGATACCCACACAGAGACCGTTGATGATACGACCGACGATCAGCATGGGAATGTCCTGAGAAGCACAGACAATGATAGAGCCGATACACCTGAGCCACATCAGTACCAAGTAAGAACCAAAGGGGTGTACACCATACCAAATCACCGAACCAATCTGAATCGAAGTCTTACGCCCATACTTATCTGAGAGGAATCCGGAAATCAACGAGCCCAACCAAGAGCCCGCAGCCATGGAGGCTGTGATACCACCCTGCACGTTGGCATTGGGACCCTTGCACACTACACTCCCGTCCGAATTATACTCATGAGGGCCTGGGTTAAAGTAGCAAAGATAGGCCTCCTCGTCGATGATCGCGGACATAGACGAGATATCGAACCCGAAAAGACCACCGCCAATGACGGCGATGGCCGCGATGAAGTAGATATTGCCGACAACCATGGTGGAATCGGGCTCCGCTCTCGGTAGCACAGTGAATAAAGGGAGAAACAGGAACGAACCACCGCACACGGGGGGGGGGAAGAAAACACCAGGAGAAACCGGGGAAAAGACGGGGTTTTAAAGGGCTGCAACCCGGGGTCGCGCCGGAGCGGCTGGAGCAGAGTCGGGGGGGAGAAGAACCCACCGCGACGTAGGTGGAAGGCATGGACTGATGCCAGAAGGCTCAAGACCCATCATGGCCGGTTTCAACCGCCAAAACTAAAGAAACACCCTGTTCCGAGCCGAGTCGCCCACAGGGATTGGAGAGGGGACCCATGGGAGGCGATATTAGGCCGGCCCCCTACTAGCGGAGAGACACGCATATTCGGTTAGGTCCAGGCCAGGTTGACCGACGATTGGATGCATGCAGCAGCAGGCCGGCCCACGGGGGAGCTGACATAGAGGAGGCGATGGATCTTCGGGTGGCCGAGATGCGCATCCATCGGACGATTGGGAAACACCGGGGCGGCACATGGCTGGAGAATTAAGCGGCTGTCAATCGCGCCGGTTCGAAGCGAACCGCGGAATGGACGAGACTGGTTGTACGATGTAGCAGCTGATTGCTGATCGCTGATCCAGATGAGGGGAAGACATCCACGATCCATCACATCCGGGGGCAGCGGCATGACCATGATAGAGAATCAGGCTCGGAACAGCCGAACACACAGCCGAATGCAACGTCCAGCGCACAGGGAACCGGTCGCACGGGGCAATCAGCCTATAGGGAGGAGGCAGGGAGCCGTGATCATGTCACCGAAGTAACGCGACCAACTCTGGGCCGAAGACGGCAGCAGGCGCAAGACTCCGACAAGCCCGCGTCGCCGTGGAGGGATCCGGGGAATGTCTGGCTGACTGGACTGGAGTGGATCGGCACCGCGCTTCCCTTCCGGGCCATGGCGCGGTTGGGCCGAGTCAATCCATCGATGGAACGGCGAAAGGATGCAGGCTGACGATGCAATAACCAGGGTGAGTCTCGGTGGGACAATGGGAAAGTGGACAGTGGACAGTGGACAGAGCGACAAGGCCAAAGCATACCTAGATAGACACCTCGACAGCTCGATACTCTGCAGGTTCCCCTGTGCAACGGTGCAGTGAAGTGAGGTGAGGGAATTGATTTTCGGGGGAGTTGTGGGGAGAAACTCGAAAGTCGGGGGGAAACAGACCCTCCAGAGACCCTCCGGAGACCCTCCAGAATCCCTCCAGAATTCCCCAGAGCACATGACCGGCCCGCCTCGGCCATCTGCCCGATCGGGCCTAGCGCCTCCTTCAGGGTCTTGGCGGGCCAATCAGCACCGACCACCGGAAAAGGCACCGTACGTGCCTTGGGCAGGAACCTCGTGCCGCGCGGGAACGAACAAACCAGTTGTCTCTCTGTCTGGTAGGGTAGGGTAAATAATGGGTAAATACAATACTGTAGATACATACCCAACCCTCCATCATTGGTTCCCCTTCCCCTCCTCTCCCCCCAAAAAGGGAGAATGGGGTCGGGTTTACGTCTGACTCTGACTCTCTGACTCTAAGACTGACAAGGCCCGGGGACCCCAGTCCTAAACAGGGACTTTCCATCCATCACAAATTAACAACAGCCTATATTACCCGACGCCCCCTTTTGCCTCCGCTAACGAGCTAGCCTTCCTGCACCGTTCCTACTTTCCCCGGTCTCGTCGGCCATTCGTGGATTTTCTCTCTCCGCGGTTTCCCCTAAATGGGTCCATTCGTGTAGAATTGGGGAGGGGGGGATGACTCGTTGGATTTTTCTTTTCTTCTGCGTCGCATGCATGGTCAGGTCACCTAAGTAAGTAAGAACTTGAAAGTAGACCGGGCCGGTCTCGCCTGGCCGGGACCGTGATGTATATTATAGTATATAGGCAATATGCGCGAGGCGCTATGTACTATATACGAACACATTATCATTAAGTAGATGAAAGTGGTAGTTAGGGGCAGGCCAAAAAAGACGGGTATGGCTATGAACAGATAAGTAAGGTGGAAACCCCATACGGCCAGGCCACGGACAAAAAAAAAATCCCAAATCGAAAATCTAGACGGAGGGTGGAGACTGCACCACCAGCCCTAATTACCCGGCTGGCTGGCTGGCTGTCCCTCGGTTTCAGCTCGATTCAGGACGCTTCGGGTTCAGATCAGCTCCCACTCCGCAACGAATGCCCACGCCATTCCCACGCGGCCGACTTGGGCCCGGTACTCCTCCGCCGTCACCCCCCGCGCGTCTGCTCGATCCCCGAAGCTGGTCAGCACCACCAGCTGCACCTTCTGCCCCGGCACCCCCAGCCCCCGCGCGTCCGGCACGTCCACGTACCACCAGTCTCCCCCGCCATTGGGTCCCGAGCCCCGGACGTGTGCCAACGGCAGTCTGTCTTCCTGCCGACCATCCGCCCCGTGAACTATAAGTAAGAACATCCCGGGCTTGGCTCGGCTGTGGTGCTCCAGTGTCCAGTGCTCGCAGACCAGGCCGAACTGGAAGCGCAGCGGGCCTCCCTGGGCCACGGAGAGCTGCTTGGCGGCCGGGCGAAAGGTGCGCACCCCGATGCTGTGCTTGTCCGCGTCCCCGAAGACCATCGGCTGCTCCACGCACAACGGGGACTGCGGGTTGCCCAGGATGTATTCCTCCCAGCTGATCTCGGGACGCCCGTCGTCCCGGTAGAACTGAGTCCGGTCTTCGGGGAAGTGCTTCAGTCCCAGCTCATCATTCGTGTTGGTGAACATGGCCGGTTCGAACCTCTGCACGTACGGCTGTCCCTTGCCGGAGATGCATCCAGCGCCCCAGCAGGCGTCAATCAGCTTCCACTGGCCGTTGTCGATCCGGACCACGTTCCAGGCATGGCCCGTGTGGAAGGGAGGAAGCGCCGACCCGGGAGCGGGAGTATCATAACCATAGCCTTTGCCGTGGCCCGAAACCTTCTTGGCCTCGAGACCAGCATGGGTAGCAAGCGCATTGAACAGGCCAGCATACCCCTCACACACCGCCAGCCCAGTCGCCAGCGTACTGGCCGGGGTCGAGTGCCCGACTGTATTGTTGAAGAAGGCGACCGTATCATACATAATGTTATGGTGGAGCCACGTAAAGATGACTCGTGCTTTATCCGTCAGCGAGGGAAACGGCGCGGTGAGTTCCCTCGCCAGCCATCCCAGATCCTGCGTGGGGAGAGAGGCGCGCGGGTACCGAGCCGCATGGGCATCTGGCGCCGAGAAGTCGCGGCACTTCAAGCAAACCGTAGTCGGTGCCGCGGACGGGGGATTGGAGGCATACAGACGCGGCTTCGTGGCCTGGATCTTGGACAAGTCAGGCCGAGAGGCCAGAGGGACCGGCGGGGGCACTCCATTCGAAATAGGGCCCTGGGAGCCCCCATTCGTAAACCCGTTTACATTCTTGTTTATCGCTGCGAAGCCAGACTGCTTCAGCTTTCCCATTGCGGCATCGGATATCGGGGGCGGAGGAAGCCTCCTCGCTGGCAGTGGCGGTGTGCTCTCCGCCTCTTCATTAATACTCGGCGACCTGTCGCAATTATTCCTGGACGGTAGCCGGGGAGGCAGCCGGGGCTGCGAGCTGTTGCTTTCTATGGAGTAGTTGCTGGACTTTCGACGCAGAGGCAATGCCGGTCGAGGCGGTGACAGGCTGCCACTGCTTTTCGCGGTGGTTGGTGTCGGTCGGGCTGGTAGTGAGGGCTGTCGCTTGGGAGGCAAGGGGGGCAATTGAGCCTCGCCCCATGCGGGAGGCAGGGAGCGACCACCAGCGGAGTCAATCGAGGTTGCAGATGTGTTGGCTGTTCTTGTCGTCGACCTGGATATGTCCGAAGCCATCGACTCAAAGGAGCCTTTGCGAGAGGGTTCCGTAGGCCGGCGGGGGGGTAGTGCAGGGCGTTGTTCGGAGGGCTTGCGAGCCGGTAAGGGAGGGGGCGTCTTGTGCTTCGCCGGTGCGGGCGGTGCACAGGGACGCGAGATGGGCCTGGGCGGAGCGGCATGGTATTCCGGAGGCGGATTATTGTCGACAGAGCCATTGCTGCCAGCAGCGTGGTCGTTGTCGTGGTCGGGGGAGATCTCGATGGGAGTGGCGGTGGTGAAGGTCTTGGGGCGCGGGGGAGGAGCAGCCGGACGGATGGGCAAAGAAGTGGGCTCAGTCCCTCCGCCGCTTTGGCCAGCTTGTGCCTGCTTCAAGGCAGCAATCCGTTGCTGGATGGACATCACCTGGGGTTCCTCCGCCATTGTAGGATTATTTGTGGGGTTAGGGGGGGGGGTGGAAGGATGAAGCGAGCGAAGGCGATCAACCGAGGATCGATCGTGTCAATTAAATAAGTTGTAAGATGTAAGATTAAGAAAAGGTACGGGGTCCAAGCGATGGTGGTGGTGGGTCAGGATGACCTGGAAATATCCAAGATGACTGACACCCTCTGGCAAGGAGGGGGATGAAAGACAGAAAGCAGATTCCAGAGGGGATCTGAGATTGGGGGCGAGACTTATAAGCCCTGCCTTGGGGGGGGGGAGGAAAAGAAGGAAGAAGGAGGGGAAGACCGACAAGACTGTGAAACGAAGAACTCCACGGCCGAACCAGGGGTGCCTTGCGGGTGCCTGAGGCGGTCGCCAATTAGGTCCAATATCCCCGGAATCATCCATTAATATTGACTCAACTACCATACCTATCTAGATCGTATGCACCTCCCGCCCCTTGACAAACACCCGCCTGATATTCCGATCATCGCCCGTCATCATAAACTTCTCAAACACCTCCCTGACGCCATCCTCCTCCATCACCGGGGCCATAACGCCCTCCGCATCCGCCCTGACCAGCAACGCATCGAACTCCTTACCGACGACGAAATTCCCAACCTTCTCCTGCAGCCCACACACTCTCGCTCCACCCAGCGTAGCCAAATAAAACCCCTCCGCGATGCTCAACGGCTCGTCCCGGCCCTGCGTCATCGTGCACCGCGCCGTGGAGACCACAAACGCAGACTTCATCACCTCCAGCATCGAACTCGAATACCCTCCCCCACAGTCCGTCCCCAAGCCGACCTTCACATCCCGGCGCAGATACTCCCGTATGGGCGCCACCATAAATTCGTCCATGGTCACGTTGGGGATAGGACAGTGCGCGATCCCGCACTTCAGTTCCGCCATGCGCTCGATCTCCGCGTTGGAGAGGTAGATCGAGTGTGCGAGGATACTCCGCTCATTCAGGAGCCCGAACCGCTCGTACAGCTCCGTCTCGCTCTTGTCGTTCGGGAACAGCGACCGCGTGAAATCCACCTCCCCGCGCGACTCGTTGAAGTGCGTCTGGATCGGCAGGTCCGTGTTCCGGCTCGCCATCGCCCCCAGCCCGGCCAGGAGCTCCTCCTCGCAGCTGATCGCGAATCGCGGTGTAATCACCGGTGTGACGAGCTCATGGGCCGGGTCTAGGCCCCGGACCTGGGAGATGAAGTCCTCCGTGTCGCGGAGAGACTCCTCGACGGAGGGATCGCGATACCAGTCGGGGGCGTGCCGGTTCATGTTGCATTTCCCGATCAGGGCCCGCTGGCCTAGAGACAGACAGGTTTCGGCCAGGATCACGGACGCGGCCGCATGTCGGGAGCCGTAGTAACAGGCGGTCGTGATGCCTTGTTTGAGGCCGCCGCGGACGCAGGAGCCGTAGAGCGATTTGGCGAAGTCTGGGTCGGATAGTTTGGCCTCGTGGCGGAAGGTGATGGTCTCCAGCCAGGTGAGGAGGTCGATCCCCCGACCGGTCCCGCGCTGGGCCCATTGGGGTGCATGTGTGTGGGTGTCAATAAAGCCTGGGACGAAGAATTCAGTGGGTTGCAGAATGGTCACTTTGCAGCTGGATGAGGGGCGGTTGCTCTGGGCGAGGAGATCGGGAATGGAGGCTGTGGGTGTGGATGGGCGGATGAATTCCAGGGTCCCGGCGGGGGACACAACGATCAACGTGTCGGTGAGAATCTCCAGCTCAGTGGGACTCGGAGTGTGGATGAAAGTGCCATGGAAGGCCTGTGCCTGGACGGCTTCGGATGCCATGATGATGACAGTGGTGGTTGTGAGGGGACAGATGGAGAAGAGGTGGCCAGTGCAGGAGATAAGTGAAGTGTTTGAATCCACAGCGGGGTACTCCGTGGCAACCAGTGCAACAGTTCATCTACGCCAATAACCCCAGCAACCGCGTCAGCATAAGTCCAGGTGCCGCAGCACGCTTCCATATCGCAACTATAGGGTATAGTAGGTGGCCATCTCCTCCTGGAACCAGTCATAGGAATAGAACAATTGCTCCGCCAGCTGCGGGTCAATCACCGGCACCGTCCCCGTCCCATTGACCAGCAGGACGTCATCCAGCACCGGCGCCAGAGGCACCGGCGGTGCAACCAGAACATGCTGCGGCTGTGGCGGAGGGGCCGGCTGTTCTGGAAGCGGTGGCTGTAACGGCTGCTGCTGCTGCTGCTGCTGCTGTTGCTGTTGCTCCTGTTGATACGCCAGGTGGCTGAAGATCATCGTGCTCTGGTTGCGAAAGGTCTCTGCCAATCGCTCTACCCCCGGGCGCCGCTTGCCAAACTCCTCTAGCAAGACGACCACGGCCTGAATGGCACGTCGCATCGTCCGGTCCTCGGGCTTCCATGCGGCCACCAGGCCCTCGCGGACGGCAAGGAAATTCTGGTTGAGACACCACAGAATCGTGATACCGGCGAAGTAGATTTGACTCAGGGTCAACCAGATCCACTTGAGCTTGCCCACCGAGAAGCTGTCCCAGTATGATCGGATGACTTGGATGCTGGCATCTCCGCAGCTCACTATACTCGTCGCATCGGGCATCGGGTTCCGCGGACTGGGTCGGTACATGAGAAGAAGAGTGGTCGCGTACAGGTAGTCGTAGTAGCTGGTGGAGTAGAGAAGCGCGGGCGGATACACCGGTGCCGCCCGTCGCCAGTCATCCAGCTCCTGGCGGAAATGACTGAGCGTGATAGCAACCTCGGTCGGAGGGGACGGGGGTTGGTTGTTGAACACTACCGCGGTCAGTGGTCGGCCGTCCTTAGCATTCGGGTGGAAGGAGCGCTTACAATAACGATAGATGCGTGAAAAAATCCGGCGCAGGCGCACCACCTGCAAGGGAATGGTCATGGCACTGGCCCCCGGGGCTTCTGTCCAGTCGTCGTTGAACTCTCGCGGGAGGGTCACCGAGATGTCCTCGTCCGCTATCCCCAGCGGCCGTCCCAGGGTACTCGCAATCAGCCGGTCGAGATTGTAAAGACTCCAGAACGCCCGCTTGGCCATCTCCTCTTCCACCACATTGACCACCGAACGGGCCTTGTGCAGTCCCAGGCTGGTAGCCAGCCGCAAAGCAGTCCCCAAGATATGCCACACGCTGGGGCCGGAGGTAGCAAACATCGTGTACACCGCCACGCTCAGCAAAGCCCGAACAGCCGCGAGGTCCTCATTCTGCAGAGCCAACCCCATGGTCTCGTTACTCACATGATAGAACTCTGCGGCCTGCGACCCGTCGGCAGATCCGATCAGCAAAGCCGTAGCGATGGTGATGTGATACGAGTGGTGGACCTCGGGGGCGGGCACCTCGCCCGCATAGATGCGTCGGAGATGGCCGAAGAACTCGGCCCGGCTCAGGAACGGATACTGATACCCCAGACTATCGAAGTACTGCGAGGACACTCGCTCCGCCTCCTCCAGCGAGGGCAGGCGGACCACGCGCGGTGCAGACGCGACCGGGCGCGCGATCGAGGGTCGGCGATGTTCCAGCTGGTCGCGGAAGATCTCCCCCACATTAGGCAGCTCCGTTCCCACCGCGGACGAGCTGGGAGCCGGACTGTTGCTGGACGCTGCAGCTGCGGTCGTCGTGGACGTCGACCGCGCAGGGCTTTCACGAGTCATCAGCATGGTCGGCACCTGATACCACCAGTCCGAGTCCCCCTCGCCGTCCAACGCGGTCCCCGTGGGCCGGTCGGCGACGGCGATGCCCGTCTTGCGGCGCACCACCTCCTCCAGCCATCGCACCCGGTTTTGTAGGTTTTCGAGCTGATCACGGGGCACAGAAGCCGCCGCGACCTGGGGGCCCGGTGGCGGAATGGTACAGCGGACGCCGGCGCGCGTGCACGCGGAGCAATTGGGGTATCGGAAGTCGCATTTCTTTTTTCGTTTCCGACAGAAGTCACAGGCGGTTGACACGCGTTTGCTGCGCGAGGGAGGGAGGTGGGAGGGAGAGGAATGCGAGGAATGCGGCGATTGTTGATGCAGGAGGTGATGGTGGTGATGTGGTTGTGATTGTTGTTGTTGTTGTTGTGGTGGTGGTTGGTGGTGCTGGAGCTGGTGCTGATGCTGGAGCGGCAGGGGAGGTGGCGGCAGCGACTGCGGAGACGGAGACGGATGGGAATGCAGATGGGGAGGACGAGGCGGCGGAAGCGGGTGGGAGGAGGGAATTGGCAGGGGATCGAGGCGAAATTTGCCCAGTTGATGTCGAAATTCCGGATCACGGTTGGTCATGGTGAAGAGGGGGGAGGCTGGAGCAGGAGGTGGTCACAGCAGCAGCAGCAGTGATGGTTGGAGTGGAGGGAACTGGCGGCTCGAACCGCAGGCCATTCCAGTGTGGGGGAAAGCGAGATGCTGGCGGCTGGAGGTGCAGCCGTAGTCGCCTTTAGTACCCGCCAGTCAAGCCAGTCAGCCCCGTCTCGGCCCTCCCTCCACTCCGTAACTCCGGAACAAACACTAGAACACTACTACTACTTTACTCATCCTGCAGAACATCCTCTCCTTACGCATCCTGTCCATGTGAATCGCCATGAATCTATTATTGTCCCATATACGTGGCTGCTGTGCGTACGGAGTACTAAGTAACTACCCCCAATCACTCCCATGTCCCCTTCGCAGGCCCAAAATAGCCCGATGCCGGAAGCCCCTTATACGGTGTGCCTCGCGCATCCGCCGTGTTTGCAAACACCGTGTTTCCCCACCAGTTCAAGGATCCTGCGGGGAGGGTGATGCAAAAGAATATAATTACGGTCGCCACCGCGACCCCGGAGTCAAGCGCCGCGGAGAGTACGTAGTCTATGTGGTTAGCACGGCATCCCGCAAAGCGAACGGGACGAACTCACTATACTTCGACCACCAGGCCGGCTTGCGTCGCTTGAGGAACCCGTTGAAGATGACGTTGACCAGCCACCACGAGGAGAAGTTGATGCCTGTGGCCGGGGGCACCAGGCTCATGGCCCCGAAGGCCACGGGCCAGGACAGATAGTTGACCTTGGGCCATCGTCGGCCTAGCAACCAGGTGATGACCACCACTACAGGTCCCACCAGGAAGAACCACAGCAGATTCCCGTATATCTGGCCCGGGGAGAAATTGCGACCGGGGCCAAGGACACCTGCGCAGAGTCAATCATCGACGGACGCGGCATTCCGAGAAGGGCCAGTGCCTACTTACCCCAGATCAGCGACGACGAGTATGTCACCTCGCCATGAGGACAGCTAAACCCACCCGCTGCATCAGACGTGCATACGCCGCGAATGCGGGTGATCATGAACACAGTCACACCGCACTGGACGACGGCACCGACCAGCGTGGCCATCCCCTGCGCGACAAACAGCGTCCGGGGCGCAATGTGGAGGTAGTGGGCCAGTTTCATGTCGGCCACGAATCTAGAAGGTCAGCTCGCGTCCACCACGGGTCCAAGACATGGGTAGACTTACTCGAGTCCCTGCGATACAGCCGTGTAGCCGTAGAACTTAAACGCCATATTTGCGACCGGCCGCCCGAGGAAGGCATAGCCTCCGATGAACTCGGTGATCAGGTTCAGCTGGTTGCTGGAAATGTTCGTGACGGCCTTGATGATGCCCACGGGGATGAAATAGAGGATGGGCAACACGAACGCTAGTAGAACCGCCCATGCCGGGAGGTCCGTGTGCCAGACCTCGTTGGTCACGATGCTCAGGACAAACATCAGAACGGTGACGCTGGCAAACCACCACCACGGCACGCTCTTATACTCCCCCATGATCCGGGCATGGACATCCCGTTGGTTCCGACCCTTCCATTGCTCGACCAGGTCTTTCCCGTGATACAATGCCACGTGAACGAAGATGCCGGTCAGGTTGGCAAAGGCCACGCCATAGGTCATGGCGTAGCCGGCGGGGAGAAACATGGGGGAGTAGTTGCGGTACGCCTCCACGTTGAACGTCCCATCGGCATTCATTACGCGGCTGGTGTTGTAGGTCTTGCCCTCGTTGTCGAAGGTGTTGGAGTTGAGCAAGGGCAGATAGGCCGAATACCAGGTGTTGGTGTAGTAGACAATCGGGCAGATCAGCCAGTAGAACAGCACAAAGGACCCCATAACATTCAGGCCCGCCCAGAACGGAACCAGCAGGGGGCTCTGGTTTGCGTAGACGACCTGCGCCCAGTCAAAGGTCAACAGGGACATCCCCAGTCCCGTCTTCTGGCCAAATAGCTGGTTCACCACGACATTGTTCGGGACGATCCAACAGATGAAACTGAACGTGCTCAAGGCCGTGAAGAGGTAGCCCGGGGCAAAGTACCAGATGGCTCCCGCCACGAACACGATCAGGAAGAACCGCAGCCGGGTGATGACCCAGCCGTCGGCCACCACATTCCTTCGCGAATGCAGGGTCGAGAGCAGGGCGGCGTTGGACAACACCTGTGGCCAAATCATGGTGGCCGGGCCCACAAGCCAGCGTGCGGCCATCCCCGCCAGCCCAAACCCGAACAACTGGGTGGTTATCACCAGCAAGATCTCGAAGCCCCCCCGGGACGGCATGTCATAGAACTTCACCATCGCCTCGATGACTTGGGTGGCAGCGGCCGACCCGAAGGCGACGTTGGCCATGATGGTGATCAAGGCATGCTCCTTGATGTTGAAATGGCGGTCCGGATTGAGCCAGCCCAGGGGCATCCATTGCGCCCACGCACATCCGATCGGATACGCCACGAGTTGTGCGACCAGGGAACTGATGGTTACACTGGGTTGTCTCAGACTAAAGAACTGGTTCAAGCCACTCCCGATCTGTCCTCCGGACATTCGTCAGCGGTTTGCTTTCCCGAACCAATCTTGCGATCGAGGGCTGGGCTGAATAACGTACGATAGTGAAGAGGATGCCAATCACCCACATGCGCAGGGTGTTGACGGGCAGCAGTTTATCGTCCGCCGGTCGCACGACCGCGCGCACCTCGGGGAAGGGCGAGTCGTCGGCCTCATAGGGGAGGATCTCCTGGGCGCGATGGTCGCTGAGGACGCTGGAGTCATCGGTCGCCTCGTTCCACGACGGCTCCTACACGGGACAAGGGAGCCCTATCAGCATTGCGGTACGGGGTAATAGACGAAAGAAACCAAGGATGATCCACAGCGGCATGTCAGGTTCGTGCATGTCTCACGTAGGATGCGTGCAGTGATGCGCTATGCAGGTCCAGGGAGGAGTGAGTAGTGTCGGACTGGGAACCACGTGAGGCTGGGGATGGTGATGGGTCATTGAATCATGATGGGTCGGCCATCATCTTCCTGGCGGGCGCATCTGTCGCAGAACAGAACAAACAACAACATGGAAAATATGAGTCGGGCCCACCTGGATCGTCGAGGACGACTTCTTTCCCTCCGTCATCCTGCAACTGGCCTGACTGGCCCCTCTGCCAGTGCGGTGCCACGAATCGGAATGGGCAGGTCAGATTATGCAAGGGAAGCCCGACTAGGCGTCCAGAAGGCAGGCTGGCCAGATAGATAGAGCCAATCTGACTCGTCCGGCTCAGTAGTAATATTCGATAATAATGATTATCAGCTGGGGCGGGAGTGTTTCGGCCGCGACGACGGTGGAGAGGCGCCGCTGCAATCAACCACGCCTCGCACCGGGCTGGGCCGACACTAACAGCTCGCGGTCTCTAGATATCTATCTATCGTCTCTAAAAGTAGGTATCTGGGAGTCGACGGGGGGATCCGGTTTCAGGGAGGACTTCACGATGCTGTGAACGGGGTAGGTGGAGAAGGGAGAAGACACTGACGTAGGAAGAAAGGGAAAGGGAAGGGGGAAGGGGAAGGAGAAGGGGGGAAACCTTGATCAATAATACCCTTCCAGCCAGCCTTCCAGGCTCCATCAATCACATTGCTATCACACTCACACTCACACTCACCCAACAAAGAAAGGTCTCCAGTCTCCACCCCCCCCCCCAAAATCCCCACCCACTATTTGCCCTGGGCAGGGCCACCGCATGGCCGGTCACACCTGATCGCCAGCCATGCTCAGATCAGGAAGGGCCCGAGACCTCGAGAAGTCGAGTGAGATGCAACCCATCCAGGCAGTTTTGGCCATCCCACCAGTCAGCATCGTCGACAGCGCAAATGCCCCCAAAATAGTGCCATCGTGGGCGCCAACGCCACCAGCGGGGGTAAACCTCTCTTGAAGTGCCGTTCTGGGGACCCCCAGGCGACGGTATCATTTATTATTGTTATTACGATTATTTTCATATTAGTTAGATATGCCCGGGTCGTGTACAGAGGAAAGGAATATCCAATGGACAGGTGGGCTATCAGCCTATGCCTACTTTGATGATTTTAGCTCCCCTGCGGGAACGGAATCCTGTGCGGTGTGGTGTGCCATGCGATATCGATAAATACTATTGTATGCATGAAAGACCCTCGGTCCGAGTTTCACCCATCTTCCATCTGATTTATTACCCCGGAACCTTGCTCGGCGATGGTCGAAGGCGCCGATTCTAACTGCGAGAGATTATCATTCCTCCCCCCATCCCCACGCACGAATTGCACCTGTCTGACTCGGTTCGGTGTTTAGGGGAAAAATCTGCCACCGATGCCATCCCCGGGGACGGGCAGAGGATGATGACATCAGGGAGGCACAGAGGCACAGCGGCACAGCGGCACAACGGCCTGGGGAGTGTGGAGTGCACGGTCAAGTACTATGCAGTGGGAGCCAGGATATGGTATGATTTGCAGTTCAATAGTAATATATCGAACATGGTAATCACAACGATTCATGTTCACGACAAACATCGCCCGAACTCCTCCGGTGCAGTGGCAAGTCTACCACCACTACCGTACTCATGTAGTTAGTATTAAAGGTGGAGAGACTCGACCGGGTCAGGTGCGACCAGCAAAAGCAGTGCATCCCGCCTCATGGCCTGCTGGGCCGGTTTTAGGTTGGCAACGGGATTTGGACGCGGACGGGGACTGCAAGCTCTGCAGGCTGCCCGCTGCACGTCCATCGGGGAGGTGGGGAGAAGACTACTACTAGATAGTACTCGGAGTCTCAGACCTTAGCAGCAGAGAAGTACTAGTAACTAAGTACTAGTAGGCAGTAACTGACCACGTACTACTGTCTCAGATGGCAGGATCACGTTAGTTCTTAGCATGGCAGCAAATTAGTGAGGAGAGGTCGGCATGAATACATTAGACTCGTAATAAAGTGTGCTTCTACTCTGTGTAGGCGCGGGTCTTCCCGGTCGCTGATCCCAACCGAGGTGTCGGCTTGCAGCAGCCACCAAGGGACGCCAAGGGGCGCAGAGGGAGGAGGTTTCACTTTGTTTGCTCGCTATTCTTGCTTCTTGATGCAGTGTAGATACTTGATAGGGAGGGGGTACCGTGACCGTGACCGTGACCGTGACCTTGACCTTGGGCTAGCTGCGTAATGAGGACAGCTATGGGCGATGACATACTGCGTAGAGCCGTAGTAGACTGCCTGGCCGCCCCGCCTTACTGCAAGGGGAATCCGGGCCGGGCTGCGCAGGCGTCCTGACTCTCTCTGACTACTCCGTACGGAGTCTGACTCTGCTTGCCGCCCTTGTCAACTGCTGTTAATTGTTATAGTCCGTTATAGTTCACTCGGGGTAGTTAATGGCTATGAGGTCAGTTCCGTTCTAACTAAACAAAGCGCCGTCTCTGCCTTGGTCAGAACCCAGGAATCCCACCCCCCTCTTCCTCTCCTCTGCCCACAGAAATGCAGATTTTTTTTTTCTCTTTTCTTGTTCTCTCTTTTTTTTTTTTTTTTTTTGGCGCGGAGGGGGAGGGGGGAGGGGACCCAACGGGGCCAACGGGTCGATGGTCAAACAACAGTGGAAGGGGGCAAGAAAAAAAAATCAAAACGAGGCGCCCACCCCCCCCCCCCCCCTCCCCAGCCAGGCCAGCCAGGCCAGAGCCCAGGGAAGGGAAGGGCGGCATTCCAAGTAGATAGATAGTTAACTGATGGAGAGACTCTTCTCGAGAAGAAGGGCTAAAAGGATCCACGGGCTGGCGGCTGATGGCTGAAGGGCGCGGCCAGTGAGAGACGGTAGGCCTTTTTCCCCCGCGGCGGTCGGCCCAACCTTCCGGCCAGTGGTTGGCCCATCTGGTCCAATTTGGTCCAACTCGGCCCATTTGGGTCGATTTGGGCCATTTGGTCGATTTGGTCGATGGCGGCCTCTGCCAGAGCCTCTCACTGTTGACGTCGGTGGTGCGCCTCGTCCCATCCGGTGGACCGCGCCCATCTGACACGAGCTCCTCCTCCAGTACGGCCTGCGCTGCTGCTGCTCGGCGCGCTGCTGCGCTGCTCTGCTCTAGTACTTACTCTTTCTTCTCTTTATTCTGCCTACCACCACTCCACTCGACTACTACTTGCCTTACTACTACTTACTTACTCACTCACACTTCCTGCCTTCCTGCTTGCTTGCCTGCCTGCCTGCCTGCCTTGCTTGGCTTGCCGGTCTGTCTCTCTTCATTCAGTACTTACTCTCCCCTTCCCCTCTCCCTCCCCTCTCCCTCCCCTCTCCCTCTTTCTCCCTCTCTTCTGTCCGCTTGCCTGCTCTGTCAGCCCTCATCATCGCCACCCCTCCCCTCCCTCCCTCTCCCCACCCAATTCATCCATTCATTTATTCACCCCCTTCGACCTGGCTCTACCTCTCCATCCGATCGGATCTCAACAGATCCCTCCATGCTCGACTCCCCTCTCACTGGCCCTGATGCTCACCACTCCCCACCTCCCCCTCCGCCGCCGCCTCAACCTCGCGTGAAGCCCCCGGTCCTCCCATGCGCGGTGGCCATGGACCTCAACAAGCGGCTGTTCCGCCTCGACATCGAGAACAAGCATCAACCCCAAACCCTCAACTTCTCCATGGTCACGACTCCCCCCGAAGACGAGGATGACGATGAGCGCAGCCATCTGAAGCTCGATGGCGAGCCCAATCTCTCCCTGCAGAATGTTGACTCCCAGTCTACCCCTGCCGATGGCAATGGCAACTTGAGCGCGCGGGAACCCCATCCCGCCCTGAGTCGCATCTTCCGATTCACCCCCACCCCAACCGTCGTCCTGGATCCGTCGTTGAAGGTCTTGGAGGTGTCCGATTCTCATGTCGCCTTTTCCGGTCTCCCTAGGGACGTGTTACTTCATAGCTTCATCTGTGACGTCTGGCCGCACACCATCCCGGCCCTGGATGTGGCCACTCTCTACGGCGCTCTGCGAGCGGCGCTCACGACGCGGGACGTCCAACTGATTGACCAGATCTGTCTAGACGATGCTAGCGCTTACTACAGTCTTCGCATCACCCCCATTTTTGAGAACACTGATCTCTTGTACGTGTTGCTCGAGGCAGTCAATGTTCCCCCGGCTGTGAAGCCGTCGATGGCGGACACTCGCCGGTCCTACGTCAATGACACCTACAAAGTCCTCCTGGATACCGTCAAGGATTATGCCATCTTCATGCTGGATACCTGCGGCAACATTGTCACCTGGAACTCCGGAGCGGCCATTCTGAAAGGATACACCGCCAAGGAAATCATCGGCCAGCATTTTTCCGTCTTTTACAGCCAGGAGGATCGCATGGCGGACAAACCAGGGAAGGAGCTTATAGTCTGTCTCCGCGAAGGCAAAGTCGAGGACGAAGGCTGGCGGTACCGGAAAGATGGATCGCGGTTCTGGGCCAACGTACTCATCACGCCGATGTTCGAGCTGGGCCGCCACATCGGCTTCACCAAGGTCACGCGAGATCTCACGGAGCGCAACGCGGCGGAGGCTCGCATGATCGCCGCCTTTGAGGAATCTTCGAAGCTGAAGACCGACTTTCTGGCTAACATGAGCCATGAAATCCGCACCCCTATGAACGGCATGCACCTGGCACTCACCTCCTTGATGGAGACGGATTTGAACGATCGCCAGCGTGAATATTCGGCCATCATTGAGGATTCCACTTCGGTTCTACTGCAGGTGATCAACGACGTCCTCGACTACTCGAAGCTGTCGTCTGGGACTTTCAGCTTACATCCGGATGTCTTCAGCGTCGGCAACGTCACCGGCGCTGTGGTGCGCAACTGCAAGGGCTCCCTGAAGCCCGGTGTTGAACTGACCAGTTACATACCACCCAACTTCCCGACCCAGGTCGATGGTGACCCTTTACGTTATCGCCAGGTGCTTCAAAATCTCGTCGGAAATGCGGTCAAGTTCACCGAGTCGGGTTACGTCAAGATATACACGTCTTGCTCGGAGGACAGCAATGACCCCAATGTGTTGTACATCTTGACCGAAGTGGTCGATACAGGAGTGGGCGTCCCCGAAGATGCCATGAGCTCCTTGTTCACCCCATTCACGCGGTTCGCTGATTCTGGATCGAAGAGATACCAAGGCACGGGACTTGGGCTGTCGATCTGCAAGAGCTTGGCGGAACTCATGGACGGCAAGGTTGGATATCGGCCTAATAGCCCGGGACAGGGTAGTGTCTTCTGGCTGACAGCCAAGATGCGTCGTGCGAACACAAATCCGACGGGTAAGACGTGCGGGTCTTCGGTTGAGAACATCGATGACACGGTGCAAAAGCTCCACAGCATCGCGCCTCACAAGCACGTTCTCCTGGTCGAGGATAATCTGGTGAACCAGATGCTAATGCTCAAGCTTCTCCAAAACATGGGGTTCGCCCGGGTGGACACGGCGTGGGATGGGGCGGAGGCAGTCCGACTGGTCAAGCAGCAGCCCTTGTCCTACAACACGATTCTCATGGATATCGGCCTCCCGGTCCTGGATGGCCTCGAGGCGACACGACAGATCCGACAGATGGGTCTCGACGTCCCCATTATTGCGCTCACGGGCAACGTCATGAAGGAAGACGAGAAGCAGTACCTGGCTTCAGGAATGAACGACCACATCGGGAAGCCGATCCACCAGAAACAGCTCATGCGACTGCTGTGGAAGTGGATGGGGACATGACGGGACCTCGATCCACCGCTGAACCTCGTCTCCCTAGCAAACGATCGGCTAATCCGATTCTTCTAGACTCGTGACAGCATGACCTTCGGCCGCTGACGCGAACCCCTGCTTGGCTGTCTGGCCGTAACCCGCAGCGGATGCTGGGATAGGCTCCCTGCGAGCATAAAGCGCCTCTATCCCTGTAGGGTTGCCTCGCGCTACCCCCCGAGATGGGACATGCAACACCACCTACCATTCATCACTCCGGCAGTGATAAAATCAGACCCGCCCATTGTCCACCGCACAGAGCGGCGCGACGGGGCAAATGTGTACTGCGAAGAGCTTTACGCGCTCAACACAGAGATCTTCCTTCTCTGGATACCGCAAATGGACCAGAGCGTTACATTACAGTATGGACTTACATGGCGTGCATATCCATCCATCCGCACTTGGCTAATACTACCGCTACCTGCTTGCCTGCTTGCCTGGCCACCCTTTCATCTTAAGACGATACATGGGGGAATATACCATACCCACGTCGGTTCTAGAATAGAGGATCCGATCCCTACCTACCTATCATATTAGCTCCGTACCTCACGGTACCAAAACAAACATTCACATATTCTATCTAGTCTAGAAATTCGCCGCATTGGGCTATTATGACCAGCGGGCTTGGCTACCCTGGTCTTGAATTTACATATTTGGCCTTGATTGATATCTATCCATAGGTAGCTATACTATATAGATTGGAAGTCGACACCATATGCTCGATATTGAATCTTGTTGTCTTTCCTCCTTCCTTCCCATGGGCGTGCTGCTCTGTGGGGGAATCGAAAACATATTCCTACCTGTTTGAACCTCCCCGACCTTATCAACTATTATCAACTATCCATACCCATCTATGTCTCTCCACGGCGGAACTTCCAGGCTCCAGTAAATCCAGAACGATTCCACATTTGGGCCAGAATCCGAACCACAACACCGTCATCCGGTAGGAAGAAATAAAATTCACCTGACAGGTCCGAACCCGGTGTGAACCTAGGTAGACGGTAGACAGTAGACAGTAGACTGTGTCGATCACTACATCGGTATAGGTAGGTAGTATAGTAGGTGGGTAGGAGGTAGAGTGACTACCATCCCACGTGTCCCCGCCAACTACCGCAGCAGCAGGACTAATTGTCCTCCAGGTTTCCAACACTCCCCGGAGATACCACCTACCTTACCTGTATCTCCTACACATCGATCCTTATCTACCTACCTACTCTACCTCCACAAGCTCAGGCCCAAGCTAAGCTCACCAACCAACCGAAATGGATACTCCAACCCCCCTCATCCACGGAACAAAGTGCTCAGAGCCTGCTATCGGCCGCATACCTACCTACCTACCCACCTACCTACCTCTGACGCGGCGGCTTTTCGAAGCTAAATCCTGAACGTGAGCTCAAACCCACGGATCCTGATAGATAATTAATTAACCGACCATTGATCTCAACGGCGCTGTTGGAGCCGTGGATGAGCGAGCGGACTTGGAGTTAGAGTTAGAGTTAAAATTCTGATGCTGATGCTGATGCTGAAGCTTCCTCCGGGAAAGGGTAAGGAAGGTGGCATGGTTGGCTCGTTTTGGGTTTCCTAGTCGGGGTTTGCACAGAACAGGATTTGGGGGATTCCGGGGTGTTCGATTTTTATTCGGGGTTGAAGTCTAGTTTCTTCAGAGGAGGGTGAGGATGTGGAGGGAGGTGATTTTGCCGCGTTTGAGATGATGATGATGATGATGATGCTGGCTGGCTGGGTATTTGGGGCTTTTGTTTCTTGTCTTGGAACGCGAATTGGATTTGGTTTGGCTTTGCTTTTGCGTTTGCTTTTGGAGGTATGTGCGTATGTACCTCATCATACCACGGATGATGACGGTGCTGAGGTGGATGATGGATGTATAGTAGTATGGGATCAGGGAAGGGGTACTAGTTACTATAGGTATAGTATAGTACACTCTCAGTATGCACAAAGTGTCGGATGGCCAATCAACCCATGCTTCATTATCCCCATATCTCGTGAGTACAACAACCACCTTAATCCATACATATCAAAGTCAATGATCTATTATTATATTATTTAACCCGCGCGCCAGCCCTCCACGGGACCATCACCGCACGGAAACCGCTCCTTCATGGAAATCGTAACTATATCCATCCATCCATCCAGCCAGCCAGCTGCATGCATCATCTGGCACGCATGCACACGCGCGCCACACGGCAGACAGGGTTGAAAAAAAAATGAAAAAAAGGGGGGGGCACAAATGGGCCATTTAGACCATAAACACCAGGCAAAATATGATGGCAGGAAGAAAGAGAAAAAGTAAATGAAGCAAGACCTTTTTTGAACTGAATGGGGTTCAAACAAGGCTGCCGTCAATGTAAAATGTGCTTTCATACAATAATATAAACAAACAAGTTCCGTAGGGGGTAGGGTTATACCACCCTGGGAAGGGAGGAGTGTTGCAACGGGGTTGTTGCGAGACATGTGCTGCTAATTAGAGCGATGCCATCGTTGCCTGCGGTTCTAGGCTAGGCTAGTTCTTGGACTTGACGGGCTCGCCGTTCACCAGCACCTGCGGGGTCTGGTTCTCCTTGCTGCGAGCGTTGAGGGTGGGCTTCTCGACACCCGAGGCGACGGCAGCGTAGGTGTCCTCCTCCGGCGCAGGGACTTCCTCCTCCTCCGAGTCTTCATCCTCGCTTCGTTCGTCCTTCTTGATGCTGGTGAAGAGGTAGTTCTTCAGGATGCGCAGGATCAGGAACAGCCAGAAGAGGTTCACGGCTTGCAGACTGGCCAGCAGGGCGAACGTGATGTACTGACTAATCCAACACTTGTACTGCTGGGTCTCCCAGTTCAGCTCGAAAGGTCCAACCGTGCGGAACTCGGTCAACACGGCCCACAGGATCTTGAGGTTCAGGTAGTGGCGGAGGTAGATCCACATGAAGACGAAAAACCCGAAATACGGCGCGGTGATGGGCAAGTCGAGGTAGTTGAAGGTTTTCGAGGTCTGCATGCAACATGATCAGTACGAGGCAGAACAGCAGATTGCGATAATGGGCTACTCACCGCAAGGAAGAAATCGGAGATGTCGTGGGTGATATAGACAGCAATGCCCATGTGCGCGAAATGGAAGCGATAGCTCAGACCGATGAGGGCAAGGGTGATGATGTGGTGCGCGACCAGCTCCTTGAAGTCCTTGCGCGGCTTCTCCAGCATGAGCAGCAGCACGATCGCCTGCTGCGCCCAGTAACTCGCCTCCAGCAGATAGAAAGCCTTGAACAATCCTTCATGCTCCCGGTGCGGAAATCCCTCAAACATAGCAGTCGTGTTGAAGTACCAAAGATCGGACCGGCTCATCACGTACAAGCCGAACGGACCGAAAATCGAGAAGTACATCGCCGTGTACACCTGTTCCATGAACCGTGCAGTTTTACCCCGGCCACGAATCCCGCAGTACACCGCAAACGGCCGGATCACGCGTTGCATGAGGAATTCCCGAGTGAAGGACAGGACGACGATGTAGAACGAAACGAACGTGATATCCTTCGGTCCCTTTCCGTACATGATCGGACCGCCGGGGTATTTCGGAGGTTGCGGATAGGACAGGAAGATGGCGCTGTGCATCGGATTGGACTCGGTCGGGTTGACGGCATACAGCGCGAGGAGGACAACGAGGATGAGCAGAGGCAGCACCCACGTGTGCTTGAGGCAGGTGTCCTTGAAGCGACGGAGGATGGACTTCTTGCGACGCTTGGTGTGCGGCTTGGATGCGGAGGCTTGAGACTGCAGGACCTAGTCCAAGAGTGAGCGGGGGAGGATGACGCCGGCCAAGGCCGATCTCGAAGTGCCGGAGGGTCATACCTCGTCCCATTTGGGGGCCTGTGGTTCAATGGGACTGACTTCGTTCATGGTCGACATGGCCGGAGCGCTGGTGTCGCCTCGGATGTCCGCCCCCAGGTTACTCGACTTTCTCCGTACACGAGCCATGGTGAATCGAACGGAACGACGGAACGAGGTTACGTGGCGCGCGACTCTTCCTGATCTCGACGGCCAAGCAGCTGTTTGTTGCACACCTTTATCGGAGACAGTGGGAAGAAGGCGCGATAACGTGCGGGAAAAAGGGCCGAGCGTCGCGGAATGGACGAGAGGACGGCGAGGGGAGGGTAGCACACACGCGACCAAGATCAATTCCACGAAAAACCACGATCGGGGAAGTTCAACGGAAGGGTAACATGGACCATTAAATAATTGGGGTACAAGAAAGGAAAGAGAGGAGGTGGGAGGGAGTGGGAGGAGGGGGGGGAGAAAAGGGAGACGAGAAGAAGACAGATTAGATTGAAGTCGGAGTCGGAGAAGGAAGAGGACGAGACGAGACGAGACGAGACGAGTTCGGGTTGATGTCAGTCGTGCGAGATCCACCCGCCCAGGGGCTCCTCTTTTTTTTTTTTTTTTTCTTCTGTTGCATCTCCACCCTCACCAGCCACGATCGTCGGGATGTCGGACCATTCCCTCGGGCTATCCTGTTCTTATCCTAGCCTGCACATCATTATTGGACCCGAACATGGTCATCGCCCTGTTTATGAATGTATATCTACACAGTAATGGAGGCTGTCCGGAGTGGTCGTGGCCTTGGCCTTGGCACTGGAACGAATACGATTCTCCTGGAGCGAACTAATGTGTAAGGAATTAAGGAACTCCACATGGGATTCCCATCTCTAATCTCGAACTATATCTATCTACGCGACGCAAAAGAGTTGACCCAAAAGTAGGTGGACGTTTGCAGCCTACTCGGTAGTCTCGTACTAGCGTCGGATGGATATCCCTCCGTGCCACCTCGCAACGCTAACATCATTACCGTCCACCAACACGGAGCTGTTGCGATTGGTTGCCCTCGTTCTCCCTGCTCGGAGGCTCCTTCGAAGCAGACCTATACTCCTATGGACAGGCGTTCTCTACCAACAATATCTGCGTGTCTGCGAACGCTGCCCCTTGGCGGCATCGGCCTTTTATACAAGGGTTAGTTATCTGCTCCGGAGAACTCCGGAGACTCCGGAGAAGCGGACGGGGGGATCATCATATCTCTCCCAATTTCATCCACAAGTCTTCTCTCGGACTCCATCCATTCTCGGTTCAAGGGAGTCAACGTATCAAATGTTTGGGCTCGGCCAAAGTCTATCCAGCCTGCCCTTCCAGGACTTCCACCAACAACCATCATATTTCTGGGGTGAGGATCGCCGTGTTCGATGAGAGCGTCATGTATGTCTGCAATTCCTTTTATGAGCCACTCCATGCTATCTTTGGTATAGTTTTCGAAGGTAAGCATCTACAGATCGGGGATGTATTCCAAAAATACGGCGTTTGGTGCGAGTTCATCCTGGAGAAACATGTCGAGGTACGGTTGATGCAGTGTAGGATCGATCTTCTCAAGTGTGCCGTAGAATCGCGGTACAATGCCACGGTCACATAAGCCCTTGGCTTCCAAACGACGATATGCTTGGGATTCGCAGACAAAGATATTATTCTCCCGGTTTCGCGATGCAAATGGATCAGGCCAGTAATCATGATGCTTTCTATTATTAGACCTCCACCCAGTAAGATTTTGAAGCTCACTGCTACCACTTTCATCACCATAGGAGCATCGTCGCGAGATACGAGATAGATGACTGAGAACGGTGATGAAGACAGCAGCTTCTTAAACTGTATATCCGGTATAGGTTGTGCCATATTCTTAACCAAGACCAAGTCTTTGGAAGTGACCACCAGATCTTGACAGAAGGAGACGCTTACAACAATTCACAAACGAAGATGAAAGAGTGGAATCCACCGGCATCTCCTTGTCCAGAACTTATGATGTATTCACAACTTATAGCAGGAGTACTCCGTAACTAGATAGTCATAGTTGACAGCTCCGACTGCTGACCTAAGCGCGCGACACGGTTGCTGGGGTAGCCGCGCCAGTGGGCGCGTTAAGTGGTTTTTCCCGCAGTCGGGCTGGCCGATGCGGTCAGGATCCATCCACATCCATGCAGTCAGGATGATGCCTGACAACCGCCTGCCCCAGGAGCGATGAGCTTCACGCTGCAGCACGCCGATTCTTTTCTATTCTTTAGATGCACTCAATGCCCGACTGCCGCAGTGCTGCCGATTCCAACCCCCACCACCCCCTGTTAACCACACACCGCCGCCTGTCATCCTCACCCCGATGCCGCCCCGTCAAACTTCCCCGCTCTCGTTGGAAACTTGCTCGCCTTCCCCGCCGGATATCGATGCGGATCTTCTCGTCGGCTCCGACGATGAGCTGGATGAAAATGAACGTGCAGCCCAGCGTCAACGCATAGAGAAACTGGCAGAGTCCTATCTCCACGGCACCCCTCTGTTCATCCTCTCTGCCTCGCTCCGCGGGCCCTTGGAAAAGGGTTGGGTCAATCCCTGGAGGAAGAACAGGCGGAAAGTCACTGGCTCGGAGCAGAAAGGAGGACAAAAGTCGAAGGCCACGGAGCGGCCTACTATCCCCGAGACGAACACCCGGAAACGGCCCCTATACCGTGATTCTCAAGACCCCCACCACTCTAAGCCCCCATCCCTCATTCAGACCCGGTGTACTCGTCCAAAGAGGAAGCTCGAAGCAGTGCTGCTCGTGAACCGGCGTCTAAACGAAAACGAGCGCGAGATGGCCGCAGTGGGACAGCAAGTTTGATTGGCACGCCGAAGCGAACAATACCGGGGAAGAGGGCGGTCGAATCAAGCGGGCCAGCGAGTGCTTTGACCTCGTTCCAACATACAGATGAAAGATGGTTGAAGAAGGATTGCGCCGGCATTGGATTTCGCAAGGTCGATCCCCCTACGTCTCCTACGGCTTCCATTTCGTCTCGACATCGGGAAGCAAAAGAAAGTACGATCCAAGTTCCCGGCACCACCTATCGAATCACAACGAAGCCTTTCCGGAGGGACCGTACATACTCGCACGATGACACCACTGCCGGAACCCTGATACCAGATAGTGTCAAGGCCCAAATCAATAACAAGCAGGCTGATGCCCAATCGAATACACAAGAACCTCCTTCAGAAGCGGATGACCGGCAGAATTCTCTTCATGTCGTTTCCTCAACATCCTACCTACCAAAATTCGAATACCGTCGCACAAAATATACCACCAATACCACCGATACCGAGTCTTTAGTCATGAGCCATACGGAAAATGAGCAATTTCCAGGGCAGGCAACTGCTGCTGATGATGAACAGGTTCAACCGGCTCCAAGCGCTGCTTCAATGCAGGTCATTGAAGCCGACGTACGTCAAAGCGATCAAAATACTAGTAGTTCACACGTGCTCAGACAATCTGACACTACACATAACCAGTCTACATCACGGTCAAGAAGCGTTCAGCCCCTCAACGGTCCCTATGGGGTGAACATCAGCGATAGATTTACTTCCGCACAGCAAGTGCCTAGGAACCCCGCCATGGAGCATGCCCCGTCACTTCACACGATTTCCGCCGCCAAGCCACACTCTGAATGCGATGCGGACACCATACCGGATCAGTTCAACACACAGGCTGCTCTATTAGATGCACAGAAGTCTTTTCAGAATGATTTGGATAGCCAGGAGCAAAGTCCGGAGGGAACGCCAAATCGCACTTCATCACCCACCAGCAACATCACACCTTTCTATCGCATGAATACTCCTGACAGGGTGGGTCAGTTCTCTCGAGTCAGAGCGCCTGGAACCGCGCGATTACCACTGATGAGTACGCAATGCATTATCGACGCTGTCACCCCATTTACATTCAGTACGGAAAAGAAAGCCAGGCCTCGATTTATATCTCCCCAGGAAATGTCAAGCCGGAAGGAGCCCATGACCGTCAGTTTTAACATATCGTCGCCGCCTCCATCCGAGCCTGATAACCATGACGATCCGACCATTATACCGCCCCAATCACCTATTCATCAGTACACTCCAGATGACGGCCAAATTAGTCCACTGCCGATGGCCTTCTCGAGCACGAATCCGCCGACATACCAAGACGGCCAGGGTGCCGCCCCTGGTGCAGACAGCTTCAATGAAAGCCAAGCCATTGCCGAGATAGGTAGCTGGTTACAGCAGAGCTTCGACGTTAATAATGAAATCCAACAATGCAGAAATACGAAATCTGGCCCTTCCTCTTCTGCGGGCATCGGTCGCTCCACAGTCAGCTTGAACACGCCCACCTAGCATTTGGTGCGCATCACAGACATATATCTTATTGTTGGGCAAAGCAAGTTCTTGATATTCGCATTGAATGCGGGGCTTTCACTATCTTATTCCGTTCTTTTGCTGTATATTTTTTTGGCTCTGTTCTTACCCTTTCTTTCGGTCTCCAGGCTCGGGCAATTTGGATCATAGCATATAAGGTTAGCGGATTGATATCCTTGTTAATAGAACTATAAACCAACTTTGAGATGAGTGACAGACATATAGTAGTATGGATGGTACAGCTGCCATATGGCCAACATTGGCAGAAAATACTACTAGTAGTGAGTGAATTGTCGAACGGCAGAAGGGTGTCTGTACCCATGAGGTTTGTATATATCATGATATTCATGGTGTTAGAAGCGACTCCAACGGACTGTTTCCCGTAAAGACATATCCAGGGATGTCAGGGCTTCCATGGTAAGCGCCTGGCTTAGACCACACGCCCCCATGCCTATCTACATGATATTTCTCCGGACATGCATAGAATTGAGAAGGACAATTCGCCGGCCACGAAGGCAGCGGTGGCCCGATGACGTGTGGTTGTTTAGGCGGAGCTGCGGCGCTAGCGCCGCGGAGGGCGGAGCTCATCCACCCACACTTGGCCTGGCCGAACTGTCACTCCAGCTCCGTTCCCATCCCACCCACATCTACCCTCGTCCGTCAGTCCATGGCCTGCGCCGTGTCCCGATGGCGTTGACATCAGTAAGAGCCAATCTTTTCCATGTGGGGGCGCGATCGCAGACTAATCTCAATCTCTCTCTCCCAGTGGAAAGCATTTAACTTCTTCGACGTCTCCTCCGTGAAGCTCTCGGAGGAGAGCTCATCCGTCTTCAATGTACCCCCCCCCTCCCCTCCCCAAGTGCTGTCGCGACAATATCTAACATCGGAATGGCGACAGTCTGATATCCTGTCCCTTTGCACCGGCTCTGCAAATGTCTTCCTCGGTTCCAACGATGGCTTTGTCCATATCATCTCCTCTAATTTCAAGCTCGTCCGATCGTTCAAGGCGTCCGACACCGGCTCCATCGCACATATCAAGCACATAGAGGGGACGTCCCTACTGGTCACTATAGCGGAGGAACTTCCGAATGAGGCGATATTGAAAGTCTGGGCGCTTGATAAGGCCGAAAAGAAGACTGGTGCCCCCCAGTGTTTGTCGACCACATCGGTTCAGAATGCGAGGCGCATATTTCCCGTACGTACAGTCGGTCTATCATTATGCGTGGTCTGCGTTGGGCGAGTGCTAAACAATGCGGGGATAGGTATCCGCATTCGCGGTTCTTGATGACGTGTCGCAAGTGGCTGTCGGGTTTGCGAACGGGTCCGTCTCGATCATTCGCGGTGACTTGATCCATGACCGTGGCGCGCGGCAGCGGATTGTGTTTGAGTCTGAGGAGCCGATAACCGGGCTTGAAGTACAGAGTGGAGCCGTTTCGACTTTGTATATCTCTACCACGAGTCGCATCCTGGCCTTGATCATCTCCGGTAGGGGACAGGGCCAGCCGGCCCGTGTGCTCGATGACACGGGCTGTGCTGTCGGTTGCATGAGCCTGGATAAGGATACGGGCGATGTTCTTGTCGCCAGGGAGGATGCGATATATACGTACGGACCCCATGGGCGTGGCCCCAGTTATGCTTTCGAGAGCCGCAAGGACTCGATCAATATATTCAAGGACTATGTGACGCTGGTCTGTCCGCCCAGAGACACCAGCTCAAAGCCAGACACTTTGCGGAGCATTGCTACGGATGAATTCAGGACGACTACGTTCACCCTCCTCGATACTGATCTCAAATTCATCGCACACTCCGAGTCCCTTGTGTCTGCCGTGAAAAACATATTCATTGAGTGGGGGGATCTATTCCTCCTTACTACGGACGGAAAGGTATGGAATTTCCGCTGACAGTTGGAACCATGGCTCACATCACTAGCTCTACCGATATCGCGAAAAAAGCCTGCAGCAAAAGCTCGAGATCCTTTACCAGCGCAATCTCTACATTCTGGCGATCAACCTAGCACAGAAGACAGGTGTCGACACTTTTCAACAGAATGCTATCTATCGGAAATATGGCGACTTTCTGTATCAAAGGGGAGACTATGATACGGCCATGCAGCAATATCTCCGGGCGATTGATAACACGGAACCGTCGCAGGTTATTCGCAAGGTTGGACTCCCGCACCTGCCCGTAACTGGGACCCTACTGACTGTGATATAGTACCTCGATACGCAACGGATACATAACCTCATCGAGTATCTTGAAGAGCTTCACGACCATGACCGGGCTACAGTTGACCATACCACATTGCTTCTGAACTGCTACGCAAAGCTTAAGGACACAGGCAAACTAGATGCGTTTATCAAAGCTCCTGGCGAGCTCAAGTTTGATCTGGAGACTGCTATCGCCATGTGCAGGCAAGGTGGCTACTACGAGCAAGCCGCCTACCTGGCTACCAAATATGGCGAGAATGACATGGTGGTTGATATCTTGATTGAAGACTCCAAGAAGTATGCAGAAGCCGTGGAATATATCTGGAGATTGGATCCAGAGCTGGTTAGTCTTCTTGCTTTTCTTACGAGCTCTATTTTGCATGGCTAACAAATCCAAGGCCTACCATAACCTGACGAAGTACGCCCGAGTCTTGCTCTCGAATTGCCCTGAGAAAACAACCGAACTGTTCGTCAAGTACTACAAGGGACAGTATAAGCCAAGAACCGAAGTCGACCTGCCTCCGGTGGAACCACAAGCGCAACCGAGCAGCACTCTGCAGAGCTTAGCCGCTTTTCTCCCTCTGCCTTTGATGAACGCTGGCTCGGGTACCAAGCCAGAGGAGGCTGAAGTATTGCCGCCAGCAGAGGATGAGGTTCCCGAGCCGTATATAGTCTATCAAATCCCGAAACCCAGAACGGCGTTTTCGGTTTTTGTGGGCCACCCGGATGAGTTTATCTTATTCCTGGAGGCACTTATTGACCAAGACAACCTGAAAGAGGATAATAAGGTGGATCTTTATACAACGTTGTTCGAGATGTATTTGGACACCGCGAGTCGGAAGAGGGGCGTGACTGAAAAGGAAGAGTGGGAAACCAAAGCCAAGAAGCTCATTGAGGGCAAGGATGTGAGAGCATCATACCGTACCTGACTTTCTTGACTCATACTGACTCATTCAGATTCCTATCTCGACCTCAAGCGTTCTTTTGCTCTCAGATCTGTCCGGATTCCGCGAGGGATCAACACTGGTACGGGAACAAGAAGGTCTGCGGTCAGATATCTTTAGGTCATTTACTTCTGCCAAGGACACCCAGGGTGCCATCAAGGCACTGAAAAGATATGGTCCGGAAGAGCCTCAATTATATGTCGACGCTCTCACGTACTTTGCTTCAAGTCCTCGAATTCTGGAAGAAGCTGGGGAGGAATTGGATGTCGTCCTCAAACATATCGATGAGGGAGGTCTGATGACGCCCCTTCAGGTCATTCAGACACTGAGCAACAACGCCGTGGTGACGATGGGTCGCGTCAAGAAGTACCTCAGCGAAAATATTGAGCGAGAACGCAAGGAGATATCCACTGTTGGTTGCCCCCCGGTTGTTGGCTCATTCAGGACTAACGTCGCACATAGAACCGCCGCTTGATTTCCAGCTACAGTACGGAAACCGAGACTAAGAGGAAGGAACTTGAGGAACTGGGTAGCAAACCGGTCGTTTTCCAGGCCCGTCGATGCATGTCCTGTGGCGGCACCCTGGACCTTCCTACGGTCCACTTCCTCTGCAAACACTCCTTCCACCAGCGCTGTCTGAACAGAGTGGACGAGGATGCGGAATGCCCGGTCTGCGCCCCTCAGAACTCCACGATCAAAGCTATCCGGAAAAGACAAGTCGAGTCGGCAGACCAGCACGAGCTGTTCAAGGGCGAGTTGCAGCGGTCGAAGGACCGATTCGGGGTGGTCAGCGAGTTCTTCGGTCGGGGTGTGATGCGGCCACAAAGCACGATGGAGTGAGTAATGAGACATGTAATCAGACCAGATACCTTTATGTAGATAGATACACATTGTTTCTCTTTTGTCGTTTGCGCACCTTGGAGTATAGACAACAGAACCGCCCGGAAGAGGAAATCCCATGCCTCAGGCAGCCAGGCCTTATCGGCACGTGCTTTCGCGTTTGCTGCGAATCGCCGATTTGCGGGACGCGAATTAATTGCTCGCATCCGGAGACGTGCATCCAAGTCGCATCTCCATCTCGACCCCTCCGCACTTTCCACGCAATGTCCTCGCATCGCGTAATCCAGGACTCCGACGATGAGGATGACCCCTTGGTGGGGCCCGAGGCCGATACCACGCACGTTGACATGCAGGACGGCCCAGCACACTACCACCAACCGCAAGAGACAGGTCACGGCTCGCATATGAACGTCAACTTCGACCAATTCCTCAAATCTCAAGAGTCGGTCCCTCTGGGTCCATCTTCCTCTCAACAGCGGAGAGAAGAACGATGGATTCCTGCTAAGATGGGGCGCGGATCATTGGGTGAGAGATTCTTGACTATCATTCGCGAAACACTACGGTTCGCATGCTAAAACAGCCATTGTTGTATAGGCTCGATGATGACAGAGATCGGAATGGCGCAGCAACGATTATTCGACGACGACGAAGCCCAATACGTCGACCATACTCGGTATGCGGAATTGGCGCAAGTACCTGTTCAGGAACAGGCCGCTCCGGAATTGGAATTGCCTGCGCCGGGTGGGATAAATCACATCGACCATGGCTATATTGAACTTCCGGAACAGCACGACGAAGATACCCTGTCTGATCTACAACCGACCCTTCCCGATCCTCCGCTACAACACGTACCCGGACAGGAGCCGAGTTTCTATGAGCCAACGCAAATAGACCCCCTCCCCCTCCCCCACACCCATGAACCAACTGCGCAGACGAGAAAACGAACAAGCTCCAACTACACTCTTTCCACAGGAGCTTCCTATAACATATTCGAATCATCTCTTCGTCCGTCTGACAATTCCTATCCGGAGAGCAATCACCCTCCCACACATTCTACCGGGTCCGGCCTTGCATACAAATCCCCGCGACGACATAACTCGGCGCTCGTCGACCCGTACTCACCACACGACACTGAGCCTTTCTCCTCTGCTAGACTCAATAGATCGAAAAGCGACAATGCGGCACAACAATCTCAGCATAGCGTCGATGAACTCGCTGCACCCGTTCCAGTTCCCGTTCCCGCGCCCGCGCCCGCTTCCATCCCCGGCGTCGAGAAGAAACGAGGCCGGAAGAAGAAACAAAGTCTCCCTGAAAACGACGAGGACGATGATCTTGCTCATCATAATCCTCCAGTCATCCCCGATGGGACGGTCAGTCTTAATAAACCCGAGAAGCGCAAACCCGGCAGACCACCGAAGAACGCAAAACCACTACACGACGACCAAAACGACGAGCACGACCTTCTCCTTGGTCCTGAAGAACCAGATCCAGCTCCCACTCTTCCAAACAACCCAGACAACACTTCCGCCAACTCTCTCCCTCTCACCATCAACGAATCCCCAGAAATCCCCACCGACCCATCACTACCTCCACAAACAGAACCCCCCGTCCCCAACCCAAAGCCCTCCAAAAAGTCCCCCAAAGAGCCCAAGAAGAAGAAGCTCAAACGCGGAAAAACAATGTCCATCACCCAAACGAAAACATACCACTCCGACATCGAAGAGGACGTTATATGGGTGGACGAAAGACCTCTCGTCCCTCCTGGTGCTGATAAACCACTACCACCACCACCACCACCACCTCAAGACCATCATCGCCCTGCAGACGAGCTAGAGGAACAACAGAACCCAGAACCAGAAGCAGAGGACACTACTCTCCCCGATGCGGCCGCAGCGACAGCTGCACGAGAACCAGAATCTGTACCTGCACCCCCCGCGCCCAAAAAGCGCGGACGCAAAAGGAAGAACCCCGTCGACGAACCACCACCACCAATACAAGAAGAAGAGCAGCCGCAACAGCACCAAGGGGCAGAAGATCTGGTAGTAGATCCAACCCCAAATCCAGAACCAAACCCAGAACCAGAACTACAACCAGACCATACACACCACCAGCACCACCATAACCCGAACAAGACCCAACAACCCCCAGCACACCCCTAAAACCAACCAAAGGGCCCTCAAAACACAGTCCCATATCATCCACCAGCAAAGTTCCCTACCGGGTCGGATTAAGTCGCCGAGCGAGAATCGCTCCGTTGTTGAAGATTGTGAAGCGGTGATATTTACCAGTCGGGCTGGGCGGTAGTTCTTTTCTTTCTCTGTAGATGGTTTATTTATATTGTGGGGTGGGTGGGTTTATATTATATGACATTATATGGTATGGTATGGCATGGCCGGTGTTATGGTTTGAATGGGGAATGGGTGGATTGCAGGATACCAAGGCGGCGTGATTAACTTTGATATTGTTTCCTCTTATACCTTATGCTGAATGATACATATCGTGTCGCTCGAGGGAGGCGGCGACTGAGCCCTGACGATAGAGTGTCTGGGTAAACTACCATTCTAAGGTGCAAGTTTAGCGATCAAGAGCTTCATTGAGGCTTCACTGCGGTAAGACTAATCTCTACTAAGAGTACAAAACACCTTTTTGGATGAACGCTCAGCCCTGAGTCCTCCACCTGGACAACCCCCCACCGACTGTACACACCTCTGACTGTATACAGCAAAGCACTTTATATACTAAAGAAGGATTTAACTCGCCGGATCCTGTGTCTCGGCTCAATCCATCAGCACCACAAGGAATAACAATAGTAGCACCGCCACAGACGGGCTTAGCTGCAGCAAAGACCTTGCTTCCGATTTGGCCGGCTTCTTGGTCGACTTGGACTTGGACTTGCCAGCATTCGGATCCGAGGAAGCACCACCACCATGCATGACAGATCCAGCGTCGTCACCACAGTAGCCATTGTCAGGCCGGCATCCAATTCCGCAGAAGGAAGACATGTTCCCACAGAAACCGGTGTCACTGCAGCAGGGACCGAATCGAGACCCCAGGCAGGTCACGTTTCCACCGCACATCCCGTCAACTGAGACGGTCTTGGTGACCGAGTGCTTAGACTTGGACTGGCGTGGGATCCGTTCGTCAAAGTTATCGTCCTTGCGGTACCAGAGCTCCGGGGGGTCTCCCAAGCACTCGCCAACGGTCACCGCTCGATAGCCCTCGGCCGTCAGTCTTTTTAACATGTGTTCGGTGAGATTGTGCACGGTTTGCTCGTGCACATCGTGGGCAATCACGAGCCAGGGTCTGTTGAATGCGTCCCGAGAGTCCAAGCTGCGATCGAAAATGTCTTTGGAGCTCTGGATCGCCTCCGGACTATCATGGCTGTAGTCCTCAGTATCGATGTCGTACAGGATGACATGGTACCCGAAGGTGCCCATATCCTTGAGACAACCAGATTCCTCCGTACAGCTAGAGTAAGGAGGGCGCATGTAAGTGGGAATTGCACCTAGAATGTTACGGAGGGCGACCTCGTTCCATAGCAGCTGCGCCCGACGCTGGGATTCCGAGACCTTGCTCAGGTCCTGGTGCGACCAAGTGTGACTTGCGATTTGGTGTCCGCTGCGGTGCATGCGTTGGATGAGAGATGCCCAGGGCATTCCGGGGCTGTCAATCTGGCCCTTGGCGTTGTTGTTCCCCGTAACGAAAAAGGTCACCTTGGCGTCATATTTGTCAAGAAGATCGAGAAGATCTTGGGTGTATTCTTTGGGACCATCGTCGAACGTAAGGGCAATGGTTCCTGGAACAGTGCAAGAGCGAATAAAACGCGGACCGTAGGGAACAGCACCAGCCAAGGTCCGAGGGATCTGGTCGGTGGGTGCACCCCCGGGAGTATCGTGAGCATCGCAATGACCAAAGTCGATTTGACAGTCCGGGGAGCTGCAGTGGTTCTTGGTGTCTCCGCAGTAACCTGCCACATGTCAGTGTGATCGCTTCTCTTGGGGGTCGACGGAGGGGGCATACCAGCGTTTGAGCAGCACTTATCCTCGGGGCATTTGCCAAATTCGAGGCCGCATCGTGCGCCCGAATTACGCTCTACAAGCTCCTGAGGAAGGGCAGTTCCATGAGCCACAGAGATGACGCGAGTCCCTTGATGGTCCGGGTGCAAGTTGAAGATGTTTCGCGCTGTCGTGCAGGCCACCAGTCCCAGACCGGAAACGACTAAGTGACGCATGTGCATGATGAGAAGTTATAGCCTGATAAGATGTAATGGAGAAAAGATGCACAGTAAAAGAGGACAGTAAATAGACCTGTGCGGGCGATGAGATATGTGATGGGGGAAGAGTCCAGAAGAGGTGAGCAGCAGTCATATCAGTAGATGTTGTGTTGCTTCACTCAACAGGAAGTGACGACTCCGCACAAAGGGAAAGCACTGGTGGTGGGCAACCGCTAATGCTGGGTTGGGACATCGTGACGGCAGGAGCGTGTTGAGCACACGGAGCCGAGGAAGTGTTAGTGGGATCATGAAAGCATCTCTCTACTAAGTGCAGGAACGGTCGGAGAGTTCTGTAGCACCATCGGTGGCATTCAGACAACACAATTGCATTTTCTCATTAGGGTATAATTCATATCGCCCAGACGGAAGGTTCATCAAGTCTTCGATGCGAGATCCTATATTACATGGGAAGCCGCCATTCTAAAGAGCACATCTTGCAGGAAAGAAACCAGAGAAGAATGCCCCTTACGCGACTGAGCGCACGGAATGCGAAGTCGAAACCCGGGTTGGCTACTGCACAAGTCAGAAGATGACCGGGCTGAGAAAAGAACGCAGAGTGTGTGCGCTCATCGACTCACTTGTGCTAGGTTCTCTTCCCCGACGGTGGAGAACACGAACGGGGCCAGGGAAGGAAGATGAGGGCCAAACTTGACCGGAGCACTTTTCGCTACACTGCCAACCGTGGCAATCAAGTGACGACGATGGACGGTAGTGAGCTGGGGAGCCTTGAATCGCTTCACGAGGCCATTGACAAACGCACTCAGCTGGGCATCCGAGAAATGGAGAACGAGAGCCGAGATAGCCGCCAGAGCTCTCTTCGTAACGACGGTGCCAGCCGTGTCGTTATCGATAATGGACATGACGGAGTTTTGCAGGGCGGTCAATTCTGCCTCTTTCAGAAGAGGTCCAAAGCAGGTGACCACCTGGATCAAGACGTCGATCGCATCACTGCTGAAGCCCTTCGATGAGTCCTTTTCCAGCATGCCCTTCACGATCGAGCCTCTCCTGCTGGTTGGGGATGGAGTGGGGCCCGTCAGACGAGGAATGAGCACCCGGGAGACGGCGTTATAAGAGGCCTTTGCCTCGTCGTTGGGGGGTTGTCCAGCTTGAGGGCGTGGAAGAGCCGTGACGATGTATCTGAGGGCGGTATTTGGGACCGAGGTATCGATGGTCTGGGAGGCTGTCAGGTTGGTGAGCTTCTCCAGAAGCGATGTGAGGCTGTCGGAGGGCAGTCGAAGGACCAGGGGGCCGAGACTAGGCAGCACTCATCTATTAGTCAGACAGAAATGTCGGGGATAGAGTGTTCACAGACCATTTCAGCGCTTGGTTTTGCACATCGCCGTGCTGGTCGTCGAGGGCCTTGAGCAACCCCTCCGCCAGCCTCGATGAGGAAATTTGGTCGTGTGCCAGATATGTAGAGTGCGGACTGTTCAGTATGCCGAGAAGATCATTCAAGGACATATATCTCATGTCCGGGTCCGGGTCCCCCAACTTGGACAGGAGACTGTTTAGGTTGTGCTGTACTGCCTGCCGGTCCGCCATGATGAAGCCCCGCCGCCGATTGAACGTGGGAAAATCCGTGGTGCTCCACAGGGGGGGAGTCGTGGGGAGAGATCCTATCTCAGATATCAGGGTAGAGCCCAGGGTTGCTGTTCAAGTTGGCCTGAAAACAGGGTGGTGAAGAACAACCGGGGGAGACGTGAGACGTGGAGTCGAGGTGAGGGACAGCCAAGTGGGATGAATGGATGAACGGCTGGTTATCGGAGCTGGCGGGGTGGCCTCAGGCAGGAGGGAGCTGTGCGGTTCCGAGCTCCCAGGCCACTTCCCCGCACGGCCCAATTACATCATCTTCAGTAAGTTAGTTACTAAGTAACTGTGAGCCACCCCGGCTGGTCTCGCTCCGGGGAAGAGGGAAGCAATGTAACAGCATGTTACAGCTGGGCCTCGCAATTACAATTAGGTCATACCATTCCCATCCAGCCTCCTCCTTTCCTGTCTCCTCCCTATATGCTTCACCTCTTCCCCCGCTCCGACTTCCCGTCAATTGCTCTTCCTCTTTCTCCCAGTCTAGAATACTACTAGACTGTGCTCTACCTCTCCATCTAACGCTCACCACGTCCACCATGGTCCTCGCTCGTCCTCATATTCTTCGCGCATCCGCCAGGGCCGTTGGCATTGCAGCTCGACGACCCCCCACTCGGCAATTCGCGCGCAGGACATACGCCCAGTCGCATGAGGCGCCCAAGTCTTCCGATCTTCCATGGTAGTTATCCCCCGGATCTAATGGGATTGGTTGCGGGACGTGTCTAAAAGGAAATCCAATAGGCTTATCGCATCAGTCGGTCTGGGTGTCCCAGCAGCATACTACATCTTTCAATCCCGGCCCCAGAAGAAAGCTCATCACGGTCATGAGGAGGAGCCCAAAGCCGAGCCCGTGAAAGAGGAAGAGGAGAAGGAGGCCAAGGCTCCCGCAGGAGAAGCTGCTCCTCAGCCCGATCCTGAGTCGGAGCAGAAAGTAGAGTCTTCGTCCTCGTCATCGAATGGTGCTCCGTCAACGGATGGAAAGGCGCCTTCAGAGGCAGACGAGGTAAGGGTCCTTCCCGTCCGTTCGCGCTATCCGCAGAGGATTGTGTGAGCTTTCAACACGCAATCAACTCACTCCGTTCTATAGCCCGCCTCTCGCAAGGAACCCGCATCCTCTGCCACCATCTCCGCTAAGCAGGAGGGGGTCTCCAACGCGGACACCTCCCATCCGTCCGTGAACGAGCCCGGGAAGAGCGTCAAGGGCGAAGGAGAGACCGAGACCGCAAAGGTGAAGGGCGCTGTTTCCCCCGAGCGCCCCCAGGCGTGATTTGATCTGGTTGGAGTCCGATATAAAAGACTCGCACATGTCGCTGGTGATCAATGCTAGTTGTGTATTCTATCCGCCATACAGCATCGTCGAAGTTAGATGGTCATAGGGCGACAATATGACACACGCGTCTGCTGATCATATATGCGTATGAGAACCAAGCAAGCAACTGGCTAAACGAGTACGAGTAACGCGCCGTGTAGGGGGTCCATGGTTCATACAGCCGTAGTTGACCATCTCTCCAGCGGGATCTCGGACGCTTGTCTTAGCGGCCCGAGTTTGTTTCCTCCGCGAGGGGAGAGGTCTTGGAACCCAGCTGTTGATGATGATTTGGCAGTGACTGGTCGCAAAGATGAAAGCCAGAGAATCTGGATCCGCAATTCGTACATCCATATCTAAGTAAGTAGGGTTATCGCCAAGTTCGTCGCAGATTCTCATCCTCATCCGGGATTACCGCCATCGTGTTGCTTGCTCGAAATCTTCATCTGTTGATCTCTGCGGGTAGCCTCGTGTCGATGCAAGAGAGAGGCCTTCCCAGATGCAAATAACTACTAAATGCGCACCTGCACCCAATGCGATCGACGCACACCGGTTGATTGGCAGGGCCATTGCATCGCACGGAGTGGCAGTTGACAATTTGCCCGAAACACCAAGCCCGTGCCTTGCAGGCCGGGTGTCAGAAGCCTTTGGGGTCCGAGGAGAGCAAGGCCACGGGCTGGCTCCTTGCGTCACGGGAGTCGACATGCAACGCTAGATGTCGAATGTCTACTATGAGTGGCTCCGGGATCAACACCAGTCGCGAGATGCTAGGACGGAATAGGACTGAGCTTGTCCACATCGCCAGTTGCGGTGCCCTGGTGTAAGTACTACAATTGGCTGGGGAGGGGCCAGTGCCAACTCACAGATGTACCCAACCTTGAAGTACGAAGTACCTAACCAACCTTCTTATAACGGTGGGAGAGGGAAAACAAACATCATGGATGGATGGCAGGTCACATTACCGTACGGTATGTAACTTACAGAGGGCAGCTGCTGGGATGAAATTTGGAGCAGACGCAAGGCGTGAGATGCATCACATTGCCATTCAGGGGGGTGGGAAAAAGAAACAACACCAGGCACGATGTCGGTGGAGCGGCACTGGGACGGGGAGGGAACCGTGGGGACATGGGGACTGTCGAGAGCCTCTGTTCTGGTTTGCATGTTATAGATAATTCCAGGTTATCGAAGAGAAAAACGTACAGAGAGGATCAAGGCAGACCGTCAAGAACTGGGGTTGCCCCGAGCACCGGCCAACTTATCGACCCGGCCGTGGGTTGCCGCCAACTCCACTCTAAGAATAACAATTTATCACCGTAGTTATTAGTTCTGGTCATCTCATCTCATCTCATCTCAGCTCATCGCATCGGCCTCGATCTTCCCCCTCTCCCCCTCCCCCCGATTCCTTGCGTACTCTCTAATCTCTTCTTTTCTCTCCCTCCCTTCCTCCCTCCATCCCCTCCAACGCCCACACCACAAACAACACCCCAATCTCAAGCTCCATGGTTTATCCACCACCGCTGTTAATTTCCGCCGGGCCTGCATTGGATTGATTGCGACGCGCGCCGACGCTGGGTCTCAGCCTCTCAGCCTCGGTGATCCAGAATCCCCTCTCCTTCTCCGACGATCGAAAATGAGCGACAATCCGCCATGGCTGGACAACCTTTCCGACGACTGGGTGCCTGTGCCTATGCCGGTGCCGGTACCTGGAACGCCAACCAGTCCCGCCCCCTCGCGATCCATCTCCCATTCCCGCCAGTCCAGCTTACACAGCTTACACAGCGTGCACAGCGTACAAAACTCTCCTAGTCGCATTCCGGTTCCCGCGCGTCGTTCCGTCGGTCCATCGCCATCGCCTGCCGAACAAAAGAAGGTTTCCCGGCCTTGTCATTTCGTGCGAAGGGAACCCGTCAAGCCGAAGACGCGCACCCCCAAGACCCCCTCCAAGCTGCGATCCCCCGCCCCCGACAAGACCCCCAGGAGTCCCAGACCCAGCCCGAGCCCCAAACCGCGATCCATCCCGCCGTCACGGCGTAAACAACCCCCCGCCATGGACACCAGGTCGCCCCTGCGATCGGTCTCCAACGTTTCCGCCCAGTCCGCCCAGTCCGCCCAGTCCGTCCAACAAAGCACCGTGCAAGTGAGGCCAAAGAAGGGCAAGGGCACCGAGGGGACCCCCGAATGGCGGAGGCGGTTGATGCAGGGCGAGATAGCCGCCGGCGAGCAGCGCGACCTATTCGCCCCCATCGGGCTGGAGAGTGTGTTCAAACCGCCTACACCGGGAACCGAGAAAACACAGGACGAGGCCCTCTCCCGGCTCAAGCAGTCGGATAGCCTCTGGAACTTCCCCACCTCCCCGGAGAGACGCGACAGCGAAAACAACGACAACGACGACAACGCGCACGCGAGAAACCCGTCGACCGAAATCCAACGTGCGCCCCCCGAGGCTATCGATGAGTCTTCGCCCCAGAGTCCGAAGTCGCCCCCCAAGTCGCTACAAATCAACCTAGAAGATTTTGGGGAGAGTCCACGAGGGTCGCGCAATGGAACACTGGACATCGGCAAGGGACCCAAGAAGCCTACACTGAATTGGGGCGACGCGCACGACGATTCCTGGGACGGGTCACAGATGAGAACCGCGAGCGGCCTGGAGGATCTGCGCAACGAAGATATTACGCCGATTACTTTCTCCCAGCCAAACACTGTGGATGGCAACGCGACGTCGGAGGTGATACGATCGGCATTGAAAAAGGTGACGACTAAACTCGAGAGACTACATCTGACACCGTGGGAACGTCCGGGATCCAGGGCAAGTGATAGCGTTCTGCTAAATCCGCCGTCTGAACCCCCCGTGGATCCACTACCTGAGGATGATCTGTTGGATGTTACAAGTCATTCGTTACCCAAGGATCTTTCGATGGGAACACTGGATTTCCGGGGACGAGGAGCTTTCACGAACTTGCGGCGCGACGAGTACTTGAACGAGGGCTCCTTCCAGAAGCTACATCTCTCTCCGCCATCGTTCCCCTCGGACAGACTGTCGCCGTTTGCTCCTTCCAACCAGAGAATCCGAAGCTCACCACCCTTCTACCAAAAGGCCAACCCCCTGACCGATCCTCCGACGCTCCCAAGGCCATCATCAGCTCATGCTGGCGCGTCCAGATTTCTCCAACCGGGAACCGATCGGGCCGAGATCATGCCGTCGTCGGGGAGCCCTTTGAAGCTCTTTGGGCCCCATGACACTTTCACGAACAACCGACTGATGCGACGGATGAGTCAATTTGAGGAAACATTCGGTGGTCTTTCCGAGGACGACGAACCTGAATCGCCGTCGGAAGAAGCTCGGCGTAAGGGCGAAAACAGGAGCTTTTTGAGTGCGAAGCAAGACACGCTGGGCGAGCCTTCCGCGAGAAGGTATGAACGGCCAAGGTCTCGCAACACCGCGAATCCTCAAATGAACAAGTTTGGCGATGGCCAATTGGATCATTTTGATTTCTCTGACACAAGTCCCTACGAGCCTAAGCTTCTAAACCATGACGCTCTGGACCCCAACCAGCATTCTTCTTCGCGGCGACTCTCTGTGGAGCGGCGGTATCTTCGCCGTCGCTCGTATAGAAATCACAGTCTGGATACCGAGACGAATAGGTCAACGAAGAATTCTCGGTCAGCGGGTGTGTCAGACATGCCCTCCAGCGCGAGCGCTGTGAGGAGAAGTCAGGGATTCAGAGGTCCAGAGGACTTTTATCAATCGGACAACGGGTCTAGGCCCAATTCCCCTGTAAAGGACCCGCATCCGAAAAGACGCCGAACAATCTTCAAGTCCCATAGTTTGATACAGGAGGACAATGGAAACGCGAAGTTCCCTGGCCAGCTCGCGGATAACATGTCGTTGTTGCAAAAGAGCTTGATGCAACAGGGGGTGACATATGATGAGTCTCTTCTTCAATCGCTATCGGCCTACCGACCAAACACCCCTACTCCCAGCCAGGCACGGTCGCTCTCACGAAAGAGGCCGTCTTCCAGCCGGAATTACACGCGCGCCGGGTATGACGACTCTGGCGAGCAGAACTCCCCGCCGGAGCACGCCATACCCTCTGTCAGAGTCAATGGCGTTAGCACCGAAATTCGCAAGGGATCGATCACAACACAGGATTTCTTGAACGAAGCCACAAAGATCATGGATATCATCCGGTCGAAGGGCAGATCGGCGGGCGGCTTATCCAGCGTGGAGGAATCGGATGCGGAGAACCCGGATGAGAGTGGGAGTTACGAAGATGAGTCCACCCGCGAGGAATTTTCGCGTCCCCCGAGTCGGGAGGGGCCTGATATGCGAAAATTGAGGGAGCCAAAGGAGCCGAATCCCCAAATAGCAAACCACCTCAGGAAATTCCAGGAAGACGATGACCAGGAGTTCGGAGTCAACAACTCTGTTATGTCTCTCAACCTCGACGAGGACGAAGCCCGCTCGGAGGGTAACAATTCGGTTTGGGATGGGGCCGGACTGGACGAGATGGACGAGGAACAAGACCGTAACGTGGATGCTGAGCGTAAGCTCTCGCAACCGACGGATGACGGCGAAGAAGATGACGACCTCCCGGACCTTCTGACCATCAACACACATATCTCCGCGAAAAGCCTTAGCGCGCGTTCCATACCCACCGGCTCTTCACAAAGCTCGCATGCAAAAGGCGTTTTGTCTTCAGATATTGTGTCTCACCTCATTCCTGAACAGGTGAACGGCCTGACTTACGACCGTGACAGGAATCAATGGGTGAAGGAGGGACCGAAACAATCTCCTGGTAGACCGAAGGGTGAAGAGAGCGAGGATGATCCATTCAAGGATATCCCCGACCTCAGTGTGGACGAACTACAGGAAATGATGAGGATGCAGAGCTCTCTTTCTCCAGAAAGAGCAAGGGACTCTGTCCAAGGTCAAGACGGCGCTCAACAGGGCTCGCCCAGCCCCCGAAATGCCTTCAGCCAGTCGGAGCGACGCCCGCAAGAAAAAGAAAGGGATCCGTCTGCCAATTTTAGTTCGCTGCAGTCTAAAGCAACCCCGTTCACGTCCAAACTCTCCAACCCGGAGACCAGGGCAACTTCTTGGGGAACTGTCGACCGGAAGACAAGCAAATCGACGAGCGAGGTCGAGCATGAGATACAGCTTCACGAAGGTCGCATGTCGAAACCGCCACGGCGCCAACAGGACAACCGCCAGCAGGCTCGTGTGGTAACCATCAGCTTCTCGTCGCCACTTGTCTCACAGATCACATATGCCGACGATGAGAGCCCGACAAAGCTCCGGCAAAATCAGGGGCGGAAGTTTGACTGTGGTCCTGCCACGGCCGAAGAAGGCTCATCTAGTCGCTCGCAGGCCTCTCTGTTGCCTGGGCGGCAACCCTCAGCGCATGCATCGCCATTCAATCTGCATGCTATCCCAAGCATTGACGAGAAGGGAGAAGATTCCGCCCACGCTATGAGTTTGGTCCGGCAGGGCCCCGGATCTGCAACGTCTACACCAGACAAGAGCAACGCAAACAACTCCCTCGTCTACTTCCAAAATCTTGGTCAAGACACGACTTACAGCTTCCACCTCAGCCCGCTGCCCGACTTTACTGTCGACCAGATCGACCAAACCTTGCATCTCGAGGTCAGTTACGTTGCTCAGCGTACTCAACCGACCTCGCTCCGCCAAGTTCATGGGACCTTTGCCCTGGCGACCGAAGACTTGGTCAAGCAGATAACGGAGGTTGAACCGTTTGAACCTTATTGGGACCAGATTCGGCGCTTGGTTTTACGGCACAGGGGACTCATCACGCTCCATAAACTCTGCGATTTCTGCCCCCGACTGGAAGAACTAGATGTGACTGGGAACGATATCGGCCAGTTGAGTGGCGTGCCACCCAGTCTGAGAACTCTGAATATCCAGGATAATTGCCTCTCAAACCTAACAGCTTGGGGTCACCTGGTGAACCTGCAGTACCTTGACGTGTCTGGAAATGGGCTCGAGAGTCTGGATGGATTTAGCAGCCTCATCCATCTCAGAGAGCTCAAGGCGAACGACAACAACATCAGGAACATCGACGGGATCTTCGATTTGAACGGACTACTGAGCTTGGAGCTGAGGAACAATGGCTTGACGACAGTTGACTTTGCTAAGGCAGACTTGTGAGTACCATTGTGCCTTGTGTTTCCTTCCTATCACTGACCGTTGCTATTTCCATATAGAACTCGTCTGCAGGATTTGGATTTAAGTCATAACGAGCTTGCTTCGGTTTACAACATTGACCTTCTTCCGGCACTTTCCGCGCTCGACCTTAGTTTCAATCAGCTCAACGAACTAGAAACTACAGTATCCCTCCTTGGATTGCGGTCGTTGAAGCTCTCCAACAACATATTCCGCATGCTGAATGTCAGCGCTTTTCCGTCTTTGAACCTTCTATATGTGGACCAGAACTTTCTCGGCACTGTTTCTGGGCTCGAGCAGTGTCACTGCCTGGAGGTCTTTTCTGCTCGCGAACAGATGGCTAGTGGTGATACTAGTGGCTTCTTCGATGTCGACTTAGGCCTGGTCAAAGATCTTCGCAAGGCGTTTCTTTCTTCGAACAAGCTTTCCCTGCAAAGCCTCTCACCTTCTGCCCCCCTTCTGGGCCTGCAGCTGCTTGACATCGCATCCTGCAGTCTGCAGGGCCTCCCCGCCGACTTTGCATCGAGCTTCCCCAACATGGTGGTACTCAACCTGAATTTCAATTCCTTAACAGGTGTTGGTGAATTAGCCGGCCTGAAGTGTCTCTCTAGATTGACAGCTGCCGGGAACAAGATCACGAGGTTGCGACGTCTCTGCCAGGTTCTCAGTCGCATCGGAAGGTCCAACAAAGGGAAAGTTTGCTCACTCCGAAAGGTCGACATTCGGGGGAACCCTCTCACCGTCCGATTCTACCCGCCTGCTGTCATAGGGAACGGTAAAGCGAATACCAAAAAACTAAAAGGGAAGGAGGAGCTCGGTCTACGACACACTCTTAGCTTGGATATTCCGTCTGCCCTGGCCGAGTTTAAGCATAACGGAGACATGACACACCCGCATGCCTTGGGGGACGATGAACCCCTCAGCCCTACCAAGGAAGTTGAAGTCAATGACCCCTATACTCTTCCACCTGCCGATCCCTTGGCGGATCAAAAATATCTGTCGCATCTGGACGAGCCTACACGACTTCGCAGACGGATCTTCGAGCTTATGCTTTATGCCGGCACTGGAGGATCAATCCGTTTGCTCGACGGCTTGGAGCTGCGACCGTCCATCGACGAAGGCTCGGACATGGACCACGCTTGGGCAAAACTCGAGAAACTCGGCGTGCTGAAGAGAAAAGCCATCACCGCATAAAGAGAAAAATCGCTTCCCTTTCATTGTATGATTCATGATATCCTGGGATGCAACTAGTACATGGAGTTTGGTATGTCATGGGTTTGATTGCTGTTGCTTTTTCTTTCTTTCTGATACGCTACTCACATGTGTGGTGTTTTGTTGATTTCTTGAGGTTGGATGGTTGGCGTTTCCATTGGAGTGAAGGCATGCATAGGTTCCTACCAGGCAAGGAGTTTCCGGGAAAATCATAGCACTGCTTTGCTGTATTTTACTTCGAGCGGACAATCCCCCCCCCCATCATACTATTCCAGTACGCATACGCATTTTATTGTCTTAATGCATATTTCCTCTTCTTCTTTTTCTTCTTCTTTTTCTTCTTCTTTTTCTTCTTCAACTTGCCTGCTCACTGAGAAAGGGATTGCACTACTCCTACCACTACTACCACCACCCATCACCACCACCACTCAGTGTATGTGTTATGGCTACAGAACCCGAGCAGGGGATACTTTCAGTGTCTACTTCAATTGAGTTTAGTGGCATAATTCATGTCCGTCCATAATCATTAAACCATTACTTGCATAACAGACTATGCCATGCGATGCGTCCGCTTTTTTCACGAGTTTAAATTTAAAGACAGATAATTCCGTCCTTCCTTTCTTTCTCGGAAATGAAAACAAGATGAAATCGAATCAAGAAATCACCCCCATCACAGATCTAGACTCAAAGCCGAGCCCAGACCCTAAGCCTCAGCATCAATAATCTTCAACTGCGGCCCAAAGTTTTTCCTCGTCCCCTCCATATAAACCTTCCACTTATGATGATCCCCCGCCACCTCGGCGTTAGGGAACGCCTTGCTCAACTCGCGACTGATCTTGAGAATACCCAGTGAGGCCTCCTGCGCCTTCTCGAGTTCCTGCTTCACAGCGTTTTCCTTGGGCTTGAAGGCGAGGATGGCGCTGTAGCGTTCCGAGAGGGCGTCCAGGTGGCGTTGGGTTTCGTCGGGGGCGAGGTGGATGAGCTTGGAGGTCATGAGGTTGCAGATCGTGCGGATGTCTTGCTCGTCGTCGATGCCGGCAATGATCCGGTTGAAGAACTCGTTGACGTGACTGAGGGAGAAGGCGCTGTCGATGGAGGCGTATAGGGTTTCGTAGGCGGACTGGGATGGGGTTAGTTGGTGTTGTTTGGTGGAATTTTGGGGGGTAAAGGGAGAGAGAGGTTACCTTGCGGAGCTCGAGGCCATCGTCGACTCGGTGGCGGAAGGGACCCATTTGGACTTCGCGGATGAGTTCGGGTTTGATTTTGGCGTCGCCGAAGACGGCGGGAAGGAGCTCGTTGAGGTGAGGGAGGAGAATGTCCATCTTGTTGTGAATGGCGGAGTTGAGGGTTGTCAATGCCAGACGGTGGTTGCCCAGATCGCGGTCGCTGAGCATGTTGACCAAGAGGGGGACAATCACCGGTCTCAGGACGTCATTGTATGTGTGGCGAGGGTCCGATAGGGTGTAACGGAATGCAGATATGACAACGCTGCGGATGCTCGGGTCGGGGCTGGAAAGATAATCCTAATGTTGCGTCAGTTATATGTGGTGACTTCAAGACATCTCCACTGGGTAGGATTACCTGGAAGTGCGGGATGTAAACAACCGGATCGATCAGGGCGAGCCGGCCCACGCATTCGGCACCGACAGCTCGGTTGTCTTCCTCCTCCGACACGAGTAGCAGCGCGCGCCACAACTTGATGGCTGAAGGGGCTACATCGGGTCGGACAATCTCGGGATGCTGGAGGAGTTCCTTCACGGAATGAAGAAGCAGATAGCTGTGCGGATTGCCCTTCTCCAGACCACCCAGGATGAATGGCAAGTAGGTTTTCACGTTGCCAGCTGCTGCATTTCCAAGAGCCGCCGCTGCCGCTAGACGAACCTTGTCCGACTTGGAGCCGAAGTGGGCGATAAAAAGTGGCGGTGTCAGCGAGCAATTGGAGCCCATCCGAAGACCAATTTCTCCCAGGATCGCAAGAGCAAGGCATTTACGTTGAGCATCTTGCGCGGTTTGCAGCTCTGTCATGAAATCCTCCATCTTGACCCCCAAGTTTGATCCACCGTGCACCAAGAGTGTTCCGATGGCCCTTCCAACCACAGACGTGTCGCCGTTGATGCCAACATCGCGCAGAAGTTTCTTCATGAGCGCTGCGCCAGCACCCTCTTCTCCGATGACTTTGACCAGCAGGAGCAGGGATTTGAGCACGGTTCCGACGAGCGAAGAGAAGACGATCGAGCAGAGAGCAGAGATCAGGTTGTCATTCACCAAAAGTGAACCATTTCCTGGAACAAGCTTCGCCAGAATGATCAGTGACGGTGCTAGGGAATGGAAATCGTCTGCGCTGATGAGGGGCAGAAGGCATTCTTCCAACTCCTTCATGGTCTTGCCATCGTAGTGGGTTCTGGTGGAAGGGTTCATGGCTAAGCTTCGGAGGGCCTCCAAGCTGGCGCCCCGCAGAACACGGTCAGACTTCCGCAGCTGCGCGCCAAGCTCCGTAGTGACTTCTCCAACCCACGCCGGGGTGACATCCGCATCGTTGGCGCAGAGAACGGCAACATCATCAACAGCCCGGATGGATGCGAGCCGCGTAGTCTCGTTCCTCAGTCGTTCTACCAAGACGGAGAGTCCCTTGAAGCGTCGGTCATGGGAGAGGAAAGAGGAGCCGTGCTCTCCAGATGTCCGGGCTAAAAGGACACCAAAGACGTGAATGGCCCGCTGGCGCACTTCCAGGTCGGCACTCGTGTCAGTGATGCGAGCATGGACGACATCATACAGCTTTTCCAGTTGTGATGCGAGATCCTGAGAGGCACTTGCGACTCGAGGCGGCGTAAGTGCTTTCACAATTTGCTCCACGGCTCCGAGTGCCTCACTGCTGACCTTGTAGTTCCTATCATTGACGGCTCCAATAACGCCTGGAATTAGCGCGATCAGGAACGGAAGAAGAGCGTCAGAGGTGTGCGTTTCGGCGACGGCAGCAATGAGGCCCAAGGTTTCGGTTTGAAGGGTTCCTGCACTGGTCGAGGTCCCGACCGAAGCGGAACTGCCCGAGAGAGAGGTCTTCAAAACATCGGCTATGGGGTCTTCGATCTGCTGGAGATGATCGGCCAAGCCACCGTAGCGAACGAGCGCCAGGCTCTTGAGCAGGACAATGATGGCTTGCTTGAGGGGTACAGAAGCCTGCTTCCACATCTTGACAACACTCTGCACGATGATCGGCACTGAGTGAGCCAATTCTGCCTGCGGACCAGACTTGGGAGAAGAGGGAACGACCACTGGAGTGCTGACGGCGGACGAGGTGCCGATACTAGGCTCGAAGTCAATCATACTAGCATCACTATCCTGGCGTCTCCTCTTCCGAGAGTTCTTCGAGCCACCCACGGACTCGAGGAATCCACTTGAAGTGATGATCATCGCACCTTCCCCAGTCTTCCGAACAAGAGCAGTCATGGTAGAAACCACTTCGAGCTTCACGCTTTCTTCCCGTTCCTTGTTGAACCTGGCGATAAGGGCGGGGGAGATTTGCTGATACAAGGAAGCATCCTCCGACGCGCGACCACGCGAGTAGGTAGAGATCACGGAATAAAGCAGCTTAGCTGCGCATCGGCGGACCTTCCAGCTCATGTCATCGATGTCACTGTATCCCCCTTCTTCCTCGAAATCCTCGAACTCATCGTCGTCGAGGTCCGGCTCCTCCGTTACGTCATCTTCAGAACCATCGTCTTGGGTCCCGCCCATTTCCTCATCTTCTTCGGCGTCGGCGACGTTCGGGTCGTATTTGAGGTATCGGAGGGCCGCATTGATGGTATTCGGCATGTACGACTGCATCTGGGTGCTGCAAGAGCTGATCAAGGTTTCCAGGGTGACCAGGGCGGTCTCTCGGAGCTCGTCCGCTTGCGGATCGTGCTCCTCATCGTCGGAGTAAGACGACATTGTGGCGAAAAGAGAGAAGTAGAACGGCTCCGAAGGCACCCAGGGCTATTGGCAAACAAAGAGTAAAGAAGAGGAGGGGGAGAGGCGGGGAGAGGGGCTGAAGTGAAGGGAGGTTGACGAGTCCAAGTCAACAGGCGACAGTAGTGGCTCCCGGTTCCGTGACGGAGCTGTTTGGGTCTTCGGGAGCTCTGGCCGACAATCCAGCCAAACCCCGCGCTAGTCCCGGTCCGGCTCGGCGTCCGGCCGTCTGTTTCTCCGGGCTCGGTTGGAATCACGTGACTTGATCGTCTCACGCAGAAATCAGAGGAGCACTTCTACTGTTGGAGGAAATCGAAAAGATCAAGCGAATTAGTGCGGGCTTGCTGCTTGGATGCCATAAGAGCTTGCAGGCCGCCCTGCTTCCGTGCCTTGGCCCGCTTTTTGCTGTTGGCATTGTCCGCAGCTTTATTCACTGCGGGTGCAGGGACAGGATCTGAAAGGGGCATGGTAGTAGTAGCACCAGCCGCAGACTGGCCATCAGGCATCGATGCTGGTATAGGAGTAGCTTTCACTGGCATGGCAGCACGAACTGCCTCCTTCCGAGTTGGCTTAACAGTACGTCGACGGCAGCGGAGACACTTCAGAATTGTAGCCCCGTCGGCGCCGGCTGATCTGGATGCTGAGTTCGAATGTTTCCCTTTCCTCTTGTGAACAGTAATAGTCCTGGTCCACTCGGGGTTTCTGGCGCTACCACATGCGCCGCAGAATGCATCCTTTTGCCGCTGATTCAAGGGCTTTCCTTCGTCGTGGATGATGCCATTGTGCACCGTCATCAAATAGGCCGCGGTGGATGGGCTGAGCGCATTGAGCGAGCTGGCGGCGCTTTTCAAAAACTCCAACCGGGAAGCATGGTCGCTGAGAGGCATGGCGGTATGATTTGGGGTGGGGGATTTAAATATATCCACGTAATGCAAAATGAAATAGGGGAAAAGCGAGCAGTACTTATCAATCAAGGTGGTGAATACACAATATATGGAGCAAGTACCTTAAAGTACGGAGTAGAAGGGAGGAACACTGAAAAAAAGCCCGCGGCGGGCGGTTATTGGCTCCGCCGGGGCCAAGCCACCCACTCAAACTCCCGCCTCGCCTTCACTCCGGCTCAGTATTCAGTATTGTCCGTCCAGTATTGTCAGCCTGTCAGCCTGTCAGATCTGTCAGTGTTCCTCCTCCTAGTAGTACTTCCTGCCTCCCCCATTCTTTCCCTCCTGACCAGGTCTCTCGTTTCTTCTCTCTTCTGCATCTGCTTCTTCCTCGATCAGCGCTCTCTTGCTTTTTCGACTTCATTCCAACTTCTCTCTCCGTGACTGTCCTGTCAAACGTGCTTCTCATTGGCATCCCCCTCATCTCTTCGTCTGAATCTGAGCTTTCCATACTTCATCACTTGAGCCAGCGCGTTCAGTCTGTCCGGTCTGGTCACTTTCCAAGACCATGGAGACTCCGGTTTCGGATCCCGCGTCCATCAGAGTCGCGCTCGAAGGCTGTGTATGTAACCCCCCTCACCCATTGCTGCTGGCTTTGTGCCTTCTGTTACTGACTGCCACAACGTTCGTTCGTAGGGACATGGTTGTCTTCACGATATCTATGCTTCAGTGGAGAAGTCGGCGGCTTTGAAAGGCTGGGATGGGGTCGATCTGGTCATCATCGGAGGTGACTTCCAGGTAAAACTCTTTCATCAAATTTGTTTTTCTTTCTCTACGGCTCTAACACCAGGTCCAGGCGGTTCGAAATTCAAACGACCTTGCTTGTATGTCGGTGCCAAACAAGTACAAGGAAATGGGCGACTTCCACGAATACTATAGTGGACAGCGCACCGCGCCGTACTTGACGATCTTCATTGGCGGCAACCATGAAGCTAGTAACCATCTCTTCGAACTCTACTACGGAGGATGGGTTGCCCCCAACATTTACTACTTGGGTGCAGCCAACGTCATCCGATGTGGTCCGCTTCGCATTTCGGGCATGTCCGGCATCTGGAAGGGCTACGACTACAGAAAGCCTCACTTTGAGAGACTTCCTTACAGCCGCGACGATCTCCAGAGTATTTACCATATCAGAGAGCTAGACGTTCGCAAGCTGCTCCAGGTTCGCACTCAGGTCGATCTGGGGCTGTCGCACGACTGGCCCAAGCAGGTCGAGTATGGCGGCGACTACGAGACCCTTTTCAGAGTAAAGCGAGGATTCCGCGAAGACTCTGAGAATGGCAGACTTGGTAGCATGGCCGCCAAGCATGTTCTTGATCGTTTGCGCCCGGCCTACTGGTTCTCTGCACACTTGCACGTGCACTTCGCGTCCCTGATTCAACATGGAGACTATGTTGTGCCTCAGCATCCTGCTATGAGACGGCAGGCTGCCATCGCTTCCAATGATATTCACCAGCCTCCGAAGGCCATTCACCCCTTCGGCCTGGACGGCTCTGCCGTTACATCTATGGTGTTTGGGGAGGACAACCAGCCGGGCGGCAACCCATTCTCGCTTCGAACTGCAGACATTGGCCTGGACAGCGCCGTGGAAGAGGAAAGCAACGCTGGTGAAGCAGAGAATACTCAAACGATATCCGATTCCGATCAAACTACTCAGGAAGCCCTTCCACGTTCGCTTCCGACTAAGCCTGCCATGGGGCTGTCGGCGTGGAACAATTTCCATGCTGTGGCTACCGAAGCAGAAGCCGCGGAGAACTCTCGCTTCTTGTCAGAACAAAGAGATGGGCAAGATTCTTCGCCCCCTGATATCAAGCACAACCTGACTTGGCGCAGAATCGATACCAATGAAGATGGATCTGGCCGGCGGGTGCTGAGTATTGAGAAGGACGGTGTCACTGAGAGCGGCAATAAGAAACAGAAGACTCAGCATGAGCCCGAGGCTGTCAAGAACTCCGATGAGATTGACTTGGACTTGGACAGCGACTCGGATGATGGCGTGACCGTCAAAGTGCAGCCTGTGATGGAAGCTTCCAAACCCGAAGTGGCTCCACCCGCGAAGCCTGCTACGGATGTGCTCCAGAGCAGCTCTGGAAACGCTCATACTGGCGTCCCTGACGACGTGCGTGACCAACTCCCCGCAAGTTTCGCACGCCCTCAACCAACCTTCCCGTCCAACGCGACTGGAGTCTCTGACGACGTGCGCAACCAACTCCCCGCCAGCTTCGCCCGTCCTCAGCCCGACCCCTATCCGATCAATGAACCTTTGCCGGCGGCTATCTCCAACAAAACTACCAGTTTTCTGGCGCTGGATAAATGCCTTCCGAACCGTGACTTCCTTCAACTCGTGGAATTCCACGCTATCTCTGACCAGGAAGGAGTTCAATCTGAGCGTCCCTACTGCTTACAGTACGACAAGGAGTGGCTTGCCATCACACGCGCTTTTGCCGATGACCTTCACCTCGGAGAGCCTGGCGCCAAACCCTCTGCCGACAAAGGTGACTCCCTCTACAAGCCACTCATCATCGAAGAAGAGAAGTGGGTGGAAGAGAATGTTGTCAAACCTGGAAGGCTACTCGTTCCTGAGAACTTCACCCAGACTGCCCCAGTCTACGACGCCGCAGTCCCAATCACCACTGATGAGCAACCTATGGAGTTCACAAACCCCCAGACTACCCAATTCTGCGAACTGATCGGAATCACGAACAAGTTCCACCTCAGTGACGAAGAACGCCAGGCTCGTATGGCCTCTGGTCCCCGCCCCGGCGAATCCAGAAGAGACCGCCCTCGTCGCGGTGGCTTTGGTTTCGGACGCGGACGTGGAGGTCGCGGTCGCGGCCGTGGCAACCGTCGCTAAAGCTTTAGGTTTTTTCGTCCATCTCATTTTCCGCCCTCTTCTCCAACTGAAGATTCCACATTTCTCTGCAATTTGATACAACTCAAAGCTCGAGAAATTGTTCCACAAACGAGGAAGTGCTGGGCACTTGCCTGCGTTGATTTACCTTAGTTACGATTTTCATACTGCAATTTCCCTCACATTGCCATATCTTGCAAATGATTCCACCAGACTGTTCGTTCTGTGATCACAAATTGCCTCTTTCTTTCTTTTTATTTTCTTGTTTAATCATCAAAACGAGCATGGCTTTTGTTGAAACCGCTTTCGGGTCCGTCGGTGACGCTCGCGCGAATATATGGCTCGCAAGGTGTTATTCTACAAGGCCGGGAGGGTCTTTTCGCATTTCTGTTCATTTCCTGATACTCGTGATATGATATCCAGTGACTTCTCGCTACTATCAGCTTGTTAATTACATTGCCCCCCCATCTACATAGGTCTACCTATCGGATTTAAGAATCCAGGGCTTCGATAAAATGAGATTATAACATCGCAAACCGAACTGTAAAATGTATCTTCATTCACGCATCTGCCTTTAAAAGACTGACAACACACTCAAGTAAACTATTCAATCTCTTCAATCCTAGGCCGCATCCCTTCACTTCTATCCGACAAAGGATTAATCTGAAGCCCCGCAATACGATCCCCCAACTCCAACCTCGGCTCCTCCTCATCTCGCACCCCAATCCCCATCCCCCACAACAACGACTTCTCCAACCAAGCCTCCAAACTCTCAATCAACACCCGAATATGCCCCCGAACAATAACATCCGTCTCACAACTCTCCACAAACTTCAAAGTGCGCAACATGTGCGGGATATTCCCCACCGTCGTCAGTCCTCGACTCCCCGCCTCGTTCCAGCCCTTCCCACCACTACCACCACCCGCAGCCATCTCATCCGACAGCGAGAACCCAAAGCTCAGAGCCTGGCTCCCCCGGTTTTCGCGATCCGTATCGAGAGCTTTCAGGATATCCAGGAGAAGGACTACGCTCGCGCGTCGGAGAATCGCGGACTCGATGTCTGCTTCGAGGGTGAGTGTCGCGAGCGCGAGATCCACCGCTGACGAGATTATTGCGGGGCCGAGGCCGGAGATATTCGTTTGGATTGCGGTCGCGAGGATAGATAGTGCGGATGCGCGCACGCGGAGGTCATCTGGCTCTTCGTCTGAGTTTGCGCCCGCGGCCCACGCGGAGATGATGTTCGCGGCGTGGGCCGCCTGTTCAGGGGATTCGGTGTCGGAGTCTTCGTCTTCGTCTTCCGCGTCGCCGTGGTCTGTTACTTCTTCGATTTTCGGTATACTCCATCCCGCGGGCATAACAGGTTCCCTATTCTGCCTCGCCTCGCGTTCTATCCGCCGCTTCTCTTTCTCGAGTTGCTGCTTTCTGGCCCGTTGAGCTTCCGGTTTATGCGCCCGTCGACCAGCGACGGCGATCATGCCTTCGGCGAGGATCTTTGCCGTTTCGCCGGTGAGCGCTTCGCCGAGGTCTTGGACGGTGCGGGTGAGGGATTCGCCGATTTTGAGGCGTTGGTCGAGGGTGTTGCTTTCCGTTCGGTCGATGTAGCGGTCCACGAGGGTTTTGATGACCGTGCGTGGGTGTCGGGATGCGAGGGTGCCGGTTAGTTTGATGGCATTGAGGTAGGTGAATTCGTCGTCGTTGTGGGTGGGGGTTTGAGGTGGGGAGGTGAGGATGGTGAGGAGGAGGGTGAGGGTGGAGGGGATGTCGAGGACCGGGGACGCTTTGGTGATGAGGCTGGAGAGGAGGGAGAAGCCTTCTGCCTGGATTGGGGGGAGGTCTGAGTTGAGATTTGCGAGGGCGCGGCGGTGCGTGTCGAAGTCGGATGTTTGGGGTGATGGCTTGGAGGGGCTCGGTCCTTCGGGGAGGGTGAGGTGGATTTCGACGAGCATGGAGGCGGTGGTTGCGGGCTTGGAGAGGGAAGAGGGGAGATGGGGAATCAGGTGTTCGAGCTTCGATTTGATGGCTTCGAGGGTTGGGAGTGTTTCTTGGGACGTTGTGAATTCGGGAGATGCAAGGACGGTGGATAGCAGACTGAACACAGCAGGTAGCGATTCGGCGGAATCTGCTTCCGCTGCAGCGTCTTCCTTTCCGGCGTCTTCGGGGTCGACGATGTTGGCCAGTGATGAGAGGGATACCGTTCCGGATCGCTGGCCCATGGTCCTCTTGCTCTGGTGGTATGCGCGGTTCAACTCGCCGTCGATGATCTGCTTGATGAGCTCGAGAACCCTGAGAGGGCGCCGGGAAAGCGCATCTTTGAAGTTCTCGAGTAGTGTTTCTGCCAATTTGGCGCTGACTAGCTTGTGTAAAATCTTGCTGAAGTCGTCTTCCTCCTTGGACAGCCGCAATCGGTCCAAAGTGCGCTCGCCAGTGGAGGGTTTCACGAGCCAGCTTTCACTGACGTAGAGGAAGATATCTGCTGTCCGTTCCTCGCTGCTGGGATCGGCGCCCAGCAAACTAACGAATAATTTGGCGCGGGACTGCAGTATGTCGACGAGTCGGACAATGTTGCGGTTCGATTCGCTGGGGTTGCGCTTTTGCAATGATACGCAGTGTTTCTTCGAGTCTGAGATGTAAGTCCAGGTGGGCCCGCCATCGTAGAGCAGATTATCGACGAGCTTCTGTAAAGGCTGTAACCCGACTGATATGCCAAAGTAGGTCTGTAATACGGTCAAGATCTTCTCGTGGAGTGTCGTTTGCTGCTGCTCCAGTGCATAGCATGCCAAGCCCCAGAGTGGGAGAAGGACTGGATGAACCACCCTTCTCACGAGGCTTGGGTTTGGAGGCTGGAGGACCAAGCTTCGCAGCCTGTCAACAGCTCGCAACAATAGTGAATCGTTGACTAGAATTTGCTCTGATGCATCATGTTCATCGTCATTAGGAGCTATCCAGGGTTTTGAGGCCGCATCAATTCCTGCGGTAAGAGCTTTGAAAATGGGCTCCAAGAATATCGAATGCCCGATAGTCCCAGGGGCCCCGTAGGCCCGCTTGCCGAGAATGCCGTTGCCGATAACGTATGCTGCAGTCTTCCTTAGATCTGGGTCATCGCCATCGATCAGTGACAAGAGTTGTGGTGCTATATTAGAAAAGTAGACTTTCGGATCCATGCCCTGTGGTACCGAAGACAAGAGGCGAGATGTCTGCATAATCGCTTGCACCGTGAAGACGGGACCATGAGATGCCTGGCTATGAGCTTCATTTCCCAGAGAAGGAGCCAACTGAGAGGCCAAGAAAACCATGGTTTGGACCACGCCACCAGGACGTAGTGGGATCTGGGACAGCTGGCTCGAGACTATGGACCTGAACCATGGAGCTGGGTCTGATTGCAGGAAGTTGGACAATGTCGATAGCAGAATGGGGCTGGGTGTCCTGCGGCGAGTCAGTAGATGCAAACACCCCAGATTATGGGCACATACTCTTCGATGATCCTGACCAAATCTCGGCCACACTCATCCTTCTTATCGTCTGAGAGAGTTCTCGAATTATACGCGAGATCCGAAACTGCGCTGATGATATCGCTCAGAATCCGGCCCCGGACCACAGGCTGGATACTCGGCCGCACATCGAATGTAACCTTCGAAAGAGCTGACCATATGTTCCCAAGCAGGAGCTCATCTTCAGGCTGGTCATGCGCGCGGACTTGCTGTTGCTGAGCAATGACACCCGCCGGCAACACCGAAATAACCCTCTGTTGCAGAGGTATACAGACTCCTTTCGACAGAGAGGGGTAAATGCCCTCGAGGGAAATCAGATCCAGCAGTGCATGCAGCATCCGACGTCGCTTTGCATCTTCCAGCGCAGCATCTTCCGTATCCTTACCATCTTGGATGGACGATTCGACGTCATTGGGCGGGGCGACAAAAGCGATGTGGATGCGACTTAGGATGTCCAAGGCTTTGGCGATAACCTCCCTCCTTATAAGTTCGATGCCTTTCTGTTCATTTTCATCGCATTGCGCCTCGCCTAGGATCTCCAATAGAGACTTCCCGCGGGACTTGTGGATCTCGTCTTGACTTCAAGTTAGCTTTGACACCCACGCGGCTGTTTGAGTGAGGTTCGCATGCCTCGTTGAAGGACGGGATTCAGGAACTCGCTGGCTTCAGCAAAAGCTTCCTTGATTCGTATTGAGTCGCCCATCTTTGGAAAAGATGAAAGGCCTCCTTTACCCCTATTTCCACATCTTCAGCTCCCTGCAATTCTTCTTCTTCTTCGAAGTCAGAGAATGAGATGGAAGTGATTACCTAAGCGACAAACAGCGAGTTAGTGACACGGCACGTGATACATGGGCTTATCTACTTTGGGCGTAGTCTGAAATTAGACAAGTCTAACTCGATGCCGTTAGGCTCATTTTCCTCCTCCGATGGAGCAGTCTCCAGGAGAGGACCCAACTGACTACGTCTACTACTCCTGAGTACTAAGTATTCTCGAGGTAGCTTTTTTCTGCGCCATTTGCTTCTATTAAAGTTCAACAGCCGGACGAAACCATCATTTGAGTACGTTTTGGTCAAATACAATGGAGCATAGCCTTACTTCGAGTTTAGAATATATATCTTCAACACCGAGGTCTCCTCTGGTGTTGTTGGAAATAAAATTAAAATCCAATTGATTGGTCTTCATTTAGGGGTAGTATCATTGCTATCCCAAGAGGTAAGTATCTGGACAGCTCAAGATTAACAAATCTGCAGTGGAACAGTGAGTGAAAGTCGAGATGTTTTGTACTTTTGACCCGGGATTCGAAATGGAAGAATCATCAGACAATAGCTAAATGTGGGGGGTAAGTTGATATTTTGCGGGGTCCTGATAGGCACCGTTATTGAAGTGCTGTAGGCATCCTTTAAGGGGAGGTCGACCTCCGGCGTCTTCTTATCTGCAGAACATTCTTGCCATTCCAATAATCCTGGCGTTAAACTCCCCAGTGAGATTGTCTGCTCATAGACACGTTGATATGGATCCCATGCCAGAGACTCTCTCATCCCAGGAAGGTTTTCTTGTGGCTTCTCACCAAAAAGTGTTATGGCTCTCAGCTTGACTTGTATCGTTGATAGTTGAGGCAGAGAGGGGGTGGGAATGGTAAGATATTGTAAGTCAATTGGTATATGTCTGATCATAGGTTCCTTCTGATGGATGGCCATTGGCTGCGCCGCTCGTGCGGATAAAAGTCCTATGTGGAGCTTAGAGAAATGGCTCTTCGTGATGTATCTCTCCTGAGCGAGACAGTATAGCCTGCTATCTTGTGGAACTAGCACGGGAGCTCTCTCTATTCGGGGAGAGTAAAGAGTCACAGGTTGTAACCATTCTACCGTAGGCTCTTGTAACTCGGTTCCTTTCATCAATCTGACACAGATATACTATGTTATGGAAACGATATGAGGCGTCAGATCGTGGAGTCCTCCATCGCGATGCCTCTTGTGCTTGAATTTTTGGCCATAATGTCCAAAGCTCGGAGGAAGCAGGAGGTTTTCGTCACGCACCAGTGCATGGCGGCAGGAATGTTGGCATATCTCATGTGGTATTTCGGGAGGCACCACGAATTCAAAAGGTATTGTGTGCTTTGGTCCTTTCTCTAGGGACCCGGGCTGCAGCAAGTATTTGGATTCAAGTGGCTGTTCCATATGAATGAAGGTCTGAGATGCTGTTGAGGGCGATAGTGGTATAGCGTTTTCACTCCTATCGATTTGTATATTGACTCTGCCTGAGACAAGCCAATTACTTCATGCTGGCCCTCTGCCCAAGGCTGGTAGACTTACTTTCGAGAGCAATACCCTGGCGATAAGGGGAAATGATGCAACATGCAGTGAAGAAACGCCCGTAGAGTCTCTGCGTGCTTCCTTGCGTGATTCTCATGAGTGAATTTATATTGTTCGGCGGCAGGTATACTTCCGTCGGGGTGCCATCATTTCGCCGACTGCCGGCAACCAGGGACAAACAATCAAATGGATGCTGGCTACAGCGTAGAAGAGAGCCTGACTATTCTGGTGCATTGTTATCTTCTTGATTTAACAACCTATAGGAGCCCCCTCATGTTCAACCATTGCCCGTCATTGATTCTCATATTCTGCCATTCTATGCTCAATAGTTGCGAAGCTGTCGGCAAGTGGCCGATCTGCCGAAGTATGAACCAGGCTTTCCCCCTCGCCCCTCGGCAAAGAATCGGCCTGCCGACAGCATCCCTCCCTCCATGCACTCACAGTCTAGGCTTCTTTTAACCCACCGCTAGGAACCTGTTGGTCCCGTGCAGAATTCACCGATCTTCCAATGCCCCCCGTCAAGAATCAGCTTAAACGCGAGAAGAAAAAGCCTACTGCGTACGTCATCGCTCCTACCGCCCCTTCTGCTATCCTGACTCGGACATCGCAGCTGCCACCGATGCCACACTCATAAGGTCAAGTGCTCCGGCGGACAACCATGCTCTAGATGCTGGCAGGCTGGGTGTGGTGACGAATGTCAATACGCTCTACGCGATCGCAAGCTCAAGGTACAAGAGAGGTGGGTATATATCACCTTCAGCATCTGACTGTCCCGCTTGGTTCTCATGTCTCTACAGCTACCTCGACGAACTGATTACCCAGAACTCTCAGCTGAAAGAACAGCTCCGTGCACTCAGTACTCCTCGAGACTCGCCGCCGCCGAATGCTCCTGGGGGTTTTGGACAACAAGAATCCTACCCGCCATTGCAAAATCCTCTCGTGGGGGAACGGGCTTGGTTCTACCCATATGATCCTTCTGCTCCTCCTATCTTCATGGGAGAAGCAGCGTGCACGGCATTTGCGACGCGCTTGCGCCAATTTCTGACGGGGAATCCCAGCACCGCTCATGTTACTCGAACACAGTATACCCCGGAATCCTCTTTGCTCGAAGGTGCAACCCAGTGGCCTGGTCTCACACAGGCTCGCCTGCTAGTTCGCATTGCTTCCAAACAGTTGAGTCGCATCTATCATCTGTTCTTACGCAAGTCTACGATTGAGCAGCTGGAAACGGTATATCGTACACCCTCACTCCGCGATGACCCTTCCATAACGTGCAAGTTCTTTGCCCTCTTTGCCTTGGGCGAAGTTTATTCCCGTCGGTCCAATTCTTCGCCGACAAGTCGAGTCCCAGGGACAATGTACTATGTGCGGTCAATGACTCTAATTTCAATCCTGCCAGAAAGGCCCGGGGTGATACATGTGGAAAGTCTGCTTTTGCTGGTGCGTCATCTCTCTCATACGTATTTCGCCGTTCTTCGAGCAACGTTAACCACGCATCAGGCCTTATATTCATACTTCTTGAATCGACGGCACTCAGGATACATGCTCATCGGAAGCGCAATGCGTCTGGCCCTGGTCCTGGGCCTAAATCATAACATCCCTGAGCGGCAATGCACGGATCCCGTGGAACGCCAGCACCGAGTTCGGCTGTGGTGGGCTATCTATATCTTTGACCGCATGTGCACATCCAAAATTGGCTTTCCTTTACAAATACGTGATGAAGATATACATATTGACATGCCTACTGATGTTATTGGTTCTGCCGCAGAAGAGCAATTCTCAGATACAGCCTATCTAGTGGCTAGTATTCGATTATCACAAATCATTGGTCAGACCATTGAGAAAATATATGGTCGGAAGCCGCACCCAGAATCGTTTTTGCAACGAGAACAACAGCTATTACTTGCTCTACAAGATTGGCTTAGATCCCTTCCGGACCACATAAAACTGAAGCCTGAGGATAATTCTCCACCGAAACACATTATTTCCCTACATTTGCAATTCAATCAGGTCAGCTCTACCCTGACTTGACCTCGAGTTCCTTTACTGATAAAGCCTAGTGTGTTATACTAGCCACTCGACCCATACTTCTTCACGCTCTTTTTCAATACAGTCACCGTGAGAATAACGAGGATATCCCACAGCCAGTCATCACGCTAAGTGAAGCCTGTATTCACGCTGCGCGACACTCGCATACACTCATTATAGAGGAATGGGTCAATGGGTCACTACCTATATACGGCTACTTCTCAGCCCACTATCTTTTCTCATCCTGCATTGCCCTGGTCATATCGGGGCTGTTATCACATGTCGGAAATACCACAGATCTCGAGTCCCTCGAGACCGCCACCGAGATTCTGCATCGGATGAGTGATCATGGTAACCTGGCAGCTACTGAATTCTATGAGAACCTCAAACGTGTGAAAGAAGCGCTACCGACAACCTCCGAAGACATCAATAATAATCACGAACACCCCAGCTATAGAATAAAACATTCTCTTGGATCTATTTCACTGGCAGCCGGTGATCAAGCCATCAGCTCTCATCCCATTGACACTCTACCTGCTACGGGATTTACAACTGAGATGGCCTTTCTGGAACCGACAATGCAGGAGTTTCTGGGCAGGCCAGACAACGAAATTGATCTGCTCAATCCGGACGATCTTTTGATCGATGGGTCTGCTAGTCTTGCTGCATGGCCCACTAACTTATGGGCCTCGTGATTCCTTTGGGCAACTCTTTTGTTGACAGCATAGAAACTCTTATCATAAGGATACAAACCTGATGCTGGTCATCGCAGCGTGTGGGTCTTCTTCAACTGGCGATGCTAGTGTACCAATGGATGGATGAGCCTCGCTACGTCATTCTACGCACCATGCATCGTCGCCGAATCCTGTCCGAGACAAGTCATGCTTGAATCTAAATTGCTTGCCCCATCTTGCAATAGTCCATAGCTGGCTGTCTAGTGCATCTATTCCAAGAAAAATCTGGATAATGGAGCCGCCGATCCGATCTACTGTTGCTCCAAAACACACTGAAAAGTGGTCGGAGCTTCAACTGGACTGAGATCTTCTCGTGGCTCTTTGCAGGTAGTATGACCCAGCTGGAGTGCTAGACTGAAAGGGGCGGGGTAGGGGGGCGGGGTTTATATAGCCAATATTGTCTCCGACCATATTAAGCGTGTAATAGAATTGGAATATACGGAGCATGATCATAAGAACCAGCAAATTGAATGGGTGTAGGCGCTGTGTATGGCAGACAGGGACGTATATGGGGTGTGGGGTGAATGCAGGCGTTCCCGGCCGGGGCTGAGCGCATGCCAAAAAAGGGCGGGCGTTCCCCGGTATCACGTGACGGCGCGTCGCGCGCGTGGCTCGAGTCGAGGTTCATCACGTCCTTCCACTCCCACTCCCTCCTTCCTTCCCATCCTCTGCGGCTGCGGCATCGGTCGGCTCAATCGACTCTGTGGAGGACTCTTTTTATTCTGCTCTGGATACTTGGTCATGGAATCATCCTTGTTGCCTCAAACTCCTGTTGGACCCGATGTCGTCGAAGATGTGTGGACGCGTTATCATGTGCTTTCCGGTGGCTACTCGGCCTCGCCTCTTTGCCTTCGGGCAACACCTATACAGATCTTACCCTCTTCAGCTTCTCAAATTCGGTCTTTGCACTTTGCCGGTGGTGAAGAGTAGGATGGAATTTGGGAACCTAACCCTAATAACCCCAGTCAGTTCGTTGCCATCTCGGCACAGTTTCACGGTCTTCGCATGGCGGATACACCTACTAGTTGACTCGATCCGCTGAGGATTGACGATACGAAAGGTTTCTGCAGTTCAGAGCCTCATTGAGGGCACAAAAGACGGCTTATCATGCGTTTTCAAGTTCCTGAAAAGGGCACGCGTCGGTTTGCCAATGCTGGGCGTTGCATGCCGGTCATTCTGGATGGTCACGCTATGCTTGAATGCTGGAACATTGGAGAGAAAGCAGGTGGAACATGTCGGGCACCTCTACAACGGGGATCGCCTTTGGGAGCAACTTATAGATGGCGAACACTACACTTTGACGGCAACTCTGGCTGCGAGTATCACTCATTACATGTGCCAGCTGATCGTCTTGAATACAACAATTGTCACTCGACTGCCTACACACGATCATCAAATCGGCATGTCAATGGATCCACTCGTCAGAACCAATATAATCTCTTAGAAATGCCCAGGCAGTCTCTTAGTGATTATACTGCAGCGAGGTTCATTTTCATGTCGAGGAGGATGTTTCATGGTTGCTATTGCCTTCCATGCAATGCAACCAGAATTTTGGCATGTTGTCACTTTCCGGCTTAAGATCAGTCTCTACCATGTAATGGTCCTACTCGCCATGCAGTCACTGTTGCTCGTCCGTGGTTCTTAGCTATCGGCCGTCCCGTGCATGTTTCCCACCTCGGGGGGCCTGGGTCCCTTGTACCTGCTTTCCACCTTTCAATTTCCAGTACTTCATATCCTTTGGAGGCTAGATGATCCGAAATCACGGCACCAGCCACTGATTTGTGCTTCTGTCGAAGATCCTGACCGACCGTGTTAACCGTCTCTTTGCAATGCAGATTGCAAATAGATTGATGGGCGCTGACACCGGCTACGATTTCGGTCGTAGCCCCTCCTTTCGGGGAGAAGAAAACGGTTTTTGATGATGTTATTTGTCCGTTTTGATCATTGCCCTCCGTCGTCGGTTTGACAGGAGAGGAAACAAAAACTTGTCTCTGGGGGTACTGTATCACACACAAGAGGTTGCACCGCGTGGCTCCGGAAAGTTACAAGACGGCTAGGTCGCATATTGGAAACTGGTTGGGGGATTGGATTTTGGGCCAAGGGTGTTGACTTGGGATAATCCGCAGTGGATGGGAGATGACTGCTCTCCACAGAGGGCGTGAGACATACTGGTGCTGCATGTCGTGTTCGCTGGACTATTCCATCTTTCGACCTTTCAACCGCTGCCAACAGTCACCGTACGATACTATCTCAAACAATTGTCTTGACAATCGGCAATGCGGCAGTTGAAGCAAATCGAGCCCTTTCCACTCCGTTGCGATCCCCAAGACCGTACCAGCGTTGATTGAAATGCCTTCTAACAATATTTGCCTTTGGATCGTACGGAAAGTTCGTCGTGGGACCTCTTGACAGGGGATCAAAGCCTTGCTTGTCCACTTCACTTTTCTGTTGTTTCTCTGGTAGTTATTGCTCTGGATGCTGTCATTCCCTTCAGGGTCGGGTTGGGTTAGCTTCGAAGAGAGGGACTCCGCTTCCAACAAGAAGTCGCATTGCAATGAGACTTGGGATTCCATGCTTATGGAGAGGTAGTCAATGGTGCGGCCTGGGACAGCGGCCGAACAGTTGATGATGGGATTAGTCGGTGAACTGCCGTTCCCTTTCGAGGGAACGGCCCTACTTTTTTTTATAAGTAGCCCAATCCCTTACAACCTGGCACCGCTAACTACGTCGGTAGATATCACCGACATGCGACGGGATTGTCCTCTCTTCCGCGCTCTTGGTTATGATGATCCCAGCTTTATGATGTTAGATCCGGTGAAAATACATGAAATTGTTAGACTCCCCCAGAGACGGTAGTAAAGAAAGTAAATAGTAACCCCCGTACTTCCGCATGAGCCCGCCTGCCCGCCCGTCCGCATAAAACCGGCCCCGTGCCCGGGCTGATTAATCCTAATGTCGGCCGTGCCCCTCCAAAAAAAATTGCCCCGCCACTGCGATAGTGGAAAGCAAAGGAACGTTCTCGCGGTCGCTCGCCGATTTTTCCTTCGTCTTATTTCCTTGACTACAACCATTCGACAGCTTATTTGCTTCGTCTCGGATCAATACCTTCCTCCGATTTCACTCTCCCCCTCAACCCCCACCCACTGACTACAGCAATCCGACAGCTTTGTTTGCTTCTCGGATTTCTATACCCTCCGCCGCCTTCTCCCTCCCCGTCAACACCTAATCCACGCACCACTCACAATGTCTACGGAAGAAGACCACAAGGCCCAGCTGGACGCCCAGTTCGACGCACAGCTTGGGTCACAGTTCGAAAAGCCTGGCGACTTGGTCGAGCGCAATGAAGATACCGGTGTCATGCAGGTGGAAAGCTTGTGCATGAACTGCCACAAGAATGTACGTCTCTGAATCGAACGAATTAAATGGATGTCTCAGGATCAGACTAACACGCGAATAGGGTGTCACTAGACTCCTCCTTCTTCGCGTGCCTTTCTTCCACGAAATCATCCTCGAGTCGTTCGAATGCGAGCACTGCCATTGGAAAGACAACACAATCAAGAGTGCTTCCCAAATCCAGGAGAAGGGAGCCAAATATACCCTCGATGTCGAGAACGAGACCGATTTCCAGCGTCAAGTCATCCGCAGCGACTTTTCCGTCTTCAAGGTCGAGTCTCTGGGCATCGAGATGCCCAAGGGTAGTAGCCAGATGACCACGGTCGAGGGTGTCATTCAGACGATCCACGAGTCTCTTGCCGGCGAACAGGATCTGCGCAAGGAACAGGCGCCCGAGCTCCACGATGCTCTTGTCCCGATCATCGCCGGCCTCAAGAAGATGCTGGATCGCGAGGGATTTCCCTTCCAGGTCTCCCTGGATGACCCGACCGGTAACTCCTGGATCGCGCCCACCACCACCGACTCCGGCAGCAAGTACAAGCGTCGTGACTACCCCCGTACCCACGAGCAGAACGAGGAGCTTGGAATTTCCGGTGATCCCGATGCCGTCAAGAACGAGGGTGTCACGGAGCCCGAGGATGCCGAGATCGTCCCCGGACAGGTCTACAGTCTCCCTTCCGAGTGCCCTGGCTGCGCAAAGGACTGCTTTACGAATATGAAGCAGATCGAAATTCCGTACTTTAAGGAAGTGATCGTCTGGGGCACGGCCTGTGAGCACTGCGGCTATAAGAGCTCGGAGGTGAAGACAGGTGGCGAGGTGCCGGAGAAGGGCAAGCGCATCACCCTCACCGTTGAGAATGAGGTGGACCTTGCTCGCGACATCCTGAAGTCTGATACCTGTGCGCTTCACAGCGAAGAGCTTGAGGTTTCCGTGCAGCCGGGTACCCTGGGGGGACGGTTCACCACCGTTGAGGGTCTTCTGACCGAAATCCGTGACCAGCTACGCGGCCAGATCTTCGACGTTGACGACACGACCGGTAGCGGAGGTGACAGTATGGCTTCCTCTGACAAGGAGAAGTGGGAGCGTTTCTTCGCGCGTCTCGACTCCGCCATCAACGGCGAGTTGAAGTTCGTCATCACCCTCGAGGATCCCATGGCCAACAGCTACGTCCAGGATCTGTGTGCCCCGGCCATTGATCACCAGATCAAGACCGAGGAGTACACCCGGACCGAGGAGGAGGAAGAGGAACTCGGCCTCAAGGACATGAAGGTCGAGGGTTACGAGGAGGACGAGAAGAAGCCTGCTGAGGAGGCCGCCGAGCAGCAGTCATGATCTGTATACCCATAGACCTTGTCGTTGTCTTCGATTGATGACGTTGTCTCTTTTACGATGTGCATGATCTTTTCTTGGCCATTCCTAGATGCATTGCGGTGATGCTTTGGCCGAACATACTTGTTTTTTCTCTCTTCTTCATCTTTGGTTTTCGCTTTTAGATATCCGGTGCAAGTGGGCATTGTCTGTCATACGGTGTGTTGATGTGGGGTCGCATTCAAGGATCCTTAGAAAAGTTTCAAGGGCGGTGATGTATTCCTCTGGAATGGGTGTCAATAGAGAACACTATCTTCTTTCTATATGATTATTCAAATCCTTATACCGTGTAAAACAGTAGTATCAGCAATTTCCTTCTCTTCAGAGAGTCAAAATCTCCTTGGCTTGCGCTGATGAGCCTCTGGCGCTTATCGTTCCGATTCGATGGCGAGCGAATCTGCGTAGATTCAGGGTAGGTAAGGTCTGCGTGAATGTCGGTGACTTCCCACTGTTCATCCGATTGGCGTACGTCGTCGCCTGGATATGAAACCTGTGCTTCAATCCGCTTCGCTTTCAATAAAGCGTCTGCTTTGCCGGCATATAGTCTTTCCATCGCGGACGGACGCATGAGATTGTAGCATTATCAGCACCAGCACCAAGGAACCGAGAACCGCCCCCCGCCAAACGAAGCAGGGTGCGAAAGATAACCAAACCTAACCCCTTCACTTCGCAAACGGATTAGCATGTATCGTGACCCTGTTGATCTTCAACGCCTCGAACCCCCCCTCCTCCCCGTCCTTCGGCTGCACTACCCGCCCCTTCTTGTCAACCTTCACATTCGCCTTCTCCAACCTCGTCAGCACATCTCCGCCCTCATCCTGCGCCGTCAAATTCAAAACCTTCCCAAACACCGTACTCGCGCCATCCAAATGCGCCGCCGCCGCAAGCGTCACGAAGAACTGGCTCCCGTTGATCGTCGCCCCCGTCGCACCTTGCGATCCCGGCGCCGTGCGGTCCTTCACGGGCCGAGAGGCCATCGACAAAATCCCCCGCGTGTTGTGCTTCAGCGCTGGGAGGTGGATTTCTTGGTTCAGGGCGCCTGGGTGGTGGATCGAGGTGCCGCCTTTCGGGATGTCTTCGAATGGGAGCATCGGTTTTGAGCCGGTTGTGGAGGATGCGGCCGGGCCGAGTGAGATGTCCCCGCCTTGGATCATGAAGCCAGGGATGAGCCGGTGGAATGGCGTGTTGTTGTATGCGCCGCTGGCGCAGAGGGCGAGGAAGTTCTGAGTGGAGGGGGTGAGTGGTTAGTTGGTTGGTTGGGGTTGTGGGGATGGGGTTGGGGTTGGATTTGAGGAGAGGGAACGTACTTCTGCTGTTTGGGGGACGGATTCGCAGAAGAGTTCGACTTTGAGGTCGCCTTGCGTGGTATGGAGCTGACGGAGCAGGTTGGTTAGTCGGTGTATCGTTAGATCTGGGGGAGGATGAATGGGAGACGTACTGTGACAGACATGGTTGGTGGTTATGTCTGCTAGGAAGTTGGGGACAGAGATATGTGGTTGTGAGAGAAAGCCGACTGGAATCGGAATGAATCCCAAGATGGATCGGAACTGCGGCGATCGTCGCGAGTCGGCGGCGGCGCGCATTTATCGGCAGATCACATGACGGCGGCCGTGTTTGATGCAGGGAAGTACTCATTCATTCTCCGGCTTTCTGCTTCAGTTCATCTTCGGCGCCATTTTGTACGATTGCTGCATGACTTGCTTCCGATATACGCCCGCGATCTGAATCTTCAATCGGAAAGTCGAATACGTGTCTCTCCCTCGTTTTCAGCATCGCCGTTACCAACGTCAACCCCATCCGCACGCATCCTTGAACCATTGTGATCAGCCACGCCCTGGACATTCAGACACAATGAACAACAGGCCTGTCGAGCAGGCGCTGGCTACGCTGTTGCCAACGCATGCGCTTGATCTCCCCCCAGAGCTCGTCAGCCTAGCCATGTCTCTTGTCGCACAATCGCGCAGCTTTTCTTCCAGCTTGAAGCCCGAGGAAGAGATAGCTCGGCCTCACGCATGCGCCGAAATTGCTTGCAAAAGGTACTTCGGGGCAGTCCCTAGTCTTTGAGCCAAGCCATGTACCAATGGAAGCTTTGCTGACTATATTTCGCGTCAACGCAGACTCACGCGCGCCCTCAAACTCCCCCCTCTTCTCGGCCATCCACCATGTCCTCCGCGACCCTACAAAAAGCTATACGCATTCCTCGACCGATCCCTATCGACCGGTGCCTCGCGCGCAGGGAGCGCCTCTGCCCCAGGAACCCCTTCACGGACTGGATCCGCCCCCTCCACACCAACGAAGACATCACGGACAACACAGAAGACACCATCAAAGCCCACGGCGACCCCGCGGGGTCTACAAAACACACCCTCAAAATCGACTCCTCTGAAAAGAGCACTCACCACCGACTCACTCAATCCTTCCCCATCCCCTAGACCCCAGAAGCTAGCCAAGTTCCGCCCGAGCGGCCTTTCAACCTCCACCAACATCCCCGATGCCCCTGCCTGGGTGATGACCTCAATCCGAACCGTCTGCAAGACTCTCTCCACCCCTGCCCCGCGCATGAGCACCTGGTCCCGACCCCCGATCTCCAGGACCCTCCCTCCTCATATTTTCACCGGCGTATCCTCCATCTTACACCTGATATCCGAAACCACGGGCAAACACGACGAGGACATCGACGACGAGATGATGGAGTTCCTCCAGCCGATCATCATAGCCACCGACAAAGACAAAGATGAGGATTTCAAGGAGCTGATCTACGCGTTAATTGTGGCCGTGTACTTCCTCGTCCTTGCCCGTCGACGCCAGCCAAGTGCCTCGGCTGAGAATTCCGCGCGGGAGCCGGAAGCACAGAAAATGGATAAGAAGACCTTCTCGGAGATGCGGCAGACCGCGCTTGTTAGTCTGGGGCTTTCGTCGACGGAGAGACGGCATCGCGAGGATGTGGATCAGTGGATTGCGCTTATAATGGAGCAGGGGTGGGTCCATGGGAGGGAGTGGTTCGAGAATATCCCACTTGCCGGGGAATTGGATGGGGATGATGGGTGTTTGGATGATCATGCGGGAGGGTTTGTTGAAGGGGAGGATGAGCCTGCTCCCCGGTCTCGGAAGCAGATGGGAGCTGGTCGGGGGCCTCTGATGGGCGACTCGTCGAGGGGTGGCCTTCTTCCTGGCTTGGGGACTATGATGCAGGATCGTGTGGATTGGCTGAGTGACGACCGGAGGGAGGATTACGTCGAGTGGAAGGCGGATATGTTGGCACGTATCGAGCAGATGGAGAGGATTGCGCAGCCTGCTTGAACTCAAAGGCCGGGTTCCTTGCCACCGTGGACTATAGCAAACGACTGATACTACAAGATAATAGAATATGATACCCATTTAGTAAAAATGTCGAGTGTGCTGTGTACCACAGTCGCTAATTTCGAATTTTATTCTAGTTTCAACATGATATGAGAAACAAGGTGGGGTGTCTTCGAACCAGTATCATAACAATCAAGGGATTTAAAGGTCATAATAAGTATGGAGTATTCAACAGCCAGTGTATGAAATGAAATGAATATGATGAGATGCAATGGTATGATGGTATGGTATCAATGAAAATGTATGCACGTCAAGTCTATACTTATCACCCCAAACATCGAGACAGGGTATAGTGTAAATGACCAGGACAAAAAATAACACAAGAAGAAGTAGAAGAAAAAGAAGGGGGGAGAAGAAGAATAAATCTGCTCCAGCGAAGGCAAATCTAATACCAAATACTCCTCGTGCGATGATGGGGGATAGACTCCTGTCCATCCTTCTCTAAATCTTTCATGGTATCGTAGAGAAAGAAATCTATGAGGACCGCGTTGATGCCCATACCGGTGGGTTCGTGGACGCTCTCCTTCTTGATGTGCTTCTGGGTGGAGCATTTCTTCTGCTGATCTCTCCTGGCTTCGTTTTCTTCGGGCGACGGCGAGTTCTTCCGCGTTGCGTTTGAGAGGGGCGTCGATTTCATCTCGGGATGGCGCCGTTCGATTTCCCGTCGGATGAGCTCCACGCACCAGATGCTGGTCGCGCGGAGCTCGATCTCCCAGTTCGAGCCGCTGGGAATCGGCTTGAGGCTGCGGATGTGGCTTTCGAGTGGGGGTGAGTACATCAGGCAGCCAAGTTGGTGGAGCATTTGGGGGATGCGGTAGTCTGGGAGATGTTAGTTCGGGATTGTTGTGGGGTTGGTTGGGTTGTTAAAATGGAAAACATGCCTGCGAACATCGTAATCTTGTCAATGTCGTGGAATTCACCGTAGCCTTCGCCGTTGAAGCAGGCCCATAGGTCTGCGACGAGGATCTGGGCCCGTTTGTAGATCCGCACCCGCCGTCCGTGGAAGGTGGTTTCGTCACGGAAACAGGAGAAGCTCTCTGCTAGGAGGTTGACAAGCGCTGCTGCCGAGTAGTTGGCGTTGTAAAGACAGTTCACAAAGCTCCCCTCGTACTCCTGGAATAGCAGGTCTGTTAGAACTGGGGGTTAGGTGTGGGGGATGCGGTGTATTTGCTTACCCTACAAAGAACCCGACCAGCTTCTCGCAGGCATTGGAGCCGTTCTTGAAGCAACGGGATTTCCTCGTCGGTGGCGGAGCGAAATACATGCTTGATGAGATCCTCGGTACATTCGTCTTCCTTCGTCCAGAACCCCGGGGTCGTGATGGGGATATCTATAGCTATTAGCTTGATTTAACCTGACTCATCGGGGAAGCTTACTTTCATCCAGGGCCCTCTGCAGCGCAGCAACCAAGCTCCAGTACCCAGTCCACCTCTTTCCGCGATACTCGATCGCAAAGCGCTCCTCGGTTGACAGCTCGGACCAGAAGCTGAAATTGAGCAGGTCCATGGTGAAGATGAAGTTGACGGTATTCTCGTCTTTAGCTTCGGGATGCAGCTCATGTTCCGACCACGTCTGTGTCGAATACTCCTTCTTCTGCATCAGACGCCATATCGTCTCTGCGGCTTCTTTGGTCTTGGGCACATTCAGCGCAACATCGATGGCGTTGTCGAAGGCGTACTGCGCATTCTCCAGCACTTTCGTCTGCGCCGTTCGCGGGTCGGAGGCGCCTCCCAGGCCCAGGGTTTTGCGGAGGAGTGCGATCAGCTCCGGATCGACCTCGTCGTCGGACATGGTTGCACGGGTTTTGTTGGGGTTGATGTGATATCTGGGGTGTCGCCTTGTTGTCTTTTCGGGATTGCTGGGCTAAATGTTCGATGTAGACTGAAGGAGCTGGAAACCCGCGCAGGAAGTAAGTAAAGTGTTTCCCCGGACTCGGATTTGAGGAAGAAGAGGAAGAAGAAGAAGAACAAAGGAAGGCGAGGCGCGAGAGGGGAAAACGGCCTGGAAAACGGGGCCTTCTCCACGACAGGCACCAGGCAGTAGGGAACCGTTTGTTGTCGACCCAAGGTCCGTCGCCAGGAGAGCGATCAAAGAACTTTTAGAAGATCCACCACCAGCGAGGATTCCGAGAAGCGCACGCTGGGATTTGTTAAATGCTCTACCGGAAAGTTCTATGCGGGCCCTCTCTACCACCGTCCAGATTCTTCGCCCGCTCGGATTAACGGATCGAGCCAGTGTGTTGTTTTCCCGATATCAAACAAATTATTCAAATCGATCTTTTATCGGGCCTTTTTTTTGGGGGGGTCTGGATTTTTGGGGCGATAAGTGATCGGTTATGTAAGCGGGGGGCTGTCAAGATCGAGGCTGCCTTCACAATCGCCATCTAAGTATCTGATTTGAAAATACTGGTAGAATGTGACCGGTGTATAGACTGGGCTTTATTTGAGACCGATTGTGGTGGCAACGGAGGGTCTGGGATGACACCTGAAGAATTCTTCACAGCATATGGCTTCAATGTTTTATAACAAACCAAATGAATCCATGTTGAGATAAGCAGATAGACGTAGTTAGTTAACTACAGTTTCAGATGTGATATTACTGTCCCGAAGCAGTAAAGCAGTAAAAACCTTGAAACTGACCCAGGGGTACGACATGTCACCTGCGACGGACTGGGGGATCCTGAGGCTTTCCTCACCAGGCAATCAGAGGTTGCTGCCTTAGGCATGAGTCCGGTAAGGATCAGTAAGCGGGGGAAAATGCTCGTCCCAACCAATCAGCACAGAAGCTCTGGGGGCATAGGCGGGAGGACTGTGCATAAAACCAGGGCATACTACCTCTTTAAACGTTTTTCATACCTGGTAACTAACTACCCTTACTTTGGTCTCTCTCTAACACCTCTTGTTCCTTCGCTGATACCACATCAGTTTTTGTATATTTAAGTTTCAATTCAAATTAATTAAGCGACTCTCGCCAACATTCCGCAGCAATGCACTAGGGACAAGAAAAAACTGTAGACACAAGTAATCATGGTAATTGACCCAAAATCAGTTAGAATGGCGGTATATGTGGTAGAAGAGCCCCTTCGGCATCGTCCCTACAGCACAGCATCAGAGCCATAGCTGCAGTAGTGAAAGTTGGTGTAAAACATGGTACTGGTACAAAAAGCAAAAATAGCATGTCCTGGTTTATCCAGGGACCTCCGGGATATGCTGATTGGATAGGACTTCCGGCAATTCTTTGTATTATGAAATAAAAGGGACGGAACTGGTTTTATAAAGTCGATATTGATGCCGTATACATGGGGTATATGGGAGACAGGTTGGTGTGGCTGGCTCTTGTAACCAAATCTTGGAGACAAAGCAGCTTGTTCGCTCAGGGGAAGACCGCCGAGCTAATAGCCCAAAGGACCCTTTTGTCTTCCCTTATTTCAGATAGGTTACTTCTAGGGTCGATATCTGCCTGGTTTTTGTTCAGTTGCCAAACGGATGCCCTGCAATGCAGAGTGCAAGCCAAACGGTCCTGATATCGGTCTGATTGGCCCTCACGGCCCTTTGAATAGAAGAAAGTCCTACTAGTAGGCAGTAGGCTTGCTGCTGCGGTCTTGGATGGAATCCGAGCCTCCTTCCGTTTTGTTTCTTCTCTCCTTTCCCCACTATCATCAATCCCAGCTACTGCATGCGCACTACGCCATGGTCTAAGACCATGCACGACTCACTCATCCATTGGTGGGAGTAAAAGTAGGAATATGAGCTCTCACATCTCGGTCGGAGGTACTGCTCCAGCAAGAAACAGGTCGCAAAAGTACCGGGCAGATTGTCTGGGAAAATACACCTCCCAGCAGAGCATCCAGAGCCGACCCAACGATCGATAACTAACTATCTAATGGCTGGGTGATAGTTAGTCAACTGGGCCTCGTGCTATTAGGGAAATGGCAGTGGGATCAGATCCGATCCCGGGCCGCCACTCCCACTAGGCAATCGCCATTCCTTCATGGCCAAAAGGGATCGATGGCGTGAAGATTCATTTCTCAGCCGGTGTTGGATGACAGTCAAACATCCAATTCTTTGACCGGGCGTCGTTTTGGCCGGGATGGGCGATGGGGGAGAGGGGGAGTGAATGACTGAGACTGAAGTGAAGTGGGCTCGGGATTGTTGCCTTCACTCTTCATTCTTCTTGACCTCACCTCAAACTGCTTCCGGCCTCCGCAACTTCTCTCTCTCTCTCTCTCCTCTCTCTCTCTACCTTCACTTTCTCTTCAGCCTCCCTTTTCCTACCGACACCACCACCGACCTCCCTCCCCTGCCGTCAATTCCGCGCATCGTCAGCACCCCCTCCGGCGATGCCTCTTCCACCGCTTTAAGCGCATCGCCCTTAGCTTTCGTATCGATCCACCGTCCGTCCGTCCGTCCGTCCGTCCGTCTCCGCGCCGCAACCATGACGCGGGAGACTTATCTGAAGCGCTCCCTCGGCACTCTGGCCAAACGAATTAAAGAGGTATCGCTCGCCCCCCCACGCTGCTTCCCCCCTGTTCGAATTGCGCAACCCCATCTAACGGTTTCGGTGCCTTTCATCTAGTCGCGTGTGCTACTCGTCGGTGCCGGTGGCATCGGTTGCGAGCTGCTTAAGAACCTCCTCCTCTCCGGTTTTGGTGAAATCCATATTATCGATCTCGACACAATCGATCTCAGCAATCTCAACCGCCAGTTCCTCTTCCGCTTTGAACACATTAAGAAGTCCAAGGCATTAGTGCGTCCATACTATTCACCTCCCGCGATCCTGCCTTTCCCTACACTCTCACCCCCACGAGACTGACGATCGCTGGCGTTATATCTAGGTTGCGAAGGAAGTTGGCCATAAATTCCAGCCAGGTGCGAAACTTGAGGCCTACCATGCGAATATCAAGGATAGCCAGTTCAACGTCGACTGGTTCGCAAGATTTGACGTGGTGTTTAATGCGTTGGACAACCTGGATGCCCGCCGACATGTCAATCACATGTGTTTAGCAGCCAATGTGCCGCTGGTCGAGAGTGGAACAACTGGTTTCAACGGCCAGGTTCAGGTTATCAAGAAGGTGGGCGTCCACACCAGACAAACAGAAGCGACTGCTGACGACTACCAGGGCATCACGGAATGCTACGACTGTAACTCCAAGGAAGTCCCCAAGTCATTCCCTGTCTGCACTATCCGCAGTACTCCCAGCCAGCCAATCCATTGCATCGTCTGGGCCAAAAGTTATCTCCTCCCGTAGGTCATCCAGGTGGCTGTGTTTCTAACAACTACTGACATGTCAAAGCGAGCTTTTTGGAGTTAGTGAGGATAATTCTGACGAATTCGATCACTCAGAAGATGCCGAAAATTGTGAGTGGCTTCTATAACCGTAGTATCCATTTCAATGCAAGCATGCTGACTTGTGATAGCGGACGAGATAGAGAATCTTCGGAAGGAAGCGCAGGCTCTCAAGAAAATCCGGCAATTCATGGGCTCCGATGAGTTTGCGCGGAAGGTCTTCGAGAAGGTTTTCCAAGAGGATATCGACCGATTGCGGGGGATGGAAGATATGTGGAAGTCACGCGATGCACCAGAGCCTCTTGATTTCGACAAGCTGCAGGAAGAGTCTTCGGGTGTTGAGATTATGGTCTCCTGCGACATTCGGAAAGTCTGGACTCTCGCCGAAGACTTTGTCGTCTTCAAGGACAGTTTGGATCGGCTGAGTAAACGGCTGAAGACACTGCAGGACACCACCAAAAGCGATGTGAAGCCCATTCTGGTTTTTGACAAGGACGATGTCGATACCTTAGATTTTGTCACGGCTGCTGCTAACATGCGGGCAAACATATTCAAGATCGATCCGAAGTCCAAGTTCGATACAAAGCAAATGGCTGGCAACATCATCCCGGCGATAGCAACCACTAACGCAATGACGGCTGGGCTTTGTGTCCTGCAAGCTTACAAAGTGCTGAAGGAGGAGTACGACCAGGCTAAGATGATCTTCCTCGAACGATCGGGTGTCCGCGCCATTAACTCCGATTCCCTCCAACCCCCCAAACCTAACTGTCCCGTGTGTTCTGTTGTCCACGGCCGGTTAAACATTGATCTCCAGCGGGCTACGTTAAACGACTTGGTTGAAGGCATCCTTCGGTTGCAGCTGGGATATGAAGAATTCTCCCTCACTAACGGGCTGGAAACAATTTACGACCCGGATCTGGAGGATAATCTTCCCAAAAAGCTGGTCGACCTCGGCGTTACGTACGAGACCTTCCTTACGGTAATCGACGAAGAGGACGACCAACCTCGCGTCAACCTCGAACTCATCGTGCTAGCCCCCGAATTCTCCGAATCCGAATCAACGGACGACCGAAAACCCGTCTCTCTCGAGAAAATCTCTGATATCCCTCGAAAGTCGAAGCCAGCTACACCTGCCTCCCCTGAACCCGAGCCGGTGAACGGCACAGGCAAACGCAAGCGCGATGCAGAGGAAGCCGACCTCAGCAATGGCGACCACCCCACCAAGCGTGTCGCCGGTATGTCCCTCGAGGATGGCGACGGCGCACATCCCATTGTCTTGGATGAGGCAACCGGCGGTGCGATCCTGATCGACGATGACTGAACGATACCAGGTGGATTGAGGATTGAAGCTGGACATCGCATCTCAACTACTGCTGCCATTTAACTCTCGCTCTCTCTCTCTCTCTCTCTTACTACCATTTTCATACTCTCTGGGCTTGCAGAAGTGGCGCATTGTGGGTTCTTATTCCCTTCCATGTAAAATTATTAAGGGTGCATGCTTCTGAATGATCGGAATGCGAATAGAATGGATGGTGTGGTATCACTGAGTCTGTCTCTGTTTTTTTTTTTTGGTACACGTAAACTCTCAGTACATTTAGAGAGGAATAGTGAATGAGAAATTATTTCAAGTTAATACATACACACATACAGCATACATCCATATCCTTCACAAGACTTCACCCGCTATCATACATCCATATCCTTCGGAAGACTTCCCCCACTATCATACATCAACCACCCAACACGATCTTCAGCTGCACTACACTGGACTACATCACACCACCCGTCCCTAGCAAGTCAAATACCCACCCACCCTACATAGTACGATCTATGGGATATAAACCCATGCCCTCAAACCGCACTCAGCCCCCCATCCAGATTCAGCACACAATTATTCGCATACTCATTCTGCGCCAGGAACACCGCCGCATCGGCCACTTCGTCCGCCCGACCGAATCGGCGAATGGGGATAGTCTCTCTCAATCGGGCGGTTTCACCTTCTGTGAAATCTGTCCGGCGCGGGAAGTTAACGTCTGCATCTGAATGTTTCAAGCAGGTATGGAGTGAATGCAGAGTGATATCGAAATATGGGAGATAGAAGAGGGTAGAAAGAAACGAGGAAGGGAGAAAGACAAGCCCAGGAATGAATCAATAAAGGAATGAATGAGAAAAGAAAAAGAAGAAGTGAGATACTTACCCGAAATCATTGGCGTCTCAATATACCCCGGCACAATGGCATTCGACCTGACAACCACACCCCGCAACGACGCGGCCGTCTCAACAGCCACCGATCTCGTCAACCCCAGGATCCCCGCTTTGGAAGCCGCGTAGGGAACAGCCCCCGTCCCGGATTTGTGCGCGAGGAGGGAGGAGATGTTGATGATGCATTTTGAGGGTTCGTGTGGTTCAATCGAGGCGGATGGGGAGGGCGTGCGCTTCTTCACACGATTGCGAATCGAGGCGCGGATGAACGCGCGAGATGTCAGGATTGCGCCTTCGAGGTTTGTGCGGAGGATACGCGAGATATCTGACGGTTCGGATTTGGGGAGGATGGAGGAGATGGAGAGGCCGGCGGCGTTTATCAGGATGGAGGGGTTGGTTGTTTGCTGGGAGTAACGGGTCAGATTCAGATCTATATCATAATGAAGGGGGAGAGGAGGAGGGGCTGGATATGGTTACCATTGCCTTTTCGAGCTCGCGGAGCCAGGATCCAGCTTCGGAGATGTCGCCGACCAGGAGACTTATTCTCTCTGAGGAGTGGATGAGGTGGTGGTTCCCTGGGTTGGTGGTGGGTTGGTGTGCGTCGGTGGATGGGGTCTCGACTGGTTCGGACTTGGAAAGACAAGTCTCCAGTCGTGATGCTGCGTGGAGGAGTCGCTCGTAGGATCGTCCGATGAGAATCACCCGTGATGCTCCTTCTTGGAGGAATCGTTCCGCGATGGCGAATCCGATGCCCGATGTTCCGCCTGTTATCATGCAGGTTCGGCCGGTGAGGCGGTTTGAGGGGGGGAATTGAGACAGGGGGACATTTCCGGTCGTGGATGAGTAGGTTCGTTGATGGTTGATGATGAGTTGAGGGAGGATGGAGGACGAGGTGGTGGTGGTGGTGGTGAGGAGTTGTTGTTGATGGCGATGGTTGATGTATCCTAATTGCGGTTGGAGGAATGGTTTGGATGCTGCGCCGCAGAGGCGCAGGATGTGTTTTCGGGACATGGTGTTTGGGAGAAGATGGGTTTATGCGCGCATGGTTGTACAGGGCGCAATATGTAATGGTATAATCCTCTGGAGCGCAGTTGGGGACTTTATATTGTCTTGCGCAGTGAGTGCCTGTTTCTGTATTAGTTTCTGGCCAAGCAATTCATCCTCTCAGACTTACCACGGAATGAGTTGATCGGGACAAGAATCTCCAGACGACCAACATCCAAGTCGCAGCGAAGAAGGCAGATGGCAGATGGCAGATGGCAGATGGCAGGTGCATCGGCATCGGCAGCGAAGCTTAAGCACAGACCATGAACGGACAACGGACATCATCGCCGCGCCGCCGCGTCTCGAATCTTTCCTTCTTCGCCCCGCGTCCCCCCAACTCCCCCGACCTCCACACCCACCGACCATGTCTTCCTCAAAATCCTCACAGCCAGACTACGTGACGCTCGTCTCGGGCGACGGGTTCGAGTTCGTCATCCCCCGCAGCACCGCCTGTGTCTCGGGCACGATACGACGCATGCTGGATCCCTCGAGTAAGTCTGTCGGTCGCTCGCGATCAACACCGAATAACACCACGCAAAATACTCACCTTAACTTCTTTTGCCACAGGCCGATTCTCCGAAGCGATCAGCGGCCGCTGCGTCCTCGAAAACATCAGCGGGGTCGTCCTCGAGAAAGTGTGCGAGTACTTCTGCTACAACGAGAAGAATAAGCACCAGGCCCACGTGCCAGATATGGATATTCCGCCGGAGTTATGTTTGGAGTTGCTGATGGCGGCGGATTATTTGGATACTTAGTGCTTAGTGCGGGCGCTTGGGGGTTCTTGTGGGTGCCTCGATTGTTTCAGATTGGATAACGATGGATATGGATGCTGATTGTGGCTTTAGTGGGATCTAGACGGCTTTTTTTGTTTGCCCTTTTTACGACTGATGATGCGGTTACGATGGATGTATGTATTATAATGGAGTTTGGTGGTATGGGTATGGATTCGATCTCGTTTATGGAAATCTACTAGGATGGCTATATGGTGCGGAGGTCGGGTATAGATCTGGAACAAGCCGATAGACATATCCTGGATAATGTCCCTGTCCTTCCGCCCGGTATATTCGCCTTCTCGGCATACCAGACAGCCAGCCGCTGGCCAGCCATTTGAGCATCTACATCCGTCCTCTCACATCCATGGACGGATGTTCTAAAGATGATGGCAGATTGGTTATGACCCCCTCTACCCGGCCCCTGTCCGATCCTCCGTGGACATGCGGGTCTTTTATCTATTCCATTCCAGGGGAAACATGCTCTTGTGCTTCATCGGGTATCCGGGTAGCATACGTCGAGCAGGTTGTGCAATGCAGCCCTTCGTGCTCGGTGCTCTCAGCGCCCCTTGGGCCGCGGCCGGGGCGGTCCTTTGTTCCCTCTCACGTTCTTCTCCTTGTAGATCTGTTCCTTGCCAAATGCCGAATCCGCGATTCGGAGATAGCTCACAACGCCCTCGTCCACGACGGCTAGAATCACGTTCCGGTACCCGTGGCGTAACCGCATGTATAGTTGCCGGCTCATCCTCTCTGTGGGTGGGTCCAAAGGAGTGCTTTCGAGCAATGCTCCGAGTTGAGACAGTAGCGGAAAGGTGGTATGAGTGCGCGCGTTCACGACGGCAATTCTGAAGTCCGGGACCGGCGGCGCGGACTTCTTGAAGGGTGTGGATGGTTTGTAGATGTGGAACACAACACGGTAGGGCGGTGTTGTACGCGGAGCCGGAGATGGTGCGGTGGTTGGATCATACCACGGGATTATGGAGAGCTTCCGATATATCTCCTCTAGAGAGAAGAAAAAAATAAGGATTAGCATGACGGCCAGAAGCGCAGATCGCAAAGTCCAACATACCATAACTGCGATGAAACCCAAGACCGGCAACAGGTCCCAAAGCCGTCGTAGGCTCATCAGGTCTGTATAGCCATTGGAGAAAGCGCCCAAAGATCCCTGCCAGACCAGGACCCTGCTGCCTCATCAACGACGTCTGCTCTGATTCGCTGACATCCGCGCCCTCCTCTTCATTGTACCACCCGGGCGCACGAGTGATCGTATACCCCAGCCGCCTCAGTCCCGTATACACCGAGAACCGCTCACTGGTCAGCCCACTCCGCCCCATGAAAGCCGCGTAAGCAGCCTGCAAGCTCATGGGAATCCCTGAATCCTCCGTGCCATCCTCGTCGCCATCTCCGACCTCCGAGCACGGCCACCGAATATCCAGACTCCCTCTCTCGAGCAGATACAGAGCCTCCTCCGGGAGCAGCCAGATGCGATTCCACCGATCGGCCTGACCGATTGTCTTGAAAAGCTGTCCCTTTGGGGCGGATATGTAGACGCATGATTCCGCGGGGACGCCTACTTCAGTAGTGGCGGGTTTCTTGGCCTGGGATTCCTCGGATATCGTCGTCTCGATGGTCTGGGCCGATCGCGGAGGCGTAGGTCCATTGGGGGCGTAAACGCCTGTGACGTGGTGCTTGGGGTGGTGGAGACGGGGGTATGAGAGGGCATTGTGCATTGCCTGCCGGGAGGCGGAGAGAATGTCGGCCTGGAACAAGGTCGGGTTCGGTTCGAAATCCTTCTCTCCCCGTTTCGGGAGACTGGTTTGCGATCCATCTGTGAGGCTGCGGTTTGTCAGTGTGACGCAGCACCCAACCAATTCTGTGGTGACACTGACAAGGAAATGCTGTTCAGCATGCGAAAGTCCTGCGTCTCATCCGAGAGGTCGACCTCGATGTGTGCGCCCGCGTCCTGGGCGGGGAGGTTGATGGCGGCCTCGTCTGTGTCGGCCATGGCGATTGTAGCGGGTAAGGACCCGATTGAACGCGCTGGAAGGGTGGTGGATGGAAGGATAGAGACGGATGGAGAGGACGAACGGCGAAGAAAGAGAAAGTTAGTTAAGCCGCGGGCGGATCGATCGCCGATAATTAATCAATCTCCACTCCGATAAGACTAGTCTGGCTGCTGTCTGACATCAAACATGCATCCCCAGCCAAACATGAAACAAGGCCTGTCGAACGATAGGCCCATGCTGTGATTGATCCCCGCGGTGATTGTATCATTGTACATTGTTCATAGTTTCGTATCGCGGAGACCCTGGTGGACCTGTTCGGAGTATTGTCGCCAATACAACTGCTGTCCTTGATCAGGTACGATAGATCGGTTGAAACTGAACAACTGCATCCTGTGAACGCGCATCTTGGTTGGCCCAAGATTGCCACCAAGTATTGAAGCCTGAAACCCCGGGCATTGTGGCCCAAAGGCTTGTGGTTTGTTCGTCGCGGGGAAGCCGGAAAGGCGCAACAAAGCGCGGCGCTTTGGCTTCGATCCCCTCCAATTGCTCACCACCCTCGTCCTCGGAGACAGAACATTACACTTTGGGCTATACGGTACCTGCTTTTCCAAAGAAAAACGCAAAGATGACCGAAGAGCCGTTTGACTACAACGAACTTCTCATGCAGGTAGGTCTTCCCATCTTGATATGTAGACATAGTCAACAGAACCCCCTCCCCCCCCCCCCGGGAACAATCCTTGCTTACGGGTTGCCTCTTTAGATCTCTGTGAATCTCACCAATGCCCTGAATACCTTTGGGGCATCTTCTCCACAGTACCAGTCCATTCTGAGTATTCTCAAGGACTGCCTTGCAACTATTGAGAAGGATAAAGAACGCAACCGCCACAATCTCGACCCGGATATGTTGAGTATAGCTATGGAGTTCTTGGAGATTGGGAAGTGAACTGTTGATGGACTTGGGAATTAAGAAACAGATTACAGATTCATGGCTCGAGCAGACTTGTCATTTAGTGAGCTTTTTTTTTTTCCGTGTCTATAGAAATTTAACTGTTTTCACATATACTCCTAGACGATATTCGAACCCAATAGTAGAGATTCACGAACCTACTCTTACCTAGTTTATTAGAAACCAGAATATTGACTATCTCCTGTTCTATTCTGTTGGATTTTATCCTGATTCAAGACAACAGCACCGCTATATATGCCCCTGCACCCTGTGATACAAGAGACATGTCTGACCAGAACAGCTATCTGCTCGGCCTGTCACTGTTGCAAAACCACCAAATGGCACCTCTCTCACAATCCTTGGCATCCCAAATCAAGCCCCAATAAGTAGGTGTTACATATTATATTGAGAAAAAAACACAACTAGAAAATGGATGGGAACGCAAGCAGACTGCACCCAAATCCCGGCCCCCTCCCTAGATGCGAAGTAAAGCCCACCAGAACACCCTATTTTGCCCTGGCCAACAAACAAGGAACTGAAATGGCTACCGTGAAAAATCATCATGCAACAAGAAACTCCGTGGCCCATGCATTCGTAAGACATAATGACGCTGCCCGCGTCCACAGAAAGCACGCCGAGTCAATGGGGGTTGAACGGCGTGGTTTGGCTATAGCCACGCGTATCTGGCCATGGCTAGGGGCCGGCGCTGGAAGATGGGACAGACACCCCGCAGCTGGGCGAGCCTGATTTTCACTCAGTGTGAAGATGATGAATTTCTGCATTCGTGCAGACACTTGCGGCTCAGTCTATTAGAGGTTTCTTCTGATTGCCGACAATGGCCACGCCGAGGTGACGGAGGGCGTGGGGGTCACCAGGCCGCACGATGGAAGGAAGGGGTAACATTGGGTTGTCTGGATTCACATGAACCGCTTCGCGAGCAGCCTGTTCAATGGCCTCCATCTCTTCCTTGCAACCCGCGTGATCGAGTGGACAGACAACGATCGGTTGTCGAATGATGATATCTCTCGCGGACGTCAAATGTGCCTATACCAGCGATTTAGTAGGGGTTCTGAGGTGCAATGGTCCCTGAAAAGGGAAGTAATACCTTTACTGTTAAGTAATACTCGATTTTATAAAGACTCGCAGTAGTCGTAAACCCGCTCAGGGCGTATGACGGAAAGGCCGTTTCATTTCTGGGAAGAACGCCTTTCGAGTCTCGCATATCTTTGGCGGGAAACACCAATCCCAAGTTCGTCAAGAAGCCTGACGGAGGTAGCTTTACACCAATCGGATCTGTTCTCTTCGTTAATGTTCTCACTTTCCGTTGCGGCTCATCGCCCTCGTGGTTGTAAATAATTTCTTCGTCAATTCCAATGGTGATCTTGCTGATAGTGACCTTCCTGGCTTTACCAATCCAGTCAGGATTCGGTGAAAGCTTGACGTAGACGCTCACGGGGTCGAGAGGACCGTAGGACCATCGGGGTAAGGATATCCCCAACGTGACCAGATGATCCGTCACTCGTTCCGCTGATTCGGGGCGATTGTACATTCCGAAGGTAGACAGCGTGTCATACCGAGACATGGGGACGGGGAATGTATATTTCCTCTGATCCGAATGTCCTTGCTGCACCATGACCACTATCTCGTAATATGTCTCCGCCGTGCGACTCGGAAGTTGTAGACTGGCCGGAGGGACCCTCCTCGAGGCATCGTGGCCGCCTCGCCCGAACGGAATGAACAGGACGAAAGGCAGGTCCATTGAGATGACCTCTTCATATTCGCGACCGGCCGGGCAGCGGAAAAGGAGCATCTCCTTGCCCACAATATCCGTGATTTCTTTCCGGGGAGGCGCGAGGTGTTTCTTGGTGACCGAATCGGCGGACGGGTGTATTGTCTCGCGACGATGGAGGGATATGGTGACGAGGGACACGTTCACGGGGGCTGTGATGCCGACACTAGGCCTGACCTCGACTTTACCTTCGATACGTGGCTTTTGCTGATCAGCGACCATTGTTTACCCAAACAGAAAGAGACCGGACAGCCGGCACTCACCATTGTCGCAGATATACCGGGGTACCCGATCAGAAAATTGCCATTCGGCGGGCCCGATACTCGCACGAAGGCGGCCATGCTGAGAGTGCTGCTACCGCACCACCATGGGCACGCGCCGGTTCAGAGGGATGCGCTCCGGGGATGCTGCGAAGAGTGTGCGACCTCGACGACCAAGGGTTCCGTGGAAAGCTCATAGAGAAGCCGAGTCCGCCGACCGGTCGCCCTCGAACACGCCGCGCCCAGGGAGTTGTGGGGGCGCAGGTGCGGCAACGGCCTGGCTGGTTGCTATGAAAGGACAAGGACTCGTAATTCGGAGCGGGAACTGTGGGCGAGACAAGGCGATTGCGGCGGGATTGTCGAGGGCGCGAAAGGGGAGGGGGGGAGGGGGGGTGGGAAGAGAGGGAAGGGGAGAAAGGGCAAAAGAGTGAAACGGAAGTGAGGCGAGTCAGGTACAATATTCGCGAAGCAGGCCAAAGCAGGCAGGTAGAATGCAAGTAAGCAAGCGAGAGTTGTTTACAAGCGCCGATGTGGGGAGGGGAGACGGCGAGAGGTGTGATCCGTGATCACTGATGGGGAACACCTGCGGCGGCTAAGCAAGTCCCAGCGGCAGCCACGGAACAGGCTACTTAAACCACTTAAACCTGTGGCTGGCCTGGCCCGGCCCTCCCTCCAGTCCAGCGCTGTCGTCAGCGATCGGCGCCGCATTTAATACGAGCTGCTCCCTCCTAGGTAGATAGATACTTCCATACTTACCTACCTACGTAGCTAGATGGCTAGCTATGGGAGGTGATGGATTCTTACAAAGGATGCTCCGTCTTCTCGTTCTTCTTCTTCTCACTGTCCCCTTCCTCGGCGTCATTCGTATCTCTACGATACATCCTACTCCGTACTTCCGACGTACTATCTCATCCCTACTGCCTTACATCGGCCGATCTCCACTATTATGAGGGGGTGGCACCACGCAGGCATCCATCCTGCAAGAAAAGACTGACAGCCTTGCCGCTTTAATCGGCGCGGGCATCAAATGGTGATCGTTAATATACCTGCCGAGCGCTTGGCCAGGGTCACCATGTGTGCCGTCGCTTCCTCGTTCCGTGGACCGAGTCAGTCCTCGTCCCAGCGCATGCTGGACTCCCAGGATGGGCCTGTACGTGAATCTCCCAGGTGCCGCTGTCCAGAATCCAGATGGCCATCCCTTGGAAAAGGCGGTCAACTGCATGGATAGTGGCCAGCAGCTGCAGATCAAGTCCCTTATTCCCTTATCTTCAACGCCTCTTATCCCTTTGCGCACTGTGGGGAACAATAGTATCCCATGCATCCTGCTTGCAAGCCTGGGTCGGTCGGGGGTTTTAAGTCAAATCTTCCACCTTTCCAGCCTGCGGATCGGGCTGAAGAAACTCACATAGTAGGGCGACATCTGATAATACTTCAAACAGCGTCTCGAGTCTAGACTGTACCCTAGTCTGTCGAAGGAACAAGGAAGACCTTCCGTCCAGCTACCTACCCAGGTATGTATGCCTGGAGAATATCCAGGTTATCCCCATGCAAGTCCGCTGCAGCTGCAAACCGGTAGCTTGGACGGAGAGACTGGAGGCCTCGCGCGGTGAAGGGTTGTTCTGTACAGTAGAATTGTACCGGTAGAATTCGTTTCGCGAGCTCTGGGAGCTCTGATTTGCCTTTGACAACATCTCCCAAAATACGACAGGTCGCTAGTACTATAACCACCACCAACTGCTAAGCATGTCCACTTTGCTTCATCTCAAAGATCCCACATGCGATCATTCACCGCATTATTATCTTGTTCTCGATGGGGCCTGTCGTCGGAGACCAGGTGACTTCGATGGAATCGAGGAACCGAGACAAGCAGGGGTCAAGCGCCTCTCCCCTGGTTCTCGTCCTGGTCGCGATCGCCCGGAGGCGGATGTGGCGAATAAGTACTTAATGAGGCTTGTCGGATGATCGTCTCGGTACTCCGTACACCGTACGGTATGTTAGGGGAGTTGGCGGTAGCACAGGTCACAAACCAGAAACACATCGGTTATCCAGACGAAGAGTGGGAGTTTGCCAGGTGGGAGAAGGGGTACCGTACGTATGACTTTCCCCACAGACTGACTGCTTTGTACCGTGACAGATGTAGTCTCGGGTAGTGGGAGTGGATCTCGGATTGTACTCCGTATCTGCTGCATAGTGGAGGTATCAAGAATGTAATCTCTTGGAAGATTGCTTTAGGATCAGGTACTACTATAAATACAACTCTTGGTTCGTGGAGCCCCTACTGTTAGAGATATATATATACAAAGTAGGCTTTGGACTACTAAGTACAGTTCGTACCGGTGGTCGGCGGCGGTTGCCATGTGCGACAAGCATGATGACATCTTCCCCCCCCCCCACACGGCGGTCCAGAACCAGAACCAGAACCAGATCCTCAACCTCAACCTCCATCTCAACTGTCATCTGTATGCCCAATCTTCGACTCGACCGATCAGACCATTGGATAAAAACCACTCCCGAGACCAGCTTGTAAAATGGCCCCCGCTCGTCGTCGCGGAGGCAATCCTGCCGCTACCCGTGCCAACCAGTCGACCCTGTCCTTCGGTTCCCAGTCGAGAGTCACCAAACCATCGGCCACCCCGTCAACACGATCCCAGAAGGCAAAGGACCTTGAGTCGATCGATGCTTTCCCACCTGAGAAGCTATCCATTCAAGATGTGTCGGAACCAGAACAGGCACCTGCTACTCCCATCGAGCCTTCGCAACCGCATGTCGCAGAAATTGCCGTGAGAGAGCAGGCCCGGACGGAGACCCAACAGCCGTTTTCGGAGGAGGATGAGAAAGCTAAAAGCACCACTCAACGGCAGTTGCAGCAGTACTGGAACAAGGAGGAAACAAAGAGACTAGCACCTCGAGGTGAGAACTACTCCGTACTGGCCCGGAAACCGCCCTGGTTAAATCGAGGTGAGAAAGCTGATCGTATCCATCGGCCCGCGCAGTTCACCAAGGCGACCTTACACTGCATGAGAAGATCCTGCGACATTTTGACCTCTCTAGCCAATACGGGGTATGTTACCCTCTCCGTTCACATTCAACCTTTGTGGTTTATTACGTTTTCCTTGTGTTGGGCTGATGTCTGACCGCCTGTGTAGCCGTGTATTGGGATCGCGCGACTCAAGCGATGGAGACGTGCCAACATGCTTGGCCTCAGTCCCCCGATGGAGGTACTTGCAGTCCTGTTAAAGCAGGATGAGGACATCAAACAGAGAGCATACGTTGATGAACTGTTGTCTTGAGTTTGGACCCGGAAGTGACTCTGTTTATAAACAGTCCATGGAACGGACGGAGTATGGTTGGTTGGTTGGACCGGTGCTTGGGCGAATGCTGCACATACCCTTTGGATTTCTATGACTTGGAATGACATGCCCTGGTTTTGTTCAAATTTTGCCTTGTACTTGATTTCGGCCTTGCTGGTCATCCGCCAAGTTCAAGGTTCGACCAACATCTTACGAGCAGATTTAAGATGATGGCGGGTAGAAGGTATATACGAAGGAAGTGCAAACATGTGTATTGCTTGCGACAGGTAAGCTACTGCTGGACCTCCTGTCATTCATGGAATGTGATTCTTCCTATGACCCCCGTGGAGCCGATGCTGATCACACCGTTTCTACGACAGCACCAGGTTGTCACACTATGTGCACCACGAACAGGGCCAAAAAGTCCGTGCAAAGGGCCCGCAGGCGTCTGGCCTCCGAGGGCGTATCCTTTGAGCTTTCTTTGGTCAAACTAGTACGACAAGCTGCCTCCATCCAATGTCCCCAGGAACTTGGACCAACTCTCTTGTCCCACCGATGGTCCATCCCGGGTTGCAGACACTGTTGTTGCCTTGATGTAGAACTGTCAAGGCATTGTAAAAGATGCTATTATGCCGACGCATAGAATTACCCCGCAAACCCACAGTCGGATGAAGCCCTCCCTCGACCGTCTTGTGGAGGCGGGTGTAGGCGCGAACTCTGTCGGTGTTTAATTTGGTTCGATATACCTGCTGCGTGACAGCGTGATGTTGCCCCGGGATGCCAGGGGCCTATTCCTGATCCCCACCCTGTGATCCCATTAGCTAGGTTTCTGCCTTTGGCGACTTCGTCCTACGTCGATGACGCGGATTATTAGACTGAGAGTTTGATGCCCCTTCAAGGCTATCCAAAAGGTGCGACCTCGGCTGTTACATGGCGTAGGCAGGCATCTATGTGGTACCTCAAACCGTTGGGTTCTGCTCGTCCCACACGACCGCTTGGCCATCCGGGTTTATTGTCCGTCTTGATGCCGTTATTCCAAGAATGATGCAGCACACCAGATGGGAGTGGAATAGATCGTCGCCATTGTGGGACAGACCCCAAAGCTATTTGCCCTACTGACGAGTGATTTGTGCCCATGTACCTCATACGGTTGCATTCCTGCTCGAATCTTACGTCTCTGTGCAGGAAATCCAAATGTTTCCAAGTCCAGCCCCAAGCTCGCTAGAACATTACTTTGACGATCCGATGCATGTGATGCTGTCGTCCTCGATCTGGTGAAACGGTGGCCCCCAAAGCTTATAAGAAATCGCATCTGTCCCCTGGGACCTGCGTCGGACCTATTTGTTGAGCAGCCACCGTTCGTTACAACCCCGAATATTCCTACCTTCGTTTCGGCTATCGAGTCTGCTACCCACAGTCCCGTCCACTTCTGACAAAAAGAAACCTCAACCGTCTCGAAGATGCAGCTCAGCCATGCCCTTGCCATCTTACTTGCAAGCACCTTTGCTAATGCGCAGATTCCGAATGTCCCCGCATGCTCGGTAGGTACTCTGCCTGCCAAATACCCGACAAGCCCACGACTGACACCCTTCTTTTCTGCAGCTGAACTGCTTCATCACCGCCTTTCAGTCCGATGGATGCTCACAATTGATGGACTTTGCCTGCCACTGCCAGAAGCCTGAGCTTGTCACAACAATCACTCCTTGCGTGCAACGTGCATGCAATGTTGCTGAGCAGTCTAGTGAGTGTCATGCTATTCATCTTTCTCATCCTGGAAGACCTTCTAACTGCCAACTAGCCGTATCTTCCGAGGTCGTTCACCAATGCTCCGTTGTCGGCCACCCTATCTCGATCCCTCCAGTCGGCGGTAGTCCGGAGACTACAGCACATTCTTTGACTGGGTCCAAGAGTTCTTCTGCCTCTGAAACCGGTGTGGCGCCTTCAACGACCTCAGCTTCAGTATTATCTACATCCTCCTCCTCATCTTCATCCACATCCGCATCATCCGCATCCTCGTCCTCATCCTCGGCCTCAACCTCGTCTTCATCTTCATCCACGTACTCTTCTCCGTCTCCGGCTAGCTCAGGATCAGTCACCCTGCCAACCGTCTCCTCCTCAGGCACACCTTCATCTTCGAGGGCACCATCTTCAGGATCTCCAACCGGATCCAGCCCTCACGGATCATCTTCAGGAGCTCGCAGTCCAACAAGCTCCGGATCATCCACGTCTCGAACAAGCCCCACGGCCCCCCTTGCAACCGGCTCCGCATCGACTGTCAAGGTGGGTATGATTGGTGCTGCCATCGTGGCTATAGTAGCATTGTGCATGCTATAGATCCCGGACCTGGAGTATGAAAGGGATTCGAGATCTACTCTAGTTGATCCTGCTTCGTCTGAAGAGATGGAAGGTGTATAGAAAGTACCTACCTGTAATTTGTGTTGTTTTCCGGGCTTGGTTCCTTACTACCTTTCTTTCTTCCTTTGCTGTTGCACTCTCTCCAACTAATACTTACTCATCTTGGATACTGGGCGCATACAGACTTTGATGTATCTTTTGGTTTTGGTCTTTTGTGTCTTTTCGACTATCTAAATCTCCAAAACAAACAAAATTAGTTCTTCTTTGATATTGGATTCTGATGATGGGCTGGAATATGCCAGGTGTGGGATCATAGGGGAAGCCTTTTGCTTGAGGTGGGTAATGATCGTGCAGGGAGAAGAAGAGGGACAGCAGAAGGGGGGGGGGGGGTTTATAGGAAGGTGCACGCCGCACCCAGCCTGAGGCATAAAGTGTGAGTGGAATCACTACTCCCTAACACTGTAGTACCTAGTATGCCATGTGTATGTAAATCTTTCACCGCTCCTTCCCTATTTCTATTGAATACCTATTCCCATGCAAGAAAGCACCCTGCAATCTAGGAAGGTTGTGTACTAGTCCCTGGAGTGATGAACGATGTCTATGCAGCAAATATCGCTCTAAAGGAGGTATCATGTCATTAGTCATAAAAGTGACGACCAGCGTCGCGAGATCAACTAAGAAACCAAGAGCGGACGCAAAATGAAGCCCAGCGCTGAGAAACCATTACCAGCAGGTTAAACACCCATGCGCCCTGACCGAGTTCCACCTCTTATAAACTCCCCATAATCAAAAGCAGCACGCTGAGCAATTGAAAGACAATTGTCGCCATATAGAAGAGAGCGCCATCGCCAAAGATGAACATCAAGCGTTCTATCAACCTGCCATCCTGACTCACAGACTAGAATAGCTACCTGACAGTACTTGACCGATTCGACATCTCACTGGTCAATGGCCTCCTCCAAAGGTCCATTGCGGTTTTCCCAGTACACATCTATACAGTATGTGCTTTCGTTATCGTCTATCGTCTCTCCTCCCCTCCTCATTTTCGTTCTCGTCCTCGTCGTCTTCACTGTCGTCATCTATAGTGCTGGGTACATTCCCATCATCTCCTGTATTCTGAGTGATGATGAGTGGATGTGGATCCTGGTCCTCGACATGCGGCTGGCTTGGTATATCCATATCCGACATTTCATGATCACAGTCACGGTCACAGTCACGGCCAGAGTCAGATACCCCCCCTACAACCCACCCACCTCGTTAGCCGATCCAGACTCAACAACTATGAATAACCAGCTATAAACACATACAAACACTCACCACACTGAGAAGGAGCCGCGACGCAGCCCCCCACTGTGACATCTCCTGCGAGAGGGACTTCCGGCTCGACTTCCAGCTCAACCCGGTGAGTGTTGGAATCCGATGTAGCAGGAACTAGCCAAATCACAAAGTCATCGTCACCAGGTCCCGTACGGACCAGGTACAAATTAAACTCCATAGAGGAGCTTTCGGGTTGGGTGTCGGACATGGATGAGCTGTTTCTGGGGGTCTGATGACGGGAGGGGTCACTTTCGCTCTTGCTCTTGGTGCTATGAGAAGAGGAGGAAACGGATGAGGAGGATTCGTAAAACGCCATGACTGGTGGGAATTTCGTTGATGGGGTGCTGGTTGCTACTGCTGTGAAGGTTATTCCTATTCAGTTCGGATCTTAGTTGGAATGTTTCAGCGCGTTGGTTGTGGCTGGGATGCGTTGGGACAACGTACTTTTTTTTTTTCAGATAGATTGTGAATCTGGGTTTTTGGTTTGAAAGACTAGGAGAGGCAGGAGAGTAGAGTATTTGTGGTGGAGGGGTTGCATTGATGATGAAGAGAGAAGGGTTGCGATATATATATGGTAGAGTAGAAGTGGGCGGGTGGGAGAAAGTGCTGGTTTCAGCTTCCTGGTCTTGTACGCCGAAGAATGGGTAGTTAATACGGCTTAGTGGCGGCTTTACGGTCACCAGAAGCCTCATGCCTACTACTAGGCTACCATGATGGACTGTCTCCCTGCGGTAGTGGGCGGAATATGCACGCAGAACATTCACGGTAGAAGGGAGTCAAGAGGGCACCCATTTACAGCAGATATAGATGGTTGCATGTCAGTTTTGGAAGTAAGCTCTTTCGTATTGTATGGATTTATTAGGGTAACAATGCTGGATTCCCTTACAGGACATCATCAAACAACCAACTATACAATATACTGTCATATAATGAAGAGTGCATGCACTCTATCTAGTCCCGCTTATTGACATTATGCCAAGGATGCTAACCACAATGAACATCCCACCATGGCAGTAGGAAAAAGTAAAAGAATTTGAGAAGAAGCAACGTGAGAAAGGAAGAAAGTAAAGTGGAGAACACAACAAGTGAAGATGGCCTATGGGACCCATAACCGTACAAACCCTCCAACCTCTTGACGACACGTGACACAGCTTCCAAAGTTATTCATCGCCAGACTGACACGGCAGTCTTCACAGATGCACAGACACCGGCAAGGCCAAGTGATGATAGACCGTGGGCTGGTTTGACAGATGACACAAGGCGGTCCACTGGGCCCAAGACCGGAGGCACCGGATTCCCACGTCTGTTCGTCTCCGGCGGCGCCAGACATTTCGGATCTTCGCGAGAGAATCAGCTTCTCGAGGATCTCGGATTCGGCTTCCGCAGTAGGTTTCCGCTTTTCGTCACCTCTACTCTTCTTGTCAAGCCGTGCTAGCCGTGATGTGAGGAGAACCTGTGCCCTCTCGCGTTCAACTTGCTGTTGGAACTGACGGCGAGTCAGTATTCGGCCGTCTCGGCCAGCTGCAAGATGCGCGGCCAAGATTCGTGCTTCTTGTCTGCTCTCTTGATCGCGAGGGTCCAGAAGGCGCGCAAAGGAGCCAATATCGACTAGGGACTCGTGAACGGGAGTGCTTTCCCGGGAGAAACGTCCGGGGAAAGGATCTTTTTGAGTGGGAGTCCGACGGCCGTCTGATTCATAGCCCTCCCACTCAGAATCACCCGTTGATGTCGACATGGAAACAACGCTCGTAGTATCCCAGTCATCGACAGGCGGAGCATAATCAGTGCTCTGGTCTTGCTCCCCCCACGAGCCACCAGCTTTCCACCAACCGTAGAGCTTGTCGTCGAGCCGACGTTCATCCGACTCCTCCCACTGAGACGCTTGAATGCGTTCCCTCTTTCTCATCTCCTTCTCTACATCGAATTCATGGTTATCCGGGAGCTCCAGAACTCCCTCGTCGGTGAGTATCCAAAAGTCTAATGGCCCCGAGCCGTTAATCTTCCCCTTCCCCTGCGATGTCTCCCTGTCAGACCCTATCATGGCTTTCAACCACTGTGGGCGGGCTTTGACACCAATCCGGCCTAATATTCCGTTAAGTCCGTAGGCGGTCCACTTGAGCACGAGGTAAAATATGCCGCGAAAGAAAGCAAATCCGTGGTAGCATCGAACAACACCTCTGAATGCACCAACGCCGCCCGGATCTGTGTGGGTTCGAACGGACTTCGAGCCATTCTTGGGCTTTTCAATCTTCTTCTCCCGCAAATACCCGCTTTCCCAATCCGGAGACGCCTCGGGAATATCAAAGTCCATCAACTCTTCATTGACAAACTGTACATCTTCGGAGCGTTCGCCGTGGCGTTGCCAGGACGATGGCTTGCGCCGGAGCGACTCGAATTCCGTCAGTCTATCCTGCTCCAACCAGGTCATTCTCCGTGCAACCACCCCCCTGCCCTCATTGAGAAACACTGCCTCGCTAGCTGCCGTCAAGGCGGTGTACCCGATTCTAAGCAGTGTGGTGTAGAAGTCATCGTGCCAATTGATGCGAATACTGTGAATTTGGTTGGCACCTTGCATGTTCTCATGGGCCAAGGAAAGTTTTTCCCGAAGAGTCAAACTTCCTGGACCTTCTGTCGGTAGCGAGAATGCCGTAATAACCAAGGCAAGGGCGTAAATAATGGCACAAACAATGATTCCTAGCAGGATGACTAGGTGAGGAACAAATCCCACAATGCAGACAGTCGGAAACTTGAGAGCAACATTGTCGCTCCCGATTGCCGAACCGCTGAACAGGCCCCATGCCATCGCAGACATGAAACAGAGGCCCCAAAATGCGGTGTTCACAAGTCTATAACGGCTCTGTTTGCCAAAGACGTCGAGAGCATTTGATGTTAAACTGTTGCAACAAGATATCATCGCAATCAGTAGCAGCTCAGGTGTCACATTCATTCGCTCTAGAGCCTGCCCTCGACTGAGTAATTGAAAGGTGGCCTGTCCACTCTCTCCAGGAATATCTTTCCCAGCACCTTGCTTTGATAGTCCAAACATACCAAGACCAAGGGAATGGCTGATAGTGGACTCCGCCTCAGCAAATGCTAGTGAATGCTCGAAAATAGACATCCCGGCTTCCGTGACAACCGCTCTTCCCTGTAACGCGCAAGATAGGGTTTCCACGAAGTGACTAAGGCAAAGGCGTATGAAAACTGGCCATAACAACTGGAAAGAGCCGTACGAGATGTCTGATGCATTAACAGGACGTGCCATATGCACCGCGCTGCAAGACTGCTCGTCTGTCTCCCACGGCAGGAGGGCGGAACTGAGGGAATACAGGAAGCCTCCACCTCCAGAGTAATCGAACATGAAGCCCTTTCCTGGCGTGCCGTAGCGAATAAGGGAGTACTCCGGGGAGGTCTGGCATCGAATAGCTCGAAGAAGAGAGTGGATTTGTGTGATAAATAGGACAATGGGAACGATGCGTAGAGCCAACCGCCGGGTCCAGTTTAAGTTGAGGTGCCGTCGCGTGGAAGCATAGATGGTAATCCTATTGAGAATGAGAGCCTTTGAAAGTTAGCCTGGATGATGCCATACTGGGCCGCCAACGCATGAATCCTTACCACCGTGAAGCATGCCAAAGACCACCGACTCGTCAGGTAGGAGAAGAAACCACTGAATTTCACAAACGCTTGCAATATATCGGAGAAATGAAGGCCAGATTCGGCTTGGGCAGCGGCTTCTACCACACCCTCTCTGGCAACCTCGGCTGCTGTCTGCGTTGCCAGTACCACCGCATCACCTTCCAGCCCGGTACCGGGAGCTGTCCCCCAGAAACGCGTCGCCATATCCTGCAACCCAACTATTCTAGCGATCTGTGTAGGCAAGGTCGAAAACGCAAATGCCTCTGCTCGGTGCAGGCCACGGAGTGGAAGGGAGAGCAGTTCGCTCGATGAGGAGGACAACAGGGACTGAGAGGCGACCGGCGGTGTCGTAGTGTTCAGGGACTGGGCGGCGGATATCGAAGCTGAGACGGCGGAGGTGGCTGATTGGAATATGGACATGGCTGGCTATGAGGAGAAAGCTAGCACCATCGAGAGAGCTGGCGCGAACTGCAAATCGTCACCAATAAGCATGAGTAGGAGTATGGCGCGGCGAGGGGGCGGAGAGGGGGGGAAGTGGCGGGAGGAGGAAAGAACGTCACTGGACGGTCCAGAAGAATCAGGGGAGAGAAAAGAGCATGGACGGGATCATTGTTCCCTCTTGAGCTGGACAGGGAGTCCCCATACAACGGAGCGCGGCCGTTGGGTAGTAAAGTACGGGGGAGGGGGGGATCAAGCGTGCCATCCATCATCCGCGACGGCATCAGCAATCGGCCATCCGCATCCCCAACCCGCCGGCCGCCCTCCGACATCCGACGCTAGCCCCATCGGGAATCCTCCCAGGCATGCACACGTGCTTTGGTACCACTAGTAACTACAGTAGTAGTTAGAACTACTTGCCCCGGCCTTTGCCCTTTGCCGCGGTTTCTGTTTCTCCCCCATTATCTACCCCGTCCGTTCGACTAAAAAGTAGTATATCATGACCATGCTTCATGCCTGCACAAATTAGACGGTTAAAGATGTCCGCAATCTTCGGCGCTTTTGCAAAAAAAAAAGTTCAAATAAAATCTTCTCTTCTTAGTATAAGACCAGCCTTTGTCAGTCTCCTTTTTTCCCACACCACAATCATTCCAGCATGCCCGAGAGCAAGGCAACCCAGGCCCACAAAGAGACCGGCTGCCCAATCTAAACGATTGAATCGATCCATAGTCCACATACACAAGGCACGACAGACCTGGAAAATTGTGTTCCACAGATTTCCTCAGACAACAAAATCCATTTTCCAGAGGGAAGTAAACGTGGCACAAATCTGTCTGCCAGTGCCAGTCACCCTGTCCTCCTGGTCAGGTAACTGAGTTCCCAAGTCTGGAGCTTGTAGGAACCGTTGGCAATGGGTATATGCCAGATAATAGAGTCCGTGATGACGAGTTTGCTCCGAGCGTCCTAACCGCCATAAAAACCAAAAGTACACATCCCGTATGCGCCACGGTGCCAGACCAAAGCCAGTCACACAAAGGAGAGCGTCGAGAACTTGAGAATCGATCTCGATCCAGACTCTGCGGGACGAGCTCAGACTGTTGCAGTCGGGGTGGCACATTGTCGGAGCTGCATTGCATAGCAGGACAAATAGCATCGCTCCCCAGGCGGCAACGTTAAGCCCATATATGGCTATTATGAAACCCAGGGGTGTGAGTATCCAGCGTAGGAAAGAGTAGAGGATTGCGGATCCGTTTATCTTGTGGGATTAGGCTCTCCAGACCCGATCTACCTTGGTGATCAACGAACGGACTGCGGGGTCTAGGGGATAGAGAGTTACCTTGTCGCTTCTTTCGATCGGTATCACTTGGGACCTAACTGTTTTTATCCTACTCAATTTTATCATCGCTAGGAAATGAACAAAGCATTTGGGGGGGCTTTGGGTCATAATATGATGATATAAATTCCGAAATGTATGTGTGTAGCACCAATACGCATCCTGAATGCTGCTCCCATAATGATCCAGAAATATTTTCTGCCGAAAAAAAAAAGTACTCGCAGTGGTCGGTTATTCCGTAGCGATGAAGTAAAACTGCGGAACACCTACGCAGTACTTACGGCGCGATGTAATCAATGCGGTTGCCTGCCCGCCTGCCTGATAACTCTAATCCTCCACGAGTTTTGACCGTCTCTCACCCTGGGCTGTGCAGGTGGGGACTACCCAAAAAAAGATGGCTTGTTGATTACTCTACTATCTACCTACCAGGACTTCCATGCTTGATTTATCAGGGATTTGGCTGACAAGAGTCATGTTGAATCGATTCATGTTGTTACCCATGAATGGCTGCCTGACAAGTCACTTATCGCGGGGCATATACTTCTTCCTTACTCGCACCACAAAGTGAACGCAACTACCCATATTCTCAACGGAATTCTGGCCATGACTGCGGAGTGTCCTCTCCAAAAGCCAGGAAAAGATGATGGCATACAGCAAGGTCTTTTTGACTCCACGTCCAGCTTGCCATTCCCGCTTCCCAGACGGCCCCAGGACGCCAAAAAGCGTGGATTGATGCTAGTCTATATCCATGGCCTCAATGGATCCGAAGCGAGTTTCTACAACTTTCCGGCCCATGTGCATAGCCTTTTGACCAGCATTCTGCGCGATACACATGTTGTGTATACCAAGATATATCCGAGGTATAAGTCTCGAGGCGAGATGAAGATAGCTCGAGATAATTTTAGCAATTGGTATGTCACGGCCGGCACCACGACGCATCATCCTTGTCCTTGGCTGCCTTTTCACAGCATGTTCATTTCGGATCCAAACTAACTGCGCTTAGGCTATCCCCTCACGAATCGGATGATCTGGACGTGATACTACTTGGTCATAGCCTTGGGGGGATTCTAGCAGCAGAAGTCGCGCTCTTACCGGGGCCCTGTTCATCGTCGACCGGCAGGCGTAAACATCGCATCCTCGGACTGGTTAACTTCGACGTTCCTTTCCTTGGCCTGCACCCAAGGATTATTAAGACATCCATTAGTGGCTTATTCCAGAAAAGGGACCCTATGGCCCAGGCCAAGCCAGACGAAGAACAAGTGTCGTCAGAAGTGGACAGTGAACCCCTTTCTCAAATTGACGATCCTTACTATGACCCCCCCTTTACAAACGATGTGCATTTAATTGAACGCGGTCGTATACATGGAATCATCCATTTCCTTACCAAAAACGCCGACAACCTCTCGCGATCAATTCTTGAGCGAGTTGTCTCCTCGTATGACTTTGCAGGCTGTTTGAATAACTACATCGAGCTTTTTCAACGATATCAACAGGTAAAGGCGTTGGAAGCTGCAGAGAACCACGAGTGCAGAGTTCGCTTCGTCAATTACTACACCGCAAGCACCGGCTATCTTACCACTCAAGCCGAGAAGTCAGAAGAGAGGCCAGGTATTGATAAGGTTCAAGATGAGAATGTTCATAACCCAGAATCGGTTTCACCATACAGCCCTCGCGGGCAACAAGATGAGAAAGACCCGCTGCAGTATTCGTCAACGTCAACAGATCTATACCAAATACCCGGGTCACATTGTACCCATACAGCTTGCAAGGCCTGTGCCCACGGGTGGGAGTGCCTGGCGTTGCGGACAGATTCATCGCGCCTTTCATGCTCTAGCGAGTCTGACAATGGCCAGTGTAAGTCCACTACTGATGAGTATTCAGAAAAAGCCCTTACCCACAATTTCCATGAATCCCAACATTATTATCGCAAATTTTGCCTCTTGCCATCACACACGCGGAAAAACAGGGACGATTCTCTTTGGATACCCATAGAAATGAGCAACATGGATGAAATCGTTGCCCATCAGTCTATGTTTCTGCCACATTCTGGCAAATACGACCAGCTAGTTGGCGATACTGTTTTCCAAATCGAGCGCTGGGCACAGGATGACCTTACCCAACGAGTGTTGCCCACTGTTGGTTAATATACTGCCCACTTGGCCTTGTACACCTTTGTTTCCACGGCAGAGCTTCTAAATCAGTGTGCGCTTTTTCCTTGGCAGTTGTCGGCATTTGTCGCTAGTTCTACGGATTTTGAGCAATACTATATATCATATTACTTTACGAAAACCCATGGAGTGATCCAGAGCGTATTCGTCAGAGCTTGATAGGTTGAAATCGTGCTCGAGCGATAAAAGCCTGCCTTTATTGATGTCTAGAAGGGGCTCACAACGAATTCTAGAGAAATATTGATTGATTGAAAATGCTCAAGAAAGCACCCCAAGCACTCTCGGATTTGGCTTGCCGCTATGCCAAATACAACATAGCATACGGTGTATAATTGCCGGGAGTAATGATGTTGCCTATCCTTCCGGAGACTCAGCATCCTGCTATAATTATCTGTTTCACCGCAGGAGTAGATTAAAATATTGGACCTAGTCTTCGTGCAGCTTCTTTTGGGATAGTAGTACTGATCGTAGGAACGGGAGCGGTGCAGGAACCGACAGCACACCGCAGCAACAATCGAACCCACGGATGCGTTCTTTCCTCTTCCAGACCAAGTATTTTAAGTTTCCGCCCCCCCCCCCCAACATCTCCCCCCACACGCTAGGCCAGATCCGGCAGGTAACGCGGGTACGAAGTACAGCTTGGGCGCATCGACTTTTCGACCCTTTGGACAATCGGCTGCCCAAACGTGGGTTGCCTGGCTTATATCCGACCGCTGGAAATCTTCCGCGAATGTGAATACACTCTGCTGTGCTGCTGCCTTCTCAGAACATGGATCGATCCACCCGACCTGATCATGGCAACCTTGTTTCGCCAGAAGAGTCAACACCTCCACCGTATTCACTCTATGCGTCGGCAGATGTGCATGGTACGCTCTCTCATTGGAAAGCGACACAGTAACATGATATGCTTTGACGATAAGGCTGACGTTTAGGAAAGCCAATGGTCGCGTTGACGTCGATCTCGATTCTAGATTCGCAAGAACATTGGCCCGGGTCATCGAGCTACAACAAGAAGACATCCAAAACCCACCCCCGAATTATGCCGAAGAAAGAGCAATACAGGAGACGCCTGTACCGGAGGCGCCAGGGGAGTGGGATATTCACCTCAATATTGTGATACAAATCGTGGGTAGTCGGGGAGATGTACAACCTTTCATCGCGCTGGGGAATGAGCTGCAAAAGTATGGGCATCGGGTTCGGCTAGCCACACACAATGTCTTTGAAGAATTTGTCAGTCAGTCTGGACTAGAATTCTTTCCAATCGGCGGGGACCCCACGGAGCTGATGGCATTCATGGTCAAGAACCCGGGCTTGATACCACAAATGAAGAGCTTGCGAGCTGGGGAAGTGCAGAAGAAGCGGGCGATGGTGGCGGAGATGCTTGACGGATGTTGGAAGTCGTGTATTGAAGACGACCCGGCCACCAATGTCCCATTTGTTGCGGATGCTATTATTGCCAACCCTCCGAGTTTCGCTCACATTCACTGCGCCCAAGCACTGAGTATTCCCGTCCACCTGATGTTTACGATGCCGTGGACCAGTACAAGGGCGTTTCCCCACCCACTTGCCAATCTGCGTTCATCGACTATGAATATCAGGACCGCTAATTGGGTCTCATATGGTGTTGTGGAGTGGCTCACATGGCAGGGGTATGCATAATATTTCCATGAGTGACTCCTTGATGCTTACCGGGATGTTGTAGGCTGGGGGACGTGATTAATCGGTGGCGGGCATCGATCGACTTGGAGGCCATTCCAACGACGGAGGGACCCAGCTTGGCGGAGACTTTAAAGGTTCCGTTCACTTACTGCTGGTCACCGGCTCTGGTCCCGAAGCCACGGGACTGGCCAGCACACATCGGTTAGTATTCCAATTTACCATGGTCGTGGGCGTGTAAACACAGAACTGATAAACGGGGTAGATATTTGTGGATTCTTTTTCCGGGAGCCACCAGCATACGAACCTCCACCGGGACTACATTGCTTCTTGGAATCCGGACCCCCTCCCATATACATCGGCTTTGGCAGCATTGTTATCGACAACCCTCAAAGGCTGACGAACATTCTTGAAGAAGCAGTTGCGAGGGCGGGTGTCCGTGCCATCATCTCACGAGGGTGGAGCCGACTAGGTCGAGACTCCAGTGCTGAGATACATTACATCGATGAATGCCCACACGAATGGCTCTTTCAACGTGTCGCTGCAGTCGTCCATCATGGCGGTGCTGGAACAACAGCATGTGGCCTTGCGAACGGCAAAGCCACCACAGTAGTACCATTCTTTGGAGAGTGGGTGTTCTGACGGTAATCATTGTGCCATATTGTGCTGACATTGGCCTCATAGTCAGCAATTCTGGGGTAATATGATAGCGGGAGCTGGCGCAGGGCCCTTGCCTATTCCACATGCCTCTCTAAATGCCCAAAACCTGGCCGAAGCTATTTTGTTCTGTCTAACTCCCGAAGCTACAAGATCGGCACATGATATTGCATTCAAGATGCAATACGAAACCGGCGTGTCCGCAGCCGTCCACTCCTTTCATCGCCATTTACCATCACACAGAATGCGCTGCCCTTTGATTCAAAGTCAACCGGCTGTATGGAAATACAAGAAGTCCGGGCACAGCCTTAATCTCTCCAGGACAGCTGTCCAGATTCTGATAAACAATGACAAATTGGACGCGAAAAATCTCCGATGGTGAGTATCATCGTCCTTTCGAGGTCCCGTGATGGAATGCTACAGCTCTGTTAACTTGAGACCCGGCTCAGTCATGACATAAATCCTATCTATATCCAGAACCGTCGTTGGGACCCCATAACCGGTGTTCTGTCCGCTTCTACCAGTACAGGATCAAGTATGCTGAAAGCAACCGGTGAGATGATTTACAAACCATACCAGGAATATAGACGTGGTCGCACCCCACAGCCTGCCGGGGAGTCTTCCAGAGATAGCCTGCCACTCCTCCCCAGTCCAGCGTCAACAGTGTCTGACTCCAGCAATCGACTTGGCACAGCAGGGAACATGGCCGGGGCGTCGCTGAAGGGATTCGGCAAAGTTACCGGAGCATACTTTAAAGGGGTGGTGGTAGATATTCCCCATGCCGCGGCAGAGGGGTTCCGCCAAATTCCCCGATTGTATGGGGAGGAGCCCAAGAATTATGGCACGGTCCGTGACTGGAAATCTGGGGCCGCGATGGGGGGTCGGAATTTCGTGGATGGCATGACAGACGGCTTGGCAGGATTCTTCACCAAGCCCATTAAGGGAGCCAGGGAGGAGGGCGCGATGGGGGCAGTCAAAGGATTTGCGAAAGGGACTCTTGGATTGGCAACTAAGCTTCCTTCCGGTAGGTCATCATTTCTGTATTGCAGCAATGTTGCATCTGTTAAAGACAAGCGTTTGGCTGACCATCGCCTAATGCACAGCTGGAATTGGCCTAGTGGCGTACCCTTTCCACGGAATCACAAATACTATCGAATCAGCTGTCAGATCGAAGACTAGAAAGGCCGTTGTCAATGCACGGCTCAGGGAAGGCTACCAGATGACAAGGAGAATACGATTGACAGACGAAGAGGAACGTGATTTATTGCAGAGATTTGATGTTCTGATGCATCGCTTGGATGTCTAACTTGACTTGAGCTTGACTGAAACGAGGACAACCTACAGGCGAGAATACTGTTCGCCTAGGAGCTGTCAGAAGCATACCACTCACCTGAAATGGTGCCTGGACCCCAGAGAGGCATCAGAAGACATGCAGGAGTCCATACTACTAGTGGCGGCGGGACCGAGCCGGGAGGGGAAGTCAGCGCCGGAGCAGCGCCCATCCCTCATCACTCAGGCCCCCTTTAGCGTCCATCCTTTCCCGCAAAGGTCCGGCCTGCGCCGTTGCCCCTGCAGGATTAGATTAACTCTCATTTCTTCAGTCGCCTGTCAAGTGCTCGGCCCTCCAATCGCAACCACGAGCGCCTCGGCATGCTACCCTTCCCCAAGTCATCCGTGCTGCCATATCTCCACCACTCATATAAGAACCATGCAATCACCGGGTTGCGCGGAGGAACGTGCAAATACGCAGGATGACCTTCGCCAAGCGCTGCCCTAGTGCCGCACCAATGGGGTACACGTCTGGTGTAGCATCTGATTGAGGGGTCATCCAAGGAAGCGAAGGTCTGAAGTATATGGTCCTTGCACCTATATAAGGCGCATGGTATGCTGCTCTACTCACACAGTTGAAGAGCAGCCATTGCTCTCCATCCTATCACAGCTTCAGTGCACGATGAGACTCTCTCATTTGGTTTGTGCTGGTGGCCTTCTGGGGGCTGCCCTCGCGTCGCCAAGCACCGAGATCGCTAAGAGGGAGACTGTTAGCGAGATTCTGACCGATATTGAGGATGCCGTTACTTGTGCGGCATGTGAGGTCTGTTGTATCATTTGATCCGGAGATACTTACCGCGCTGACTCTGTATATCCATTCACAGGCCCTGTTAGTTGTCCTCCAAGCGCTGGCCCACCTGGGCAACGACGACTTTGTGGATGTGATCACCGAAGTCTGCATTTTGGCCGGGGTGAGCACGACTGATCACAGCCTCTCGAAGCACTGCTCATACACTCTAGATTGATGACGACGATGTCTGCGAGGGCGCAATTTCCCGTGAAGGTCCCATCCTAGCCCATGACCTCCGCTACATGGACGTTCCCTCGAAGACCGCGGTCCTCTTCTGCACAACCATCTTCGGGCTCTGTGACTACCCTGCCGTGGCTGAGTACACTGTCGACTTCCCCTCCGACAAGCCGGCAAATGCCACTCGTCCGGCCCCGAGTGGCGAGACCCCTCTCCAGATTGTCCATATCAGCGACATCCATGTTGATCTCTCTTACGAGACTGGTGCAAGGTATGCAAGCTTCCTTCACTACTACTGCAGTACACAGTCTCACCGGCTCTATCAGCTACAACTGCACCAAGCCAATTTGCTGCCGCCCCTACACCACTGCTGATGACCCGGGGGTGACTGATTACCCGGCAGGAGAGTATGGGAACCACAACTGCGACGCGCCTCTCACTCTGGAGGAGAGTATGTACGCAGCCATCAAGGAACTTGTTCCCGATGCCCCGTTCGTCATTTTCACGGGTGACATCGTAGAGGGTGCCGTTTGGCTTGTCAACGAGACCGAGGTGACCAACGATATCAACGATGCCTATGTAACCCGGATGTCCAGCTATTTCGATCTGGTCTACGGCGTCACCGGAAACCACGACACTGCCCCGGTGAACTCATTCCCCCCCGCCGCTGTCGACACCACCATCTCCAGCCAATGGGCCTACGATACCCTCTCCTCCGACTGGAGCCAGTGGATCGGCTCGACTGCAGCTACCACTGCAGACGATTACGGCGCGTACTCCGTCAAATACCCCGACGGCAACCTGCGTCTCATCTCCTTCAACAGCAACTTCTACTACAAGGAGAACTTCTGGCTCTACGAAAAGACCATGGAAACCGACCCTAGCGGACAGTTGGCCTGGCTCGTGACCGAGCTCGCTGCCGCCGAGACCGCCGGGGAGCGCGTCTGGCTGATGGGCCACATGCCCATGGGATCCAGCGATACCTTCCACGACGGATCCAACTACTTCAACCAGATCATCCAGCGCTACGACGCCACCATCGCCGCGGTCTTCTACGGCCACACCCACAAGGACGAGTTCGAACTCGCCTACTCGGACTACACCGACCAGAACGCCGACACCGCCACCATGATGTCGTACATCATGCCCGCCATGACCCCGACCTCCGGCAACCCGGCCTTCCGCGTCTACTCCGTGGACCCCGTCACCTTCGGCATTCTCGACTTCACCGAATACATCACCAACATGTCCAGCCCCACCTACCAGGAGAAACCCGTCTGGGAGAAATACTACTCCGCCAAGGAAGCCTACGGATCTCTCCTCGATCCCCCCGTTACCGACAGCGCCGCCGAAATGACCCCCGCGTTCTGGCACAACGTCACCGCTCTCTTCGAGGACGATGACTCCGTCTTCCAGGACTACTACGCCCGTAAGCACCGTGGCTGGGACGTCACCGAGTGCACGGGTGACTGCAAGACCGACGAGATCTGCCAGCTGCGCGCCGCAGAGGCTCAGTATAACTGCGTCGAGGTCACCCCCGGCATCAGCTTCAAGAAGAAGCGTGACTCAACCACCAGCGCGACCAAGATCGAAAGTCCCTGTGGCGAGTCGGTCGTTGGCAAGATGTTCGCCAACTTCGATGGAGCCGTCGCGGCAGTCAAGGCGGCGGCGGAGGCTAAATTGGGTGCTAGTTTCCTGAACACTACGGTCAACGCGACTGTTTCTTAGATGTAATGGCGTTGATGTTCATGGTGAGGTAGTTTGGGGAGGGGGGCTTGGGGCAGGATTAGTGGTAGTTATACTTAGTTTGATGATGTGCTCCGAGCCAATACTACCAGTAACACATGTCGTTTGCAATTTTCTGAGTCTATCTACGGAGGATAATTTTGGGCCAAGAGGCTACTTGAACAGCACAAACAAGCATAACACGTCAAACATTTGCGCGGGGTCAAACTGATTTCACACTGCAGTCTTATCTGGATGGCGAATTATCTTCGCGTATTCAAGTGATCGGTCGGAGGATTCATGTCAAACCTGCGGCCACTGGCCAGGGAAGATTGTTTGCCGGCGATGGCCGCTCAGTTGGTCAGTTGCCCATTCCCCAAAATCAGACTTTGTTGAAAAACGATGGGCTGCGAGACTACCAAGTACTACTCGCTGCAAACATTGCCCAGCCATCTCTCTCAAAAGTTGATTTACCCCGCAGCGGAGTTATATTAAGCCACGTAACTAGCCACCTTCCATCGATCCCCCAAAGACCTTTTTTTATTTCCGATTATTGAAGTTTCCCCTCTCATGGCCCCTCAGCTTTGGCTCGTCACAGGAGCGTCCTCGGGGATTGGAGCGTTGTTGGCAGAGCACGCCCTCAGGGCCGGCCATCGCGTCCTCGCAACGGCTCGCAATCCCAGCAAGGCGGCGGAAGATCACCCGCAGATTGCATCGCTGGGCGGGAAATGGCTCCAGCTCGATGTGACGAGCAAGGAGACGAAATCGCTCGTCGAGCAGGCGATCACAGACAACGGCGGCGAGATCGATGTGGTCATCAACAACGCGGGGTACAGCCTCTTCGGAAGCATCGAGGATATCAGGTATGTCTGGATCGATCCCCTTTCCACTTGGTGGTACCCAGTGCTGAAGCGAGGCCTAGTGAGGACGAACTCGATGACCAAATCCAGACCAACGTCTACGGCGTGGTGAGGGTCACCAAGGCGGCCCTGCCCTTCATGAGGGCCCAACGCAGCGGTACTATCGTCAACATCGGCAGCATGGGTGGCTTCATCGCCGGACCAGGAGCTGCTCCTTATTCCATGTCCAAGTTTGCACTGGAAGGTACTTATGCTGCTCCATCCATTTGTCGGGGACGCGCCCGCCCCCGGTTCTCGCTGACAAGCCGTGCCATGGAATAGCGCTGTCGGAGTCTCTATCCCTCGAGCTCAACCCGTTCAATATCCGTGTTTTGTTGGTCGAGCTGGGTTCCTTCCGCACCAAGATTCTCGGGTCTCGCAAACTCCCAGCCGCTGGACTGACCAAGGATTACGAGGGGACGCCCATCTCAATGGCCATGGGGTTTTGGGAGAAATTGGCTGGGAACCAGCCGGGGGATCCTGTCAAGGCGGCTCAGCGGATTCTGGAGGTCATCCAGCAGACTGGAATGGGGGAGGGGAAGGGGCATCTTTTGCGCTTGCCGCTGGGGGCGGATTGTCACCACCGCATGCGGGCCAAGTTGGATGCAGTGATGCAGAATTTGGAGGAGACGGAGGAAATCGCCTTCAGCACGGCTATTGATTCTGCACCTGGCACTCAACTGCTGGCCCGGTTCTTTCCTCAGCCACCGACTGGTGAAACAAGACTGTGAAATGGTTTACAATTATACCGGTTGTTTGTCCCCGTGGAACCCAAAATCGAGAACTAACCTTATTCACATATATCATGATATACTGCGTACTATATTTTGGGAGTCAGGGCTTATTATGATGATCTGATTAGCTGGCCTTTATTATCTTGATTGTGCTCCCCACCCACAAAACAGACTTTTACTAAGACTAGGGGCAGTAACTACTACTAGTAGCTAGTTAACTAGTTAACTAGAGATTATTATTAATATTATACCGGAGATTTCTAATTTCATACTAGAGATTACTAATACTCACAATCGGGCTTATATAAGTATTTAATATACTAAGTAGCAAGATATCGTAGGATATCTAAGCATCTTAGGCATAAACACGGCCCCTTCTAGTATACTCATAAGTTATAAAATGGCAGTCGCCAGAGTTCTTCAGCCAACAATCACCATCTCGTGCCATTCCTTTCCCAAATCATTGAGATAACCCAGACCCCCAAGATGAAGTACGTCCAACTTGGCACCAGTGGTCTTCACATCGCACCCCTCGGCGTGGGGTGCGCGAGCTTTGGGGACCCCGAGGGACGTCTCAAGTGGACGACGCCGGAGGAAGAAGCCCTGCCAGTCCTGAACCATTGTTACGAGTCCGGCCTCAACTTCTTCGACACCGCGAACTCGTATTCCAATGGCAAGTCCGAAGAGATCCTGGGCAAGGCAATCAGGAAGTACAACTGGCGTCGGGAGAACATCGTGGTTGCCACGAAGGTCTGGGCACCGGTCGGTCGCGGGCTCGAACAGCCGCTCGCCATGAGCGAAGAGGAGCGAAACAATTCCGGCTACGTCAACCAGTCTGGACTGAGCCGCAAGCATATCTTCGAGAGCGTGGACGCGAGCCTGAAGAGGCTTGGGCTCCCCTATGTCGATTTGCTGCAAATCCACCGCTTCGATCCGAAAACCCCCGTCAAGGAAACCATGGAAGCGCTTCACGATGTGGTCAAGTCAGGCAAGGTTCTCTATCTCGGTGCCTCGTCCATGTGGGCCCATCAACTCCTCGAGTACCAGTATACCGCGCGCATGAATGGGTGGACGGAGTTTATCTCGATGCAGAACCTGTATAACGCGGTCTATCGCGAAGAAGAACGCGAAATGTACCCGGCCTGCCAGAAGTTCGGAATGGGTGGCATTCCCTGGAGTCCCGTCTCCATGGGCTTCCTGGCTCGCCCCTGGAACGACTTCGCCGCTACCCCCCGAGGCGAGGGCCAGAGTGGCTTCCTAGGACAGCCGTATTCGGATGCCGATAAGAAGGTGAATGAGCGGGTTGAAGAGATTGCCAAAGCGCGTGGTGTGCCGATGGCCGTGGTCGCTATTGCCTGGTGCCTCTCCAAGCCTTTCATCACGGCGCCCATCGTGGGAATAAGCAAAAAGGAAAGGGTCGACGAGGCCGTCCAAGCTATCAATTTTGAGTTGACGTCGGAGGAGGTGAAACTTATTGATGATTTGTACGTACCCAAGAAGGTGATCGGACACGTGTGAGAAGCAAAGTGAGATACTTTCAACTTTTCCGTGTCTTTCTTTCTCTCATCCAAGCAATGTATATTCCAAAAACTGGCGTCCCACCACCGAAGACTACAAAACAGACAGCCTTACTCGCGAACCTTAGAAAGAAATGAAACCGACTAATGCATCCTATCTCATATGCGATCCAATTAAGCCTCCGTCTAACCCGGCGCCTCGCGATGAGGGGCCCGTATCAGCCAAATCACGGCCATCCTTTGACTTGGGCGGCTACGTCTAATAATAGCCGGAGTCAGCTACATACAACAACATGTCTTCCAGTCGTTCAAAAATGTCCTCGAAGGACGTAAATCGATCCTCCGGAATAAATGTCTTTCTCACAGATCGACTGTCGCCTTCCCACTACAGTTGACCGTCGCCATGTATCCATATACCCGCTCTCACCCATCAACAACAACAACACCACCACTCTCCTCCCTCACACTCCTCCTTCTCCTCCTCGCCCTCTCAGCAACAACCCGCGTCTCTGCAACATCCACCCAAAACGCAACATGCTACTGGCCCAACGGCGACACCGACACCGACTACATCCCCTGCCCGAACAGCAAAACATGCTGTCTGCGCGGCGAAGCCTGCCTCTCCAACGGCCTCTGCTACGGTCCGAAACTCAACATCGCCTATCGCGGCGCCTGCACCGATGACTCGTGGCCGATTAGCGAGTGCCCGCGCGTGTGTTATGAGGGTATGTAGTCCACTAGCCGACTTGCCCACTTGTTTGGCTATTCAAGAAGGGGACGAAGAACCATGCTAACCGTCCCCAGAAATCCCAGACCAATGGGCCAACCTTTTCTCGTGTCCGAATTCCTCGACCAATGTGTTCACCTGTGGCTATGCGGGGTGGGCGACCGATGTCTGCGATACGAATCTGGGCACCTGGCTGTGGGATAGTGGGAATGTGACCGTGGGGCAGAATGGGATGGCCGGGTTGTCGACGACTACGACGACGATCACGACGAATTGCTCGGCGAATGGCTCCACGACGACGGAGACGGTCATGGGTTATACCACTGGCGGTAATAATTTGACTGCGTTCCAGTCGGAGTCGGCGCGGTCGTCGAAGGGGATCTCCCCTGTGGCGCTGGGGACTGCGCTGGGCGCGGGTCTCGGGGTGCCTCTGCTTGTTGTTTCGGCTTTTCTGGTGTACTTTTGTGTCAGGATGCGAAGACGGTTGCATGCGGCGGGGATTGAGGGCCATGAGAATCCGCGACGCGTACCGTATCGCCAGCATAGCGTAGCAGAAATAGCTACCCAAGCACATAATATGGCGACTGAGCTGGATGGATTCAGGCCGAGTCGTGCGGAGCTGTATGGATGATACTGTCTGGTGAGATGTTGATTGACGGATGGATCTAAAGACCAGAGTCCTAGACTATTGCTATCTCATTTCTTTGTACATACATACATTTAAGCTGCTGGGGCGATAGACGGAAGAAAGTCCATATCCAGGTCCAGATACATCTGCGAGCGCTGATAATGGTAGTTGTTTTGTAACAGGATTTGCATGGCATATCCTATCGCGCCTTCTTCGTCGGCGGCGGCCTTCTGTTTCCTCCAGTCACGAATGCTACAGTCTTTAGATCGGAATTTGCAAAGCGTAAAGTCCACCATGAAAACTTTGCTGGGAGTGTCCGGGCTATCTGTACGCACCACAAGGCTGTTTGGGTGGGCATCGGGATTGATTATGTGGCAACTGTTCAGATGGTGCACAATATTGATGGCATCTCTGCAGATGCGGTCCCAATCGACTGGTTTCGCATGAAATTCCAGCCTTTCCAACGGATACCCTTCGATTTGCTGTAGCAAAATGGCAGGAGACTGAAATTCCTCGAAGTCTTCAGGTAGCTTCCATGCCATGGAAGCTCTCCCAAGGCATTTGGGGATGTGTTCACCTTGCAGGCTTTTCAGTCTCTGGTACGCCTCAAGTTCGGTTCTAAAGTACTTTTGCATGACCACGTTGAGATATGCTTCGTTCTGCGCAGCAGTCCACCGCGCCAGCTCTGCGCTGTCCGGACGTCGAAGGCTATTGTTAATACACTGATCCATGAAGCTGCGGCCTGCACCGCTGCGGATAAACTCTCGGGCTTGTAATTCGATGGAATGGGTCCAGTATGGCATATGATACCTTGCGCGCAAATAATATGCAAAGCGTCGATCAAACACCTTGAGAAGGAGTGGGCCTTGAAACCTATCATCCGGTGGTTCGATATGGATAGAAACCACGCACGAGCGCGAAAATGGTTCGAACACCTGGGTGATTCTGCCCCTGACCGTGTCGAATGCGTATTCATTGTCGTTGACCAGATCTAGCTCTATAGGATTTCCGACCCTATATGGAGATCTGTGTACGGTTACGAAGGCTCCTTATTTTCAGAGGCAGACGCTTACTCTGCCCATATCTTTCCCGCTCCTAACTGTGGCGGAGTAAAAAAGATTGGGTTGTGAGAAGGATAGTTCATCGACGGGAAGCCGTAAATAAACGACGGGGTATCCATGGCGAAGTCTACTGGAACGAGGATGAAGGAGTAAGAATAACTGTCTAGCGAAGTGTTTGCTTTCGTCGATAACGAAACCAGGAAAGGATAGATGAAAGGTGCATGAGTGGCTTACCTCGAGGTCCTCAGGTCTCTTTCTTTGTTTCCTCGACCTTCAACTTGGAACGGAAGTCGCGACTCTGCTGCCCTTATAATCAGCCATATACAGAACCAAAAGAGAGCTTATCGCCGGTAGCCCTCACTTCCGGACCTTGAGCCCCTTTGCAATCCCCTGACAGATGGGGTGAGTTCATGCTGCGGATCCCGTCTCATTGTTCTTTTCAAAAACAGCAGGCGGCAGCTCAGTACCATGGTTGAAGTTGGAGTCGACCGCGAATATGGTTTCTATAATCCTCAGAGCAATGGTTGTTAGCTTCGCGAAACTCTGGAAGAGGTATACAGAGACCAACCCGTGGCTTTTGAGTCGCTGGCCCATTTGCGGTATATGGACGTGTCAGGACTAGATCTGGCAATGTTGCGCCTGTGGAGTGGAAGATTAGCTCGTGGTTGATCCACGACCAGGAAATGAATGGACTGGAAGATGGTTGTCAGGATTATGAGTTTATGGACAGGAAGGTGGAAGAAGGACGGATCTCGAACCCGCTCGGGACTCGGGAGTCTCCGATTTCCTATTTGGGCTCGTGTGGGCGCTCGAGTTATCGAGAGAGCAAAGATTCGATCGGACAATTGCTTGACGTGAAGGCTGCAGCCACAGCCGGTTTGCCATGAATTTTCCTATATTATGGTCCCTAAAAATAAAGTTGAATGTGAAATGCTATGGGACTAAATTCTCCAATATTTCGCTCCGCCATCACTATGCCAAACTCCACAATGCAAGAATGAAACGCTAATGCCAACCAGATTTAACCAGACTGGAAGTTCATGCTGTAGCCCCCCGTGTTCGGATCCTGCACGAAATTGAAATTATCCGTCGATAGCCCGAATGGTTTGAGGAACCCGTTCCCCAGCTATAATTCGGTCTTCGGTCAGTATATTGGAAAGCAAGCCATAGCAGAACAGCAAACTTACATCCTTGAGCTTGCCCATCATCTCCCCCATCTCCTTCTCGCGCGCCTGGTTGATCTTCCCCGGAAGTTCGCGGAGAGCCTTCTGAACCACCCGCCTATCGTCCGCTGAGAGATTGTTCATCCCTGCCAGCTCCTTGTAGTCCTCTTCGGCCCCTTGCAGACTCCCCCACCCGCTGGACTGCATCTTCGCCCGTGCGCGTCGCATGAGCGCCTTCCCGCGGATGCGCATGACGTCCCGTTTCCTGTCATCCAGCTTCTGTAGCCGCTCCAACTCCTTCTCGGCCTCTTCATCGTCCCCTGTTATCTCGACCACCGCATCTCCATCCCCGGACTCCTCTTTCTGTTTCCCCTTGCCGCTGTCCGCATCGGCTGTCGCGGGCGGGATCACTTTATTTAAGCGCTCGATACACGCGGACGCGGAGTCGATGCATGCCTTCCAGTCTTCGGATTTGAGATGACAGGCGGCGATGTTGCTGTGAAGGACGGCGATTTCGTAATCGAGGTAGTTGGGGCAGTAGGAAAGGGCGCGGTCGTAGCTGGAGATGGCCTGGTCGTAAACACCGGCTGTGAAAAGCTTGTTGGCTTCCACTTTGATGGAGTGGGATTCTTCGAGGAGTTTCTGTGATCGTGACGTTTTCGGTCAGTGGCTAGGATTGTTGGGGAGGGGCATGATGGCATAGCATGGCTATACTCACCGTTTCTTCTTCCGCGGGGAAGCGGGCGTCGTGGAAGACGTCCTCCCCGTCTTCACTGTCGCTGTTGGCCGCAACGTCGGCTTTTTGCTTGGCGTCGTTGGACATTGTGAGCCGATGGAGAACAAGACAGTCAGTAAGGTGCTTGTCCCCAGCCATCCCCGACAGACCGTGGCAGCTTGTCCCAGTGCGGGGCAACCACGCGGAGTCGGCCAGTCGGAGGGGCGGGGCCCGACCGTGTGCAGCCTCAGGCCTTTGAAGACTCCCCCTCTGCCGATCTCCGCGGTCAATCGACTCGCAACGTGCGGAGAGACTGACTCTTTCCCTCAACACTGCAACATTCGGTGTCCCTCTATCTGCTCGCCTGGGACGGTCGCTTCCAACATGCCCAGCTCAGCCCCGACGTAAGTTCCTGCTACCCCGCCACATTGCCCACAATTGACTGACCCCCCCCTCCGCCCCAGTCTACCCCGCGTGCGGGCATGTCTCTTTGACATGGATGGCCTGCTCATCGACTCCGAGGACAAATACACCGACATCACAAATGCCATTCTCGAGGAATACGGCAAGCCCCAGCTCCCGTGGTCCATCAAGGCACAGCTGCAGGGTCGCCCCCAGCCAGAGGTACGCTCGAGATCTATCCCACCTATCAACCCCCAAAGTCTATGCTGTAGTCGTAGTCGCTCTGACGAAACCAGGCCAGCAAGATCTTCCACCACTGGGCGCAACTCCCCATCTCGCCCGAGGAATACGCCGTGAAGCAAAGCGCCCTGCAGGCGAAATACTTCCCTCAATCGCAGCCACTCCCCGGCGTCAGGGATCTTCTCGCCAAGCTTCTCTCCACCCAATCTACCGACCAGCCTGTCTACATCGCCCTGGCCACATCCTCCCACCACAAGAACTTCAAGCTGAAGGCCGACCATCTGGGTGATCTGTTCGCCGCGTTCCCCAAGTCCCAGCAGGTCCTGGGTGACGATGCCCGCATCGGTAAGGGGAGAGGCAAGCCCCTCCCGGACATCTACCTGCTTGCGTTGGAGACGATCAACTCCACTCTGCGCGCGAAGGGCGAGGCCGAGATCAAGCCCGAGGAGTGTCTCGTCTTTGAGGACGCCGTGCCGGGTGTTGAGGCAGGGCGCAGGGCCGGGATGAGAGTTGTTTGGGTGCCGCATCCGGGTCTGCTGGAGTCGTATAAGGGCCGCGAGGCGGAGGTGCTTGCTGGGCTTACGGGCGCACATAAAGAGGCGGAGAAGACTGAGCCCGAGAAGGAGGCTGATGGGATCGTTTCGGACCGCTTGACGAGCGCGGGTGCGCCTGGTCAGCTCGACGATGGGTGGGGGGAGTTACTGCCGTCGTTGGAGAACTTTCCGTTCGAACGTTTTGGAATCAAGCCTGCGTAGATTTCGAGTCTCTGTCTAGGAACAAAGGTTTATGGACAGACTTTTAGTGTACATACTTGCAGGCGGCGCCACATCGTCGGCATAATAGAAAACGAAAACAAAAAAAATCCCAGATTCAACCGTTGAACCAGATAGTTGCAGATACTGAAAGCGCAAGTAGCAGAGAACCCGAAATCAAAATAGCAAAGGCAGAGTAGCAAACAAGCAAAAAAAAGCAGAGAAACAGCAAAACAAAATAGCAAAAGCAGACTAGCAGAAACGCCGAGAACCAGAATATCAATCAAGCAGAAAAGCAGAGAAACAGCAAAATAGAAGATCAACGCAGAAAAGCAAAAACGCAGAAACAATTTGGAAACTTGAAAACTTGAAAACTTGAAACCTCGAAAACCTGGAAGCGAAAATCAACGTAAAGTCTCTCCAAATGCAATGGCAAGATGTTTGATATGGTCAATGCAAATTGGGTTATTCCGAAAAAGCCATCTAAGAGGAGCACCCTGAACGGATAATCAATGTTCATCGCGCATGGTGGCAGATCAAGCCCCTGCTCCAAGATTGTTCCTGAGAACGCCGACTCCGTAGTAAAATGTTGTTGCGAGTTGTCCATCGACAAAAGGGGATCTCGTTGCATCAAAAAGAAAAGTGGTGTGTTACGACAAATGATTCTTGGGAGCGTATGTCACTGGCCAAAGAGGAAATAAGGTCGGCGATGGAGCAATCCAAAAGGATGTGCGGTTAGCGAGGCAAAGGGAATCTTGGGTCGGAAGGCAACAAGAAGACGTTGTTCCAGAAGACAGCAAAAGAAGAGATAGATCCCAAGATAACGCCAAAGGCCTCCGCAGAAATATCGAGAGAAGACGCCGCCAAAAGCAAAGAGTAGTTGGGCGCAGTTCCATTCGAGTCTAGATGGGGGTATCACAACGCTGTAAATAAACCAAAACCATCGTGAAGTCATGAGTCGTGGGAAATGGATGGATCAAAGTCCATAGATGTATCTAGAAGAGCCGTGTTTCAAGTCGGCCTCATACCGAAGAGTAGTATGTATGTCCGTCGGTTGGAGATGTATTCCGTGTAGAGTCATAGGACGCAGCCAAAGCTGTTCAACTTCTCATCGATGTATACCTTTCTGTCGTGAGAGCCTGTATTCAAATTCGTGCCATAAGAAGTAGCCACTTCTGTTGCAATGTTTCATCATGCAATCCTTTCTATCGAGATAGCGTGCGGTTCAATTTCTTCAATGTCATCCGTTCAGTCGATGTAGCCTGTGTTCATTCGTCTTTATATCATAACAGCAGAGTGCTGTCGCGTGTCATCAATGGAAAGCTTTCTTTTGTGCCAGCCTGTGTTCATTCTCCGTTGAGTCATAACAGCAGAGTGCTGTCGCGTGTATCATCAATCAAAACATTTCTTCGTGGTAGCCTGTGTTGGTTTGTCGTCGTATCATAACAGCAGCCAGTGCTGTTGCGTCATCTCGTCAATGACAAGCCCGTGGCTTGGTCGTAAAAGTAGAATTGTGGCAGACAACTAATGCTGTCTCTTGCCCGATGAAGGATTTTCTTCGAAGTCTGTATCGGATACGCGCCTCTTCCGATCATTCTGGGCAGGGCCGGCGGTCTGTGGTTGAGGTGACCCTGCCCTACTACGTTGCATAATACCTGCGAGTGTCTCCTCTGCATGATGAAGAAGCTCTCTAGGCCGAACACAAGTGGGAGGTTGAGATGCAAGATGCTGGTGTGCCAGCGGTGGAGGTGGGAAGCCGGTGCTGAATCGCGGATGGGATGTAGGCGAGACAATGCGATGACCATGACCGGCGATTCTTGCTGCAACGGCGGGTAGTACATTCGGGCTCTGCCCAAGCCGAGACAGCGAGCCAGTATTGCCCGGAAGGATCATGAAGTTTGGGTCACCCGGGTTGGTCGAGACGGAAGGGGCCCCATGAGCAGAAGAAGCCATGGAGCGGCGGCCACCAGTCGGGGTCGGTGTCACATTTCCTCCAGTTGAGACGCTTCCGGGGGTCGTGATCGGCGTCACATTGGCAGCCACGATGGGTTGCTGGCCCACGGCCTCACTCTGGCTCTTGATGGGAGGGGGGGGGGAGTGGTGGTGGTGGCAGTCATAATCATGTTGACCGGAGGAGGTTTGGTCGTCTTCTTCGCGCCCAGTGCCTCTTTCCCTGCATTCATCACCTCCCCTTTGCGCTTGTTGAGCGACTTGTTTGCAATGACGCGCTTATACGCAGCGACAGGGTCATCGACAAATTGATGCATGTACAGTGGATCCAAGAGATGCTTACAGATGGTTTTCTGCGTGGCCAAGTACTCTAGGATCTTCGTGAGGCGTTCTGCGAATGTCATGGTGTCGCCCAAGGTCTTGCGCTTGGACCCAACACCTGACACCAACGGGCCAGCCGTCTGTCGCGAGATCATGCTTTCCTAGCACGAGGTCAGTACATTGCACAACAGCCTCAGCATACAAGGGAACCTACAAGTAGCTCCCAACACGCGGTCTCGACGCGGCTGACACTGTACTTGCCGTCAGTAAACGGCTTGATCATGCCTGGATTGTCTTCAGCGTGCGTCGTGCCAAGCACCGCGTCAGTCAAGGCTTTCACAATGGCCCGCTTTTGGATCTCAAGGGTCGGAATCGTGTCGTCCGCCTGGATTGCAGACTGGGACCGATTCGCCTCCCGGGCTTCGGTGAGAGAACCGAACTTGGTTGCAGTGTTCACGTTATAAGCAGCCGGGTCCATAAGCATGCGGACATCCGGCGCATAGCTGGGCTGGGGGGCCGGACTCTGAGGTTGAAGGGCAGTCGGGGCTTGATGAAATACGGCTGTCGTATCCGGACCCGAATGCATCGAAACAGGCTCTTTGGAGGCGATTTCTTTTACACCACCCTGGACATCCCCGCCTGAGATAGTTGGTGCTCCTGCAGCGACCACTCTTCCATAGCTTGGTTGTTTGGGGGAATGAACGGGGGGGCTAGACTGCAGAGTCTTGACGAAAACCTGGGAACTTTCGGCAACAGATTGCGCACTGGTTGAGTCGTCAGTAGGTTCCCTAAACATCTCGAAAGCGAAACAATATGTAGATACATACCCCTGTTGGGTTGCAGCAGTCGATAGTCCGAGAGGCTGCTGTCCAAATTCCACCTGCGTGGGGGAGAAGAACTGGCGAGGATCCAAAGCGCCCGGCTGAGGGATACTGTGACGTTGGAAACGCATGCCCGAACTGCTCGAGGTGCTACCCGAGTGGGTCGCACTGGTGGTCTTAAGTTGGTTGCCAGGTGTGTTGAAGCCCTGGTGGACCCCTGCGGCAGCAACTCGGTATGGAGGCGTGCCGGTATGGCTCCCCGGTGAAGGAACCATTTGCTGGCTGGGGAAAGGTCCAAATGCATCCACTGCGTGTTCGACCGGTGGAGTGGCGTAGGAGCTCACAGGGACCTTGTTGAAATACTCTCCTGCGGACGTGCGATAAAGCTGCGCGGGGTTGTGATAATTCCGTATAGCTGCGCTATACTGAGCCTGGTCTATGCCCATGGAGTGTGTGGCCGCCAGAGTACCCATCTGGTTGGAGGCATCACAAGTATAGTAATTCGTATGAGTCTGGTCCATAGACCCTGAATTGAGGATCATGGGAGCCTGGGCGAGGCTGGCAGGGTCAAATGTTCCAGCCGTCATCTGTTCCGCTTGAGTGATGCCCGTAGTCACAATTTCAAAAGGTCCAAGATCCTCAACGGAGACAGCTTGGGGGGAGTTATCATCACCCGCGGCAGAAGTCTGTATATCCCCAAAGGCCACGGGAATAACATGATCGTCCATGTTGGGGTTGCCGACTTGATGAGGTTGGCTACTGGGTGTATCGACGTGGGTGGAGACTGCCAGCGAGTCGTTTGTAGGTGGAGCCGGGGTTGCCGGTCCTGCACTTGCAAGTTGTGGATTCCAGTCAGGTCTATTGAATGTTAGAATACAGGGACAGAGAATGATGATTTCAGCAGTCTCACGGGATTGGCTCGCTCAACATGTCCGTAAACCACTCGCAACCGGCCATGTAGGGTTCAAGTATCCCAGACCAGTTCACCGAGTTCACGTATTCCATTTTGAAGGTAAATAGTTGCGACCAATATGAGATACACGTGTAGGCGTCGCGACGTTTTGAAAACAAGTCAACAAAGAGTCGAGATGAGTTGCAAGATGAGGGTCGAGACGAGGCTCGGGATGGAAATCAAGATGTGATTCGGGGTTGGATTTGGGAGATTCAAGGGGAGTTTCAGGATCAGCTTCACGAGGAGCTTCCCCAGGAGCTTCACCAGGAGCTTCACCAGGAGAATTCAGGGTGTGAGACGATCACGAAGATAGAAGCGGATCGAGTTTGAATACAAGAAATGCGGCTAGGTGAGCGAGGAACTGAAGGTAGGGAAGATCAAAGCACGAGGCTCAACATGTAGACGCGTGGGAAAGAAGGAAGAGAGGCTCGAGAGGGGGTGGAGGATGAAGGAAAGGAAGCAGGGAAGGGTGTCGACTGTTGTGGGAGAAGCAGCCGAGGGCAGTGTGAATTTGCAGGCCCATTCATCAAACATGTCATTCACAAACCAAGAGATTCATTGATGGGAGGAGCTGGCCCATACAAATCCCAAAGGCACGGACCCCAAGTACCTAGGCCACCATGCTTTCTGGCTGCACCCACTGGTTCTGGGGTGTCCGTGTGTTCTGATATTCACTCGTCTAATTCAATGTAGAAGCTCAAATAGGTACAGAAAATCTCACAATAAACTTGCCCGGCAGGTTGGCCTGATTTTAGTAGGTCCGCAATAGAAGTGTGTTAGTCTCCAATCTTATTATTGTGTGGGTATCGTCATGGGCTGTGGAGAGACTGGCATTCAGCAGGATTGTGCCTTTCTTTTATGAAATGGCTTGTTCTAGGCCGCAAGTATCAATTGTCTGTCCGTACCCACCGACCATCCGGCCGAGCATAGAAACATGCGTGTTGAAACCGAGGGCATCCAACCTATGTAGTCATATTCAATGGCGACGGTGGTAGCTCGGTCCACGCTAGTACCATGTTTGCCCTGTGGTCCAGAGCCATTCTTCTGGATGTCTCGGCTTCTGGGCACCTGGAAGCCGTCATCAAGTGATATTAGCAGCTCTTCTATGCCTGTGACCGGGGAGATGTTGTATTGTAGGCGAGCGCCTAGCATGAATCGGGCTTTTTCAGTCGTTCTCGCCGTTATCACTCAAAAACGGCATGTGCCATATCTTCAAGCTGTTATCACCATCTGGAGCGGGGGTCGGATCACCGCTGTTGTTGTCGTCGTTCTCATAACTCTTCTGTCCTGATGTTGTCGCTGCTATGGTTCCTAATGGGTGCAGCACAGTGCTGCTCACAGATCCTGCAGAATTTCAGCATGAAGCCTTTGGACCTGACTGAGAATTGAAATTACCATCATGAATCTTCCATTCCCACTTGGGATCTTGTGCCCCAACTGAATGCGTGGGGTTCTTCCACACTCTCATACACCCATCTGTCCCCCCAGCCCAGATCTCATGCGATCCTCCCTCGCCACTGGGGACCACATCGATCTTCATTCGTTGATTTGTGAGAGCCCGGCGACCTTGCAGCCATCCAAGCAGTTGGCCGGTTACCCTGATATCGTATATGAGGACCCCGTCGCTTTTGCGTTCAGCGACGTACAAATATCTTCCACAGGGGCTCCATAGCAGCTGGGTGACTCCCCGACCGTCAATATGGCGTTGAGCCTCCGTTTTTGCAATACTAAATGTACCTAGAGATTCGCCCGTGCCATGAGACCCGTACAGCCCAACGTGCCTCGTGAAGGTGCCGGCAGCCAATATGCCGCCACCAGTTGGATCCATCGACATGGCAGAGACAATCCCTTTCATACCCACCCCTCCACCTACCATTTGCTTGCGCTTGCTTGGTATCGTGGGCATAGAGGCAATAGGGCCATCGTTTCCAGGTCGAGAGACATCGAAGAGACAGATCAAGCTGTCCGATCCTGTCAAGAAATGGGTCCCCCCTAAAGCAGATGGATAAAGCATTGAATGAGGAGTGATGAAGGCTTCCGTCATCGGATTCACCAAGGAATAAGTCGCCAGAGAGGTCGGGGCCAGTACAGATGACAGTCTGATGGGATGATCCCGTATTGAGGAAAGTAACAACGTGGTGGACGGGTCTTGAAGCGAAAAGAAAGGATACATAGCTGTGGCATATGTCGGTTCCACAGACGGCAGGGTGGAGTACGGGGACAATTCATGCGGCGAAGGCTTCTCCTCTAGCAGATCTTGCGGCCTGCATACAGTCAGTTTATCATATGCAAGTTAGATTGGCTTCACTAACAGTATCCAGGTCCTGACATGGTGATCTGCAGAATCTGTCACGATCGTGGTGCCATCGGCGGACCTACCCAGTACATTTAGCTCGGTTCAATGATTCAATGGGAGTAGGTTTAGAGCTTACCATTCTGCGCTCTTGAAGTAGGTAGCACTGCAGATTTCTTTGACGCTATGTTTTGTATCTTCCACCTTCTTATCTGCGTCATGGCAGCTGGATGGTTGACGTTTTGTTCCCGGTTTGTGTGTATCGTGGCGATTGCTATGGGTTGTAGCCACACATATGGGGCTCAGCTTTTCAACCATTTTGCAACCCAGTCATCTCAAGAAGAGCAAGCAATGGTTCTTTTCAGCAATACTTGTCGGAGTAGGACAAAGATGAAGAGCTGTATAAGCGATGAACGGTTGGGGAGGAACTTCTGATGCCTGATAGTACGGCTCCAAATCTTTCAGACTCTTTTCACAGTCGGTTCAGCCCGGACACCATACACTCAATTGAAGACTCGGGAGTAAGACGGGGGAGTTTGATGAAGCAATACTAGACAGACTGATAGCGTCTCAAAGAAGAAGACAACGCATCAAACTATGCCTTGACTACAGAGGCGAAGGAGATACAGAGCGGAATTTGGGGTGTAGTCTCTTTGAAGTGGATTGTCTAGCACACACCCGCAGACAGTGAGGCCCAGCTGGCTTGGACAGCCACAAGCAACGGACTGGGCATAGGAATCGGAAAGATCATCTATCTATCCAACCTCGATCAATTGTGCTGGTGGTTATCAGATGAACCTTACTTAGTCATCCCGGCCGCGGGGGAACTTTCCCCATTTAGTGCTAGCGGGGGTCTGGTCGACTTTGTTGTTTTCCGACGTCTCGACGGAGCAACTGTTGCGGTGGATACTTGATCATTGTGCTGGCACAGGGCCCTTTCGACAAGTCCGGCCAAGAGAATCAACCCCTTGCGTTCCTTGGACCTGCCCCTCTACCGGGGTCTATTGTTTCTATCCCTAGTTGCTGTGCACCATGTTCGCCGCAAAGCCCCCCGGCACGTCGACCGGCCTGTCCATCAACACGGGATCCTCCAATTCTCTATTGTAAGTGTCACCGACCCCCCCCCCCCCCCCCGGTCCTGCGCATCGAAGGACCAGATCTTTCTTTTTTACGTCTCTTTCATATCATGCGCCTAGAGCTCAATTGCTTACTCTCACTTGTTCCGCCCTGTCATATCCGCAGTTATCCTCGGTTTCTCAGGTGTAAGGAAGGCTAACAAGGAACTGTGTAAATAGTGGCGCCGGCACAAACACACAAACCAGCTCTGCAGCTACACCAGCTGCGACAACCACTTCCGGCGGTCTTTTCGGCAACCTCGGGAATACTGCGGCTCAATCAAAACCGGCTGGTGGATTGTTCGCAAATTTGGGTGGCGCGGCTACACAGCAGTCTCAGCCTTCCGGGTCAAATATGTTTGCGGGCTTGGGTGGACAGCAGCAGAGCAATACGACCGGTGGGGGCTTATTCGGTGGCTCGGCGGCGACAACCTCACAGCCGCAGTCGGGCGGTCTGTTTTCGGGGACCGGTGCCACCACAACCACCACACAGGCCAGTAACACCGGCGGAGGCCTGTTTGGCAATCTAGGAGGCACTACTGCTACTCAAACGCAGTCCAAGCCGCTTTTCAGTGGCCTGGGAGGCTCCACTGCTACGGGGGGGGGCTTGCTGTAAGTAAAAGCCCGATGTTTTATCGCTCCAAGTGTCCGGACTTTCGTTGCTAACTAACTGATGCAGTGGCGGCGCGAATCAGCCCAACGCACAACAGCAGCAAGCTCAAAAGCCCTCCCTATCCCTTTTTGGAAATCAGAATACCACCGTGCAACAACCGACACAACCTGCTGCAACCACTGTCATCCCCGGGGTCAAAGTCGACGTGAGCAACATTCTGCCGACTACAAAATACGAAAGCTGCGCCGATGAGATCAAAGCAGAGCTGGAGAGGTTCGACAACTTCGTCCTCAATCAAATTAAGATCTGCAACGAGGTTGCCAACATGATTCCTACCATCGCAAGCCAGGGCGAGACCATTCCGAATGACGTCGATTTCGTCCAAGGCAAGCTGGAAACCATGCAGCATGCGCTCGAAAATGATGCCAGCGATATTGATCAGCTGCGCAGCCTCGTTTCCCGCGACGCAGCCGAAGCCCAAGTAGCGTTCCGCGCCATCGACACCTTGAAATTGCCCCTACAGTACCAATCTACCGGCGCCGCTGGGTGGTGGTCCTCCCAGGACCAGAAGGTATCGGACGGACAGACCTTACGGTCGGCGCGCAAAAATACTCTCGCCCTCCCCGATGACGTTGAGAGCGACCCAGCCACCGCCAGGTTCGTCAACGGGGTGCCTGTCAATCTGGTGGACTACTTTTCTCAGCGCTCCGACGAAATGGGAGCGGTCTTGGGACGGTACACGCACAACTTGAAGGAGATTGAAGACCACCTCCACGGCGTGGAGAGCACTTTGGAACGACAGATCCATGACTTTGTCACCGCTCGGAACCGGGATGGCGCGGCATCCGGAACCCCGAAGTCCATCGTCAACGATCTTGCCATCGTTTTGGGCGACGTCGAAGCTGGCATTCTGGGCGTTGCTAGCCGTCTTGGTGGAGTTACCGAGCAGGTGCAGGAAGTAGTTATGGGCCCGCCCTCGGCCGCCGACGGTAGGCATAATTTCTAAGGAGCGGACGGGGGGGAACCAGCGGATTGGTTGCTTCTTCTTGTTCTGTTTCTTTTAATGTACATTATGATGGTGTCTTTGTGATTTGCGCCGAGCAAGGAATGATGGATCGTGGTTACTGGTTGAGCATTGCTTAGGTCAGGCGTTCTGCGTTTAATGAAGCATCAAGGGCACTACTACTGGTCCTGTAGTCTAGAATCTACATTGGGTGGAACCACTGGGATCCCCAATCCCGGGATAGATTAATGCATGAATGGTTTACGTGGACAGCGTACGCAGGACGGGAGTCACAGTCCTTTTTTGTAGCAGTCGGACTAGGGGGTTTCAGCTGATCCGATGGAGATCCGATCGGCAGATCAAATCATAAAAGAGAGCGCCAGGCGGTGTGGGGAGAGCGCCAAGCCAGCCGTTCGGCGCAAACGCAAGACGGCGGCAGTCTGACGTGATCGCACCTCATCCTCGGCAATCGTCGCCTCACGTCACCTTAAGCTACGACTACTACTAGTTACTACGGAGTACAGTGGCACAGAGCATGCCCGACGGGGAAGTTGGTAACAGCATATTATTATTGGAAACAATATCTCCCAGACTAGAGCAAATTCTTCCTAGACCGGCAGGGGCAACGACACCATATACACTTTCCAGTAGAGCAGTATAAAGTACTAGGTTTATAGTTGCGGTAACTACAGGGTCCGGGGACTTTGTCCGGCGTGTACCTGAACATGAACCTCCCATGAACCCAGCTAGTGGTTTTCTAGAACCTCGTCGGCTGGTGTGATTCGCAGCGATCTACATGGGGGGGAAAGCGGTGTGACGCCTCCAACTTCGTCCCGGATTAGCTGCTAGTAAGCTGACACTTGGGTTTCGATCGATTTATCCATCTATCTGTATATTCTGCCGTGTGTCAGTCTATACAGAGAGTATCTATTTGGGGGTGAGGACTGGACTTCTATCTACGGTCTAGATCCGACTGAAAGCGCGACGCGGAGTGTTCCAGCCTACTTTGTACTGGCCCACACGGAGACAAGACAAGCCCCCACAGCGCACCGTTTGCCTGGCGATGACGCGATCGACGCTGACACCATCGCCGACCCGCTCTGAGAATCCCCCCAGAGTCAACAGCCTATCTCTCTCCTATCTACACGGTACAACCATGGATGTCACATTGTCTAATCAGCCCGCTTGGGTGATTTTCTCCAGCGATGGTGCAATACCCGCCAGCCCCGGTTTTGCGGCGAGGGCTGGTTGTGTCAGACGATCAGCTTGACCGTTGCCTGAAGAATAGGATTCCGACCTGGATATAAAGCTTCCGAGGCTCCCCTTCGTCAAGATTTCATCAATCTCCTTGTTGCAATCATCGCGTCATAGTACTGCCATAAGCACAGTCATCCAACACTTTTATACGCCATCGCTTCCTCACATCCTGCAGCTACCGTGTACACCATCCCCTTTTCACAACCGCAATGGCGCCTTCGCTAGAGGTTCCCCTGGTGCTCCACCCAGCTGGCCTTGATACCGTGACCAAGAAAAATGCCGCCGTGAAGGACAACAAGTTTGGCTATCAGCCAGGACGCACCGTTGTCGAAACACATGAGAACTACCAATACGAAGACCTCCTTCCCTCCTTCCCCGACATTCGCTGGGCTGCTCTGGAGGAAACCCCCTACGAGGACAGGGGGCTACACGGAGACCCTAAGTTCCGCAACTTGCTCCAAGACGCGACCGATGTTTTCGACTACAACCCCAAGATCGGCACGGAAGTCCATGGAGTCAACTTGGCGAAACTGGACGACGCACAGAAGGACGACTTGGCTCGCTTGGTTGCCATCCGTGGTGTGGTGTTTTTCCGGGGACAAGAGGACTTGGATATCGATGCTCAACGAGAGCTGGGTAGCCATTTCGGCAAGCTGCACAAGGTTCGTATTCCTCTTTTGAGGGGTATCGTTGGTGTACCGGGTCTAATCAATCACAGCATGCCACCACTTCTGTACCGAAGAAGAAGGGCTTGGAGGACGTCCACGTTGTGTACACTGGAGACAACTCCACCGATCAGCGAGCGATGTTCACACCGAGCTTCCTGTGGCACTCAGACGTACGGAAATTCTCCCTTGTGGATTATGGCTCATGCTAACGATCTGTTCCAGGTTACATATGAAGTTCAACCACCCTCGTACACATCGCTGAAGGTCCTGACGGGTCCTCCACGAGGTGGCGGCGGCGACACGCTATGGACATCTCAGTACGCGGCTTACGACGCGCTCTCGCCTTTTATGCAAACATACCTCAAGAACCTGACTGCCCTGCACTCGGCGGACATGCAGGCTTCGGACACGCGGGCTCTTGGTCGGACTGTCCGTCGCGAGCCCGTCACAACCGAACACCCTCTCATCAGAACAAACCCAGTGACGGGCTGGAACAGCCTGTTTTTCAACCCCGGATTCGTCACGAAGATCAAGGGGATCCCCAAGACGGAGAGCGATGCTATAATCAAGTACCTCTCCGAGGTCATTGCGACGACGCAAGAGATGCACGCTCGATTCCAGTGGAACAAGAACGATGTCGCCATCTGGGACAACCGCACTACCGTAAGTGTGACATATTTTTCGCGAGATACCCTATCCAGGTAACTAACACCCTGACAGAACCATTCTGCATCTTATGGCTTCGCACCTCACCGTCGCCATGCGGTCCGGGTCGCCAGCCACGCAGAGCGCCCTTTCCTTGATCCCGCAGGGAAGTCCCAGGAAGAGGAAGCCATCGCTCTCTACAACCTGCCTCCCGTCAACAAGGATGGCTCTCGGCAGTCCAACTACAACGACTGATCGGGGTCCATCTCTTGAACTTTGAAGCGATTTTTTTTTTCGGGTATTTCATTGCTAGCGTTTGCTCGTCATAGGGTTACGCAAGTGCACAGTTCTCTAATGAGACCATGAGAGCTGGCTCTCAGAGGGAGATTGAACTACAACTGGAGTTTTTTATATTAGAAATTAGCCATTCTAGCTAGCGATTTGCTCTGGGTCTTCGGGTGAATATCATGCTTTTTATATTTCCAACCAGTCTGTAGACTCCTGCTGCTCACGTGGCTCTGTCCCCCTTCTCGCCGAGTTGGGTCGACCGTCGTCCACTCGTCAAACCATCACCTCACCATTCTGCACGAAGGATGTTATCTCTTCGAATGGCAAACCAAAATGATTATTTACTACAGTATGCGCGCTTCCACGGGATAGCAAGCGACTTCACGCAGATCGATCCTCTCCGACATGTCGATCAAACCTGTCCAAGTCCCCGCGACCCCCCTCCATTGCCTGAAGATGCACTCTCCGAGCTGAAGGGCCACTTATATCATTCACAGGAAGCAGTCGAGCAGGAACTTCATCAAGGAAAGCTTGGTATCAGGAAGGAAGGCGCGTTGTATCTCTCATCGGTTCTCCGAGATAGCAAAACCGCCAGCACCGACGAGTACTGGGACAAACTCTTGCCTGCATGGGGTCGGCATGACAAGCTTAAACTGGAACTTCCTATTTTCAACTCGGATAACGATACATATCTACGGCCTTCGAAGGATCCTATTCAATACAGTCAGGATGATTACTCACTCGTGGACCTCCCCTGCGACCTTAGCAAAGCCGAGTTGTCTAAGAGCCTACCGGACAACAACGATATCGAGAAGCAGGTCAGGGATGAACGGCTGGACTGCACGAAAGCTTCACTGATGCTTATCCAAGATGCAAGGCGTGGTGACGACTACAGTCTAGAGGATCTGGAGAGTTTGCTACAGACATCCTTGGGCATGGCTCGGGTACGCTTCACCCTGCGCGGTTCATTGTTGGTTTGCTGAACTGAACTTCAGGAAGACCCGTTCTTCTATGCGCCAAAACCTCTCCTTCCCTTGGACGCTGAATGCTTCTCGTGTTGCAGCCCGTCGCCTATTCCAGAAGAACGTGTTCCACTAAGTCCTGCCGTCCCCGATTCTCCTACGCGTCCAGTGCCAGAGAAACCGGACAATCCGAAACCCGTATACCATTCAGCGTGCGAGGAGGCGATTGAAGGGATGAATTCAAGCCTTGCCAGTAATTCAGACGGAGAAGATGTGCTCTGCTGTAATGATTTATTGCAGATAGATAGGATGTCATTGACAGATACAACTACCCCGGATACGTCGCCGTCTTCCGAGCAAAATGGACACAATGGAGAATGTGACATGGATATAGATATCGTGGATACTATGGAGTCTTTCATACCTGAGACACGGGAGGCCTTAGCTGCGATGTGCTCTAGCAATAAGACCTCTCAGATAACTTACAACGACATAACGAACGATATCGCAACCTCGGACTGTTTGCCCTATGAGGGCTGTTCGACGATGGATGCGACTTTACAGAAGCCATCGGGCTTCTCGTCACTTCCATCCCAGTCTGGCTCACATTCTCAACCCGAACAGCAAGCCCATTCGTCTCAGGTGGGTCTCACAAAACCGAAGTCTCAGTCATCAACAGAAAAAGCTCAAAATCAATATTCCGACGCGAATAGAGATCATTTACTCTCATCCTACTCGCACAATCCAGGTGCTATGGATACAGATACAGACCATAACTCCCTACCGCAAACCCCAAACCCAAGCAATAGCCAGATCAATTCGAGGAAAAGACCAAAAACGAGAGGCCAAGATATGACTTCTCTCGTGGATGCCAAGAACAGTCATCCATCGTCCACAATGCTCTCTACCAGTTTGGGATCCTTAGCACGTTTCATGCAAACCAGGAAACGGATTTTCAGGCGACAAGTACCGGCGCAGAGCTCCTACTTTTCCAATAATGAACACAATGGAGCTGAGAGACAGGACACTGATATCACGGATACTTCTACCATTCAAATAACGCCCGAGGGCCCTCATACAGAACTGCAATTTATACAAAATATCTCTCGCATCCCACATATCGCGAAAAGAAATCGTGGACAGCCCGAACTCTTCCTATCGACCTCACTTCTCAAAAGTCATCTAAGCCTAATACAATGTTTCGAAAAAATGGACAATCCACCCTCAATAGTATACCAAGATCGCGACACTTACGCAGAGAGAGACCTATATGGTCCTCGGACCAAAACCACCAACTTTTACGTCCAAGACACAAAAGCCGATATCGTGATCCCCCCAGAAACGGGCATCATCCTAACAAACTCTCAAGCAACCACACAGCTCTTTCTACCGGGCCATGAGCCCAAAATTACCAGCGATATTAAGAGCATTAACTCCCCTCTCCGAGAACGGGTCTTTCTGCTTGCAGGACACTATAAGTATCTATATGTGCTTATTTGTCATCCGTCTTCGAAGACGACGAATAGAACCATTGGTGGTTCGACTGGGATTACTATTGATAGGGGCATGTTGACGCCTCTGACTTCCTTTACTGCGTTCTGTGATTCGATGGCATCGATCTCGAACGTTAATCCGCTTCTCGTACCGTTGTGTCTAGAAGTAATTGCTGGTTGGGTTCTCGCACTGGCGGATAAGCATTTTTATTAAGAGCCTGGAGGCATGTTGTTGCCTCATTTTCATCTACTCAAGGGCGAAAATGTTTTCCGATCAATGCCAGACTGTAGTGCCAGATCTGTTTCCATACAACCTGGTTTTCTTTTCACAAATGATTCTCCTCCTCCCGGCCTCTTAAAGCATGTTGTGTATTTTTTTCTTCGTCAACAGGCATTTCAGTAAATGGAATAGGTTCGCTGGAAAGATAGAACCCCATATATATAGAATGACATCCATACTTTCACCAGGAAAGAATAGTTGAGAAAACAGTGTACCTTTTTCACCGCGCATATAGCATAGCACAATCTCGCAATTACTCATAGAATCGTATTGTCAAAAATTGATCTCATCCCAGGTTGTTCCGTAGCACCTCCTGTTTGACCAGGAAGTGGCATGCCCGTGGCACCTCTATCTACCGACCCGTGCGTGTTGATAAACCCATGTCTCGGGTTTAATTTTGTTCCAAATCGCTCCAGCATCACGCTATCGTGAGGTAGCTGTGACTTTCCCGTCGAAGGACGACTAGACCCCCCGAGACGCGTCCGGTGTTGTGGTGTTGCAGCTGGTATTTCATCTAGAAAGAGTGAGTGGCTTTCAAGACAAGACAGAAAGTAGATTCATACTTTGCCTCGGGTTACCTATCTGGCGGATTGGAGGTGGCGGCATCGCGGCCATATCAGCCTTTTGCTTCGCGCCCTTGGAGCTCCCAGTGCCGCTTCGCTGGTGACGATCCAATTGCTCCACGCCCTCCTGGCTGACGGGATATGTGTTAGACTGTCGAGTCGACGGAGTCTGAGGCAGTGCTGAAGCTCCCGGTAGTTTAGGTACAAGTACTGGCTGGTCACCACGCGAAACAGCAAGAGAATTCAACGCTTGGGATACGGTATCCGATGCCGCGGTCTGCATTTGCGATCGCATGGCCCGGGACTTGAGTAGGTTATATAGGTTTGTCATCTGAGCAAACTTCTTGCACTTCTCGCGATACATGTCGACCAGCTCTTGGTTCTTCTTGTGAAGCTGATCCTGTGTCGCCTGCATATCTATATTGCGTTTAGATGGCGGCATGGTAGAAATCCCGAGGATGCGTGGACGAACCTGAGATCCGGGCTTGTAGCGTCGAGATTTCCGAGTTGGCGTTGTGGATGACCTTGTCCATTTGGGCATTGAGGGTAGCGTACTTCTCTGTCAGTGTCTTTGCGAGGAACTCCTGGTAGAAGCTGTAGCCTGTCAGTAGATGCCTGGCACGGCTGTGGATATCCTTGGCCCTCACGTACATCTCTTGTGTTGTCTGATACGTCCAAAAGAGTAGGGCCCGTCCAGCGCACTCCATAATGGTGTTCGGGTCCAGCCCACTCAGCACGCTGGTCTTGTAGTCTTCGGTTGGGTTCAGGACAGTCGCTACGGCGTCGTCGGGGTTGATGAGGACGGTCTGACATGCTGGACAGCGACGTTCATCGGCGGTAGGATGGGAAAGTCCGAGGCATCCTGCACAGTGGAGACAAAAGATATGTCTTTCTCTTCAGTGGGCTGCGGGTCCAGGGGCTGTAGGAGGAAAGTCTCCAACTTACGAGCATGTAGTAACGACCGCTCTCTCTTTCAGCTGCGCTCGGCACTTGAGAGAGTTACATCGCAGGTAGAAGTCCATCTTGAAAAAGAAGGGTGAAGAAAGGGAAGAAGAAGTCAACAGGGGCTGGCTGAGTAGGATTGTCGGTGGAGGATGAAGGAACGCAGAGTCGGGACCGGCATGTTTCTGCAAAGTCACGCCCCCAAAGAAGAAGTTACGGCGGCAGCAGAAGAAGACATGACATGTTTTTATTGGGTATCTCGGGCATATACAAGATTTCTGCGAACTCAACGCTCAACGCACCCCCCCATCTATAAAGGAACGATCCAGATTGCTTGCACGCTCTAGAAAAAGAACGTATTCCCCGAGGCATCGCGCCTGGTCGACCGCATCTTCTCTTCAAAGTCACCCCCTTGCTCGTATTCCCGCCACAGACTGGCGGGAAAGATGTGCTTGTTCCGCTCGTACCATCGCCTGTCGACCACTTTGGTCAACGTGGGATCCAAGTCGCCACCCTCCAGCTGGTCGTCATTTGGCCGGGTGAGGAGGCCATCCGCAGGAGGAGCCGGGGGAGGTTTGTTGGAATAGTCGAACAGCAATCCACCGGCACTCGAGAAGCTGGGGATGCGGTTGGCGATAAAATAATAGAGTTCATAATGCTAGAGACCGGTCAGCACTCCCACGCAGAAGAGTCAATATATGTGGGGATGGAGCACATACATGCGGGACGATGATCTCTCCCTTGACCAACATCAAGTCGTCGACACTCACTCGAGCCCACTCGCGACGGTTATCTTTGCGGCCCTTGGATGCAGCGCCCGACCCGCCAACGCCCAGCTCTGCGCCAATTTTTCGGCATCGGTCCAAGAACAGCCATACATGGTCACCTTTTTTAACCCTGACCGTCCCAGCCGGAATGTTCGCTCCATCGAAAAATATAAAGGGTATCAAAATCTCCGTGTTCTTCACTGTGTCCTGCATCGCCAAAAACTCCTTGCGGAGGGCGTCCCGCTCCTCTGCCTCTGCCTTCAATGCCGCCTTTGTCATCGCCTTCGGAGGAGGGGGGGCGTTGGGATTCGGTGTGATCCGACGCGACGGCGGCACGGAACTGTCGTCCGCGGGAGTCCTGGAGGCGGAGCGTGGGATGCTCGAATCGCGCGGTGTGGCGGTTGGGTCAGCGGCGCTGTCGTTTTCTTCTTCTTCCTCCTCGTCGTCATCGCCAAAGGACAGCTTGCTCTTGGCAAGGGGCTTCTTTTTCTTCTTCTTGGGCGGACCCTCGCTTCGCGGTGTCGAGTTGCTGGTGCTTTGCGATCAGTCTCACAAGTTAAGAGTCAAGGGGGATGCGCCGTGGCTCACCCATCCGTCGCATCACCCGTAGAAGGCGTTGCGCTTCTGGAAGCACCCGATGTCAGTCTGCCCAAGGATTTGTCATGGGCTTCTCGCTCCTTCTGTTCGAGAACCTCGGCGCGGCGTTTGCGAAAGTCGGAGAGATGGACGAGACCAACCGTCTGCGACTTCAGCAAGTCTTCCGCGGAGACGGTCTGGCTGGTGAAAGAGCGAGGGGTCGAGCTTTGGCTCGGCTGTTCGGATTGCGACATTTTTCTATAGGGCGATTCCCGCAGAGGTCAGCCGAATGGGAGTTGAAGCTGGCGATAAATCTCGCAGGGAAGGCGACTGACGTACTGGCACGTGATCTGGGGGTTCCGGATCGGGAATCCTGACCATGCACCAACAATTGTGATAACCATTGTGTGTATTTTCAAGTCGAAGATACTGTTGGCTTTGGGTGCTATAGAATATCTAAGGCTCCCTCCAACAATAGCCAACGAGGTTATATTGCGCACACAAGAGCGTCCTCCACCAGCCCCCCCCCCCCCCAGGCGGCACCAAGAAGAACAAACAGACCAAACCCGTGCGAATCTCCGCAGGGCCGCGCCATACAACAGGATCACATCTCCATCACAGCTTCCCTCTGCATTTCTCCAATTCATCCTCACTCCACCCCCCCCCACAGACACCATGATGGACGACGAAGACGACGACTTCTACGACCCCGCCGACGCGGTGCCCGTCCCCCATGACCAGAACGGCTCTCAGCATCCCCCGGCGGACTCCAAAGCTCAGGACTCCAACGATGGAGAAGAGGAGGAAATCGAGGTGGAAGAAGATGAGGTATGCGCGAGCATCCGAGTAGCCCTCAAACCACTGTTTCGCCAGCTCTGACTCTCTGTTAGGATGACTTCAACATCATCACCGAAGCGCCACCGGATGCGCCCGCTCCAGAAGCGTGAGTCTGTTGCCCTTCTCGGGCGTCTTTCGTTCTAACCTGGGACAGTCCGCATCCTCGTCACGCCAGCCTACGCGCCGAGTCGCAACGCCCGCCATCCGCAGATTCCTCCCCGCTTGCCAAATCAATAACACCGACCGCAACCCCGAAGGCCGAAGCTGTCACCCCGGTACCGGCCAGTGCACGGCCTTCGGTGCCTCAAAAGCCAGGTTCTGCCTACCCCCCCGTTCACGCGTCGAATATCGATGTCCATGCAAACCCCGTCCATCCCACGACCGGAAAGCCAATCATGCTGACCGACATGGATTCCGATTTCCCCGAGGACGATAAGCCGTGGCGGCGACCAGGCTCCGACATTACCGATTATTTCAATTACGGGTTCGACGAGTTTACGTGGGCGAGCTATGTGTTGAAGCAGCAGGAACTACGCAAGGAGATTGGGGATCAGAAGAGACAATTGGACGATATGCAATCGTTCTTAAGCATGGGACTCCCGCCGATGCCCGGCGGTCCTCCGCCAGGAGCGGGACCAGGGGCGCCTCAAGGCAACGCACCGCCTCCCATGCCTGGCATGCCTGGCATGCCCGACATGTCACCAGATATGATGCAAGGCATGCTATCGAGCATGATGGCGCAAGGCCTCGACCCCTCGTCCATGGATCCCATGTCGTTTATGCAGCATGCCCAGGCCATGATGGGCGGGCAATCCGGCGCAGGCGGCGGACAGCAAGGTCAACCTGGGTTCGGTGGGCAGGGTGGTGGCCAGCCGCAAATGGGATACGGAGGCGGTTATGGTGGGGGAGGAGGCGGTGGAGGCGGTCGCGGTCGGGGGAGAAGATGGTAGAACTCAAAATGTAACTCAATTCGCGGTCCCGTTATAGTAATCATAAAGCCTGAGCAAGGGTAGCATGTTGGGAGACAGGGTGAAGTTCAGCAAGAACCCAGAACCAAGACAATTCTGACAGCCGGGGGTGTACTTGCCCCGGGGGAAGGGAGCTAGTTTAGCTACTGGCCTGGCAAGGCGCGCAGTCAGTATTTCTGGTGGGGAGAGGCCCCCAGCCATTCCTCGACGAAGCAATGGCAATGGGGTGAAACAGGCATGTATAGTGTCAAGAGAGAGAGAGAGAGTACCAGCGAAGTTCTGCAGCAAGATGGGGGAGACTGGAGAGGTGAGAGGTGAGATACTACCCTCGGCAGAAACGGAGGACGGGGGAAGCTGTCGGTCTTGGCATTCTGGAAATTTCTCGCGAGTCCAGATCAGATCTTCGTTCCCCGGCCGCTTCCTCTTCTTCTTTTCGCTCTCCACGCACCCAACGACTTCCCATCTCTCCCTGCTCCTCCTCCATCCTTAGCGCTACACCCCCGTGCCCGGCACTCCAATCCACACTCTCATCACAATGGTATGTTCCAACTATCGATCTGCGATCCCGCAGAGCTCCGTTTGAACTTTTCCGCCCATCTTCGCCTGCACGGCCATCTCCCTTCAGACTCCCGATTGCCATCACCATCCATAAATCATCTATCATCTATCCTCAGCCATCGCTAATGTGTCTGTCATCACTCGATTAGTCTTTCCTTCGTAACATCAAGAACCTTGCGCCTCTCATGGACCGCGTCCTGGTCCAGCGCGTCAAGCCCGAGGCCAAGACCGCCTCCGGTATCTTCCTCCCTGAGAGCAGCGTCAAGGAGCAGAACGAGGCCAAGGTCCTTGCCGTTGGCCCCGGTTTGGTTGACAAGAACGGCCAGCGTCTGCCCATGAGCGTCGTCGCCGGTGACCGTGTCCTGATCCCCCAGGTATGTTTGGATAGTCGCTACGTTGCGTTTTCGTGGGATATAATTGCTGACGAGGATGGTGTTCTAGTTCGGTGGCAGCCCCGTCAAGGTTGGCGAGGAGGAGTACACCCTCTTCCGCGACCATGAGTATGTGTCCCTTCCTTTTGTCTTCGCTCGGAGCATCTGAATTGTGCATACTGACTCTCCGCTAGGCTCCTTGCCAAGATCCGCGAGTAAATTGGACTAGTCAAATGGAGTTCATTTTTTAGCTGTCATGTTCACGGCTTAAGGCCGAACCACTTGTACTATACCTCCCGCGCAAAACTATGAGCTTCAACCGTACAAACTCCCCGGAACAACCAAAAAAAAAAACGAAAAGAAAACCACCACCAACAGGGTTATAGGAGGGATATCTCATCTCTCCTTCCAATCTTGGGCTAACGTCTTGACCTGCATTTATTCTCGAAAGCGTGAAATGACTGTTTTGCATACCACACGATGTACTTTAAATATACTAGCAACCATCCTGTCCTACATTGTCTGACGCGATGAGGGCAAGTAATCCGATCTGATAATCTCCTCTCTACTGATTCTCAGTTTCTTCCGTACGCATATACCTACCTATCAAACTCTGCCGACAAGAAAATAGTCATCCCATCTACCTGGTCAAAGGTAGGTAGGCACCGTCTTCCCAATTAAGGGGCGTAGAATTCTAGAACCATCTAGCACATAGCCGTGGTAAACGGCTCAACGTTACGGAGACAACTACTCCGTAAGACAATATAAGCTCGTGTAATCGAGATACTGAGCTAAAATAGACCGAAACACAAGAAGCTGTACGGGGTATTAGAGGGACCGTCATATAACAGGTCTATGCGGAATAACAGCAGGCCGCCGCTGACGAAGCCTACATTCCTCCTGCGTTGACAAAGAAAGTAAACAAGAGCCCGAGCCTTCAATATGAGGGACACCGCTACCCCGGAGCGCAGGGGAATGCCGGCCAGGAGAGTTCTTCAATCGGTAAGTCTGTACATCGTATGTGGTAGGTATACACGTCGCGTCTCTTCTGAATACTGCGGTAGATAGTAGGGCTCAAGTTTGCATGTTTGGTGTACTGTCTACCATTCAAGTAAATTTTCGAAAAGGATACGGAACGCAGATTGGTTATTTCGTGACTTAATACTCAAGAGACATCCCCTCACGTGTACTAGCTGTCTGAAGCTGTCCAAAAAAAAAAAATCCCCCGATCAGCGCGATGATTTACTTATTCATTGAGCAGGACGGGGAAATATAGTATGGAGCGAACATATATATAGAACGGGCCATGTAGCACCCGCCCAGCAAAAGAACCACAGAAGCCTGAGCCTAGTGTATTTAGTATTTCACTTGTTTTCCCCCCTGATCATAACTACCGAGAGATATCGAGGCCAGACATGATTTTGTAAATATTGTTCTCCGTACCAGTGGAGGGGAGGGAAAAGTTCGCTTACTACTTGGTGCAGGGAGATCGCTGCGCTTCCATTCGCCCGGCGGAAGTACATAGCTCCGCCTATCGTATAGCCCTCCACAACACGTCCACTCCAGGAAGAATAACAACAACGCCCATCCTCGACGACCAAGTATTGTGGGCGTGACACATTCTAGAACCCATGAGACTTGTTCATCATGCCAACCGTCTAGGAGCGCCGAATTCGCCAATTTTTCGTAGAGTAACCAGCAAGTATAAGTATTCATCTACTGGATCATTGCCATTCCTCCCCGGCGCGCAGCATACCGCCGGATACGCGATAGGATGCCACAGACTCACAGCACATATCAGACATCTGCTCCCCCAAGCAACCACCACCCCCCAAAACCAACTCCCAGCCTCCCCAGTACCCAAGATAAGATCCAATCTAATCTCCAGAATCACCTACCCGACCGATCGACCACAGACTCGAATCTTACATTCCCCATCCTGCAAAGGCCCGTCCCGTCCAGTCCAACACGGAGGTTCCATCCATCCGCGTCCCGTCTCGGTCGTGCGGAAGCCAAGCAAGCCGTCCACCACCTCCCTCCCTCCCCTGCCCTATCGCACGCTCCTTTCCCCCCCTCCCCTTTCTAGAATCTAGTGCCACGCGCTCGAATCCTACCTTATCTGATCGTTTATCCCTATTTTTTCTTTCTAATTTTGACACTCCTGCAGGCTTGTGGATCTGGGGTCGTAGGGCTGGGGGCGGTACCTTATTCGAGTCTATTTGGACTTCCGTCAGACTGTTACATACAGCTTTGTATTGTCATGTGGTACCAGGTGTATCACCCACCCACCCACCTGGTACCTGGACCTGTCTCTCTCTCTCGCTCTCTACATGGTACCTTGCCTTATATGTCTCTCCGCTCTGTACTAGGTAGTGTGTACCTGAATAGTCTATTGGTTTTGTTTCTCTATATCGGCAGTACCTGCATGGTATGCTGCGCTTGGATCGAACGTGTCAGACTGATCTATTGTACCACCTGCCTACCTCGAATCTCTGGATGCGGCGTATGCGAACGCGGCAAGAGAAGCAACTCTCGCCTCGGGCGACGTCTCTTATGTGCAGACAAGCTGCCTACAGCGTGGCCGGATTGTGTACTCTACTTTCGGTGCGGAAGGCAAGTGACAGACGTAGATCATATCGTTCTATTCACGACTTATCACAAGTCTAAGCAGCATCAACTCCAGAACGAGTAGTATCCCCTCTTCCACTTGCCCTGCAGTGTAAAGCCGGGCAATCCGTTTGTGCCGTCAAGAAAAATAACAGGATAACGTAAACAACCATATCATGCCATGCATTGAGAAGAAAGAAAAAAGAAATTCTCAGAGAAGATTAAATTAATTAGAAGCCAGAGAAACCTGTCCTTTTCTACGCGGAACCAAACTCCTTGATGTCGGTCTTCTTGCCGCACAGGGCAAGGGGCACGATGCCAGAGACGTGCATCTCCGGGCCGTACACGTGCATGTTGAGGTCGAGCTCCTGACCGACGGCCTTAATGTTCTTGAGACCCTCCTGGTAGTTGGGACCGGCACGACGCACCCAGATCTGGACCTTGTGCTCGTTGAGGACGGGGGCGACCTCGCGCAGGGCGCGGATGACACCCTTGAAGGTCGAGGCAACGTTGGTGAAGTTGGCAATACCACCACCGATGAAGAGCACCTTGCCCTCGGGGTGGGTAGGGGCACGCAGCATCAGGTCGAGGACAGTGCGGGCGTAGTTGTAGGTCTGAGTCTCGGTGGGGGCACCGGAGTACTCACCGTAGTTGGCGAGCTCGCTGACGAAGCCAGCGGAGGCAATGGCATCAGCGTACACGACGGAGGCACCACCACCGGCAACCAGAGTCCAGACGCGGCCGTTGGCGTTGAGGACGGTAAGCTTGAGGGAGGCACCAGTCTTGGCGTCCATCTCGGAGATGAAGTTCTCCTCCTTGGTCAGCTCACGGCCGAAAGGAGCGGGGAACTCCATGGGCGGGCCAGCATCGATGTTGACCTTGTCGCTCTGGGGAAGGGTGGGCAGACCCAGGTTGGCAGGGCTGCGGGCAATGGCCCACTTGGTACCGCACTCGAACTCAGCAGTCTGGTCCAGCTTGGCAGCCAGATCGAGGAAGTGCACGTCGGCGGAAGTGGCGTCGGCGTTGGGGATGACAACCAGAGGGTTGATCTCGAGGTAGGTGAACTGGCAGTCGACGTAGACGGCGTACAGGCGGGAGATGAAGTCCACCAGGACGTTGTGAACACCCTTGGGCACCTTGCTCAAGAGAGTGGCGGCAATCTCCTCGTTGGAGGGGTAGTTCTTCAGGTTGACGGGAATCAGAAGCTTCTCCGCCTTGGCGTCAACATCACCGACGTCAACACCACCCTCGTGGGTGAAAAGGATCCAGTCACCCTAGACGCCGTTAGCCACGTGCCCTGCTGGACGGAGGACCGCGATGGTCGAATGGGCTACTTACCTCACGCACGGAGTGGATGTTGATATAGTACTCAGTCTCCTGGGGGTGGGGGACGAAGGGCTCAACGAGGAACTGACGGAGGACACCAGTGACGGTCTCGACCTGGACGTCCTTGGCGGCACGAGCCTCGATCCATTCCCTGGCCTCAGCCCAGGTCTTGTTCAGGGCCAGCAGACCGCTCTTTCCACGTCTCTTGATCAATTGGTCGGGCTTGGCCACGAACTTGGAGCCGGGGACCAGCAGCCACGGGTAGAGGACCTCAGCCTGGTCGAGGACATCCTTGACGGCAGCATCTTCGGGGAAGTGGAGAGAGGCGAGCTTGGGGGGAGCGTTGTGCGTGGAGGACGGAGGGAGGGGAGTAGGCTTGATGACGGGGGCGCGAGTGAGGTGGTAGTTGAGGATGGCCTTGCCATCAGCCTCGAGGATCGACTTGGCGGACATGATGATCGTAAAGGTGGTGGAAGAGGGGGAGAATTATACTATAGAAGGGAGGGGACGTTAGAGATGTGGGACAGGCAGATGTATATACGGAGAGCAAGTTCGGTATACCTGGAGGAGGAGAGCTGGAGGGGGAGGGGGGAGATGAGGGAGAGGAATGGATGAGAGTGTTTGTGTGTGTGTGTGTAGTTGTGGTGGTATGGGAGAGTGTCACCAACCAACGGAGCAGAGTTGAAAGAAATGGAGATGTGGGAGGGGGAGTGTGAGGAGGGATGGATGGATGGGAGTGGGAGGAGGAGGAGGAGGAGGAGGGGGGAAGGAGGAAAAAGAAGAAGTGATGCGGAAGGGAAAAAAGAGAAGACCCAAACGGGAATTGGAGAGCGGCGCGCCGAGGAGGAGGAGGAGGAGGAGGAGGAGGAGGGACTAAATTCCTCACACTACTCCGTAGTCCGTTACTTACTTTGGTTGGTACTAGTTTGAATTTGATGATATGCAGCGAGTGGATGAAGCAAAAATTTTGGGGAGGGAAGAAAGGAATGGAATGGAGTGATCATCTGAAGCCGCAGCCAGAACCCAGAACCCAACGTGAACCGGCAGAAAAGACAAGAAAAGACAAGAAAAGACACCAAAACGGCACCGATACCAGGGAGGGTCAGGGCCGAGCTCGGGCAATACAGGGGCCGGAGGGGCTTAGCGCGGGCGCTGCTGCAGCTGAACGACTTTGTTGAGATTCGGTGGAGCCGCCGTAACGAAAAAGCGGGTCGGCCCAAGACCCAGCCTGTCACCCGGGATTGGCGGCGTTGGGGATCCTCGGGAGGCCTTCGCGAGTACAGCCTGGACAGTATCCGCCCTACGCTGTAGCCTCAATACTGTAGCCCCTGGAGATGCTGCTCCATGCCATTTGTTGGGTACGTGGTCGCTTTTGTTGGCCGCGCACACGGACGGGAATAATACTTCCATGCAGGCAGACGAGTTCAGTACACGGTAGTACAGGAGTAAGTAAGTAGTAGTCAGTACCTTATGTGTAGGTACCTGGTCCTGCCCGATGATGTAATGGCCCGGATCCCCAGCTAGTTAGTCCAGTACTACGTACTTACTTAGCCAGCTTCCCCATACTTTTTTTTTTTTACCCATGGCCTAAGGCATTCAGGCTTCCATACTATCTATCTACTGGGTACTTGTACAGGGAGGGGGGGATCATCCACCAGGCTTCAAAGAACTATTTACTCCGTACTTCATACAGGATCTATCTACCTTACCTTACCCGCCCGACAGGCAGTATCATTCCAGAAGCATACCGCTGTTTGGATGGATCTTTCGGTGAGGATGGACTAGATACTCACCTCGTGCATACGCATCGACCCAGTCCCTGGCCGCAACGTCGGGAGTGGGATCCACCCGGCTGGCCCCAACCGCTGAACCAGGCCACCTCCGGTTCTCATTCTACCATGTATATCCTATACTATCCGCCTCGTTGAACGTCCGTAATACGGAGTACCGTGGACATCCAAGCTCACTCGGCCCATGTTGGGCAATGCTCCCCCTCGCCAGCCTGGATCGCGTGCCCCGATCCTGACTTCATCTGTGCAGCCCGCGGAATGGATTGACCTGCTTGACTTGACATCACCACGAAAGTTTCGCCTATCTACCGGTCAGCCATCCGACGGAGTTTGTTGGCCGTAGGAGGGTGGAGGATGGACGGACGACCAGTCGATCGATCCCTCCTTCTCTTCTGTCTGAGCTGGGCTGGGGCTTGTATACTCCGGACTCCGGACTCCGTAATCACCCATTGCCATCAGACAACCATTATTCGGCTCCTCTGCGAAGAAAGTCCGCCGTGAGGGTGCCGATAATAAGAATAATATCCATCATCAGTCCTCGTAATTCCCCCACTGGGGTTTCGGACCAGACCTCGCCTGAACTCGGGGGGGGCCACCTCAGGCACGGAACGGTACCGTACGGGCGATACCTCCCCATTCATACGCCTGCGGTATAGCTGCCGTATCACAGTACAGCCTCAGTGCCTGTGTTCTTCCCTTGGCCCCATAATTCTTTACCCATCAAGCTCCCGATATCGTCCCCTCCCCTCCTCTAGCTGGTAAGTGTACTTTTTTTGGTTTTTTTTGGGGGAGATTTAATTTTTGATTTTTAATTTTTTAATTTTTTTTTACCCTTTCCATTTCCATTATTTCCATTTCCTTTTTATCTTACATCTTGTTTTTCTCCCATCTCCCGCCTCTTCCCATCAATCCACTCCATCTTCCTCTCCAAACCCATTTCTCCATCCTCCCTGGTTGCATCTCCCAGCTTCCTTCCCTTTTGTCCTCCTCCCATCCTCCCACCCACTTCCTTTGTGTTCGAGTCGCAGTATCTGGAGCGGCTTGTGACTACCTCTCTTCCTCCATACCTCCATACTTCTACCTAATAATACCCTTCCCCCTCCTTCTTTAATCCTTTCCCTTCAAACAAGCTCTGTTGACAGGTATGTCTGTGTGTGTCTGCGTCTGCGTGCGAGTGTGTGGTTGTTGGTTGTGGACTCACGGTTCCATGTGGCCCCGGATGTGATGATTCCTGTTCATCTTGATCGTCACATCCTGTCCATCCTCCCCATCCGTTACTTCTTCACCTGGGGAACCGTCGTCAACTGACTGCTTGCCCCGCCATCTAGAGTACTCCAGCAATCATGCCTACCTCTGCTCCTTTGGTCAACACCGCCAATGGCTCTTCCGCCAACGATAACATCACCCGTTTCGACCCCCCCAGCCGTGTGCTCTCTCCCCTCAACCACGCCCTCTTCCACAACAAGACGAGATGTTTCGTATAGTAAGTCGCCGTGGTGCCTGGTGGTCAATTGCCTGGATTGACCATGATCACAGTGGTATGCAGCCCCGGGCCGTCCAGGGTATGCTCGACTTCGACTTCATCTGCAAGCGCAGCACTCCCTCCGTCGCCGGTATCATCTACACCTTCGGTGGCCAGTTCGTGAGCAAGATGTACTGGGGTACTAGCGAGACCCTGCTCCCCGTCTACCAGGATGTCTCCAAGGCCATGGCCAAGCACCCCGACGTTGACACCGTTGTCAACTTCGCCTCCTCCCGCTCCGTCTACAGCTCCACCATGGAGCTGATGGAGTGCCCCCAGATCAAGTCCATCGCCATCATTGCCGAGGGTGTCCCCGAGAGAGTACGTTCCCATGCTGCGGTAACCAATGGTGTACTGTGCTAACCAGACAACAGCGTGCTCGTGAGATCCTGGTGACTGCCAAGGAGAAGGGCATCACCATCATCGGTCCCGCTACCGTCGGTGGCATCAAGCCCGGTGCGTTCAAGATCGGTAACACTGGTGGTATGATGGACAACATTGTTGCCTCCAAGCTCTACCGCAAGGGTTCCGTCGGTTACGTCTCCAAGTCCGGTGGTATGTCCAACGAATTGAACAACATCATCTCTCAGAACACCGACGGTGTCTACGAGGGTGTCGCCATCGGTGGTGACCGTTACCCCGGTACCACCTTCATTGACCACCTTCTCCGTTACCAGGCCGAGCCCGAGTGCAAGATCCTTGTTCTGCTCGGTGAGGTCGGTGGTGTTGAGGAGTACCGTGTCATCGAGGCCGTCAAGAACGGCACCATTACCAAGCCCATTGTTGCCTGGGCCATTGGTACCTGCGCTAGCATGTTCAAGACCGAGGTTCAGTTCGGTCACGCTGGTGCCTCTGCCAACTCCGACCTGGAGACCGCCGTGGCCAAGAACAAGGCCATGCGGGAGGCTGGCATCCACGTCCCCGAGACCTTCGAGGACCTGCCCCAGCTCCTTGCCGAGGTCTACCAGGACCAGGTTAACAAGGGCATTGTCAAGCCCCAGCCGGAGCCCGTTGTCCCCAAGATCCCCATCGACTACTCCTGGGCCCAGGAGCTGGGTCTCGTCCGTAAGCCCGCTGCTTTCATCTCCACTATCAGTGACGACCGTGGCCAGGAGCTTCTGTACGCTGGTATGCCCATCTCTGATGTCTTCCGCGAGGACATCGGCATCGGTGGTGTCATGGCCCTCCTGTGGTTCCGTCGCCGCCTCCCCCGCTACGCCAGCAAGTTCCTGGAGATGGTTCTTATGCTCACTGCTGACCACGGTCCCGCCGTGTCCGGTGCCATGAACACCATCATCACCACCCGTGCCGGCAAGGACCTGATCAGCTCCCTGGTCGCTGGTCTCCTGACCATCGGATCTCGCTTCGGTGGTGCTCTTGACGGTGCTGCCGAGGAGTTCGCCAAGGCTTTCGACAAGGGCATGAGTCCCCGTGACTTCGTCGACACCATGCGCAAGGAGAACAAGCTGAGTATGTTTCCCACGGCCCCGATTGTGACGGTATCGTGAACCTGTGACTGACGCGTTATATCTAGTCCCCGGTATCGGCCACCGTATCAAGTCCCGCAACAACCCCGATCTCCGTGTCGAGCTGGTTAAGGAGTACGCCAAGAAGCACTTCCCCAGCACCAAGCTGCTCGACTACGCCATTGCCGTTGAGACCGTCACCACCTCCAAGAAGGACAACCTGATTCTGAACGTCGACGGTTGCGTCGCCGTCTGCTTCGTCGACCTCATGCGCAACTGCGGTGCCTTCTCCCCCGAGGAGGTTGAGGACTACATGAAGATGGGAGTCCTGAACGGTCTGTTCGTTCTGGGCCGCAGCATTGGTCTGATTGCGCACTACCTGGACCAGAAGAGACTGCGCACTGGTCTGTACAGACACCCCTGGGATGACATCACCTACCTGCTCCCCGCCCTCCAGAAGGGTGGCTCGGAGGGCCGTGTCGAGGTTAACGTCTAATTTTCTATCTGTCTCCCTTAATACATTTTACATCTCATGAATTAGTCATAAAATCCGTCCTTGTTGACGTCGGAGTTACGATGGCTTGCTTTTCGCCATTATTTCGTTCTGCATCGGTTTGGTTCATTTCATATCTCATCTATTTCAACTTACAATCTGTAGTAGCACATGTGGGCATGGCTAGCTGATAAGGTTGATGAATATCACGCAACGATTCAAGAAACGCGCAGATTCCTGTGGACTCGTATTTGACTCTCCGTACCCCGTAGTAGTGTTGTAGCAGGAGCAATACGAGGAGTAGATACTAGATACTTGGCTGGAATTATTCCGCGGAAGTGCCTGCGGCGGGCGGAAGGACAGGGTGGGGCCCACCTGATTGGCAAACTCGGGCCCGTCGCCGGCAGTACTGAGCTTTACAGGGCGGTTCATCTTTCGGAGCATCCTTCCACGCAAACTGAACGATAAACCGACACAGAATTCTCCGGGAAACCGGCGCCTGCCTCATCCCAACCGCCAACCGCGCAGAAAACCCCGCGTCGACCCTCCTCCAAATCCATCCCATCCGACAACCCAAAAAAACCAAGTCACAATGGTCCGCATCAAACACCGCTACCTCCTCCTCGATATCCTCTACCCCGATCCGTCGACCTGGCCCTCCGCGACACCGTCCCGCTCCAAAAATGCCCCGAACTCCAAGTCTCAATCACAATTACAGATCCACTCACCTACCTCGGATGCCTTGACGCCTAGTTTGTTGGCCAGGATGGTGAGGGAGGAAGTCGCAGAGCTTTTTGGTGACTATGGGGTGGGGAGATTAGGTGGTGCTGGCGCGGGTGGTGTTAGTGGTATGTTTTGCTGTTTGTCGGTCTACTGGCTGAACGAATCCCTGCTTTTTGTGGTGCTTGGGCTTGGTTGGATCCGCTGACCCTTGTTTTCCGGGTATGCAGTGAAATATCTTTCGCACGCTACGTCAACGGCTATCATTCGCTGTCCCCGCGCGTCTCTCCAGCTGGTCTGGACCGCTCTCACTTGCATATCGCAGGTGCCTGGGTTCAGTGAGAAGGGGTCGAAAAGGTCCGGGACTACGAGGCCATGTGTGTTTCGGGTTATTCGCGTGTCGGGGACGATGCGCAAGGCTGAGGAGGAGGCTATCCGTCGTGCTAGGAGGGAGATCGTGCGTCTGAAGGGCCTGGATGAGATCGGGGTGTTGGAGGGGTTGGTGGGTGGGTTGGTGGAGGCAGATGATAGTACTCCCGTTGCTGGAGTTGCTGAGGATGTGATGATGATGGATGACAGTGATGACGATGAATGAATGAATGAATGAAAGAAAGTGGGCTACAGGGAGAGAGATTTTGGTCGGGGCGCATGTGCCCTGCATGGGGGAGTTCTTGTCTTTCCAATCACGCTATTAGAGATACCCTATTATACATTGTATGGATGGATGTTGAGTCAGAATCATGTCATGATTTTCGTATAATCTTCACCCCGCTATCGGGTATTGTGCCTTGGCGGATGTTGTCGTATTCATCGTCATCGTCATCTTCATTGTTGTTGTCATCCAGGTTCTTCGCCGTGTCTTCAGCCGCCTGTTCCCTTGCTTTGGCCTCCTTCTCCAGCTCCTGCAGCTCGTGTTCGTCATAGGTCTCTTTCGCATCCAGCCAGCGTTCTTGTACATCCCGAACATCCATTGTCCCCAAGCCCTCTCGGACAGCAACCTGCCAGATGGTGTCGTTGGCGCCCTCCGCAGGTCCGAAGACGTACCCACTAGCCCGATCAATGACCTTCAGCAAGTTCATCATGCTCTTCTTATCTTCCACCGCGAGTGTCTCAAACCCTACCAGCCCGAATTCTTCGACTAGCTCAATGATCGCGCTGTTGAGGGGGCCAAACTTTTCATGCGACAGGCGCGAAGACTCAGCTTCGAGATGAGGGAGAAGATAGTTGAGATCCTGCACTTCCGTGTAGTAATCTAGGTTGAAAGGTAGCGGGGCATAGTTGGATAGATTATCGATCTTGGTGAGAACGTTCAGGTGAGGAAGGTCCATTTGAAGCATCGCGCGGAGGGAGAGGAGAAGAGCCGAAATGTACATCGACGGTAATGTAAGGTTGTAGGAATCTATGAGATGGATCACAATCAACTGCGCCGCAGCAAGTTAGCAGCCGCGTCTATACAAGTAGGAGACGGCGGGGGTCGTACTCGATACCCCAATTTTTGGATTTTGAAAAAGATATTCCGTAGGGAGGAGTGGTGTGTAAACAGCTCGACTTGACCTGGACAATCAAATAGAACGTAGTCCTCTGTTGTAGGAAAAGCCGATGATCAGCATTCTAGATCGGACGGCACACCCGGATGTAATTTATGCGCATACCTTCGAGCCCCTTCAACCCCTCCTCCAGCCAGTCAAAGTTCTCCTCCAGTTCTTCCAGCGCATACAAAACACCGCCGTTCGGTCCGAGAGAGTCCTCACTCATGATCTCTTCCAGCGTCACAAGGTCGCGAACGTCCAGCGCACACGGATACGACGTTTGATCATTTGCGGGGTCCAGGTTGACGATGGAGCATTTGCGGCCGATGGCTCCGAGAAACTGATGCATGCCATTGCAGAAGGTTGACTTCCCCGCCCCCGGGGGGCCTATGACGAGTTGTGCGAACGGCATGGTGGGCGTTCTTCCTCGAAGAATGTGCACGACCGAGAGAATGCGCCGTGTCGAGCTCGGGGCAATCGATGATGATGACGGCGGGGAGAATATTACGGGGCGGTGGGGGCCGGCAGAAAACGACCAGCAGTTGAGGCTTGGATGACGCCGGGCCGATCAACACCAGTTCCTCTCGAGAGCTCGCTGTCGATTTTCACCAAGGAATCATGGCGTCTAGTGAGTCGCAACGTCAGCAACCCTCGCTTGAACTATACTGACGCGCTACCAGGTCAATTTACTGTCGCGTCTCCGCCGACGGATGCTATCTCCGCTTTGAGGTTCTCCCCCAACCCCGAATCCACGCGAATCGTTGCCTCTTCCTGGGACAAGAATGTGTATCTGTACGACCTGCGCGATGAAAATGGCGCTGTAGGAGAGGGCAAGCTGCTTCAGAAGTTCGAGCACCGTGCTCCGGTGTTGGACGTGTGTTTCGGAGCAACAGAGGATGAGATCTACACGGCTGGTTTGGATTGGGACGTCAGGAAGTGAGCGCACACCCCATAAATGGCCTCGATCCCACCCCCCAAGTTCGGTTGTTGGCTGACCATCTTCAGAATTGATATAGCGTCATCTACACAAACCGTGCTCAGCACCCACGAAGCCGGTGTCCGAAGCGTCGTCTACAGCAAGGAGCACAACCTAGTCATATCCGCATCCTGGGATTCCACATTGCATGTGCACCACACGAACGACCCCGCTACCGCCCCCGCTGTCATTCCCCTTTCATCCAAGCCCTTCTCCGTGTCTCTTACTGCTACCAAGCTCGTTGTCGCAATGGCCTCCCGCGCCCTACACATCTACGACCTCAAGGCACTGGCTCTCCTCTCCGCTCAGTCGGAGGGTGAAGGGTCAAACAAGATTGAGGTTGAACCTTGGCAACGAAGGGAAAGCAGTCTGAAGTTTATGACCCGCTCTGTGGCGTGCATGCCCGACGATGCAGGATACGCTTCGTCGAGTATCGAGGGACGTGTCGCGGTCGAGTGGTTCGACCCCTCTGCTGAGTCTCAGGCACGGAAGTACGCCTTCAAGTGTCACAGGCAAACAGCAGATGATATCGATGTGGTGTACCCGGTCAATGCGCTCGCGTTCCATCCTGTTCATGGTACGTTTGCGTCTGGCGGTGGTGACGGCGTGGTTGCTCTCTGGGATGGTATCGCGAAGCGCAGAATCAGACAGTACCAGAAGTACCCGTCTAGCGTCGCTGCGGTGGACTTCAGCGGCAATGGAAAGTACCTGGCGATTGCCATCAGTCCGGGTTTCGAGGATGGAAAGGACGACGTTGTTGAGGGGGCGGTCAAGATCTTTGTGCGTGAACTTGGGGAGACGGAAGCGAAAGGAAAGGGCGCCAAATAAAGATGTTGTATTATAAAAATATCCGTCCCAAGGTCTGGCGCGCGGAGATCTGGTGTTCCTAATCTTGGTTAATGATCTTATGTCTACGACATGCCATAGAAAGCGTAAAACAATTAAATTCGTGCTAACGTCGACATGGTATCATTGTGCTTTTGCCCCTATTCTCTGGACTTGCCGTATATAGCTCAATGGGCAACTCGATCAAGCAGCTGCCTTTCTAACAGACACGGAGCCGTCGGGCATACCGAAGTAGGCCGCAATCGGCTTCTGACCTCCAACTCCGCCAGCGGCCTGGGCCTGAGGACCAGTCAGCCCGGAGAAGATACCAACGTCCAAGACACCGGGGATCTGTTTGATCGCCTCGGAGAGCGCGTGCACCTCCCAGACGCCCTCCTTCCCACTGCCGTCCTTTCCGGCGGCCACGTCTGCCTGCGTAAGGAGAGTCGGGAATGGGGCGTCGACAATGAAAAAAGACTGGTCGGTCTTCAACGGCCCTTGCTTGACGTCTGCGTTCAGGCGGACGGCGGGATCCACGCTGCCAATTTCCCGGAGCGCAGTCAGGACCCGAGCGGCCGCAATAGGCGCAACTTCGATGGGGATGTATTTCCAGTTGGAGAGAAGGCGGGACTGGAGTTTGCGGGAGTCTGTTTGAGGACATGTCAGTCGAACTGTCATGGAAGCCAGGAATATCCTGGACGGAGGAGGTCGGGGCCAGATCTACACACCAGCCACGCAGATGAACTCCTTGGCCTGGAGAGCCACAATCTTCTCCTGGAACAGACAGGCCCCACCGCCCTTGATCAGGTTGAGCTCGTCATCCACCTCGTCGGCTCCGTCGAAGGCGACATCCAGCACGGTGCCCTCGGGAATGGCATCGAATTCCACGGCTGTCAGGCCCGCGGAGACGATGAGCTGTTTGGACTGGAAACCCGTGGGGATGTATTTGGTGCCGGAGGTGTCTACCCCGGACTCCTTGATCGCCTCTACCACGTAGACGATGGTCGAGCCGCTGCCAATGCCGACGTACTTGGCATCCTTGGGGTAGTGGTTCTCGACGGCAGCCTTACCGGCGGCACGCTTTGCGGCTTCGATGATGCTAGCCATGGCGAAGTGACGTTGCGATGGACCGGAACGGGCGAAAGGAAGGGGTGAAAAAGAGGGTGACAAACGAGGGGCGTGTAGGCGAAGACGAGAAGTGGAGGAAAAGGCGTACGGCCGGGTTCTGTAGGGAGAGGGGCGATTAACACTCAGGCGGACCCTGCCGGAGCAGAAACTCTCGAGCGCTGCCCTGCGAATTCGGGGGGAGAGATGGTGACGGTGGATGCCGCGGTGGGGAAGAGCTCGAGATTCCCAGATGGACCACTTACAGCAGGGAAAGACCGCCACGCGGGATGGCGGATGTCATGGCATGGAATCTGACACTCGAAGTCTCTCCTTGACCGAGCTGCCTGTTTGATGTAGCGTTCTCCCTCAGTCATCACCTGGATTTGTTTGGCGTCGCGCAACTTTTTGTTCCGGCGGGGTTGTGTCGTCATCGCCGCCATCGCCTCAGGCAGCCAGGCAGCCAGGCAGCCCAGGTGCATGGATGGGTGTCACCTGACGGCCGCCGACATGGGGAGCCTCGGGCCACCGCGTGGCTGGACTCAATCCGTCCTCTCCATCCATCCATCCAAAGTAGTCATTCCCGTGTCGGCGAATACGGTACACAGTCACGGTAGTGTCGGACTCCACACTCGCAATCAAGGGCTCCGCGGTGAGACAAGCTTCCCCCTCGACGGCCTCGCCTCTATCTTCTATATTCTCTAAACCTCTTTCCCGTTCCTTCTCCGCACGAGCCCCTCATGACAGAGGCTTTCCCCAGGGCCCTCGTTGGCCCATCTTCCAAAGAGCGGAGGTATGACCGCCAGCTGCGCTTGTGGGCGGCCAGTGGCCAGCAGTCCCTGGAGGACTCGCGCGTGCTTCTGGTCAACTCCGATGGATCCTGGGGTAAACAGAACACTGGAGTGTCCGGTGTAGTCGGGGTCGAGACGCTCAAGAACCTCGTACTTCCCGGCATCGGGGGCTTTACCATCGTGGACCCGGCCGTTGTCACGGAGCCCGATCTCGGCGTGAACTTCTTCCTCGAGGAGGCCAGCTTGGGCAAGTCCAGAGCCGAGGAAACCTGCCGATTGCTGAGAGAACTAAACCCGGACGTAGAAGGGACTTTCCAGACCAAGGTATATTTGTCGCGTAGGCATCCTTGGTCTCAATCATGATCTCCGCGTGCTAATCAAGTTTTCAATCTCAGCCGATCGCAGAGCTCCTGCGAGATCCGGAGTTCCTGCCACAGCATAAGCTGATACTGGTATCTGGCCCCGTGAAACGCTCTTCCTTGGTGGCCCTCCGCAAGTCTGCCAAATCACTGGGTATCCCAGTGCTGTATGCGCGCTCGGTTGGCTTCTATTCGATCTTCTCCCTGCAGCTTGCAGACGTGTTTCCCATTGTAGAGACACACCCGGACCCCGAAAGCACGCAGGACCTTCGTCTCCTGAACCCTTGGCCAGAGTTGGCAGCAGTCGGGGCTAGCATCAGCAACTTGGAAAGTTTGGATGACCATCAACACGGTCACGTTCCGTATATACTACTTCTACTCCACTACCTGGAGCAATGGAAAGAAGCCCACGATGGCAACGTCCCATCGAACTACAAGGAGAAATCCGAATTCCGAGAGATGGTCCGGTCCAGTGCACGAACGAGCAACCCCGAAGGCGGCGAGGAGAACTATGACGAAGCCGTTGCGGCAGTTCTGAAGTCGCTGAATCCGTTCAGCTTGCGCAGTTCGATCCGCGAAATTTTCGAGATGGAGGAGTGCACACGCCTTAACTCAGGGTCCGCCGATTTCTGGGTCATTGCAGCGGCCGTTCGCGAGTTTTACCAGAGACACAACGTGCTGCCCCTGCCGGGCTCGCTTCCCGACATGAAGGCCCAGTCGGCCGATTATGTTTCGCTCCAGAATATCTACAAATCGAAGGCGAGAAAAGACATCGAAGAGGTGACTGAAATTGTACGACGTATTGAGGTGCAGCTCGGGACCCGTGTAGTCGAAGTCGCGGACAAGGACATCGAGGTTTTCTGCAAAAACGCGGCTCACATCAAGGTCATTCGTGGTCGTGATATCCCTCAGGTCGCTGGAGACGCGCATAGCCTGAAGACCCTACGGAATCACCTGAGTAATGACGAGTCATCCATCCCCATCTTCCTTGCGTTCGAGATTTTGGACGATATCGTGACCGACATCCAAGACGGGAAGAGGCCAGAAGCAGCATTGGATGATGAGACGGTGTGGGAGAGTGGAATCGAACGCATGGTTGGAGCGCTCACCTCGGACGACCCATCGGCTGTGGACGACGACGCCCGGGAGCGCATCCGAAAAGCCGCCCGAGAACTCCGACGGACTCAGGGCGGAGAGCTGCACAATATCTCCGCGCTGACGGGCGGACTCGTCGCACAGGAGGCACTCAAGGTCATTACGAGACAGTACGGGCCTCTGGATAATACCTGCATCTTTGACGGTGTACGCAGTGGCAGCGAAATGTACAAGCTGTGAGGAAGGTGGTGGTAGTGGTGGCGATCCAAAACCAGAACCTGCATTAGCCCCTACGAGGAGTCTTCTCATGACATGAATCACGAGTTTCAAGAATCAATTCTCCGGTACTTAGTACTGTCAGCCGTATGCTCTCCTCTCCATCTTCTCGGCATGTTTGCATTTCGCACCAGAAGATTGAACTGGACGATCGTCCCTGGCCTGCCCCGTGCGAGATTTCCCGAACATTCAATACTAGCTGTTACATCGAGAGCAACAACCTTCTGCATAATACGGAAAAATGGCGGACGGTAAGTTAACTCCAGGGTGAGCCAATTACCCTATTGGAGTTTCGCAGATTTTGCGAGAATAATAATAATGGGCAGGCCAGGGACTGTACCGAGACTACAGAGTGGTGCTATGGCGCTTGGCTCGGGTTCCGCGGGACCCGGGCCCTTCCCTGCGGCCGGGTTTCCCTTGCGTAGTATTCGCCCATTGATCAACTATAATAAGACCCTTGTTTTCCGGACCCTGATCCAAGTCATCCTCAACTTGTCCTGATTAATATCCCGGCCCAAGACGTGGGCTACTTGCATTTCGTCATTCGAGCGCCGCCGAATCGGGTGTCCCTGATGTGGCCGATATTATTGCTCCCTGCTGCTTAACCTCCGTCCTTTACATAGAATGGCCCCGGATTTGGGTCGCCTGTTCCCAAATCGGAAAGGGACAACAGGACCACCGATACTACTTCAACGGAGGTCATCTGATGCTTTCATTATCTTTGTGGTGGTTTTCGCCGTCTTCACGGTACGATCAGCCCAGAAACCCCACCATACCACATACTAACGGACAGTGTCACACAGGATGTTCTGCTATATGGATTAGTATGCGGCCCGTCGTTTGTTCCACTGTTCGACGTTGCGTCTGACTTTGGCTATAGATTGTCCCCGTCGCTCCAACTGCTTTACATGAGCGGGTTGGGTTGCCAGTAGGTCAGGGTTAGTGCGCTCCTTTGGGTCGTCTTCCCAATCCGCCCATGAACCTTGCTAATTCGTTTTGCAACGGGATTAGAGCAAACATGGACGTCTATCTTGCTGGCGCTTTACGGGGTAGCTCTTCTAGCAACGTCGCGTAAGTAGTGACTTCGAGATGTGGCCCCGATACAGTCTTCTGGCTGACCTTCTGTTGCACACAGCCGCGGCAGGATACATAGCTGACCGGCTTGAATCTCGGTGGTGGCCTTTTATAGCGGGCCTGGTGGCCCTGGGTGCCTCCACCGCACTTCTTTGCGTGGGAACCCATCTTGGTTTATGGATCGTGGGGCGCCTCTTCCAAGGAGCATCCACAGCGGTTGTTTGGACCGTTGGAGCAGCAATGCTTGTGGACACCGTTGGCAAGGAGGGCCTTGGCCAAGCAATGGGATATATGGGAATGGGCATGACTCTTGGCATCATGGGCGGGCCTCTGCTCGGAGGAGTCATCTACGCCCGTGGAGGATACTATGCCGTTTTTGCCCTGGCGTTTGCACTCATTGGGGTGGACATTGTCCTCCGATTCGTCATGATTGAAAAGAAACACGCCGCCAAGTGGATCAAGCACGAGACGCCAGAGAGCCCACTCAGTCCTCCGCCAGAGACGAAGGAGGAGGGCTCAGATCCGGAGAATGTTGTATTTCCATCGGGGCTTGATGCGCCGCATGACGACCCCAAAGGCATAGCCACAGCCGGCTCCCCGCCCCCTATATCATCGAAAGATCCAGCTTCGCAAAAGCCCAAGAGCGCTGTGCTTACTCTGTTGGCTTCTGACCGAATGGTGGTCACTATCTGGGCCTACTTCATCGTGTCCGTCATGCTGACCTCCTTCGACAGCGTGCTCCCGCTTTTCGTCGAGGGAACATTTGGCTGGGGCCAGACCGGCCAGGGGGTTATCTTCATCCCGCTGTCCATTCCTCATATCACCGATCCGCTATTCGGCATCATAAATGACAAGTATGTGAATGCTCGACGCTATATGGCGGCGGGAGCGCTCTTTGCGAGTCTTCCTCTTATTGTGTTACTTCGGTTCGTCACGCACAACTCGATGGGCCAGAAGGTACTGTTGTGCGCCCTCCTGGCTCTCATTGGGGTTTGCATCGCCTCCCTGATGCCCCCTCTCCTGGTCGAAGCATCGTACATCGTGCACGAGAAGGAGGAACGGACGCCCAACGTGTTTGGCAAAGGCGGCGCCATGGCGCTCGCATACGGGATACTCAACACGGCATACGCTGCTGGAATGATCGTCGGGCCGTTCTTTGCGGGGTTCATCCGGGACGACGTCGGCTGGGGCACCATGACGTGGGCGTTGGGCTTGCTGACGGGAGTCTCGGGGGTTCCTATCCTGCTGTTCCTGGGTGGATCTGTCTTTGCGACGGAGAAGGAGGAGAGCGCAGATACCAGCTTGGGGGGGCAAGCGTAAATGTATATATGCACAATGCTTAATAGAATAGAGATCTCCAATCGGAACATACTATGTTTTGTGTTTGTGTCTCGGGGGGGGGGGAGAACCGCCCAAAAAACGAGTCGATGGTCGGTCTCCCCGCAGCCCCGCGGGAAGCGCCCTCGTGGAGCAGGCAGGTCGGGGAGAAAGAAGCCGGACCGACCACCCGACTCTTTCTCCCCTTCCACATACTATGTACTTTCCCCCTCCGCCTATCACACACATAGACATGGCATCCCCACATATACCCCACCAGCGTCTTCATGCTACCTTCAAGGGCATCGAGAGGGAGACAGAAGAGATCAATGTCCATGAATTCCGGGGCATCAAGTACGCCTCAGTGCCGGCGCGGTTCGAGCGGGCGCAGCCGGTGGATGGCTGGGGCGATGCCGTGGTTGATGCCACAAGCTATGGGTATATATCTTGACCTCCTAATTCCGTCTCACCCCCACTGGCATCTCATCATATCATCGGACAGGCCGCGATGCCCACAGGTCCATGTGGATGTTCGCCATTTGCTGCGCATCCCGGAGGACGTGTCGATAGAGAAGGAGCCCGAGGACGAGTTCGAGTGCTTGAACTTGGATATCACCTGCCCTCCATCGGGGTCCGCAAAAGGCCCCCTGCCTGTCCTTCTGTGGATTCACGGTACGCGCAGTGCCTAAATGGGGATCTTACGCTTTTGGACACTGGACACTTACCATTTTCATATCATCCAGGGGGCTCGCAGGTGGTAACCTTTTGTTCAGCTGCGTCCAAAGTCTGCGGTAAGAAAGTGACAGGACGGCGCTGCGTACGGGAACTGATATCCAGGATGACAGATCCGATCAAAGTTGTGGCCGATTCAATCCAGGCTGATCAACCTATCATCTTCGTTTCCATCAACTATCGACTCAACATCTTCAGCTTCGGCGACGGCAAGGAGAAGAACCTTGCAATCAAGGACCAGAAGCTGGGAATTGAGTGGGTGCGGAATAATATTTCAGCCTTTGGAGGCGACCCGGTTCGTACAGCCAAGTCCCAGAGGGGTGTACTGTGTGCTAACCCATGTCTCTCATAGGACAATATCACACTTGCAGGAGAGAGCGCTGGTGCGGTGTATGCCCATGCGCATTTGGTTACCGGGACACCGGTCAAGAGGGCCGTCCTGGCATCTGGAACTCTGTATCTCTCACACCCTCTGCCCCTCGAAAGAGGCCAGGGACTCATCCAGGCGCTCGAAACCAAGGTACAGGAACTAGGCCAGCCGTCATTGCGGCAAGCGTCGGTGCCAGCTCTCATACGAGCTTTGGAGGAGTGCAAAGTGAACACCATGTGGATACAGGAGGAGGAGGAATTTCGGGATTGGGAAACCAAGCCAGAGCTGGTCGAAGAGGTTATGATCGGTGATACTGAATACGAGGTGGGTTGTTGGTCTTGCAGGCAAACGAATGGTTCACTGACCGTCCAATCTATACAGTCGGTGATATGGAGGAATGGGATCGAAACGCTGGATGGGCAAGCTATAGCTGCTGCCTTCGAACAGAATGAACAATGGGGTCCGAGGCTGCGCAAGATGTACCAGGTTGTTGCGGATCGTCCGACTGCCAGCAAGCTGGGTGCCTTAGACCTGGTGCACGACGCTCGATATACGGCCCCGGTTGAGGTGGTCTCTGACAAGCTACGAGCAGTAGGCAAGCGAGTCTACAAATACGTGGTGGACCAGGCCAACCCATGGCAGCCGTCCAGTCGAGCTCACCATGCCGTCGACCTGCTCTTCCTGTTCGATGGCATTGATCTCTCCTTCAATCCGGCCGCGAAGACCGTTGGGCAAGAGATGCGGAAGCGCTGGATACAATTTGCCAACGGCTGCAGCCCATGGTCTGAGGAGCAACGATTCGCCTACGGGCCTCTGGGGGAATGTAGGGAGATATCCGAGTCTCAGGTGGCATCGCGTCGGCGGGTCGGGCATGTACAAGCGCTGAGGGAGGCTGGGCCGGGAGTCTACATGCCTATTATATTTGCCCTGACGACCGGGAAGATCAGTTTGTTGAATTAGAGGAAATCCACATCTGTATCACCTTCGAGAGAGAGTGTGTCCTTTTTGGGCGTCGTACAGATCGCCAGTGGCGTGCCCCAGTGCACTAGCGCGAGGCCGCTAGTCCCTATAGTAGCATTTTGCCCGGATACATAATGTCAGTCTACATCAACGTCATGTTCCGCTTCCGCTTCCTGTCGTTCTCACCGGCGTCAATATTTCGATCATATATCCTATGTACTGTACTTCGGCACTTCCGCGATAGACACGCAGCCGGAGGACCGAGGCAGCAAGCAGGCAGCAAGCAGGCAGCAAAGACCGGGGCGACTTCCCCGCGGGTGACTCAGCCGTGAGTCATGTGGGGCCGCGATATTTCCACTCCTCCTTCCGCTTGTTGCCTGTTCCCTTCGGCAACATCTCCCCCAGCACATCTGCCGAACTATATCCAACCGGACCGCGCGTTCTCGCAGCATGACGACCCATTCTCCCTCCCATATATTAGACGGGAGCTCGTCGCTCCTTGCCACGTCTCGTTCCCTCCCGACTTCCTCAATCTCCCCCCGTATAGATTGCTCTCTTGATGTCCCCGATCGCCATGCCCGCGACGAACGAGCTCGCAGACCCCAGGGAATACCAGAAGATATTTCACTGGGCGGAGACACAGAAGGATGGCTCGATCCCCTCCTTCAACACCAGACGGAACGACCCCTATGAGGTGCGGATCATGCGTCCTTCCCCCGGCTATCTGCCGTCTCTTGTTAACAGATTGTGGCCAGTACCAAGCCGGATTCGGCAACTCGTATGTCACAGCACACCCCGCCGGCATCCCGCGATTCAACCGGCTGATATAGTTCACCCAACAGCTTCGCGTCCGAGGCGGTGCCTGGCACCATCCCCCAGGGCCAGAACAGTCCTCGCAACGTGCGGTTCGGTCTGTATGCCGAGCAGATGACGGCAACGGCCTTTATTGCCCCCAGGCATTGCAACAAGAAGGCATGGCTGTATCGCGCTCGTCCGGCTGTTGCCCACCAGGGATTCGTAGGTTATGGAGCGACATCTATGTGGCTGTGGGGTGTATCCTGACATGACTGTAGACCGATCTCCCTGATAACAAAGACACCGAGTCCAACTTCCTGGCTATGAACCCGAGAGTTCATGTCTCTCCCACCCAGCTTGCTTGGCACCCCTTTGATATCCCCAGCAGTGGGGAGGTAGACTTCGTCTCTGGCCTCAAAACGGTGGCTGGCTCTGGCGAGCCCACGCTCCGTGAGGGTCTGGCCACACACGTCTACGTTGCCAACGCCAACATGACTCAGAGGGCCTTTGTGAATTCCGACGGGGAGATGCTCATCATTCCCCAGCAGGGTGCTCTCGACATTCAGACGGAATTTGGTCCGTTGTTTGTCCAGCCCGGAGAGATTGTCGTTATTCAGCGCGGTATCCGCTTCCGCGTCGATGTGCCCGATGGTCCGTCTCGTGGTTATATTCTCGAAATCTGGGGCAGCCAGTTCGAACTCCCGGAACTGGGACCCCTTGGTGCCAACGGGCTGGCCAATGCCCGGGATTTCCTGTTTCCCACGGCCAAATACGAGATCACTAAAGAGCCGTGGGAGGTGGTTTACAAGCTGGGGGGCAAGTTCTTCAAGAGTACCCAGAACCACAGCCCGTTCGATGTCGTCGCTTGGCACGGCAACTATGTATGCATCCCATATCCCCTCCGCGGTCCGTTGCAGAGAGCTGATCGATCGGACAGGCGCCGTACAAATACGACATGACCAAATTTGTCAACGTCGGCTCCATCTCGGTCGACCACATCGACCCCTCCATCTTCTGTGTGCTCACGGCCAAGTCGCGTGACATCACCGCGCCTTTGGCCGACCTGCTCATCTTCTCTCCTCGATGGGACGTCGCATCACGTACGTACCGTCCATCTGGCTACTCATTTTGCACTGTATTCTTTACTAACAGCGTTGAAAACAGACACTTACCGCCCCCCATACTACCACCGCAACGCCGCCTCAGAACTAATGGGCCTGATATACGGCGATTATGGCGGTCGATCGGATGCATTCCAGCCCGGAAGTGTCTCTTTCGAGTGCGGAAGTAAGCAGCCCCCACGGCCTGTCACATCCTAATAGCCATCCGGACAACTACTCACTAACATCCCCACCGCAGTGGTCCCCCACGGCGTCGCCTACGAGGAATTCAAAGCCGCCACCGAGACCGACCCCCCAGCGATGCGCATCTCCGAGGCCTCCATGGCATTCATGTTCGAGTCGAGCCGCCCGTTTACCATCACAGATTGGGCCTGGACAAGCGATAAGAGACACGAGCACGAGCCGAAGATGTGGGATAGCCTCGTTGACAACTTCTCCAGCCATGCGCAGGAGGTGGAGGAGTTATTGGCGAAGAAGGCCCAGGGATTGAAGATTTGATTCGTATTGGATGGCACTGTCTGTTGCCGCGCCGTGTTGTTTTTGATGTTGTATTTACCGTGTCGATTAGCCTTCCATGCATGTTTAATACCTATGTACTAGTACCTACTTATATCTGGAATCGTCTCGGGTTTTCAACCGCCTTATATTTCTGCCGTTAAGATGCCCGGTGACGTGGATATGACGCACGTGCAACTGACTGGTCACGTTTCTTTTCTTCATCTTCCATGTATCTATCTATCGAACCACCGGGAGCTCGGATGTTTCACCGCGTGGCCATCGATCGATCAGTGGGCCAGATAAAAAAAGAAGAAAAAGAAAAAAGAAAAAGAAAAAGAAAAAGAAAAAGAAAAACCACAGACACAAAAGGAAAATGTTCCCGAAGGCACCGGGGTTCTATTGCAGCTGACGGTGGAGGGGCAGGGCAGGGCAGGGCATCAACACCGGTCATCGAAGTCGACTACGTACAACTACAACCATGCAGGAGGGATTGGGGCAGCAAGTTACGACTGGGTGGTGGGACTATGGCATCAGGCGGGTCTGCGTACAAAGTACTACGGCAGTGCGGGTTGATATCACATCACAATGTTGCCCATCCCTGGGTTCAGGCAGCAACAACGCATCCTCCCCACCTCAGAGCCTACATACAACCTTCATCACCTTGCAGGTGACGAAAGTACACCGCACACCGCATACCGCACACCTCACCCCGTACGTCCCGAGCTGGTGGACGCGAGCGATAGGTCTCGGAACGTCTTTTTATTTTCATGAATGGTATCAACACGGCCAGAAATACCGACATACAATTACTGAGGCAGACTGCCTTGTTGTATCCTTGGTCCAACAGCCCAGGAGCCCTCTCGAGGGGTCGGAGAACCTCAACTTGCCAGAGGTGAGAAGAAATGTCTATCACAATCAAATCACAGGAAATAATCGGGGGTACGTCTCGAGACCATGGGTTCTCCTGCGCGCGGGCAGGGATCGAATTGTAGGCTGTAGAACGCGTCAGCATCGGCCCGCACCGCGGCCATCCGCCACCACCACCATCCCGGGAGAGGAGCGCCACGTACAACGTATACTTCAGATGCTCATCAATCTCCATGATTGCGGCCTGGTTACCGCAGCGGTAGCAGTAATTCGGAGCTAGCGAAAAGGGACGAGGTTAGCCAGGAACGTCGATCCACCGGGTCATCGCGCATCGCGCATCGCGTCTCACACATACCGGAGAAAATCGTGACGACGTTTCTATCCTGCGACCAGTTATATCCTTCCATCACCAGCTGGTGCGCCCGTGCCACCAGAGTCAAGCCATTGTTGTGATTAAACGCCTCCGAGATGTCCTGCCCGAATGTGTATCCCGCACCACGGGGGGAGATCCCCCAGCCGCACCGGTCGTCGGGGTCACTCCACAGCAAGTCGCACATGGGGCCTTCGTGTGGGACCTCCTGGATGCGGTCCAGGGAGCGGATGTTGTCGAGGGTGTCGATGGACGGGCTCAGGCCGCCGTGCAGGCAGAAAATCTGGTTCTCGATGAGTGCGGTGAGGGGGAGGTAGTCGAACAGGTCGGTGAAGTATTTCCAGACATTGGCGTTGCCGTACTTGCGGAGGCACTCGTCGTAGAACCCGTAGACTTGCGTGATCTGGCGGGACTCGTGGTTTCCACGCAGGATGGTGATCCGCTGGGGGTACCGAATCTTGAGGCACACGAGGAGGGTGACGGTCTCTACGGAGTAGTAACCACGGTCGACGTAGTCACCTAACGGGCGCGCGGGTGAGCGAGGGGGGACGACGGACACAAGCGTCAAGATGCCAACTCACCCATGAACAGGTAGTTCGTGTCCGGATTGGGGCCACCAATGCGGAACAGCTCCATGAGATCGTGAAACTGGCCGTGTATATCACCGCACACGGTCACCGGGCATTTCTGAGGGCGCAGCCAAGGTCAGTTCCAGTCCGATCGGTCGGTCGCCAAACACGACCAGGGGCCACCACTGAGGCGGACCCAAACCACCGGGAATCAAGCACATACCACGGGCTGCACGTTCGACTCGTCCTGCAGTACCTCTCTCGCCTGTGAAAAAACAAACCACGATTAGGATCGGCTCGATGACGGCCACCTCGACGTCGGCGTCGACGACGACGACGACGACGCTGCTCACGACGACGCGACAAGAAACAGAGCACACACCCGATCACATAGCCTCCGCACATCCTCCTCTGCCAGCTGCTTGCAGGTCATCAAACTTTCGATCCATCCGTCGAGGGTGGGTATGGAGCCCGGGTCGGTGGTCGGGGAGAGGTGGTGAGGTTCGGGCGACCGCGCCGTGTCGATTTCCATGTTGTTGTCCATTGAAGTGACCACCGAGAGCGACGAGTCTGGTGGTGGTGGGGGGGGGGAAAGGTTCAGGATGACGGTAAGCGACGAGGGGAGGTCTCGTGAGGGAGGCGTTGTTTTCTTTGAGGGGAGGGGAGGGGAGGGAGGGGGGGGGAGGGAGCAGGGTCCGGGCGAGACACGGCTCAGAATGGAAATTGGGGAGCAGAAGAGAGACCAAAGCGACCGAAAAGCTCAGTCGCCCACAGATTGAAGAAAGATGGGGAGAGGGGGGAGGAGGGGGGGGGGGGGGGGGGGTGTTGGTTGTGGTGGTGGGTTAGTTAGGGAAAGGGAGGTGAGTTGGATGGATGGATGGATGGATGGGTTGGTTGGTGGTGGTGGTGGTGACCGAGTGGTGGTCTGGCGGTAGCAGCAGCAGCAGCAGCAGCAAGCAGCAGGGCGGGCGGGCGGTGTTGGACTTGGTGGTGGGAGAGGGGGAGAGGGAGAAGAGTCAGTCAGTCAGTCAGTCAGTCAGTTCCAGCCAAGGCAGGTTTGGACCCGTTCTGTTCTCCCTCTCCCTCTCCCTCGCCCTCGCCCTCTCCCGCTCACCACCGCCCGCCTGCCTCTTCGGGTGCTCAGCGCCCAAAGCCACACTTCCTCTTATTCTTTCCCCCGGAAATTCTGCCAGCTGCTGCCAGCTGCTGCCACATCCGCCACACCGAATCCCCACCCACAAGATTTTGTTTTCCTACGAAAAGAGGACATCGTCCAGCCTCGTTCTCCATGCACTCCAACGGTCGGACAAGACCACTACATGTCATGATCAAATCAATCTTTGCATTAATTGGGACCACAGGGTCTCAGGTAAGTACAGTCATCATTCATTCTGTCGTCATGTCGTGTAGCAATTAGAGTCTGCAGAAGAATTCGCCCCCGTCCGCCCGCCCGCCCAAACCCCAGCCCAGCCGCACGCCTAAATGATGTCACCACCAAACCCCCCAAACCCCCCAAACCCTCCGCCCGATCCGCTCCCTCCGTACGCCCCCCGCCCTCGTCCAAACGGCGGCCCTTGTCCGGGCCCTACGGGATCGTATCGCGCTCCGGGAGGTGCTTGAGGGTCATACCCTGGGTTTCGAGGGCCTCCAAACAGGGGGTCATCAAGCGTGGGGTGCATCCCCCCGCCGCCGCCGCCGCCGCCTCCCAGGCCGGGACCGATGCTGCCGCGAAAGGGGTCGTTCGGTCCCAGTCCGGCAGGATACAGGTCTCTGTCCCCGATGTTCAACGGGTGTCTTCCTCCCATGCCGCCTGGGTATCCTCGCGGGGGTCTCTGGATTTCAAACTCATCCTCGAATCCCGGCGGGGGGAAGTCCCCCACCGGAACCGGTCGCCGCGGCGGCATCGCCAGGGGGTCATCAAATGGGTATGGGCGAGCGGGTTGGGGCAAGGGATCATCCCGCAGAGGATCGCGCCGGGGCGGTCTCTCGAGCGGCTGTCTCTCGCGCGCCTGGCTGGAAGAATCCTCGTAGCCTTCCTTGTACAGTCCCGGGGCGAGCCTCTGGATGACGTTGATCTTGAATAGCCCAATCAGGTCCTTCAGGCGCGGGGTAGATATAAAAGCTTCAGGGAGCGTAGTGGGGAGGTCGGCGGTCGAGGCCAAGGGGAACGCGGATTCGGAGATGTAGTCTTTCACGGGGAGGTCGAATGATGTCGTCCGGTCGTCCCCTAGCGCCAGGGCAAAGACGACGGCATTATTTCCGAGCCGACTGACTTTCAGCAGGTATTGCATCGAGGACTGCGAATGTGCGTATCGAAAGGCATAGGCCGTGGCGGCATTCCATCCTGCGGGGAGGGAGGGGTTCTCGGAGGGGGTTTCTGGCGAGGGCAGAACAGTCAGGACCCGGGTTGTCGGAATTGGAGTGAAGGGAGAGAGGAGGCAGGCGAGGACATACCTAGATTGTGCTCCTCACCGAGTCCGACGAGGCGGAAGCCCACGGCCGTCATGCAGGCATGGCCGACGAGAGCGACCGCTTCGTACGGCGTCCTGAGGCTCGGCGGCTCGGCGGCGGCGGCGGCGGCTGCGAGCGCCAGCACGTTGTCGGGGCTCAGGCTATCAGGGCCAGCCATGATGATCCTGGAAAGGTCTCCAAGTACGTAACTGGTCGAGTCAAACAAGTACAAGCTGGAAGTATCAAGGGATCGATCGAATTTTGAGATGAGAGGATGAAGGTGGTACGGGGTACGGAGTAGTTGTACGGAGTCGCGTTGACGGGGCTGGCTGCCTGGGACGTCAGCCTTTGCTGCCTGGCACGGGTGCCCGGGTGCCTCGGTGCCTGAATAGCGGCGCAGGCCAAACAATTCTCCTCCTGTCATTGTTGCTTTCTGCTACACATCACACAGTACACAGTACTACACACGGTTCTTCCATCGGATCATGCCATCCAATCCATCAACCGAAGGAGTGGTGGCGGAGCTCTTGGTCGGGGTCTGTTTAAACGCCGGGAATATATAACCCCAGCCCAACTGCCTACTGCCTGCAGAACACCATTGGCCTGTTTATTGTTCCATCGTGTCAGCCTTGTGGGGGTGAGACTCGAGCCTCAGTCATGATGCCCCACGGTAGTGCTAGTACTGTCGATCGCAACTCCGACGTACTTTTATAGAAACACTAACATCTTATGTCTTTACTCAGGTCATAGTACACAGTACATCGCGGCCGCACCGCATACAGCTGTGGCTACAACCATGGGTATCTACGCGGCTGCCGACTCCAGCTGTGCACCTGCACACGTCCCATATAAACATCAAGTGCTTCGCTTGCCTCATACACGTTACTTTATATCCAACTAGAAATTAAAGACCCCCTGTCCTGCAGGATACGCCTGTCGCTCCACACCTTTGGACAACGGCCAAAAAAAAAAAGAAATATCATCGACCCAAGTCATCCCCCTGGCACCGTATACTACAGCATCGCCTTCGGGAACTTCTTCATCGCCTGACGAACTCCCAGGTCTGCCAGAATCTCCTCTGTTCCACCCAGGATGGCGTCAAACTTGTATGTTCGGTGGAACATCTCAATAACCTTGCCCATGCCGCTCTGGGTCAAACCCCGCCCTCCGAAGATGTTGGTGGCAAGGTCGGCTATCTCCTGAGCGGAGTGGGTGGCATGCGACTTGAGGAGACCGATAGGACCGCCCAGGTGGACGGACTGCTGAGCATAGGTCATGTTGCACATCTGGTAGGCGATGGACTCCAGCCAGGCCTGGTTGGATTCGCACAAGGAGATCATCCGGGCGAGTCTGGCATTTTCCATGTTAGTACGGTCCAGCCACTAAAAAAGGGCTCTCTTACTTTTGTCTCATGACGGGCTGTTCGACCAGCTTCTTGCCGAAGACAATGCGTTGGTTGCACCACTTCAAGCACTCCTCGACGACGGTCGTGCACATGCGCACCACGCTGCAGACCATCATGAACCGCTCATGGTTGAAGTTGCTCATGATCACGATGAATCCCTTGTGTTCCTCACCCAGGAGGTTCTCCACGGGCACCTTGACGTTCTCGAACTGGACGAACGCAGTTGCCGCGGCGGTCGAGTACGATGTCTTGATCTGCTTGGTTTCGACTCCCTCATCGCGGGGGATCAGAAGCACCGAGAACCCCTTCTCCGTCCGGCAGCCGGTGACGAAATAGTCGCAGAACATACCGTTGGTGATCCATTTCCTGGAAAATACGTGAGCAGTCTGCCTTTGCCATGGGTATTACGGGGGCCATTCATACTTGGTTCCATTGACGATGTAGTGCTTTCCATCAGGGGTCTTTTCTGCAGTCGTACGTAGACCAGCAACATCACTCCCTGCGAAGGCCTCCGTGATAGCGAGACATATCTTCTTCTTTCCCGACAGAATCTCCTCTGTGACCTTCTGCCGAAGGGGGGCATTGTGCAGCCACTGCTGAACGGCAGTCAAGCTGATAGCCATGCCGGCCATGTTTCCATCCTGAAAGCCTGCCAAGAGTTAGCGCGTTACCGTCCACCCCGTGAAGAAATTAAGAAGATTCAAAACCAACCTCGAGCGTTGGACCTCACCAACTCCTGCGACACCACCAGGTCGTGCAGATAGTCAAAGTCCTTCCCATCAACGGCACCGCCCAGCAGTGTCTGTCCGTGCAAATGTTTCCCAGGCCCCAGACGCATCGCCAGGATGCCTGCTTCAGCCATACGGTCGATCAACTCCTGACTGATATAGGTGCCGTCCTTCTCCTTCTCCTGCGCCTCGGGAGTCACATAGCGATCTGTGAACTCGCGAAGAGCCTTCTGGAGGCGTCGATGACTGTCCGTGAAGTAGGGGCTCTTGAACTGCGGCCGTAGCCACAGGGGCTCGGCGTAGGGCACCTGGCTGAGACTGCCTGGCTCGGGGGTGACGATCTCGGGGACCTCGCCGGCTATCGTGCCGACGCAGAGGTCCTTGTATTTCTCAAGGACTTCCTGGCGATGAAGGTTGTAGAAATCGGTGGTCGCATCCTGGCCCGCGATCTGGTTCAGCACCACACTGCCACCGGGATGGGCGTCGAGGAAATCGGTGAGGTCGTAGACGCGGTGGTCGATGATACACCAGACCGAGTCCTCATTGTTGTGTTGCGCAACCTCGGCGCGGGTGAAAGTTTTCGACATGGTCGTTGACTGGTGTTTCCACACAACGGTACAAGAATCCTGCAAGATGAAGGAAAGACCGTCCTGCGAGAGGCGGATAGAGGGTAAGTAGTAAGTAAAACAACTGACGGCTGCAGCTGGGATTATGCGGGGAAGGCAACGGGCTGCCCTTAGGCAGGCGTGTTATCTTCTACGAGCGGATGCCAATCAAGGGGCGGGGATTAGTCGTGAGTGATCGATCGTGAGTGACGCCCACAGCCGAGGCTTTTGCCTCTTCGGGCAATGCCGATCGATCCCCGAATTTTGGGTGTTTTTTTTTGCCCTGCCTGCCCTTGGGTCGCTTCGCTCTGCTTGCGGCGTGCCGTCACCCGTGGTGCGATCCCCAGAGAACTACAAGGCACAAGAGTAGCTCGAAGGGATCGATCCGAACCTTCTACCTATGTGTGAATGGAAGTTGTGTGGCTTGTGGAAAATGACACGTCGACATGCCCATGATTATCCGCAACAGGCAATCCGCCCAGTTCCCTGGAACAGCCTCGGTTATTATCGCTCGGACGTTGGAACAGACCTCTCCACCCCGTCCCTCAGTCGATGGCGTGGCTTGCAGACGATCCCCGCATCTGAAAAATCAGCAGGCGAGGAAGGCCCAAGCACTTGACATGTCAAAAGCAAAAAAGACGGATACAAGGGGTTTCTAGTTCAACACTGTTGGCTACATTGTCAATCCAAAAGACTGCAAACTGCGATGCGATGCCTGCTCCTTGCTGGAACCGATGATAGATTTTTGAAGATAGTCTCTGTTCATGCCCGCGATCTGCACAGATAGCTGTGGACACGCATTTTGCTCCCACGCGTGTCGGAGGCGCGCTCTTTCTTCGAAATTTTAGGATCTACACAGACCTACGAAAGCTCCAGCCTCAGTGCGTCATACTGCACATACACCGTCGCAGGCAGAACCGCCGTCTCCGTGTCCGTGGCATTGTAAGGAAGGTGCAGAGTCAGAACATTGTTACCGACCTTCAGCCAATCTGCTGGGAATTGCATTCGCGAGCGGACTTGATAGCAACTGACAGCCGAGCGGACAATGCAGCTGCTTGACTGGTTGAACCCGACCAACAGGGTGAGCGGGTCTTCCTGGTCGTTGATATAGCTCTCCAGCGCAAGGTTATTGTACGTCTCTGCAGGATCGTACACGTCGGTATTCCCCGGTGCTGCCTTTGCTCCCGCGAGCTGGATGGTCAGTGTGGCGGTCGAGCGCTGTTGAAGCTCGTCCTGGCGCAGGGGAAAGTTGATCGTCCAGTCATGTGTGGTGTTGTACTCTACCTCTGGATCATTTGGGGTAGGCCCGAACACTGACCAGTGTACGGTATTCAGGTCCATTGTCGGATCGCTGCTGCCGATGGTGTAGTTGATTCCCTCCGGGAAGTCTCGTTGCCAGTCATACGCCCCCCAGAAGATCAGGTATTCTGGAGGATGCAGTGGATGGGTCGGGTCTCTGGCAATGCCATGTCGGAACTCCCCGGAAGATTTATCTGGTGTTCCCAATCGCCAGATCTCGATACCCGCAGATTCTGCAACCCAGGTTTGTTTGACCGTGGTTGTCCTCCCGGCCTGGACTTGCAAGCCATCACGTTCAAAGTCACCGAAAACACCATCGGCATACACCGTCAGCCGGTAGTTGCCCTCTATAACGTGATCCACACTGAAGCGCCCATCCTCGTCAATCTCGGCCCAATACTGGTACGAGGAGGAATCCACCGAGTTGTCTTGGAAATAATGCCCGTCCACGGTGAGGACTGCGACAGACTTGGTGGCATCTTCGGGAAGGACGATGTGCCCTTGAACACTGCCCCGTCTGGTGGTGGGTGCGTATCCGACCACATGTTTGGCGATTGAGTCGTAGAAGTCCAGGTTCCAGTTCGGATCCGCCAGTGACTCCGCATCAGACCTCAACTCTTCCAGGGAGGCGGAGCCTTTCCCACCGTTGAAGTAGTAGTATTGCGGGCCGAATGTGCGGTCAAAGCCGTAGGTGATGTTGGGAGTCCCTTCCCCGTGGTGGTTGGAGACGAGGTAGTTGTAAACGATCCCGTCGACCGTCAGATCGGAGTGCAGCGGTCCCTGTGCGGTCAGCTTTTCTAACCCGGCCAGTGGATGATATCTCAAAGCGTACGCCGTAGTAAGTGTCCTAGAAATGTCAGCCATATCTATAAGTCACACAGCAAGTCTGATCTTCACCTTCGTGTTCATCACCAGCCATGCCCCATACGCGGTACCATTAGAGGTAGTCCCATCCGCGTACAGACCATGGACCGAATTGTCTCGCCACGCTTCCACTAATTAGCACACATCATCCTCGAACGTTATTTGCTGTCGTACCATTTGAGAAAGTATACTTGGTGAAGTATGCCGAGAACTGAGTGTAGTAGGGATCATTGGGTGTATTGTTGAGCGTCCACGTGGCGTCTTGCACGACAACTTCCTCGTCGATGGCTACTTGACTGGGGAGAGGAGCCGTCTGCACGTCGCTCGAAGTCAGGTGCGTCCACAGGTCCGTATTTGGTCGGAACAGCGTCCGGAACTCCTGTAGATTGCGCAGAAACGACGCCGTGTCGTTGTAGTAGGACAATCGACTGAAGGTGTGCAAGCCGGTTTCCCCATCGCGTAGGAACCAGTACTGCTGGAAGTGCTGGCCCGTGGCCGGGTACGTCTCATCCATGATGACGCCTCCATATTTCGTTCCGGTGACGTCTGTCCCCTCGAGGAGTTGCAGGCTGGAGTTGACGGAGCCCGGGGTGTAGAAGCCCGAGGGGATACAGTAGCAGTCCAGATACGGCCCGACACCCGTGTCGCCCGACTGCGGGCCCAGCAGGTCTTGACCATCGAGGTAGAGGTCCACGATCCGACCTTCGTTCTTGGCGAAGAGAGCGGTGATGCGCTCGTTTGCTAGCGTGATGGTGCTCCCATTTTGCGAGGTCCGGAGCGTCGTTGATGCGAGGGCAGGCCAAAACAAAGTCACGGAGAATATAAGAATCTGTCGCATTGTGGGTCCTCGAATAATCCGTCACGGAAGGGGCGTAGACTCTGTGTGGTACCTGACGCAGCTAAATGCCGCCATCTTATAACCAAAGCCAGGATGGGGCTCCTTCGGGGGCAATTGCACCGGACAGAATGCCGCGTTGCGTGGGCTGGAGGAGACATTGCCCATTGCTGTGTAGACTCCACCCACAATCTGGGGTCAAATGCGGGGAATGTGAAGCCAGGCGAGTTCGGCCGTCATTGCCCCGAAGTGAATCCTGGCCATCGTGATTGGGATGTGGATGAAAAGCCAAAGTAAGTCACGCCAAATGCAGCACTGCCAGCTGGAAGCACCAGGCTTGGGGCTTTACGCCCCTCTACCAAAGTAGAATCTTGTTTATTTGTACGCAGGCCGGCTCAGGCAAGGAGGCTTTGTCGGACGGGACTGGCCGAAGCGTAAGTTGCATCTGGCCGGCGTTACTGTTGTGTGGGAAGGCCAGTAGCAGCAGCATGGAATAATCAATGATCTCACCCCCTCCCCTCCAGCGAGACATCCGAAGCGTGGGTGAGTCCCATGGTCACATCCGAGGAGTCGGATTTGACGCGGGGCGAAACGCAGGATCGACACCGTTCCCTGGATCCGGGGTCTTTCACCCCTGGTCCACATCTGACCACCCGCGCTTTACCTCGACATCTTGGAGGTGGATTGGTACTTAAAGATCAACAGGCTCACCATCCGATGGACTGTCGGGGGGAGGTCGGATGCAGATCCGATCAGGTGGTCTGGGCTCTATAGCGTCAGATAGGAACTCTCAAGACCATAACTTGGACGCAATCGGAAACAGGACGCCAAGAGCGAATATCACCAGGAGCTGCTTCAATAAGCCAATGGGCAGATGGCAGCGCGTGGTGAAGATGTGGACCTCGGCCCCGTTTAGCTCAACTCTCCACGCCTTCTGCCCCCATAGGGCATAGAGGATTGGTTTATAGAAGCTGAAATCAAAGAAGAATATAAACCCTCTCAAGAGCAGTCCAGTACAGAGAATCAATCTTTGGACGGACAATTCTCCTGCCAACCCTCGCAACTGGCCTGCGTGGAAGAAGAATGCTCAAATTATTATGGTTGCTTTTCATTCAAGGGCCGCAACCTTCATGGCCGCCGGAATTATCCCAGCCTATGATAACTGATGGCCGAAGAGTACAATATATCGGTGCCAGAAACCAGATATCTCACATCTGTGCAAGTTAGTTGTCCCCTCCAATCCCGGTATTCCTTCATAGGAATCGGCTTTTACCCCCAATGAATGCATCAGACGCTCATACAGTCTGTGGGACGGCAGATATTGCTTCTAGGCGTTGCCCCGCTCTTCTGGAAACCCATCACATCCATCTACGGACGATACCATATCTTCATGTTCTCAGTCCTTGGAAGCATGGCATGCAATATTGGTGGTGCTCGATGCACCACATATGGGTCTCAAATGGCCACGCGAGTGCTCACGGCTGTTATTATATCGCCACCCATGGGAATAGGCAGCGGTGTAATCACGGAGCTGTGTGAACCAGAAATGCGAGGCCAGAAGCTAGGATGGTGGACGCTCATGCTGGCCCTTGGGATCTCGGGTGGTCCGTTGATCATGGGATTCGTCACCCAGCGCGTCGGAGTCGCGTGGATATATTGGGTTTTCGCCGTGATGAACTTTGGGCAGTTCGTGGCCTATCTGTTGTATATCGCAGCTGATGGCGAGACTGCGGGATCCAATGTGGCCCCTCCTGGTTTCTTTCGAAGGCTCATCCCCCGCAGAATCAGTCCGTATCCTCTGCGAGCTCGTGATTTTGTTGAGCCTCTCTTCGATACACGCTTCTCCAGGGTACTCATTCCGGCATGCGCTCACACGATAGTGTTTTGCTACGGAAATATTGCCTTGGTTGTCGAGATGCACACGGCCTTTGGAAAGAAATTTCATTTTGGTCCACAGCAGAATGGGTTGCAATTCATTGCCATCATGATTGGAGGTCTGCTGGGGGAGCAGTTGAGCGGGCGCACGTCGGACTGGTTCTTGCAAACCCTGCACAAGAAGAGAGGGTATCATCGACCGGCTGACCGGCTGTGGCTCTCTGATATTGGTTTTGGAACCGTGATCGCCGGCCTGCTTGTGTGGGGATTCCAATTGCAAAAGGCTACCACCTGGAATGTGACCCCATGCATCGGTGCGGCAATCGCAAGGCTTGGCAACCAAATCATAACAACCATCCTTATTTCGTTCGCCGTTGACAGCTATAAGGAAGCGTCAACCAATGTTGGCGTGTGTATCAATTTCTTCCGCCATGTTTATGGATCTGTAAGTAGAGGAGCTCACGAAGCTGATCGATAATGGTGGCTAATAGATGTAGACCGGACCGTTCTATTTCCCCCCCATGTTCGAGACCTTAGGCTTTTGGGGGGGGGGGGGGGGGGGGGGGTTGGCAGCAGGCGTCATGTGCGCTATCGTAGGCGCCTGTGCATTGCCTTTGATTATTGCCATACAGTTTGTTGCAACCCGCCTAAGTCATTGAACCGACATACACTAGAATTCGGGAATAGATTGCAGACCTTGCCTGTAATTAAGAGACGGAATACCATCTGACATATCTGATAGACAGGATGTACTCATCGAGTAAATGAACTTTTGAAGGTTGTATTCGAAGAGTCCAGCGAGAATCAATTAGAAGAGATTGCTTGGCACGCTGTTCAGCCAGGACATGTCCTGAAAATCGGGAAAGTCAAGACCACCGAGAAATGCAGAATCAATGCTCCCTCCAAAAGAGGAATCGCGAAGGCCATTCGGTCCGGCAGTAGTCGCAAATGTATTCGGCGGGTAGAGATTGGGCAGAGGCCCTTCTGATGCGACTCTCTCATAGAGTATCTCCAGCGCCGCAACACACCTTCGGGCCGATGTGCTATAACTATGATACTTCCGTAAAACCTCCAGAGCGCAGTTCCAAGATTGGGTCATTTTAGCTTCCGTTACTTCTTCTAGGATGGTTGGACACAGGCGGCCTGCTATAAGGACAGTGGCCGCCGTATAGATATCTAGTCTGCATTAGTTGTATGTGATAGCCGGCTTGGTGGCCTAATACGCTCACAGAGAATATTGTACCACCATGCAGGAAGGGGTCCTGGACTACCATCCATGGGCAGGTTGCTATGTATAAGTCCGATGATCTCCTGCGCGACCTTCACACAAATGGTCGAGCATTGTAACGCGACACGGTGAGGGAAAGAGTCACGAAGGGAAGTGAGTGGATCTGAAGCCCCAATATCACGCGCAGTACAGTATTTTGACAGGGTGGACCTGAAAAGTAGCATTCGCACATGGAGAAACCTTGGGCAACTCGTCAGAACAAATGTAGATTATGAGATACTCCAGCATCGAGTACTCTGAGACCCAGCAGACAACGAACGTACCTTGCGCGCAACACCACACTCTGGTGGTAAAAGACCGTATGTTCTGAGCCAGGACACGGCTCTCCTCGCAAGTGCGGCGGAAGGCTGCGGGACCATTTTGAAAGGGCTCGATCAAGTTCAAAGATGGTGTGCTCTCCTTTGTTTGATTCCTTGTCAAAATAAAAATTGTAAATATCTTCCGGGGTTTCCTCTATGGTGGGGCTATAGAGACTTAGGAGAATCTCGTTTAAAATTTCATACAGCTCGAGGGACTTTGCATAGAATGCTATGATAGATGGCTGGTTGATTGGCTGCGTTACTTCAGATCCAGCAACTGTGGGTATATATTCTTCATCGACTGTGATTGGTAGGGGGACCGATGCACAGGCGGCCGTAGAGATCATGGCTGGACGTCCAAAGGTCATGGAGATGACTCTATGCCGTGTCAGGGTGAAACGAGCTAGAGAACGGAAAAGTATACAAACATGACATACCTGTCCATCAAGACGCAGCCGTGCCAAATCTTGCATGCCAGCTGTTGCTCCTGGGGATTCTGGAGGCGAGCAACTGTTTGCGGAAGGTGTAAGCCAAGGCCCTGGGCATTCCGAATCGCCAATCCCGTCACGATCCAGCATTGATGAGCGGAATCGGTACTTTGCAGGTATTGAGCCATAAGAAGCAAACATTGAATCAGAGCGGCCGACCCCGTGTTCCAGAGGTTAAACTGCAGAAGATCCTTTGCGCGTGAAAAAAACGCATCCGCAGAAGCCTCTCGTTCTCCAGGAGGAATGAAGTCAGCCAGTTGACAGGCGAGAGCAAATGTGACATTGAACGTGCACATCAGCATATTCTCATCCGAGTAAAGAGTTTCTCCGGTCCAGATTTTCTCATATTCTGCTCTGAGGTGGATACTGTCCACAAGGGGATACAGGGGGAAGACAAACGACCAGTAGACCCCAATGAGGCCATCTGCCGTCTTTCGCGGAGGAAGAACATAGTTGGATACAGTAGACGGCCGTGGCGTTTTCGCAGATAATAGGTTGGATGACGGTGCAATACCCAGTATAGAATCTGAGGTGCGGCGATCGGGCGGAGAGACACGCTCGTCTACCGCCGTCTTGATCTGTCGTATAAAGCTGGCCGCACTAGAGCTGCCAAAAAAGCCCTGAGTTGGTCGTTCGTCTTCCACGGCCCCCATCATTGCATTGACACCATCGTTTCCTCCCTCAACTTGTAACGGGTGCCCGGGAGAGTACCCTGGCGGGTAGACTGTATGTCTACTATATCGTGCGGGGTTTGCTTGCGAGGTGCCTTGATCGGAGCTGGACGGGGTAAAGTCTCTGTTGCTTGGCTGGCGAAGGCTAACGGGATTTGATGGAAATGAGATCACCGGAGAAGCTCTATGCTGTTCCACAGATAGAGAGGTCTGATTATCAGCCGAAGCATAAGTCTACCAACCCCATGTCAGACCAAGGGACCTTGCTGCCAGAATGCGGCCAAAGCTTACTTGGGAATCGCCTGAGCGATCGCAACGCCGAAAAGAGTCAATTTCCTCATTCCGCTCAGCATAACCCGGGCCCTCCAGATGCTTGATGCGATCCTCCAGGTTGGCAATGTAACTGTCCCACAACGCGGTCAGTACTGAATTGATGCCTCGGGCTCCGTTGCGATGGGATGCTCACTTGCGCACTGCTCGTTGTTTCTCCAATTCCCCTGTGTAAACACAGGCCCCATGAATCCCTTGGGCTGCTCTCCTCGCGCACGGGCCACAGACTACGCATTCGACGTCAGTCATCCGAGCGGGTTGCACCGGAAGCGGAAGCAGAAGCGGACGCAGAAGCGGGTGGATTGCCTACCAGGCTGTGTCCCGTCACACCGGGCCTTGCGAGTACGGCATTGGTCACACGCAACGGCCACTTTACGGCGTTTTCCGGAGGGCTTCAGGGGGCGACGGGCCTGCGTTGGATGAGAATTGGGCATTGCATGAGGGAAGTTGTTGTCAGAGAAAGAATCCGGGGGAGCGGAAAGGAAGGGAAAAAGGGAAAAGGGAAAAGGGAAGGAACCCGCGGGGAAGCGAGGCGGGGGGGTGGGGGGTGCCTGAGGCGACATGTCCCCTGGCTTCATTCCTCCTCGACAACCATCACTCCTACAACTACCCACAGACTGGTCGGGAACCAGCCACAAGGCTAACATCGAATCACTTGATCTTGTCTTGGATTATATTAAGCTATTAGGTCTGGCCTATTGGCCCTCGATTCGAGCGAATGGCGATGACAAAGACGGAAACGAAAGCATATCAGGAGCGACAGCCCTCACAAAACAGCCAAGGCGCGAAGGCCTGTCACCTTATCTATACATTCAACTGTATCTTCAAAGTCGCTGGGGGACCGATATTGACAGGGGTCCCCGACAGCACCCACAACCCCCGGGCTCCTTTACAGGATGTTGATCTCGCCAATGGCAACGCAGGGGATGAGGTCAAGACCGCTCTGTGGCGCAGATCAGTAGGCGTCCGAGAAGGTCGGGGTCGACTGTGACTTACGTTCTTGTTCCCGTTGCAGCAAGCAATGCCCTCGTTCTTCTGCTCACCACCTGTTGGGGCGAGAGATTAGTCGCACCGTCGAAGCACTAAGGCTCGGAGGTCACTTACAAGGGCTGCAACCGCTTCCGCCCTGCAGCTTTCCATCGCCGCGGTGGCCCATCTTGCCCCAGAAATCATCCTCCTGGGCCGGGGTGAGGCCGTGGTCCTGGTTGAATCCCTTGCAGCACATCACGGTGTTGGATCCACAGGTGTTCTGGGCGCTGGTCTGGGTGATCTTGGTGTTGTCGCTCTTGGAGTCGTAGCTGTAGGATCCGGGGTATCCGGCCATGGCGGTGGCGACGAGGGCGGCGATGGCGATGAACTTCATGTTGACGGTGACTTGGGTAATTGGCTTCGAGATACGAAGGATTCGGGTTGGATGAGGCAGGAAGAGGTGCTTTGGATTGATGCTGATGGGGATAGCAGTTCGAGGAGGGACCGGCGCCCTTTTATAGCCTTCAGGCGATCCAGAACGTCTGCTGCACTGCACCGACTAAGGCAACGGTCCGGACCTCCAGAACCTTTCCACTGAGGCGTCTTCAAAGCAGCTCCTTGCATCGAAGAACCTATCATGGGTCCAATATTGCCCTTAAGGACGATCACACGGAGCCCCGCGGTGACAGAATCCCTGATACTCCGAGCGGTAAGCCGCGTAGGGGTCGGTTATCGATCACAGACCGTCCAGCCGGGCCGGGCTGAAGGACACGGATTTGCATGCACCGGCCTGCTACCAATGCACACAAGGCAGCGCTGTGGTATTACTTGGGCTGCGTTTTCTCTGGCAATAGTCGGCGCCATGTCTCACAATAATGGTGGTGCTGTGGTCTCGGAATGTCGATGATGTTCAGGAGACGAATATGACATGTCTGGTTCGGCCCATTCAAGCGACGCCACTTGACGTGCATACCGGGGCTACAGATGCAGGCCTGCGGCTGGCTTGAACTGACATCTTTCCATGACCTCTCATCGGAGACAGACCAGTATGCTAGCGGTACCCCACCAAGTCGATCTGAGATCACAAAGACTCTGCCACCAGAGTGCGCGAGCCATGGGCCAGTCAGTCAATAATTGAATTACATCTTACCCCATCTGGGGACAGGCCGGCAGAAGTTGCGTTCCAGACGTGGTAAATGCGCCATTGATCGACATGGAACGGTACCTACCGGCAACGGCTCGCATTCCTGCATTGCCCACACTTCCGTGAAGGGCAACTATACTGCTTTCTATTAGTCCATTATGATGTCTTCAGCGCGTGTTATTCCGTGGCATGGCCCGAGATGCACCGCGAAGCCTGTTTGGTTGATCAAGTCCCTGGTGAAGAAAAGAAATCTCTGGGCATGCAGGATATCGTCCGGTGATGCTCTGCGGATGAAGCGGCTCGTCCACTGTAAGTAGGTCCAGAGCTAACAAGTTGATATCCTGCGGAATCTGCCAGAGCTGGACGCATACCTCGATTCTACCGGCAAGTGTGGGCCCGGAGTACTTTTGGATTTCGAATATCATTCGATCGTCGGACTGCCACAATGGAACGTTTGGAAAACTAACTCATCGCAACCGGTCATGCACAGATGTGAGCTACCTACCCTAATAATAACCACCACACAGACCTGGAAGTTACTTGAGGTGTGATGAACCCCAAAGCTCATGATACGGAGCTGTTACTGGTATTATTGCTTCAAGTATAACGGCAAGGCGTGCAAACTAAGTACCTGGCCATGACTCCACTATCGATTGAGAGGAGTATCATATATTGCCATTCCTTACATATACACAGCAAAAGTCGGTGTAGAAAGATCCAACAGAACAAGACATCACCATCCGCATGTCTACATCCTCTAACCAAATGCAGGACATCAACAAGATATTTACAGATCACATCACCATCCGCATGTCTACATCCAGCTGAAAGATTCCTCGACATACCGAATACCGCGGTATCCTCGTCGCATAGCCAGGTGTACGGCGGCCCGTGTTTCATCTGCCAGCGCGGAGGGACCGCATACCAAAACAGCTGCCGAAGATTCGCTGAGCTGGGCCTCATGTGCGTGTTCCAGCACTAGTGATTCAACGTCTGGCCGCCCCTCGAGGATATCAAGATCACTGCCAGTGTGGGTAGGATCATTTGGCGTGGTTTGCCCATCGCCATCTCTAGGGGTGCTTGCCTTCACAGCGGTAGAATAGAAAGATGCCCGGAAGTCATCCCTGGCCAGTGCCGGAGCCAGCTCGCGAGCCGCGACCTGCTGCACAAAGGATGCTTGCCGGGTCACCCACACTAACCGCGTTTCTCGAGTGTGAGTGGCGGTTTCTTCCGCATCCGACGTCGCGCGTAGGATGTGATCCTGGATGTACGGGACTACTGCGGCAATACCGGTCCCACCGGCTATCATGAGGACGGATTCATAGTTCCACAAAGGAAACTGGCTGCCATATGGCCCCTCGAGAAGTATGGTCGGGCTCACCATTAGATCGGGAGATTGGACACATTGCTGGCGGAGAGAACGCGTCCAGCCATCATATGGCCGGATCCAGAAAACAAGCCGCAGTTCCTTTTCGTTATCGTGCTTCAGCTGCATCTCATCTGGTGTGCTCAACGGCCCTGACGAGGAGTCGGAGAGAAGGGGCACCTGCGAAACATCCACCGTGCGGTCATTCCTCAATGGGGGTGGCTTGCGTGTTGATGCTTGAAACTTGGTCTGATAAAACCAAGAACCAAGCGTGAATGGATGGCTTTCCCAGCCCGTGATTCGGAAGGGCTGGTAGAGGTAATAATAATCACCAGGGGTCGGGGTCAGCAGCGAGGCCCCAGGCGTGACTTCGAGCCGGATCACATCCGCAGCCGCGTCGTAGGTCGCTGAGCTGCTCGTATACTGGATGCGATCGCCCGAATTGGCGCGGACATGGATGTTACAGTAGACCAAGCGAGCTATGCGAAGGAGTCGATCCAAAATCCAAATGGCCACCGCAGGCCACAGATAGCTCCAGTAATCGTGCCCCTCGAAGATGACGGTGTGGCTGGGGGGAATGGATGGTTAGAATTCGACAAATAAGCAGAGGGAGAAGAGGAGTCTTGTCACTAACTAGAAACAACCAACAAGAAGTCCCACAGAGAAGAGGATGTGGATGAAGAGGAAGGTCTCGTAGAGCCGATGGCGAAACCATTGCACGGCAAATGGCAGGAGCAAAACCATCAGCACCGTTGCCTGTATGAAGGTCGGTCCGTCGTCAGGGGAGTGGACGGAAGAGCGAGCGAAAGCGAACAGGAAGACTTACGGCGGTTCCCCACAGGAGGTACGGCTTTCGAAACTTCCGCGCGACATTGCCTTCTGGACCGGAATCCCATGAGAACCACTCCAGCGATCCATCGAGGGGGGCAACCTACTTTGACATATGATCGCGAGGTAGAGAAGGGTGTGGACGACAGCCTGGAGGGTGGCAATCCATGCTATGTGGCGGTGGAAGAGATTGAAGGTCGCGAAACTCCAGCCCGTCGCCCATATGAATATATTGTTGCGCCCGGCGAACAGCCACACCAGGGGCAGGTTCGCAAAGGACAGCACCCCCGTCCGATCGGCCGAATAGCGCAGGATCTGCGACGAGATGTCCGGCCAACTGAGTGGCCTGTTAGTCGACGAGCCGTCGGATTCGCTGCAGGGCCGACCTACTAAATATTGCCGGGCAGAAGGCGATAGCCGATGGTACATAAGATGATGCTGAGGATCCAGAAGAGCATCGTGGCAATGGCTTCGATGCGAGTGGGGAACGTCCACCAGAAGAACCGTCGCCCCCGGGCTGGTAATGGAGATGACACTACTAGGTGCGTCTGCAGCCAGTGATAGACCGCATGGGAAGGCTTCCATAGCCAGCGTACCCGTGCGAGGGAGCTAGTCCCTGCCTGCATGCTGCGAGAGTGGACAATGTACTGGACAAACCGATGGGCGATGCCGACCCCGAGTATGCAGGCCCAAAACCCATACCCGACCACGCTGCTCCTTGTCAGCTGTGTGCATCAATGGGCTGGAGACTGGATGCTCATGCGTACCCATAAATATAGTGCGACCAAACTTCGAACTGCCAAGTATCCTACCCAGACCGGTATTAGCAGAACCCCCCCGAGGATGGACGTGTACCCGGGACGGGACGTACTATTGTCTGGAAGGTCCGGTTATAATAGGAGGGTGAGAGGAGGACCGGCGTGGGCATGCGCTGGCTCGTGGGGATTTCCAGGAAGTCCGCCACCGGCAGGCGCTGGAGAGCATCGCGAGTCAGATTCTCGGCCAGTTGCTCTCGAGGAATCAAGTCGAGATTGCCTATTTCCCGGCACAGTTGGGCCAGCTGAGCAAAACCAGCGGTTTGCTCCTCGGGGCGGCAATAGATGTCCGATGAGGCATAGATGGAGGTGACCTTCAACGGGTTCTGGCAGCGAGTCTCCCAGAAGCCGTCGGCGGGCTCCCCAGCAAACGAGATATATCCGAGGGCAGTGTACACCGCTGTCACGCACCGCTCGTTGGCGGGCAGGAGGTTGGAGGAGGCGGCCAGGGCCAAAGACGCCAGAAAGAGCAGCCAGCTGCGTGGCAGCATGATTTCTGGGACCAGAGAGGAGGGGCGATGGGGGGTCGAAGAGGAAGAGAAGAGGCCGAGGGAGAAGAAGGCCGGACAGGGCCGTGGGGCGGGCGATCCGAGTCCGAACCCGAGCCCCACGTGGGCGGTCCAACACATTAATTCGTGATTGCTCGTACGGTGTACACTGTATCTATCTATCTATCTACGGGGAGAAACATAGGGGCACTCATCGGGATCTGGGTGAACCATAAGTGTGGATTCCGCCTGCGACCGAGTAGTTCAGAGTTCCGAGTTCCGAGTTCAGTTCCTGCGAGTCGATCGCCTTCTTCCATTGTTCGAATGCGGCCGGGATCAAGGGCTATCTATCTATCTAATCTGATCGCACCATCTGATAGCCGCCGTGATTGCGGCCTGTGATTGGCCCGCTGTCACCGCCCCGTGACTTGCCGGGCGTCCTGACCGTCCAGGCAACAAGGCAACAAGGCAAGAAGGCAAGGGAGCCTTCCTCATGCCTCAGGCAGGACGTCCTATTCTCTATTGTCGCTCGTGGCAGTGGCACAGGATTTCGTCCACACTCGCCAGAACATCGCCTTCGTTATTTCCATGCAATTCAAAATCCCCGCCCCCCGGCGAAACGCGCCGTGGATCCGTTCTGCCGGGCGGCGAACGGCTTGGTTCCAGTCGCGTCGCGCGCTTCTCTCTTCTCCTCTTCTCGCTTCCTGCCCTGTACACCGTCACCTGTGGAAATGCCATGACTCGCGACTCCCAGCCGGTATTCTTCGAGGAAAGGCTCGGTCGTTGGGCCTGACGTCTGTATGACCTCCCCTGCCCCGAAACTACCCACACCCCTTGCTCGCCCCTCGCGTGGTGCTGGAATGCAAGCGAGCGTGTCTTCTTGCCCAGGTCCCGACCAGCGATCCGCCATGTCTCTCTCACTCCTCCACGATGTCGAGTGTGGGAGTCGTCTGCTTAACGGCTCATATTTTTGTAGCCGCCTTAGTCCTCGGCACATGCTCCTCCACAATATGGGATCCCAACCCTTCGATTGACGTCCGCGACCACGACCGCGCGTATCATGAGGGGATCTCGGAGTCCCATGCGGATCGAGAAGGAACAAAGCAAATCCGCCGCAGCGCGCGAAAGGACATGCGATCGTTTCTGGCATTGGCTGCCACCGCTGGTGCCTGTGTCGTCGCTATCATCCGTGCCGTGACCGTGACGTCTATCCGAGAAGGATTTATGGTCGGAAAGTTGGTCCAGGCTCTCCTGTGGGTATGAACCCGATGTCCACTTCCACATTCTGGGAAAGTCTGACCCTGAATCGTATTATCTCAGTGCGTGATGCTAGCCCGTTGGACGACTCTTACTGGTGACATGCCAATCGCTTCTCGCTTCTCGATGGGCTTAAAAGCCGCCCTCTGTTGCTCGATTACGACTGGCATAGTAGCTGTGGAGGACTGGCTCACACGGGGTATGGCAGGAAAGAGGGAGAACCCGTTTCTGGTATGGATGGAGTATGGATTTGGCGCTGTCATCATTTTGATCGCCTTGTCATACCCGCGGAACCCCGCTACGTTTCATATGGGAAGGCCGGTCGATGGGGAGAACAATTCCTCGATTCTGGGGCTCTTGACTTTCAAATGGTCAAGTCCGTTGATTACACTGGCTGGGAGAAGAAGGGAATTGAACCTGAGCGATCTTCCCCTGCTAAAGGGTGACATGCGGACGCATAGCCTGCAGGATGAATTTCTCATAACTCAGGGTAGATTGGCCGCGGGAAAAAACAGCTGCTCGCTTTTCGAACACACCCTCTTCTCACTCTACTCCGGGAGGCTTTTTTGTCAGCTAGCGCTGTCGGTGCCCCTAGCATGCCTGGCGTTTACACCACAGTTTGCGCTCTACAGGATGCTGCGACTGCTCGAGGCCCATTCTTTGGGAGATGCCGATCGCGTAAGCCTCACGCAGTGGTCTCTAGTACTGGGCCTGGCCATTGGGGCATCTCTATGGCTGGAAAATTGGCTCATATGGATTGCGCTCAACAAGGTCTCTGTCCCAATGACTGGACAACTATCGGCTCTACTTTACAGGAAGGCTGTGCGTTGTGACTCCCGCCGCCCGGATGCAAAACCGAATGGCGCGCAATCTGAAGGAAACAATGTAATGAATCTGATAGCTATCGATGTGCCGCGCATTGCCACCGTTGCGTGCTTCCTATACTCGAACTTCCTGCAGGCCATGAAGCTGGCAGTGGCCTGTACATTGCTTGCTCAGCTTCTTGGGTGGCAAAGCCTCCTAACAGGGCTGTCCTGTCTAGGACTCTTTTATCCGCTTCAGACCCGTTGCCTTAGTCGGTGCAGTGCAGCTGAGCAGCAGTTGGCATCGGTTCGGGATAGAAAAATGGCGGCCTTGACAGAAGTCATCAATGGAATCCGACAGGTTAAGTTCGCAGGGCTTGAAAGCAAGTGGGAGGAGAGATTGAATGGTATCCGGGACTGTGAGCTTCGGGCTCAGCACATGGCATTTTTGTGGCACGTCATGAACCTCACAGTTCATCTGCTTGGACCTGTTGTGGTGTCTGCAGTCTCTCTCACAGCCCACAATTGGATATACGGACCTCTCGCACCATCTGTGGCCTTCCCAGCCTTGTCGACTATCGGGTATCTGCAATTCATCCTAGGGCTCATTCCCGAATTGCTTTCTGGTGTGATGGCTGCAAGAATTAGCATCCGACGTGTGAAAGGCTTCCTGGGGACGCCGGAGCTGTTGGGAGTCCCAACCCCATCCCACTGTATCGAATTTGAACATGCGACTCTTTCCTACCACAAACACCATTCCTCCGAGGGAGGTGTTTTGCGAGATGTGAGCGTAATCTTCCCACCACAGGAATTAACCGTGGTTTCGGGTCGCACAGGGTCAGGTAAAAGTCTCTTATTGACTGCCATTGTGGGTGAATCGGTGATCCTCTCCGGTGTCTTACGACGGCCTCTGCCTCCACCGTATGAGGATATTCACAGCCCAGCTACGATTGGAATGAATTGGATACTCGACAATGCAGTGGCGTATGTGGCACAGACTCCGTGGATCGAAGCTGGAACTATTCGAGACAACATTTGTTTTGGGCTACCATTGAATCCGGTCAGATATTCGAAGGTAATGGCCGCCTGTGCGCTCACAAAGGACCTGGAGCTTTTTGAACATAATGACCTCACTTACCTCGGGCCGAATGGTGTTAACCTCAGCGGAGGCCAAAAAGTGCGTGTCGGCCTTGCCCGAGCTTTATACTCCCGCGCAGGCATCCTGATTTTGGATGACATCTTTAATGCTGTCGATGTACACACGGCACACCATCTTCTTGCACATGCTCTTGCAGGAGAGCTTTCTCGAGGACGGACGAGAGTGCTAGCCACTCATCATGTGGACCTTTGTTTGCCGAAGGCTTCTTTCCACGTTCAAATTGCCGATGGAATAGTCCGGTCTATGCGGAAAACGATAGATTCACAACACCAGAGCCCACGGATCAGCATGAACCCCAGCGATACTAACTATCGCAGTACGTGCTCCAACCTTCCGATTCAAGAGCATGACAGACATGATGGAACTACAAGAGAAGCCCCCTCTACGAAACATGAAGCCAGGGGTCACGGCTCAACAGCCTGGTTGCTGTTTCGGCAATATATGAAAGCGAGTGGTGGATGGCTACCATGGGCTACCCTGATTGGGTGCTACGTCGTCTACCAAGGCTTGTTGATGGTCCAGGTAAGTTGTCCATGAGCCGGTCAATCCTTCGCGATGCTGAATTATGGCACGCCAGTATCGATGGGTGGGCTCATGGAGCGCGGAAAGCAGCATCACCAGCTCAGAGCACGGTGGAGTAGCATGCTTTATGAGTATGTATGCCGGGATAGCAGGAGTTGCATGCCTTGCTGGGTCTTTACGGGCCTATGTTACCCTTTACACATCCCTCAACGCGGCGACGCAGCTCTTCCGTCTGATGCTCTCCGCCATCCTCCGTGCGCCCTTGCAGTGGCTGGACAAGATACCACCAGGGTGGATTTTGAACCGACTCACCGCGGACTTCTATATGCTGGACTCGCGAATCGGATTCGACATAATAGCTGTACTGAACGCGGCCATGGATTGTGTCGGGGTCATCATGGGCGGGGTGTTGGTTCGCCCCATTCTCATCGTATTCGCCGTAGCCTTGGCCGTTGGGTCATTCTGGTACACCAGTCGATATCTGGCCGCGGCTCGAGATGTCAAGCGTCTCGAGAGTATCACCCGAAGTCCAGTCTACGAACAGATTGCTTCCTCTCTTCAGGGCATCGTGACGATACGTGCATTTGGCCAGGAGGAACGGTACATCAAACGAGTCCAGGCTAAGCTTGATCATCAGGCCCAGGCATCCTGGCATCTCTACCTGTTCAACCGCTGGTTCACACTCCGCATCAATGTCCTGGGTGCTACCTTCTCCACCGTGACTGCCCTCGCCACCATCGCGCGAAAGGATATCACAGGGCTGATGGTTGGATTCGCCCTGGCCTTCACCAATCACTTGAGCTTCGCTCTCGTTACACTGAGCCGTGCATACTCGACCCTCGAAATGGACATGGACGGGGTGGAACGGATCCTAGAGTACTGCAAAATCGAAAAAGAATCCAGCGCAGGCTCAGAGGTACCAGCCGAATGGCCCGAAAGGGGTGGTCTTTCAGTTGTCAACCTGACCGTGTCGTATGATCCAGACACAGCCTCAGTCCTCCGCAACGTCAGCTTCTCAGTTGAGCCTGGCCAACGAATCGGCATCGTCGGACGAACCGGTGCGGGAAAATCGACCCTTGCATTAGCTCTGTTCCGATTCTTGGAGGCGCGCGACGGGAGCATCTCGATCGACGGCGTCAACATTTCCACGATCAAGCTGAAGCACCTCCGGAGACGACTGGCCATGATCCCGCAAAACCCCGTCCTATTCACTGGCACCATCCGTTCTAATCTCGATCCGTTCGATGCATATGACGATGATACTATCCTACGGGCCTTGAAAAATGTCCAGTGGCCTGCGAAAGGGTTGGATTCTCAAGGGATTCTGGCTAGTGTGATTACAGAGGGGGGCTCGAACTTATCCCACGGCCAGAGGCAACTGCTATGTCTGGTGCGGGCGATTCTGTCGCGTCCGGCAATCCTTGTCTTGGACGAGGCCACATCGGCCGTGGACCGTGCCACCGATGCGCTCATCCAGCAGTCCATTCGAACTGGATTTGGTCGGGAGCGTCCGACCCTGCTCGTCATCGCTCATCGCATTCAGACCATCGCGGACTTTGACAAAGTACTGGTGATGGATGCAGGCCAGGTAGTTGAGTTTGGTTCACCGCGAGATCTCCTCCGAAGACAAGATGGGGCTTTCCGGCGACTGGTAGGCAATGATGCTGAGAGGGATGGGCTTCAGAGGGTCATAAACGCCGCGGGGTGATCCTGGACTGGTGAGAGTTCTGACGGGAGTTACACTTGACTTGCGGTCATGCATGATTCCCCAGAGAGAGGATTAGCTTGCACTGCTGAACTGATAGATTGCATCAGAGAGATTACTGCACTTATTTCCCAGGACAGTGATCATTACTCAATAGAATTTGAAACAATTCACCGAATCCTCCGGACCGAAACCTAACCCGAGTCGATTCATTCCATAACAACCGTAAACCCCTCGAAACTCGGCAGTGCCTTTCGAATCTCCAGGCGATAATTATACACCCCGCCCGAGTAGTTCAACTGTTCGAACGGCTTGCCGGGAAAGGTGCCCCCCATGTAGGTGGACCGCGTGGTGGACAACAGGGTACGGTTCGACAGCCCGTCAATGGTCTGTTTCCAGGCCTGGGTGGCCTCCAGTGTCGGCTCGATGGACTTGATTCCCCTCCGTTCCATGGTTTTGATGGTGTCCACGATCCATCGACCCTGCACTTCGACGCAGGTCGGCCCGTTCGAGAGGACCGTCGGGGCTTGAGGTCCATACATCAAGAAGAGATTGGGGTAGCCGTGGATCGTCAGGCCCAGGTGCGTGTGCACCGCAGCCGCCCATTCTTCCTTCAGCCATGTGCCGTGGATGCTGCGCAGCCCCATGTTGGTGAGGGCGCCGGTCGAGGTGTCGAACCCGGTGGCGATGCATACCACGTCGAGCTCGTGCTCGGTCCCATCGGCCATCCGCACGCCTTTCTCGGTGAATGATTCGATCGGGTTTGTACGAACGTCCACCAGATCCACCGTGGGCCGGTTGAACTCCTCGTAAAAGCTGACCTCGAGACTAGGGCGTTTGACCCCCCACGGGTGCAGCGGCTCCAAGGGAGCCAGCAGGTCTCGCTTGACCGGATTCTCAATGCGCGCGCGGACCTTTCGGCACCAGAAGTCATAGATCACCCGGTTGGCCTTCGGATCGAAGAGGTAGTCCTTGTACGTACCGACCCAGTACCGAAAGCCTCCCAGCTCCCACATCCGTTCCAGGCATGCAGTGCGCTCCGCGTCGTCATCTTCGAACACCCCCCGCTCCAAGAAGTCGTAGGTGAACCCGGCAAAGGACGTTTCACGCAACTGGAACAGTTCTGGATATGTGGGCTTGACCCGGTCTTGTTCTTCGGCAGTCAGCTGTTGAGGCCGCATGGGAAGGGCCAGGTTGGGAGTGCGCTGGAAGACCTTGAGGGAGCTGGCCACCGGGCCCAGGGCCTGTGTGATCTGTACACCAGATGCCCCCGTGCCTATCACTGCACATTTCTTCCCCCTCAGCTCAACGCCTTCTTCCGGCCAGAAGGCAGAGTGGTGAACCTGGCCGCGGAATGAGTCAACCCCTGGCCATTCGGGGATGTAGCGCTTTGCTGCAAAGCCGGTCGCGACAATGAAGTACTTGGCAGAGACCTCACGACCGTCCTCGGTGCTGATCTTCCAGCGTCCAGACTCGGGGTTAAACTCGGCCCCCACTACGACAGTGCCGAGCGCGCAGTCTTTCTTGATATCTAGGACGCTCTCGACGTGGTCGAAGTAGGCACGGAGCTCATCGTAGGACGGGTAGTTGGTAGACCAGGTCCAGTTGGCCCAGGTCTCGGGCCAGGAATATTGATACTGAGGCACCTGGGAGTCCACGCGTGCCCCCGGATAGCGGTTCCATCGCCAGGTGCCCCCCAAGTCGTGGGCTGCTTCGAAGAGGACCGTCTTCAGGCCCAGCTGTCGGAGTTCGTGGAGGCAATAGATGCCACTGAATCCGGCGCCCACAATCAGCACATCCAGATCCAGATGGTTAGCGTACGGCCCTGTCGTCCCCGGAGGGTTGGAGAATTGTCGCAAGTCGGTCTTCATTTTGCGAGTCCTGCCACGATGGCCAAGGGGGAAGGAGGGGAAACGAGGGGGACGAGGGGGACGAGGGCTTGCTTGAGAGTGACACGGAGTGCAACCATGGATCGACCTCGCTGCAACCCCGCAGCCAACAGGTGACCTGGTGGCACGAGAGATAACCCCCACTTCCACTTCCCAGCAGCTGCACCTTGCTAGACACGAGAGGCAAGTCCCAGGAGGAGCTGGGGGAGGGGGGCTGGTTGGGGGTGGTGCCGATGATAGGGATGTTAGGGCATCCCAACCGCCAGGGCCCGGATTCTCGCCAGTTTCGATCGTTTGAAATTGGGACCTCAAGTCATCAGATGCCATTGATCTATGGAACAGCCACTAGTCTACCGGGGGCTCTAGAGGGAAAACTGCCCCGTGAGCGGAAGATCGCGGCTCGACCGGCCGACATAGACCTGATACGTGCCCAACTGCAGCAGCCACTGCTGGGCGTCCACGCTCCAGGTGCTGAGGTCCCGTCGGACCAACGAGAAGCTCACTTGCGCGGTCTGCCCCACGGGGATGTGCACCTTTTCAAACCCTCGCAGCTGGCGGACAGGACCGTTAGGTATGCCCACATACAGCTGGGCCACCTCGTCCCCGTCAACCGATCCGCTGTTCTGCACCGTCGCCGTCACCTTCACAATCTCATCCCACAGGCGCGGGTTTCCGCCCTCCTGGATGGTCGCAGACGGAGGATACTGCGAGGTGCTACCGTTGGTCTGCCGCACATCCAGCTCCGAGTAGTTGAAGGTGGTGTACGAGAGGCCAAACCCGAACTCGAACTGCGGGGTGATGTTCTGCTGATCAAAGGCCCGGTAGTCAATGTACACCCCCTCCGCGTAGTCGGACTGGGGGAACAGTCCGTATGGGGTCTGCGGCTCCGAAGGATGCAGTACAGAGCCGTAGTCCGAGGCTTGCTTGGCGATTGTGTATGGAAGTCTGCCCGATGGGTTGGCTCGGCCGTAGAGGAGGTTGACCAGGGCATGTCCGGTGTCTTGGCCGGGGAGATGGGCCAGAATCACGGCTGTGACATTCGCGTGGTCGATCCAGTCATACACCAGTCGAATGCCGGCGTTGTGGATAACGACGATCGTGTTGTTGCACTTCCCGGCCACGTTCGTCACCAGCGTGTCGCTCCAATCATCCACCAATCCCGGCCGGTCAAAGCCTTCGGTCGCGTAGCTGTTGATGAAGACCAGGCAGGCCTCAGAGGTCGGATCCACATCAGGATCTTGGGAGCTGACATCCCACACCACCGCCGTGCTATCTTCGTACGCCTGTTGCTGGAGAGCATCGAGCGGCGTGCTGAGATACGACGGAGAGTTGGACCCCGAGCCACCGCCCACGTAGAGAGTGGAGTTCTGGATAGCAGGGCTGTAGGTTCCAAATGAGGCAACAAAGCTCAACGCCTCGGGCCCCTTCGCATCGTATCCGAACACGGAAACCAGACTGGGCGATTGCAGGGGCAGGGCACCATTGGTGTTCTTGACGAGAACATGCCCCTCCACGGCGCTCTGGAGCAAGGCCCCCTTCTCGTCCGGCGAGGTCCCGATTACGGCTTGGTGTTCCGAGTCGACGCTGGAAGGCATGCCGATTCCTGGGGTGGGAAAATCGGTATCCTGATTCAGCTGGTACCACGTGGCGAGAATTCTGTCTCAGTCAGATAGGCGCCGTGAATATGGTTATCCGATCATGGGAATGCTTACCTAGTTACCATATCATCTAGTCGCGACGCCTCCATACTGCCATTCGCGATGGCCGTAGTGAGGTTGGCCCCCCATAACGTGGAGTCGGGCATCACCATGTCCAGCCCGGCATTGGCGGAGGCGATGCCGCCATGCTGGGCGCCCCAGTCGGTGATAACGTAGCCTGGAAATATGAGCACTGGTGGCATTTCCCACTAAGGCGAAGGAGACTCACCCTGGAAGCCCAGCTCGGTCTTCAGAAGACCATTGAGCGTCTTGCTGTTCTGGCAGGCATATGAGTTGTTGATTCGCTCATATGAACACATGATCGCCACGCTCCCTGCCCGCACGGCATCCTGGAAAGGCCAGAGGTACAACTCGTGGATCGTTTTGTCATCGATATTCGATGAGACTGAAGCCACATCGACCCCGTCCACGGTTTCCGGGTTGCGGTTCGTCTCCTGTTCGTTGCCAATGTAGTGCTATGCCACCCCGTGAGCCTCAAGCCGGATGCCATTGGCACTCAACCTTCCATGGGCACCACTTACCTTGGTTGAGACACCGACTCCGGAGCCCTGCACGCCGCGAACCGTCTCATAGACCAGTGCCCCCGTCAGGTAGGGGTCGTTGGAGAACCCTTCCCAGTTGCGTCCGCCTTCTGCCACACGGCCCAGGGGACCGACTACCGGGCCCAAAAGGAGGTTCACACCTTTCCGGTGAAACTCTTGGCCCATATACTGGGCCCTCTCGTGAGCCAAGGTCTTGTTCCAGCTAAGCTCGAGGCGTTAGCTACGGAGACGACAGCGGACGCCATACAAGGTAGAGAGGTTGTACCTGGCACCGACATGTATACCACTTGCCCAGCTGTTGACATGGTCCGTGCCTCGCTAAATAGGCCAGTCAGATCAGTTCCTCCTGATGCCTCGCGTCCACCTACCAGTCCATTGCCTGCATCTGACACGCAGAGACCGGTGAAGTTCACACGCGGGATCGCTGCAATGACGCCTGAGCAGCCCGTGGTGGTGCTGGTACCCGCCGTGAGATTCAGTTTCTCTTCGTCCGTGAGCTGGGCCACGAGCTCCTTTGCTTTCTCATAAGCTGTGGCCCATGCACCCGTGCCCGTTCCCTCCGCTGCGGCGCATGGTCAGTGATGGTGCAGACAAGGGTCAGGTCAGGCAGCATACGGGACGGGTAGACCGGAGGGGAGTTCCCATAGAAATAGACATCGCTGGTGATGTTTTGCGAGGGGGCGGCGGCGCAGAGCGATAGCCCGCCCAGCAAGGCAATAACCACGGTGACGCGGTGCATTTTGCAGGTGGTGGATGGATTGACCCCCAATATTCGAGGCAGGACTCATTAGGGTATTTAAATCCCACCTCACCTCCCCGTTACAGAGCCGTCGGGTACATAGGTGGCTGTGTGACTCAGATGCTGGTGACCGCTCGAGGGTATGACTGTCGGGTAATCATCGGACAACGGGCATATCAAAGGACGGGCGAGGGGCGGCAAGCACGCTTTGGCAGGCATAGGCGACTGCAATGGCTCTATTCGGGGTAATGATACGCGAGCCATGGGGTGTCCTCCACGTTCCGGGACATTGTGGGCATGCCAGTGTGAGAGGGGTCCAAATGCCGTGGGGAAACCCCCGCATCGATCCGTGACGCCCCACTAGTATAGTAGGAGTAGTAGTAGTGTGAGCGGAGAATCCGGGGAAATGCAGGCCGTCGGCATTCTGGCCACCCCAGACTGCATGCTGATGGCAGGGATATCATGCCACGCGGGGGCCCTGCGTCGAAGGTAGGGAAATGGAGTTGCAGACAAAAGGCATCCGGCTGCTTGGCGGCGGTCCTAATTAGGCTATATGGCTTCCAGTCGTCTGACCACGCGGGATGCGGCGCGCCATATTCTTGTCCGTGGCCAATGGCATCATCGCTATGCGCTTGCCTGTCCCTGCGAAGGCTTCTTGACGAGGTGGCTGTCAGCCAAGAGGCAGTGGGTTTGTTGCCGCCCTTCCGTGGTGGTCTGAAACTGGACTGGATGGCCGCCCCTCGGGTCAGGAAACCGGCAGTTGTATTGATGCGCGATACGTGGTGAGGTGGAGGGGGATGGGTTGGATCCAATGACGATGATTTCTCTGACGGATCGGGCGGGGTCAGGGATGCAGATGCAGGCCGCGGCAATAGAGAGGAGGAGGAGGAGGGGATGCAGGAGGAGGCTAGAGGAAAATAGAGAGAGAGAGAGAGAGAGAGAGAGAGAGAGAGAGAGAGAGTGTGTGTGTGTTGAGGCCATTGTTGATGATCGGGACGGACTCGTCCCAAAAGGGAAAGAGCGGGTCATGATATGCGCAAACAGTACAAACAGTGCGGACGATGCAAACCACATAAACTGTGCAAATTAAAAAACACTCTGGACCATCGCCGTTTATCAGATATGTACACGGTGGGCTTCACCCTTGTAAGTATGCATATCCTGCGGATATCATCCCTTACAGTAACTGCGGGTAATGTTAGCCTTTTGGCTCAGTGGCAACAACTCCCCTAGGTTGGTGTCTTACAATTATACTGTTTCAGATATATACATATATCTAAGCATGATTGCTCTTAGTTTCTGGCAGCAGGCCTGCCTCCCCAGATTCTGTCATTGATGCAGAGGAACTAACAAGAGGTGAGCAGGTCAGGGAAGAGGGAACTAGGAAAAGATGGAAGACTCTCATTCACTTCCACACTTGCATCGCTCTTGTGCAGTCAAACAACAACACACCCCGTCCCTCACGGATTCACTCCAGCGGCTTCTCACGCATCTCTCTCGCCCCACCCACTATTTCCTGTTTCCTCCGTCGTTCTTCTCTTGCCCAAATCGTAGTTCTTACTCGAGCTTCCTTCTCCTCCCCTGCGATTCCCGATAGTACCCCCACCCCACACATACTACCATAAATCTACCACCAGAAAAACCATCATGCCAATCCAGTGGACTGCAGACGCTGATGCCAAAGTACGCTGAAATCCCTCAAACCGACCTCGCGTCCGAGTACTGACTGACATCGCCAGCTCTTCCTGGGGGTCCTCATCCAGATGCGGGGCCGCGTCAAGCTGGACTATGAGGATCTCGCCGCCCACATGGGCTCCGGTGCGTTGCTGTCCCCGGTCAGATACAGCCTACCACTTGGCACTAACCGCTCCAGACTGTACCGCCTGTGCTGTAGAGCAGCGAATCGTGAAGCTTAAGAAACAGGTGGCTGGCAAGGCCGGTTCTCCGAGCAACGCGTCCACCCCAGCGACCACTCCGAAGAAAAGAGCTGCCGGCCAGTCTACCAAGACTCCCACCAAGAAGGCAAAGCTGGACCATGCGGAAACCTCGGTATCGCCTCAGAAGGGCAACGTGCGTGTCTCGGGCGGAAGCGCGCCGGTGGGTAAGAGCGAAGTCAAGGCGGAGACCAAGGCTGAGATGGCGGACGGGATCAAGCAGGAGGAAATCGAGTGACAGGATGTCGGGGCTGGTTCACATCTACATCGTGAATGGATAGATAATATCTCGAACTTGGGAGCGGCTGGGAACACGCATGGACTTGAAGTTTGTAGGTGGCGCGTGATATTACAGGCAAACGAGAGGGTTTCTGACCGTATAAAGGCTCAGGGCCATTCCATTACTTGGTAGATAGGTGTTGATGGCTATGATCAGAAATCATTGAAACCCCGCGCCAGGTAAACCAAGCCACCGCCGTAAACCCCTCCCTGATATCCCGGGTAAAACGCTCGTGTTCAAGCCATTTACTCGGCGTCTTCAGCCTTGATCACTTGGTCCGAAGATAGCTGTTCCTCTGACTTGATGGTCGCGTCTTGCTTCTTAGTCGCCCGCTTCTTACGGGGGCTCGGAGAGGCGCCCGAAGCCTCTGCGGGGCGCTTGGGCTTCATGCTGAAGGTCACCGTGTTGCCGGAGGTAAGATTCCTGCGGAACTTTTCCAGGTGCTCCTTGATGGCACGCGCAGTTGGTTTCTCATCGCCAGCTGTCTTAGGTGAGACTACCATCCCGGATCAAGGTGGGATGGGCGGACTTACGCCAGGCGTCAGCGATTTTGTCAAGGTCGAGAGTCAGACTCTGTGTCTCAAAGATGGTGCGCCACAACTGGCAGACGGGAGTCAGCGGCAGAGCAAGGGTCACTCTTGTGGGGTACTTACCACGTGCTCATTGTCGAGAGTCCAGCGCATGTTGGGTAGAGCTGCGGTGTAACTGTGGTGGAGATAAAAGAAATGTAAGGTAGTACCAAGGTGCAAGGATCGGGGTTGATGGAAGAGGAGAGAGAGAAAAAAGAGAGAGGGATGCGGATGCTTTAGGACAAAGGAAATAGTGAGGTGTTTGCAAGAGAGTAGGACAGTTCCAACGGGAGGAGTGAGTGAGTGGGTGAGTGATGGAAGGGGTGAGGGTGTGAGGGATGATGGGTTGCTCAGGCAATTGAGCCCATTCACTGCCCTAAGTCGGCCAACCCATCCAACCCATCCAACCCAACTATATATCAACGCAACCAACTCCTTCTCACAGGGAGAGCTGCCTTCCTGACACCCCAGAATGGAAGTCAGCCAACACCCCCTCCAACCGTGGTTGGAGCTGGAGCATGGATGTGCGCCACCCGAGCTTAATCGCATGTCGGCCAGATGCGCATCATGCGTCACCGCCTGTCAGGGCGCTGGCAAGTTGTTCAACCAAGCCGCGCCCACAGGCAAATGCCGGAACAGTCCCCATGGCCACGAGGGAGCTGCGTAGTTCCAACATCTAGCGTCTACCCACACCCCGAGGCATGCAGTCAAGTGGAAGCTACAAAGAGTATCCAGAAGCCGACATCCAGAGCAAAGATCCGCTGCCGAGAGCCACTCTCCGATTGTGTCGAGTTCCCATTGCCTTGATTTCCGTGGAGACACCGTTTTTCAGCGTTGTGCTAAGCATCTAGCAGCAGCTCCGGTGACACAAAGGGCTCAGTGGAGATAGACCTCCACGTTGGCCTATCACAGACGGCACATGTATTTGGATCTGGGTGGTCCCGCTGTTCTGACGGGCTGCAGAAGCTTTCTGTCCTCACCAACTACCCCCTACCACCACGCACCCATGGCCCCCGTCATCGTCGTCCTTGTCCCCGGAGCCTGGCACCAGCCAGCCTGTATGGACCAGCTTCGGGACGAACTCGGAAAGCTGGGACTCCATTCCGTCGCCGTGGCTCACCCGTCCATTGGCAGCACGTTGCAGCCACGGCCAAATTTGGCAGACGATGTAGCCAGCCTACACCGCACAATCAAAAGGCTGGCTGATGAGGGCCATCTGGTGACGGCCATGGCGCACTCCTATGGCGGCGTGGTTGCCTCTGGGGCGGCCAAGGGCCTCGGAGTGGCAGAGAGAGGTGCAGCCGGACAGGCGGGCGGAATCACCATGATGGTGTATCTGGCTGCGTTTGCCATCCCGGCAGGGCAATCGCTGCTCGAGGCGGTTGGGGGAGTTCCACCCTCTTGGTGGGATATCCGGGTGAGCGTGGAGCCCAGGGGGGAGAAAGGATCCCTGCCCTTATCCCAGTCACTGACAGCATCTGTCTGCGGTAGGGCGACCAGGTGTTTGGGGACAGTCCCGTCATCAGTAATCCGGCGGAGATGCTCTACCATGATCTCCCCCGCCCGGCGCAAGACTACTGGATCTCGCAGCTCCGTCCGATCACGACCGCGGTGAGCGAGCTGCCCAACACGTATGAGCCGTGGAAGCACCTCTCCTGCACCTATATCCTAACCGAGCAGGACCGGGCCATCCCCTTGGCGGCGCAAGAGGCGATGGTGGCATGGATGGGGGAGGTCACGACAGCGCGGGTGAACGCGTCGCATTCGCCCTTTCTGAGCATGCCGGGGGAGGTTGCTCGCCTCGTGCAGCACGCGGTGCAAGAAGGATTGCAGAAGCTGCCTGCGGAAAGGAAGGCCGAGATGTGAGGCCGTGGTCGACGAGCTGGAAGTCCGCTCGGGAGAGATTGCTTTGGTTGTGTTGGATCGCAGAGGATTGCAGGAAAGTATGAGGAGATCGAGAGTGGCTGTTGTTGCAGTGTTTGTTCCGTACGGAGTAGAGGAAGCGGAAGCGGGTGGACCCGGGCGGTCAACCCCACACCCCGGGCGGTGAGGCCGCGATTCTGCCGCCCCGCGTCTCTCCGCACAAACCCGCCCGGCGGACAAGACTTCCTCCACTCCTCCACTCTCCCTCCTCAATTCTTCTTCCCACATCATCCTCTCAATGGATCGAAAAACCGAATTCGCTTGCGATCAGTGCCATCGCCATAAGCTCAAGTGCTCCCCCCTGTCCCAAGGCTGTTCCCGCTGCAACCGTGCGTCTCCTCCCGTGCTTCCCTCTTCTTTCTTTCTTCTCACCCGCCTTAGGATTAGGAATCCGATGCACCTCCAGCCGTCCCATTCGGAAACGGGGCAGGAAACCGACTCGACCGACTCCACTGACCCCCGTTCGTCCGCCGCATCCGCTATCGGGAGATGGCTCGTCCGTAGGGTCCCATTGCCGCACCCCTCCCCCTCGAAGCTTGGTGCTGACGCGGCGCGTAGGATGCACCGGACTATCCCATACTAGATGCCCTGCGTGACCTGGCGGTCTTTCGGATGGACGAGGAACACTCCAGGTCAGTGTGGATTCGGTCCCGTCCATCGCCTCAGACCCCTTGTACTCACCCGCCAGGACTAGTTCGTCTTCTCTTCAACCGACACGCTTTGATGCCTGTCGTCTGCTTGAGCACTTCTTTGCGTCCCCCAATCAGGAATTCCACACGCTCCTGATTCGACGAGGCAGGCTCCTGGATCAGCGGGCCCCGCGGCCCACCATGCCCACCCTCCTCCTTTCCATCCTATGTACGCCGCTGGGATCTCCCCGATTGACAGCCTCTGGTGATCTCACGTGGCATAGGCGTTGCGTGCTTCATGCCCTCGGCTGATCAGTCCACCCCCGCCCCCGTCCGGAGGGCGAAGGTGCGAACCGCCCAAGGACGATACCTCTTTGCCAAGCTGATCCACCACTTCCACCCCCGCACCCTCCCGGACACCAATCATGTCTTCGATGACGCCGTCACGGCCTTTATCATGACCAGTATCGCTCCGAGTGAACGGTCGGTGGAGTCGAGCTTGCATTACTGGCTCACCTTTCTGAAATACATCGTCCAGAAGTTGCACCTGCACCACGATGCGTCGGACCTCAGTGAAGATGACAAGGAGGAGCGGCGAAGGTAAGTCCTACCTCCGGGGAAGTCGAGTGGTTATCCCTGGCGATTTAACAATGTGCCCATGGTAGACTGTGGTGGGCGACCTATATCATTGACCGGCATACCGCCCTGTCATTCAATGGACGTCCGCGCATCACCGACCAGGAATGCCTGCCTCTTCCTCCTCCACGGCCGGATGTGGTTTGGAACCAGTTAGGCCCGCTGCTTCCCTGGTCCGACCGGCAGAGCCATGACCCCGTGGCCCTCACCTACCATGTAGAGAGCTTGGATATGCTTGGTATCTTTCTACCACTTGCCAGGTATGCGGAGTTTGGGGTACCCGGAACCCTGGTTGTCGTGACAAACGAGGATTAACTCATCTGCAGGGCATTGGGCGAGATTCTGGAGTTCCGGTTTCTCTGCGATCATTCCACCTTCAATACGGATGCGAGCTTTCTACATGCCATTCGCGGGAAAATCGTCCATAATCTAGACCGATGGTTCCATTCGTTTGCCGCGCTGGTGGGCTCGGACTTCTGTACAATTGCCGAGCCGCACTGCGAGTTCTGTCCGGCAGCAGAGGTCCCTGCAGTAGCCTACTATGGCTTCCATATGTACCACTGTATGTTCGTCTTACTGCATGGCCCAATGGATGTGGTCCGAATGTATCAGGATCTTGCATGGCAGGCATCGTCGGAATTTCTGATCGCGGGCGAACATGCTGTCGCATGTGCAAATGTAAGCTCCCTGATTGCATTACTAACTTCCTGTTGCGTGGTATCCCAAGAGATTGACCAACCGGTATCAGATCGCTCGTCATATTCTTCAAATCGATCCGCAATTGTCCTTGATGTACCGATTTTTCGGGACGTACTTTCTGCAATCCTCATTCATCTTCCTCATTCTAGCGCAGAAGCTCGGTCGGCACTCGGACAGCCTGATTCTGCACAATTGCGCTATTAACCTGCAGGTCTTGGATATGTTTGTGGCCGCTACGAATATGGACTACCAGCGTACGTTTGCCAAACTTCTGCGGCGGGCCTTGTCACACAACATGGATCAGTCCTCGTCAGCACAACCGCTCGAGGGTCCCCAACCCCTCGAGGAGTCATCGGGTGTACCAGAGCCGGTGCTGGATCCGGAAATGCTGCGCTACCGCTGGATCCCCGGATACACAGGGTTATGGACCGACCCGTTGGGCCTTAGATGAAGGAGCTGAACCGTCGCGGACTGCCTCTTCCGGCCTGTTAATATCCGAACACCCACGGACGATATCTTAGCTACAGGCGGCCATATGTAGACGGCTTCTATTTAAAGTGTCTCTAGAAAACATGGCCACCACCCGCCAGTGCTTTGATGGCTTGCGCAGAGAATAGTTGGTTTCTTTCCAGGAAGTTTAATCGGCCTTTCCGCTCCACCCACTCCTGATCCGATGCCATGTCAACTGACGCCGCTGTTCGGTCCTGACCGTACACCGTCACGAAGCCGGCCTGGCTGCTGACGGACGGCGCTGTGATGAATCGGATCCAGTCTGCTTGGACCCGGTCCACCAGCGCGGCGTTGGAGACTGAGTCGGCTGGGAGGGTTGTATCTGCCTGGCGCAATGCCTCGGCGAAACAGTCATAAATATATATCAAATCCACGCAGTGATGGGCCTTTCCATAGGCTGGCCCGGGGAATGGATTTCCGACCCTCATGCGGAATGACTGCACGACAGTCGGGCGGGCATTTCGTTCACTTGACCCCTCCCAGCCGATCAGTTCCTCCCTGGAGCGTTGAACGTGGTAACCAAACTGTATATCTGTGAGGAATTGAAGGGCCCGTTCGTGAAGATCTGTCTTCGACATATTCGATTGAAGACCATACGTCTCGTAAAAGCTCCGGAGAAACTCCGTCGATTGCACTTCGACCTCCAAGCGTTCGTGAAGCTGATCGAAGGTCTTGATCTCTCCTACCGCGGCCGAGTGTAACATGCCCTGTTTCCATGATCAGTCTCCCGCGGCAGTTGTGGATGGGGATATCGAGAAAGCTCACCTCCACATCCGTATCTCCGATCAGAACGGCAATCACAGTGTCATCATTGGCAGGCACCTCTTCCGGCGCCGGTCCTTCTTGGCCATCCAAGTGGACATTCCAGCGGCTGTTCGGCCTTAGTGAGATCGTTAAATCGTCCACGGCCAGAGGGCAGGCGAAGCGGCCGAGTTCGTGGTGTGCTCGGAGGATGTCTGCTGGCGCAACGGCCGCCATGAATGCCATGTGGGCGGCGGCATCGCCCTCGGGGGCTCCCAGGTGCCGACAAAAGGCCGCCCATCGCGCATCAGCAAGCTCCATCGAGATGGGGCCAAGTACTCCGACGGCCCCGGACTGGACAATCCCGCGCTGCACCAGGGGCTCGCGCTTGCCCAAGATGGCCTCGAGGACGTGGGCATGCGAGGAACTTCCCCCCGCGGACTGGCCGCCGACGGTAATTCTGCGCGGATCGCCGCCAAATGCGCGGATGTTCTGGTGCACCCAGCGAAGGGCGATCCGCTGATCCGTCAGGCCGAAGTTGCACCCCCGTTTCTGGCCCTCCGGCTGGGCCTGGATAATCTCCGACGATGCCGCGAAGCCGAACATGTTCAGTCGGTAGTTGACGGTCGCGACGATCATGGGGGTCTTCAAGGCGACGGACTTCAGGACCAGGCGGGCGGGATCTACCAGCAAGTCAGAGGGCTTGCCTTGGGCCGACGAGGAGATAGTGAGTACTCACCCCACATGGGATCAGTGCCCGCGCCGAAGCTGTAGGCGCCGCCATGGATATAGACATAGACGGGGAGATTGACGGTGCGGGCATCAAAACCGGCGGCGGCGAGGGTCGTCGCGCTGGGCCGTGTGATGAAGAGGTTGAGACAGTCGAATTCGGATTCGGAGACGTCGCGGGGGAACTCGAGGTAGGACTGAAAGTCGTCGCTGTTGTTGGGCTCCTGTGGTTGCGGGCAGCGGGGACTGGGTGAGGCGATACCCAAGGGGGGGGGTCCGGCGGTTAGCTGGCCAGCCCCATGCACGGTGAGGTGGGCTACGGATTCGAGGTTCATCGACTTACCCGTTTCGAGTTGCGTGGAAGACGTCGTCGGGCAATCGATCCCGGAGCAGGGCGTGTTGCCAGCGAGCAGGCACGATGCCATACGGGATCCCCCGAAACTCCTCGACGCCCGGGATAGGTGATTTCCGGCCGATAACGCGCTGGGGGAACGAGGGCACGGTGTGCGAGGGCAGCAGGACCTCCAGCGGCGTCTGCCTGGGAGCGGCCGGCGCCTGGTCGGCATCGTCGGGGCCCCGTTGCTGACGCACGAAAGACGCCATGATTGGAGTTGGGGGAGTTGGGGGGAGTGGTGAAGCAGATTCCGGGCGAGGAGAAATCTGGCGAGTCCTGGCTGAAGTTGAGGATGGATCGGGTCGGTGCGGCTAAGGATTTATACCTGGCGGCAGCTGACCTCGTGGAGTCATCGACCGTCGCCGCCCGTTTGCAGCGCCGCGGTGGATCCCCGGCCCATTCCATCCCCGGCCCTCCCAATCGCTGCCAGCCCCGGCCAGCCACGGCCAGCCTTCGGTCCGCGCCGTCGAATTCTACTCGGCGAATTGCTGGCTGGGCGTTCGGCCAATTCGCCTGTTTGCCTCTGTGCCCCCCGGCCCCCCCGGCCTGGAACGCGTCCAGTCCATCCGGCGAGCCTGCGAGAACCAGATAGGGTTTCTCCGCAACCCCGGCTTCCCGGCTTACGCGAAATCCGGGGATTTGTGGGTGTATAAAATCTAGGCAGCACAGCTGTCGCCCATCCCAGAATTCTCTCCCATCCACCCCCGATCTATCTCTGACTGCTCTCCCCCCCCCCCTGCCCTGCGAGCCGAGTTTCTGTGCTCTGTGCTCTGCTCTGCTCTATCCTGCCTTCCTCTCCTGCGCGATGACGACCCCTCCAACTCAACTCTCGGTCGCGGCGGCCGCCCGTGCGGACTGGCGGGCCATTGCCATCTGTCTGTTCATCACCGTCGCTGCCTTCCAGTTCGGGTTCGACTCGTCCTATTATTCCGGAATCCTGGTCATGGAGCCCTTCATCAAGGCTTATGGGCATTACGATAGCGCGACGGGCGGTTACATCCTGAGCGCCAGCATCCAGTCTCTCACCACCAGCATCATCAACGTCGGAGAGCTCGTCGGGGCCGTATCGTCCTACCTCGTAGACGATAGAATCGGTCGCCGTGGAGGCTTGTTCGTCTCCAGCGCGTTCGTGGTGGTCGGTGTGATCTTCCAAGTCGCGGCCGACAATTTGGCCCTGTTGATTGTCGGGCGACTGCTGCTCGGTAGGTTCACTCGTCCATGTAAGGGGAGAATGTGCGACGTCGCGCGTATCTGTTCGTTTGGTTGCTGACCGATGCAATGACTTCGATCAATAGGATACGCCGTGGGGTTGATCTCTTGCCTGGTCCCTCTATATGTCGCCGACTGCGCGCCGTCCCGGTTCCGGGGCGCCCTGGTGTCGCTGTACCAGTTCGATGTCGGCCTGGGGCTGTTGCTCGGCGTCATTGTGGACAACGCGACCAAGGGTCGGGGGGACAGCGGCGCGTATCGTATCCCCATGGCAGTCCAACTGGTCTTCCCGATCATCCTGGTCCCGGGTCTGATCCTGTTCGCCCCGGAATCGCCTCGCTGGCTGTTGACCAAAGGGAGGACGGAGGAAGCCCGGGCAGCCCTGCGGCGCCTGCATGGCAATCGGCCCGACGTCATCGAAAGTGAGGTTCTCTACATCCTGGAAACCATCCAGGACGACCAGCACACCGAGAGTTCCTGGCGAGACCTGTTGAAATGGGACGTCGACGGTCGCAAGACCTACCTGGGGATGGCGATCCAAGGTAAGCAAGAAACAGGGACCCCGGAGCTGATTGTAACCCTTCGATGCTAACTCTTTCCGACTGTAGCTTGGCAACAAGCCTCCGGGATTAACTTCATCACCAGTTACGGCATCGTCTTCTTCACGGCCATTGGGATGACGAATACCTTCCTGATCCAGATGGGCTTGTACCTGGTGCCCATGCCGGCCGTATGGCTCAACCAATACTGCGTGGAGCGCTTTGGCCGTCGGCCCATGCTTCTGCTCTCATGCTGCATGGTGTGCGCGGTGCTGCTGGTGGTCGGCGGCGCTGGCACGGCCACCCACAAGACGATGGCCCTGGACCGGACGATCGTGGTGATGGTCTACATCTTCATGATCGTGTACAACCTTGCCTTAGGCCCGGCCGTCTGGGTGGTCACATCCGAGATCTCGACGGGCCCGAATCGTAGCAAGCTGATGGCGACATCGACCGGTGCCAACTGGTTCTGCAGCTGGCTGGTTACCTTCACCTTCCCCTATCTCTTCGACAGCGCCGACGGCGCCGGCCTCAGTGCCCGCGTCGGATTCATCTATGGCTGTCTCATGGCGGCGGCGGCTGTCTGGATCTTCTTCTTCCTTCCTGAGACGTCTGGCCGGACCCTGGAGGAGATCCAGGTCCTGTTCCAGAACCAGGTGCCGGCTCGCAAGTTCAAGGGTATGTGCAGCCCAACCCCCAGCCTAAGCATTTCCTGTCGGTCTCACGCTAACGCTTCCTCCATCCAGGGTATCAAATCTCCGACATCTCGGGACCCGCAGCCTTGGAGGAGAAGAAGGAAGCTCATGCTACTGAAGTGGAACAGGTTTAGAGGGGCAATGGCTACTATTTCGAGGGCCATGCCACCACTGTCAATGTAACCACGGCTTAGCAGGCCCAATAAATGACAAGGTTTCAGGTACTTGTACCGGCTCGAGCGTGAAATTTGCAGCCGTCTCTCCGGGTCAGAGCGGTAGAAAGCGGTTGTGGTCTGATGGCCACCACTCCGTGCGCCATAGGCGATCCATCTGCTGTAGGAGGAATGTGAAACAAACTCTAGACCGGCACCGTCTGTTCTTGATGTCATTCGCGTGTCCGCACTTTACCCTTTCCCCGTCATTCCTCGAATCGAGGCTTGTTGTAAACGATTCTGCCTAGCCTGTCCCACCCCGACGAGCCAAATGGCGGCCTGTCCCAGCAAGGCCTTCGGGTAATCGGCATCGTCTCCATGGATCCGTATGGGGAGCAGCGAGGGACCGGGCTCCAGAGGGCGGCGCCTCCGGTCGGGGCTGGACGGGCTTCAAGGCTCGAAGCGACTTGCCAAGGGGTCGGCTCTCCCGCAACAATGACATCGCAGGCCCATGGGGAGGGAAGCAGGGACCAGCAGGGACCTTTGTAATGGTTGTTTTCGAGGGCCAGGCGGGGGGGATTCAGGGTCCTGATCGGCCGGCGATCAGACGCCCGATTTTTGGGTCCCCGAGACGCTATTCACTTTATTCCAAACCGCAACAGCCGCCCAGCGGCGCACCTGCTTCTCGAAGGGGAATAAAGCCCAGGATCGCTCGAACCCCCAAAAGTTGGCTTGCGGGTGAAACAAGCCGTTGGGCGGGCCAGCAAATCAACCCCAACGGAGGGTCTTTCGCGGGCAGGGCATTCCACGGCTCGCTCCCTCCCTCATGGCCCGTGGTTCGTGCCCAGGAAATGTTGATATGATGCGCACCGGCATGAAACGGGATGCGACAGTAGTTTTCGCTGCTCGTGGCGCTGATGCACACATGGCGGCCGCATGTGAGATCGATCGCCGGCTTGGTGGTGGCGCATGGCTCCAAATAAATTCGACCAGATCGCCTCGCGATGAGACTATAGCCTCGCTCCTAATCATTCTAGCCGCGAGGATTCTGTGCAGAGCATCCGGATTAAACCCTAATAAACCCTAAACCCACCCCCACCGCCGCCATGAACCTTCGTCTGTTTCTCCTGAGCCTTGCGGGCCTCGTTGCTGCCACCCCCATGGGGCTGGTGGAACGCCAGAGTATGTGGAGGCTGTCCTAGATACCCGATTGTTTGCCTCCCCGACTGACCTGCCATGCAGCCTCCGATGGTAACGAACTGCGCGACGGTTCCTGCAAGCCCATCATCTTCATCTTCGCCCGTGCCTCGACCGAGCCCGGTCTCCTCGTAAGTGGCCCGGTAGTCAAAGACAACAACGTACTGATGTGGTGGCAAGGGTATCTCGACCGGTCCCGCGGTCTGCAATGATCTCAAGATGGCCAAGATGGGCCAGGTCATCTGCCAGGGTGTTGGACCGGACTACACGGCGGATCTCATCTCCAACGCGCTCCCGGATAACACGTCCCCGGCGGCCATCAGTGAGGCGGAGAGTCTCTTCAATCTCGCCTCCACCAAGTGTCCTACCAGTCAGATTCTGGCGGGTGGATATAGGTCCGTCGCCTGTTTTTTTGTTTCTTTTTTCTGTTTTTTCTTTTTTACCCCTACAGCCACCCCAACGCAGACCAGCTAATAGCCCTCCAGCCAGGGAACGGCGGTGATGGACGACTCTATCAAGAAGCTTTCGGATGAGGTCAAGAACAAGATCAAGGGTGTGGTGCTGTTCGGATACACCCGCAATGCCCAGGAAGGCGGCCAGATCCAGGACTTCCCCAAGGAGAAGGTCAAGATCTACTGCGCCGTGGGCGACATGGTCTGCGATGGCACCCTGATCGTGACGATGTCGCACTTCACCTACATCATGAATACCGGCGAAGCCTCGCAGTGGCTGGAGTCCCAGCTGGGTGCTTCCACGTCGTCGGCCACCACCACGGACACCTCCAGCTCCACGGGATCGGACTCCTCGCAGTCGTCGTCGGCGGGCGGATTGGCCAGCCTGCTGGGTGGAGGGTCGTCCTCCGGTGGTTCGTCATCCCTCGGATCGTTCTTGTAAGTGATGTGGCGTTGCTATGTTTGTCGGACGACGATGGGGGAGGGGATCTGCTGGACGACTCGACTCTCCGGCAACCCTGGGTGGGGGCACGGTGAGCGTGCACCCCGGCGGCTTTGTTGGTGGAGCCGGCTCTGTATATCACTACGATTGCACCTGGTTCAACTCATCTGAGATATCCATGGGGGCATGGACCCGGTCATGCGAGCTCTGGTGGACTTGCTTTTCTTGTATTCTTTTCTCGCACTTCGCACTCCTTTTTTCTTCTTTTTTTTTTTTTCTTTTTTAAACAGCTCCCTGGTCGGACACTTAATGTATTGCTTGAAGCTAGTCGTTCCTTCGGTGAGTGGCCAAAAAAATATGTTTCTATAGCAGATACTCGGTGGCGTGGTCGAATGGGCGGGACCCGAATCGAGGAGTAGCTCTTGTCCGGTGGCCTCGTCCGTGAAAAGCCCGGATCCGGGCGATGGGGATTCGGTAGACGTAGTTTATGGAGATAGCTGAGATGGCTGAGATGGGAGGGATGGTGGGGATGGAGGGGATGAATGCGAGGAGAGAAACAATGAAGAGAGGAGAAGGAGAGAAGAAGAGGAATGAACAGGAGGAATGAAGAAGAGGCAAGAACGAAAGAAGGCGGGGTGCCTTGGTGCCTGGGACGGATGCGTATGCCGGGATGCCTGGAGCTTAAGGCCTGAGTGCCCTGCTGCCTGAACGCCTGACAGCCTAAGGCGGAGGCATGTACCTCAGGCACAAAGGTTGCGTGCCTGCGCAGTCAGGCCATCATCGCGTACCCAGCCCACCATCAAGTGACACCATCAAACACACACACACACACACTCTCTCTCTCTCTCTCTCTCTCTCTCTTCTCCCACTTCTTCCGGTCACCCCATCACATTCAACTCTGACACGTCCAAGTTTATGGTCGCTACGAGCTCGCTTTCCCTTTGCAAACCCGTCCCCCTCCGGTCGCGAGTCCTATCTCCGACCGGGATATATATCCACCATCATGTCTCTCCACCAATACAAATCAATCACAATGTCCAACGCGACATAAACGCTCCTCCCTCCCTCCGACCAGTCCCGGCATGAGCATGAGCACCAAGGCTACAATTCCACCGAGCGGGGGGAAGTTGGCGAGAGGCCGAATCCAGTATCCTCCACGAGCAGACCCAGACTCAGACGAGAAGGTGATATGATCGATGGATGATGTCTGTCACCACTAGCTAGATATCTAGTCCATCACACCACCAGGTCGGTGGATTCCAGAGCACCCCCCTCGAGTCATCCTCACCGGGAGATGGGGACAGAAATCGATAATGCGTGGAGACATTGGCAGGAGAAGGAACAGGAGGAACCAGGAGGAACGGCGCGGGGATAGATAGCAGCTGGGAGGCCCAGGGAGACCGCTGATTCGCGAGATCTGGCGCCAGAGACAGGACGAGGAGCGAGGACGACGAGAAGGACTGGAAGGTTCAGCCACGAGTTCCGTGGTTTATTTTCTAACCACTTCTCACCACTTCTCACCACTTCTCCAACAGGGCACCGACTCGCGTGGGTGGGCTGCTGGAATGGATACGGTCAACAAAAATCACTCGACTGGTGATACCGAGGGGTGCTACATGTGCTATCATGCTATGGCGAAGGTGGTCTGCGGGCAGTGGGACTTTGTTCTCCGTCTCTCTCTCTCTCTCTCTCTCTCTCTCTCGCTCCCTCCCTCGCTCTCTCAGGCCTGGCCGGGCCATTCGTCATCGGCAGTGCAATGATTGATCATGGAGAATCGCCAAGCTCAACGCACCACGTGGGAAAGGCAGGTGGCACCACATGCAGCTAATTCTGGCTGCCACCAGTCTGTACCGGAGCGTTGTGAAGTCTGTTGAGCCTGCGCGACTCGCCGTGGGTCCTGAAGGGCCCCACGGTGATGGCCACGATTGGGTCGGACTCGCGCCGGAAAGACACCCGCCTGCAAGGGCAACCGAGATACAGAGACTGCTAGTCGATAGACTAGTGGCTAGCGTCTCTAGCGTCTCTAGCGTCTCTAGTGTCTGTCATGGACGACAACGGTGTGACGGATTTCCGGCATATCACCATCGGGACGAAGCTCGTCGGTCGTCGCGGCCTGCGCCCGAGCGAGCCGTGCGACGGCCATAAATAACGCCATTCTCCCAGTCGCCGGACACACTCGGCCCTCCCTTTCCTCCTGCCCTCACAAGCATCCATCCCCGTTGCCTGTCTCGTGTCTCGTGCGTCGTGCGTCGTGCGTCGTGCATCATGGGTCTTCTCCGCCACACTGCCACCGCCGCCATGGCCCTCGTGGGCGTCGCCCAGGCCGCGGCCCCGGCCGTCACCATCGACCAGGGCCGCGTCCAGGGCTTCGTCCAGAACGAGACCAACGTCTTCCTGGGCGTGCCCTTCGCCGAGTCCACGGCCGGAGAGAACCGCTGGAAGGCGCCCCAGCCGCTCAGCGCGTTTCCCGGTGGCACCGTCGACGCCACGAGCTACGGGGCCTCGTGCGCCCAGGCCATGTCCGGCACGGCCATCACGGCCCAGAGTGAGGACTGCCTGAGCCTCAACATCTGGACGCCGCTGAACGGCACGGACCTGCCGGTGTTCGTGTACGTCTACGGCGGTGCCATGGTGACGGGAGGCAGCAGCAACGCCCAGTGGCAGGGCTTCAACTTCGCCCGCAAGGATATTATTTATGTCAACTTCAACTACCGCGAGAGCATCTACGCCTCGCCCAACGCCCTCGAGCTGCAGGGCGAGTCGCAGAACTTCGGCATCATGGACGTCGAGCTGGCCGTGCAGTGGGTCTACGACAACATCGAAGGTATGCGTCCCCGCTCCTCTTTTTTTTTTCTTGTCCCAGCTGAACTGACCCATCTCTCCCCAACAGCCTTCGGCGGTAACCAGTCGCGCATCGTGCTGGGCGGCCACTCCTCCGGAGGTGTGCACGTCGACGACTACCTCTGGAACCACCCCGAGACCTTCCTGGCCGGTGCCATCGAGATGTCCGCCAATGCGGAGTCTGGCCCGGCCTTTGCCCCGGCCGGCGTGGCCCTGACGGAGGTCGTCGCCGACATGGAGGCCGCCAACGTGTCGCTGGGCTGCAACAGCGGCAACTACACGCTGGACTGTCTGCGCGACGTGGACACCTATGCCTTCCAGACCACCTACTTCAACTCGACCTCCAACACCTGGTTCGGCCCCGCCGTGGACAACCTCACCCGCTACTCCAACTACTCGGACCGCTTCGCCCAGGGCCTGTACCCCAAGTCGCTGCCCCTGATCGTGGGCAACTCCGACCAGGAGGGCCGTCTGTTCGCGTACGCCTACGCCTCGGAGGACACCAACTTCACCTCCTTCATCCACACCTTCGATGCGGACGTCGCCTGGGTGCCCGCCGCCGAGCTGGAGACCGCCTACAACCGCTCCGACTACTCCTCCGTCGCGTTCATGAGCGGCGCCTGCTACGGCGACGCCCGGTTCCTCTGCGCCACCGACTACCTGTTGGACATGCGCGCGGCCGAGCAGCCGACCTGGATCTACCGCTGGTTCGGCAACTACTCCAACGTCCTGGGCGTCACGGACATCGGGCCCTCCCACGGCAGCGAGGTGCCCTTCTTCCACGGCGGCAACGAGTGCTTCTCCAAGCTGACCGACGTGACCGCCGCGGAGCAGGACCTGGCTGACTACATGAACGACTGGTTCGTGGCCTGGATCAAGGACCCCGAGGCCGGGCCCGGGTGGGCGCAGGCCGAGCCCGTGGACGGCCCCCTGGCCCGTCTGGGTGTGCCCGGCAACGAGGAGGCGATCGAGATCAGCAACACGGGTGCGTACAATGGACGGTGCCAGGCCGTGTACAAGCCGCACTACCCCCAGTACCCGGTGGTGCAAAACCCTGTGCTGTTGGCGGCGGCGGCTGCCTCCTCGTAGGGGGAGCCGGACTGGACTGTCTGGGAGCCTGGGAGTGGGGGTGGGTGCAAGGAGGAGAGTTTTTTATCTTCTGGCCTTGGCCGCACCTCGCAATAGTGGATCTTATTAGATTTTGTAATTAATACCGGAATGAATGAATTGTGTTACGTACCAACGAGAGGCGTTGACCTAATGGGGATGGTGAAATGAGTCGTGTTTGAGGGGAGGCGCTATCCGGGCCCTAAGCCCAACCCAGCCCAGCCACGCCCCAGCCGGTCGGCACTCCGAACTTAGAAAGTAAGAAGGACATCTGATGCTGACCGGCATTGGGATCCTGTGGACCCGACGGTCTGAGACAAGACCAGTGCACAACGTGGCTTCGAGATATCGCCGTGCATGGCCGTTGTCCGGGATGCTGTGCAGCGCCAGCTCCTGCAGGATGCGATGCGAAGCCAACAATCGGCACTGGCCGAGAGCAAAAACAAGCCAGAAGGCCATCGGACGATGGCCGACGTGGGCGGATGTCTCAGGGTGGGTGGATCGGCAACCCTAAGTCGGCGGGGCGCCAAGTGGACGGCGCCTCCCGAGCGAGTCTTCATCCAGCAATCACCGGCCCTCGTTGCCCTCCGGATGGGTTCCACGGGGCGCTACTATCGCTACTATCCTGGATAAGGGAAAGGGACCAGACTCCACATCGCACTCCAGGATGGCCCCACGCCCTAAATGCAGAAGGGCCCCGGTGGGCGGATGGCATGCTTCGAGCCTGAGCCTGGCCCTGCGGGCCTTTGAGAACCTGGGATCTTTTTTGTCTGCCTCCACCGTGGACGCCGTCGCCCAGGCACCTACGAGGAGGGCCCATGAGGCTTGTTCGTGTGCGTCGTGCCAGACGGTCAACCCAGGAACAAGGAATAATGGTAGTCATGTCATGAACTCTAACTGCCAACAGGTCCCTGTCCCTGTGCGGCGTTGGGCCCAAAGGGGCAGTTGTGGCCTGTCGGCCAGCAGTTATTAATCCCTCGGGGGCAGACATCGACTGACGAACTGAAATGCCTCGTCCTCCTCCCTGACCGTCTCGAGGATCGTGCGTCCCTCGCCATGGCTCGTCCGGATACTGGCCAAGTGGTGTGTCTCAGAATCCCTGCATCTTTCTCTCTAATTCCCATCCCAGCCTGCATCCTGCAGCTTGCTAACCGTTTCATACGGCGCCCAGGTGGCCTGGTACATCTGCACCGCGGCCGCGTGTGTCTTCCTGGTCTGTCGCCTGATTGTCCGCTGGCGACTGCTGAAGAAGCTGTACCTCGATGACATCTTCGTCATCGGGGCGACGCTGTGCCTGATCGGCGACCTGGCCATCCAGCACTACATGTTCACGCAAGGTATGGCGCTGTTGAGTGTTGGCAGGGGCAGGGCCATCTCCCCCGACTCCTCTGGCCGCTGGTGATCCGTGCGATGGCTAACCGACCGCGTCCCCCACCCACAGGCATGTCAGCGATGGCCAAGGCGACCACGGCCGAAGAGATCAACATGATGAAGGTCGGTAGTAGTATAGTCCTGCTTTCGAGATCGGATGGATCGATGGATCCGCGCACAAGCATCCCGCATGCAGCATCCACTTCACACAGACTGACTCCATCCTCGCCCGTCCCAGATGATCATCCCCGGGTCCACCCTGTATGTCACCTCGCTGTGGCTTATCAAGTCCAGCCTGGTCATCTTCTATAAGCGCCTCGCCGATCGCACGCGGTACGAGACCGTCTACAACATCACGCTCGCCGTGCTGGGGGCTACCTGGCTGGTGCTGTTTTTTGATATTGTCTTCAAGTGCTTCCCGCCGGACCGCCAGTGGAAGAGCATCGAGAACCCGGATTGTGAGAGACACCTGGCGATGATGCCAGGATGCGATGGACTGACCCGGAGTAGTGGCTTGCCCGTCGGGGCCCTCGACGATCAACTACTGGCTGACCATTCTCTGTATGAAACACCCCCGGAAGGATCCCGAGGCAGACACGCTAACCAACGGCAGTTAACATCTTCAGTGATGCCTTCAGTAAGGGCTCCTTCTTCCCAGGCACGGCACAGCCCTCATTGGAACGTGGACACTGACCCGGCAGTCATCTGCCTGCCCATCTCGCAGGTTGCGCGGCTCAAGATGCCGCCGAAGCAGAAGCTGGGCGTTATTTCCGTCTTCCTACTGGGCGTTCTGGTCATTATCACCAGCAGTACGTATCCCCCTCTCCTCCGGCAAGGTGATCATGCGTGCTAACGGGGACCCCCGCGCAGTCGTCCGTGCCATCTACTCGTACCGCAACGAGCAGATGATCACCTGCACCGTCTCGATGATCGAGACCGCCATCGCCATCATCGCCTCGTGCCTGCCCGTGCTGCGGACCCTCGTGTTCGGCTCCCACTCCCGCAAGGGCACCTACAGCGGCCGCCGGGGCTACGAGCTGTCCACCTCCGGGCCCACGGGGCTGGGGACGGGCAAGCAGCGCACGACGGTATCCGTGTCGCACCCGGACACGCATGCGGGGGAGCTGTCGCGGCATGACTCGGAGGACGAGCTGGTCAAGGCGAACGGACTTTTTTCTCTTGATGACGCGGCGGGTATCTCGGTGACGCGGGAATATTTCGTGCACGAGGCTGGGATGGATGGCCAGAGCTTGCGCTGATGTAGACTATCTTTATTGCTTCTCGGATGCGCTGGGCAGGGAGGCCACCTGCCGGCGCGGAGAGAGCGTCCCCTGTAATCATAATTTTCTCATAGGAAAAGCAAAACCGAGATTGCGGGCCAGGCCCTTCGCTTGGAGGTTCGGGAAATGCAATTGACAATGATGATGGGTTTACCCGTGCCCCAAAGCCCCGATTCTGGGCCTCTGCGAGGTCTGGCGTAGTGATTTTTCGGCGATCCCTACCAGCCCTAGGCCCTCCCTCCACGCAAGTAGGTATTGGCTCTGCCGATCATCGCCGATGATATACTTTTGAGACGTGTCACATCCACGACCACCGCAGCAAGAGGGTACTAAAGTCAGCAGGCAACCACCCCCCCCAACACTGAATCCCCTCTCCTAATGACTAGCTGGGTGGCAGCAAGCAGAGTCAGTTCACAGACCAACATGGCGTCCATCTTATCCCCGGAATTCACAGCCCGCGTGAAGCAGCTCATGGACGAGCACCATGTCCCTGGCCTGGCCATCGCGGTCGTGCACGGGGACAAAGTCGAGTCGGCCGGGTATGGGCAGGCGTCGTTGGACCCGCCCAGGTCCTGTATTTCTGATATTCTGTTTGACATTGCCTCCGCATCCAAGTCCTTGACCGCGGCCTCGGTCGCTCTGCTGGTGGAGGATGATGAGCGGTTTCCCGAGGTGCAGTACACCACCCCCATGTCGCGTCTGCTGCCCGAAGACTTTGTCATGTCGGACCAGGGATACACCGAAGGCGTCACGGTGGAGGAATAAATTACTTAATCCCTCGCTGTCTCGGGAAGGATCTGCAGAAGCCTTTCCCAGATAAATATCCTAAATTTATATATAGTAGAGTATGAAACCTAATAAACACTAACAAGTTATTCTGAATTTCTGAATTTAAAAGTTTATACTTTATAGTTACTCTGATGTTATGAACAATATCGCGGGGCAGGATACTTACTTAATCACTCGCCGCCTCGGGAAGGATCTGCAGAAGCCTTTCACAGATAAATATATAAAATTCATATATTATAGAGAATAAATACTAATAAATACTAACAAGTCATTCTGAATTTCCGAGTTTAAAAGTTTATAGCTACTCCGATGTTATGAATAATGCTGCGGGGCAGGATTCTTACTTAATCTCTTGCTGTCTTGGGAAGGATCTGTAGAAGCCTTTCACAGATGAATATCTGAAATTTATATATTGTAGAGTATAAAACCTAAAAAATACTAACAAGTCATTAGGGTTTTCCAAGTTTAAAAGTTTACACTTTATAGTTACTCTGATGTTATGAATAAAACCGCGGGGCAGGGTTCTTACTTAATCACTCGCGGCCTCGGGAAGGATCTGCAGAAGCCTTTCACAGATAATTATATGAAAATCTTTTTATGTTGTAGAGTATAAACCCTAAGAAATACTAGCAAGTTATTCTGAATTTTTGAGAGCAAAAGTTTGTAGTTACTCCGATATTATGAGGATTGCCGCGGGGCAGGGTCGCTGTCTTGGGAAGGATCTGCAAAAGCCTTTCACAGATGAATACCTGAAATTTATACATAGTAGAGTATAAAATATAATGAACACTAACAAGTTATTTTGAATTTCCGAGTTTAAAAGTTTGTAGTTACTCCGATTTTATGAGGATTGCCGCGGGGCAGGGTCGCTGTGTGATAGAATAAACCAGCTATCGGGATAAAGGTCATCGGGATGACGTATTATAGTGGTTGTGAGAGTCGTGTCATCGGGATGACGTGTTATAGTGGTTGTGAGAGTCGTGAGGTCATCGATAGTGGTTCTACACCTCTCCGGCACCTATAAGGTGCCGATCCCTCTGTAAGGAGCTACTGATCCTTCAAGGATCAGTCTATCTCGTGGATATAGGCTACCTTTGTCATTATCAAACGAATACACGGTGTTTCATGGTTGATTCCTTACCTAGTCGACAGGCTTTCTACCCTGACAAGTAGATCCTATCACATTCTGATCCTTCTCTTTTCGACTACCTAAGGAAGATGCCACCCATTGAAGATAGTGAAGAAATGGAAGCACTCAGCGATCGAATCGATCCAGAACCCTCGCCGAATACCGTTCCCACCGTTGAAGAGATTCAACAGCTAGAAGATCATGTTCATCGATTGGAACAAGCTACCAACTTACGGCGAAGAATAGCTCACCTCCAAAGGAATGGCTCCCCGAGCGAAACCTCCTCGAGACACTACCGATCCTCCCCCGAATCAGAAAAGGATAAGGGAGAGATTAAGTTTAAAGATATCCCTCGCTTTGCCCTGAACTTCAACCTCCAAAAATATCAAGAATAGATCACCGATTTGAAATATATATTCAGAGACGCATCCAAGAAATATTCATCAGAGAAACACAAGATCCTCGCTGCTATCAGCTATATGAACCCAGCATGTAGGCAAAGATAATATTATTTTGTGGACGATAAGAGTCCGGAAGAGAGACGATTCCTCAAGAAATTATAATCTTAATTCAAAGATTGGACTCTTACACTGATTCGAAACGCTGTTATTCTTTAATTAAATACTATGGCCCAACTTAAACAGGCTTATCAATAATACAGCCAGAATCCGCGAGAGTTCTATATTTATCTTAATATCTTAAAGCAACACTTTCCTCGCCAAGCAGAAAAGAAAAGAGTCTTATCTTACTTTGCTAAGCTACTACCGGATCTAAACTATTATATTTAAGAGTATATTCTCTATCTATCAGAGAAGCGGAACAAAATAGTGGCTATTACTACTTATTATTATAAACTATAAGAAAATAAAGAAAAACGCAAGCAAAATAATAATTAATTCAGTGATTATAAATCACGCAAGCGCTTTCAAGAAACCACTAGTAAAATTATTAAAAAAGATATTCTGAATTATAGAGAAAATCTTATTAGAAAAAATAGCAATTAATTATAATATTTTATATATAAAAATATCTAATATCTTGCGAATTAATATTCTACTAAAGATAAAAGAATCTAATCCGCTAGAATCTATTAATTCTTATTAGATTTAGAGAAAAAAATAAAAAAATTAGAATAAATCTTATAATTTTAATTTCTTTATCTATAGTAGAAATTATATATTATTTTTATATTTCTATCTATATTTAAAATAGTCTTGAAATTTTTGCAGATCTGGATAGCTGTATTAAAGTAAATATTATTAATTATTAATTTATCAAAGTCTATAATTTTTAATATATTCTGATTATTGCGCTAAAGATTAAAGCTATTAATTAAATTATTACTTTTATTTATAATATATAGAAAGTCCCTATTATCGCTACTGATTCGCGAGAAGATATCTGTATTTTTAAATAATATTATATAAAGATTAATTAAGATCTCTAACTAAAAGACAGCTCTGTACTATTTTTAATAACTATACTTTATAATTTATATATTATTTTATCAGTATAGAACTATCAGTAATAATTTAGTATATTATTTATTTTATTACTTTCTATTATTTAATTTATTAAAGTAACTTAAAACTTAGTAAGAGTATATATTATTATTAAGCTTTTTAAAGATATCTGGCTATCAGAAAAAAAATCTCGCGATTTATTATTAAATTTTAAGATAATTTTTATTAAACTTAAGTAGTTTTAAAATATATTCTTTATAAATTTTTTTTAATAGCTATCTTCTTATGGCCCTGCGGATTATATTATTAATATTAAATTTAATAAAATATCTTTTTATAATTTAATATACTTCTTATTCAAAGCTAAACTTAAGATTTTATAAAAATATATTAAAAAGAATCTGAAACTAGACTAAATTTAATCTTTAAAAAATCCTGCTGGAGTCTCTATTTTTTTTATATTTAAAAAAAATAATAGCTTATATCTTTATATAGACTACAGAAATCTTAATAAGATTTTTATTAAAAATTATTATTTCTTATTTTTTATTTTAGAGATTTTTAACAGAATTTTAGAAAGTATTTACTTTTTAAAGATTAATATCAAGAATATATATTATTAAATTTATATTAAGAAAGATAATAAATAAAAGATAGTATTTTATATCTAATACAGCTACTTTAAATATATAATTATATTATTTAAATTAACTAATACTTTAGTAATTTTTTAAAACTATATATATACTGTGCTTTAAGAACTTCTTAATAACTTTTATATAGTATATCTGAATAATATTCTTATTTTTTTATTAGATAAGAAATCTTATATAAAATATATTTATTAAGTTTTAAAGAGACTTCAAGAAGCTTAGTTTTATATAAAATTATTAAAATATTTATTTTATTAATTCTAAGTTAAATTTCTGGAATATATTATTAATTTTAATAAAGTATTTATAAATTCTTAATAAGTAAATAATATTATTTTATAGCTAATTTCTGAAAGTTATTATAATATCTAAATTTTTCTTAGATTCTGTAATTTTTACTAATAATTTATTTAAGATTATTCTTATATTATCTTATTTTTTATTTCTTTATTTTATAAAATAATTAACAGACAGAAGTCAGAAAAGATTTATTTAATTTTAATTAAATAAACTGCTTTTTACTATTTTATTACTATCTTTTAATAAATATCTTTATTAATATATTTTAATTCTATAAAACCCTGCTATTTAGAAACTAATATATTAAAAGAAGAGATAAGTAGTATTCTATTTTAATCTGATATTAAGAATATATTTTATTTAATTATATTCTAATTCTATAAGTTCTCTAATATTAAGCTAAATTATAATACTTTAGATTAAGAGCTATTTATTATTATTTATTTTTTTAAATAATAGCAATAATATTTAGAAGATACTTTTTAAATAATTAAGATTCTATCAGATTATTTGAACTTATAATCTTTTATATATTAAATCTAAGTTAATAAAAAACAAGCTTAATAACTTATAAATCTAATTCTCTATAATTTTATTATTAAATATAGAACAGAGAAATTAAATCTAGCAGATAGATTTTTTAGAATATTTTCTAAATTTTAAGTAAAATCTGCTTTTTAAAAAAAACTATTAATTTTAATTTAAGTGTGATTTATAAGTATATTATTTCTAATAATAAGAGATCTTGTTAAAGAAAAAATCCAGTTTAAATTTTAAGATATATAGAATTATTCTGAGTTTAATATCTATATTATATTAAGTTTAAAGAATTCTAATAATTAAGCTAATATAAAGACAGCTGACTGGGCTGCTTAAGAGAATTTATCTTAAAAGAGATTTATTCTTTAATCTATAATATTATAAGTATATACCGCGGAAGTTTTGTACTTAAATATATATAATTCTAAATTTTAAAAAATAATCTTATATTTATAGAATAATAATCCAGAGATATAATAGTAAAAGACTGCTGTTTAATAAAAATAATTAGATTAAAAATATTAGATTATTAAAATAATTAATTATATCTATTTTAAAGATTAATACTATATTCTCTTTTCTAAGATATTATATTAGATACTTATTAAACTATATTATAATAATCTGTTAATAGAATATTTTAAAAAGATTTAAATAAAAGCACTGCTATACAGAAAGTTTCACTGAAATAAATTATAATATAATATAGTTAAATATATTTAAATTTATTTAATATATCAAGAAATTACTGCTTTAAAATATTAACTATATAATAATCTTAAATTATTATTAATTCTATTATATTTTTTTATTAAATTAATAATAGATTTTATTACAGGACTGTCTTTTATTATTTAATATAAAAAGATTATTAATACTATTCTAGTTATT